TAGAACTATAAGATTAACATTATTCTAGAAAAGAAGCTACTATATTAGAAGAACAGGCCCTTCTCTAGTAAGAAATTAAAAGTTATTAGAAAATAGCTAGATAAAAACCTAGATAAGAGCTTTATACGTAAATTCTGTTTACGTTATACTATACCCCTACTTCTAGTAGCAAAACTAGGCAGAGAGGTACGCATCTATTAAGACTATTAAGGTCTTAATAACGTAACTATAAAGAACTAATACCTACTTCTATTAATTAGAGAAACGCTTAATACTCTATATAATACTAAGATATACACTAAGCTTAATATTATTACCGCGTTTAATAAGCTAAGAATTACAGAAGGCTATAAATAGAAAATAGCCTTTATTACCTAATTTAGACTCTTTAAATTACTAGTTATGCTATTTAGCCTCTATAATACGCTAGCCTTATTCTAGAACTATATTAACTATACGCTCTATAATCTTCTAGACTGTACGTATACTACGTACCTTAATAACGTTCTTATCTACTTTGCGAATAAAAAGAAACACTAATAACACGTCTAAGACGTAGTCTAACAGCTTATTAATATAGACCTCTAAATTAATATTAAGAAATATAAATTTAAGGTTACTAAAACAAAATACCTTAGTCTTGTTATCTCTCTAGAGAGAATTCGTATAGATCTAGAGAAGGTCTAGACTATTTATATATAAATAACGCCTTTATACCTAAAGAACCTATAGAAGTTTCTTAGCTTCTCTAACTTTTATTAACGTTTTATTTAAGACTTTTCTAAGATATATTAACTACTAAATAAGCTACTACGTAAAGATATGCTATAGATCTAGATAGATAAGTATATATAAGCCTTTAAGACTCTAAAGATATTATTTATAATAGCTCTAGTACTAGCAATATATAACTATATAAAGAAGATAATTCTTAAAATAGATACCTCTAACTAGGTATTAGAGAGCGTACTCTTATAGTATAATAATACTAGCATACTCTACTCTATCGCGTACTTCTTAAGTAAGTATAGCGCTACTAAGTATAACTACAAAATCTATAATAAAGAACTTCTTACTATTATAAAGTTCTTAGAGAAGTAGCACTTTAAGTTATAAGAGACTACTAAACTATTTAAGATTATTATAGATTATAAGAATCTTAAATACTTTACTATAATAAAGGTACTCTTCTAGAGACAGGTCTACTAGTCTAAATTTCTCTTATAATTTAACTTTCGTATTATATATTACCTAGAGAGTAAAGTAGTTAGACTAGACGCGTTAAGTTGTATACTAGATAACTAATCTACTAAGAATAACCTTACTAATAACTGCGTTAAAAACTAGATATAGATAATACTACTACCTAAAAGATTTAATAAGAAGGTTCTTATAGAGCTTCTTTAAGATACTCTACTAGAAGTAGTAGTACTTATTCTACTAGCTATAGATAAACTAATTAATAACCTATTATAGACTATATATAAGATATTAGATCTAGTATAGAAAATAATTACTACGCTAGAGAACCTATTAGTAAAGCGCTAGCTAAAACACCTTTAAAGACTTCTCTAGATTCTAATACTTAACTATAGAGTCTAATAAAATTATATTTAGTATAGAGATTATATATTTATACTACTAAATAATAAACTACGTACGTAGATCTTATACTATATATATAATACTAGCTCTACTAGCTACTCTAGATAGGTTAAAACTATAGACCTTATCTACTATAATTACTAGTAGCTATAAATCTTCTATAATATTAAGATATACGTATAAGCCTATACTATATACGTAAGAATAAAAGTATCTAGACTCTTACTCTAAGGCTTTCTAAAACTACTACTAGTCTTATTCTAGGTATAGTCTAATATATTAGTTAATTATATTACTCTACTACCTAAGTATAGGTTATATAGTTAAAAATATAAATATATTCTTATAGTAGTCTATTAACTTATAAAAATACGCTACCTTATTTCTATAATAAGAATTAATATAAAGAAGCTAACTAATACGTTTATTTTATAAATTTACTTACTCTATAGCTACTCTAATAATATTATTTCTAATTATAGTATATAGTTCGTTTCTTAGTTCTAGACGTAGCTTTCTACCTGCTTAGAAGTTATACTTAAACGCTTATCTTTATTCTATCTAGAGACAGATAGATAAATAGAGTAAGTTAATAGCTTTATTAAAGTATATCTCTAGGCGTTTATAAACTTCTACTAAGATAATTAGGTATAATAGCTACTACTTATAGAGTTTATAATAAATAATATTATATCTAAGACTATAGAAGTATCTCTATTCTTTGCGAATTATAGTTTCTATCTAAGACTAGAGGTTAAGCTAGCGTAGCTAGTACTACTAAACCTATCTACTGCGCAAAAACGCGAGTTCTTTAGAGCTAATAACGTAGCTAACTAGTTTAGCCGTATTCTATTCTAACTAAAAGTACTAGCTACCTAGTCTATTACTTAGTATAAACACTATATAAATAAGAGACGCAAAGACGTACTATAATTTTTAATAGAAGATCTTATCTACGTTAATACACGAAATATAAAGATAAACAGGCCTATAAAAAAGAGAAATAATAAGCTTATAGAGCTATATAAGGTATTAAAGGTCTATAACTAATTATATATACTAGAACTTCTATTACGCGTATAAATCTTTCTAGTATTCTATAACTCGCTACTCCGCCTCTAGTATACCTCTGCGAGGCTCCTAGGTTAACAGGTAATTAATAAAGTAGAGTTACGTTATCTCTATAGAAGAGTTCTTAAAAGAGAAGATAAAATAGAGAAACTTACTAAGAAGTAGAAGTTTAATATAATACTAGACTACTATAATAAGTAACTAGAACTATAGTACCTTATTAAATAGAAGAACTACGCTATAACGTAGTAACTAGTATTAGACCTAAAAGATTAGAATAACGCGCTACTAAAGTTCTATACCTAACACCTAGATAAGCTAGGTCTACTATAATAGGTAAAAAGGCTATAGACGCTAGTTAGTCTAAATTTTTTATTATTTTATAGGCTATTTAAGACGTATAGTATACTAGAAAGAAAGTACTATTATAGTACTAACCTGCCTGCGTAGTTATATAACTTTAGCTACCTTAGCGTCTTAGTATAGTAGATATCTACTCTACGCCTTCGTATCTTTATAGCTTAATATTATATAACTTATTATATACCTTAAATTCTTATTTCTTATTCGCGCTGTAATATAAGCCTTCTAGTTTAAATCTCTATAAGAATAAAGTAACTAGAGAGAAGGTAGTAGCTATAAAAGCGCTTCTAGTTTAAAACTAATATAAATATACTTACTATAAGCTAAAAGAGATAGTTAAGAGTATAACGTAGAAGTTTTAGAAAAAGAGAGACTAGAGAGGCGTATTTTAGAGCTTAGAGATAAGCTCTTTCTATAAGAGAGAGTAATATAATAGTTTAGTTTAGAGATTTATCTAGAGTTATATAACCTTAGGTTACGTAATCTTATTACGTAACCTAGCCTAGCGTCTTAGCGCTTAGTACCTCTATATATAGAGCCTCTTAGAGTATTCTTCTACTTCTTACTTTTAGATAGCTAAATTTAACTTAACCTACTCTACTTATTACTCTTATTCTTATAGCTTATAGAGACTATATTACCTATAATTAACTTATCTAGCTAGGTGTTCTAGAGCGCACGTATAGTAGTAGAGACTATAAAGCTAGCTTTTATAGTGCTAGGTAGAGTTATATAACTTAGGTAGAGCTAAGTTAGACTAAAGTACTAAGTTAGAGCTAAGTTAGACTATTATAAACTAGATTTTTCTTAAAAGTTACCTAAATACGTATAGCTTTTTAATTATATAATATATCTTAGTATAACTTTAGTATAAGGTATAATATACTCTAAAGAATATATATCTAAATTTTTATAGAAAAATATTAAGGTTTTACTTAGTTATTTAAGAAAAGCTTATTAATATTCGTTAATTTTCCTTACTAAGAAATTATAAGGCTTTTAGTAATAAAGTATATTATAAGATACTATAAATCTATATTAAAGATTCTAGAAAGAGATTCTTAATACTCTAGCTCTAACGCTAAATCTAGAATAATTAGTTAAGAATATAGTATTATTACTACTAGATAACTAAAACTATCTATTGTTATATATATATAACGTAGAGTATCTATCTTATTATTTAAGTAGATTAGTCTCCCCCCCCTACCTTAGCCGAAGGCCTTAAAATACCACCGTTACAACCGCTAAATCCGCCTCTAACTTTATTTGCTACTCCGTAAATTTTCCGCCTTCTATACACCTTGCCGTCGCCGTGCAAAGTTGACGCTTTTCGTCCGTGCAGCGCACCTTTTTTATCTCACGGGCCTCCTCACGGGCCCTCCTACGGCCTTCTTACGGGTTGAAGATATCCCGCTTCGTAGTGCCCTTTTCTATAAAACTCTTCTCTTTGCTCTCTCTCTTCTCTCTTCTCTCGAACAAGCTCCGCAGGAATAAGCTCCGCAGGAACAAGCTCCGCAGGAAAGGGGGGTCCTAGGGGGTCTCCCCCTGGTAGGATTATATCCTACCTCTATTACTCGTAGGCGCTGGCTCCGCTGGCTCCGTTGGCTCGTTAACGCGCCCTGCCCTCCACCCCCTACACATGAAATCCTTCGCTGGCCGATCGACTGGCATGGTCCATAAGTTGTTAATTCGTTGCCTAGCTATTTGTATAGTCTCTGCTTAGAGACTCATATGCGCCAAAGAAATCAATCATGCTTCATCGAGCCGACCACCGAAACGGGTTGCGTCCAACCCAATGGGTGGTTCTAAACCGCTGAACCCTTTGATGATACCCCTTCTGCCTGCGGATTTGGAAATATAGCGTCTTTTTTGCTGGTAGTATGCTCGCATCTTCTTTATGACGAGGTCGAGCGAATCGATGACTGCTTACTGCGCGCGCGCGCGCGCCAATGGGTGGTTTACTTGTCCGCATATGCCATTTCGGCTTCTACAGCGTGCGAATCGCGATACGCCATCCGCACACCCATTGCATCCTCGCTGCCGTAGCATAGCTTCGAGTCAGATTGTTTCAGTCGTTTGGAGTACGTCGGGCGAGTTAGACCCTGCTCGTCGGGCTCGTCGGTAGGCTCACGTTTGGTGCCAACTCCGGCAGGGGGTGGAGACGGCAAATAGAAAGCAGCACCATCAAAGGCAGCGTCGAAAATTGTCGCTGGCGCATTGTCAAGCCAGCCCGCCTCCGTCAGTTTCGGCGTTGTCATGTCCATGTACGGCGGAACTCCAGGATTTTGCGCATACATGCCATGATCGAAAGGATCTGTCACGTGTAGATGGTGAGCGGTAGAGGTGTACCATACATCCGCTCCGTAGAATCCATTCGCTGGCGCAACGAAGTCAGGCGGCAGACCGTCTTTTGGGTACGACGAGGCTGTTATACCGTCAACAGCCTCACCTGCATTGTTACCAAGAAGAGGTTGGGCGAAGGAAGTGCCTTGCCCGCCCTCCATACGCGTGTGTGCTTGCTTTGCAGCTAGGTCGGACAGGCTGTAGTGGTCATTCGTCACCTCCGTCCGGTTACCTCGATTATTGTTCACCACGCGTTCAGCATCCAGGTCGGTGGCAGTAGATGCGGGACCTGGTTTCGGAAGCAAATTGCCTTGGACTCGTGCCATTTCTGCGGCAGATATGACGTCTGCTTCTCGAGCCAGAACAGCTTTGGACTTATCGATGGCGACTTTCTTCAAATTATTATTCCGCTGGTAAGAGACCTTGCACCCCGCATAGGCGAGTGGATGGTTTGCCAATAGGATGCATCGGTAGTCATCGCAGAGAATATCGCGGCAGGCGGCTTTCCATTGGCGAAGGCAATTGATCACGTTCTGGATGCGGGTTGTACAGTTACCATCCCGGTCGCTCTCGTAGTTTCGCGGTGTACCGGCCTTGTTATCTTTCGTTGCGCCACGGTAGCCCTGACAACAGCGATCAATCACGGTGTCGAATAAAACCCGACAGGCTGCCTCGACTTCGTAGCCGCATGTGGCGTCGGGCTGCCCAAGGTCGAACAGTTTGCGCTCACGTGCTTCAGGTTTGTCCCGGACACCATCAAGGTTGTACATGGCCCGTATCATCTCCGCGACGTATGCTTCCCGATGGTTGAAGACGTCCATAATGGTGGGATCCGTGGAAGGCGAGAGCTGAGATGGCATTGTCACACGTCGACGGTAAGCAAGCGCTTCCTCGGAGTTGCGGAATACCAGCTGTGGATTGCCGTTCGCGTCGAACTGATATGGGACATCATCCGATGGTGCGATTTGAGCAGAATGCGACGTAAGTGATGTGCCCTGTGCGTGCTCGCCGGAGTCTTGTTGGCGATCTCGACCTACAGGGCAAAGCGCACCATCTGGGGACGGACACATTTCGTGAAACGTTCCGAATAGTTCCTCTATAGTGTACGAATAAACTGGATCCAGTGATGAGACTTCGTTTACCGGGCGCGAAGGTCGTTCTGACTCCGAAGGTTTGGCGTGCGTTGGTCGTGAGAGGAAAAGTGAGGGTTCTTCCCGAAAAGGAACAGAATAAATGCGTTCCAGCGCTAGCAGGCGGAGAGGGAGGGAGCGCGCATTCACGCTGAACAAGTCGCCCGACGTGACAGGACGACGCAAATGTCCTCACGCATGGGCCGATTCACCAGCATTGTGCAGTTACAAAGGCGCGGAGCTGACCCAACGAGGATAGGAAGAAAGTCAACCAACCCGGAGGTACTAAGAATCTTGATACGACTTGTGTTAAAACTAGGCAGTGGTCCAATGCGGCCCAATACGGATGGGATGAACCGGCTGGTCATATCCAAGCCATGTATCGATAACGAGAAAGAGGAAAGAAGGCAGCAACAAAGATATCCGAGAGTCGAGAAGTAGCGTGGTAAATCCTTCAGCAGGGCCTGGTGAGCCGTGACGGTCCCCACTGCGCACGAACGGGTCCATCGCCAGCGCTAGGATTATTATCGTGTGAACGTGAGACATCCTCTCGCTTATAAGCCATGTAGATCGGAATATTGCAGTGAGCAAGCGTATAAAAGGTTGCTGATAGTGGGATGAGGACGGGCAGGACCGTGTGGGTGAGACTTAGCTCGAACGCTGGTACTAGCTAGCGGCTTCTGAAGCGCGCAACACATGTGACAACCTCATACGGGCTTCCGATTGAGCTGCCTATTAATTATGAAAGCCGCCTTACTTCCACTAAAGGGTCGGTGCATGGTGTAGCCGCAGGAAACTACCAAGCACATACACGTATCGAAAGCATAAGTCAGTTGAGCGAAGAGGTCCGAATGACAATTGATCCGTAATGCCAAAGCAAAGCATTTGCCTCGACAAAACTCACCACTCATCTACCCGACCGGTGTCTTCTGGTTCTCCCTTTTGCTCAAGCATACCCTTCTTGGCTTGTGGGGCAGCATCGACACCATCCTCATCCCGAGCGCGCTTCTTCCCGAACAAGTGATTAGATCCTCTCGCTATGCCCAGAGGAGGGCATGTAACACTTTGCCTAGCCTCAGACTCTTCGGTGTCAGAGCGCTTTTTCTTGAAAACCGGATGGAACAAGGGGTTTGGCCTTTTGCTGACAGAGGATGAGGTGGAGGTGCTTGACGGAGTCGGTGTCGTAGACGGAGTGGGCACCATGCTTATGGCAGGGGCAGTTAGACTTTGAGATGGAGAAACCGTTGAGATCGGGACTGAAGGCGGAGCACGAATCGCGGTAGGAGAAGGGTTTGGGGATGGTGTATGATCGGGGCCTTTGGCGGTCGTCCCCTCGTCGTGGCCGACGGCATTGTGGGAGACTGGCGACAAGATTGGGGAAGCAGGATCTGCGGGGATTCCGGCCGAAAGTGGACTCTCTTTTGACGTCTTTGGAATATCGACTTTGCTCTGTTCGACTGGCATTCCTTGACCGACTTTTGCGGCCTTTTTCTTGTCGTTTCCCTTCTGCTGCGATTCCTTAGACTATAATCGTGAGCAGATTCCGTGGTTTGTATGGCAGTCTCCTTACTTTCGCTACTCTGTTCGGCCCATGTACAAGCAAGATAATCTTGCTATCCTCGAACAGCACATCCTTACAGATGCGCTTATCTCGCTACGAAGGCGTAAGTATGGAGCCATTACCCACGGATCTTGCGAGAGGGGGAAGCGTACCCTGAGAGCCGCGGCGACAGCGATCAGCCTTTCCTTGCAGCTCAGACTCCTATCCTCGCGAGCAGGTGCATTCCTGTCCGGTGGTCCGCAGTACCCGACCACGCAGCGGTGAATAAGAGCGACGAGGATTGCTCTGCATGTGGCCTCGACTGCCCTCTTGTCAAGCCGAGTAGACTTGAACATGGAAAGCTCGTTGCTGTCGGGCTTGTTGTTGCAATTCGCCACGTTCATCATATTGTTGTAAAGGATTTGGATCCAGCCCTCGGCCTTCCCCAACACATCTTTCATGGTCGGGTCTGCCCGAGATTCCGCACGCTCCGCTTCTGTGGGCCGATAACGGTATGTGATTGCGGCTGCCCAATCATTGCGGAAGTAAAGTGGTTTGGTCGGGCGTGCTGAGCTGGAAGTTGCGGCTTTGCCGCTATGTATCTCCGGATGGTTACTGCTGCCGACATTCAGGCTAAGGCGACCGGTGCCATTTCCCGTCGACTCTGTTTGCGAAGTGTTGTTGCTAGCGGGCACGCCATGCATGGCCCTCAGGTAATGGACGAAGTGGTTATCTAACCCGCACAAAGCTTCTGTGTATGCGTCAGCGTAGGGATATTTATGGCAGGAGGGAGAGCCAGCTGGGATGGGATCGGTCTCCGACGGATCTTCATGGGTGTTCCATGACGTCGTGGCACTATAAGAGGCGACTTCGGTAGTTGGTGTTGTTGGTTGCACTAAAGGAGCATATTAGCAAGATTACGCAAGACGGAGGAGACGGCAGGTCTTACAATCCTTGAAGTTGATGCTGGAATCACCTGCGATACGTCCGCAGCCGAAGTGAACCGATCGATATCCAACTCGGGTTGTAGCAAGCCCGCTTCATTCGCCGGAGTTTGCCGAGGGTGCCTTAGATTGCCGGGCTGGCTGTGAGCCGTCGGTGGGAGAGACATTGGGATGAGTTCAGGAAGAGATCGTTCTCGATGTTTCGCTATACGTGCGCCTCGCGCTTTCTGGAGTTGGTCATCTAATCTGCTGTTGCGAGAGAGTGTGACCACTGCGCGCAAGGCGAGCGAGTGAAAAGATCAAATCGGCCATTTCGGTCCTAGGTTGCGTTGCCCTGCCGTCGTGGCACCTCTTTTCACCACCGTCCAGTCGGCAGTAATCTTACCGGAAGGGGCTATATACATGGGCTAGTGAAGTAGTAAAGAATCGGATTTACAAGAAACCTAGCTTATATCAGTCCGGTTTGCGTTCTCCTGGCTTTAGTTGGCTGACTCTTTGTTTGTGCGTTATCCTTTTGCGCAATGCTTACATGTCGGTGACTCTGACATTGACTTTTCGGGATAGTTGTGTGACAAAAAAGCTGCATGGGCATGTAACGGCTCTGAACAAGCCTAGAGAATGGTCAGCATTGGGTACGGTAGATATCCGGTTACTCACATTACCGTACAATGCTATCCCAACAACAGGATCTCAGGGTCCGATACACTGTGCTGTTCAGACATTGTAGGGAAGATAATGTTTGTCAACAATGCAACCACGTCTATTGATACCAAAACAGCCTTCTTTTATCCCATCTTCTTGATCAGAAACACTGAAGGATCTTTCACCAACAAGTCCTCTCGAAACGACGTCCTGAACAACGCGCTTGCCCTCATTTCGTCAGTGATCCAAGCGACTGAGGATGAATCCGATGCTCGATGCTGACTCGAATTCCTCCGAGGACCAAGACTCTGACGATACTGGCCATGTCTATTCCGAGACCTCATCGCAAGTGACTACCTTTTCCCAGTTTCTAGGGAAACGGAAGGAGTAGACCACTTGGAGCCAGCGGAGCGACGTTTGGACCGCTACGGTCGCTGCATATGCCCTACCTATCGAGAAAATGCTGGTAGTGACACTCCTTCTGGCCTGGAGCTAATGCACAATGACACCTTCCAAGTCACGACTTGAGGCCGCGAGCCACCAGTGGTGTTGTTTGGTGTAGGACTTGACCTAGCTCTTCTAACACGAGATGTGTACTGCTCGCCTTTCGTCATCGAACGCGAGATACCAAGTTCAGATGAATACTGCGTGTGTTTAAATAACAGTGTTAAGTTTTTGCGGACGGTCGACGAGTACTTTATTGAGCTATCGGATCATAGGCGGCGCCAGGCTCTTCCGCAGCAGAGCCAGTATGATACAATGGATAGTATGGTGTTGGTCGAGGCCGTCAGCCGCGGGCTTTGGCCGGCTTAGATACGCAAGAGATGGATAGGGACATTGCGAGCCGAGTGCTGCAGAACCCCGAGGCTTGGGGCTAGACTACCAGGGCCATGACTGCGATGGGATTTGTGGACGAGATGGAGCGCGATGGATCGAAATATCGGCTGCGATGAGAGTACTGTAATGCAATGGCCTTCTCAAGACGAACTGAAGTATTGACGGGATGCGGAAGTTGATATCGTAGTGATGCCGTGTAAGAAACTGCAGTCTCTTCGAGTAGAAATGTCCGAGCTGGAGGGACCTCTGGGGTCGCGACGTGCTATCACAAGGAGAGATGCGTTTGCGATGACACGGCCATGGCGATGGTGGAGCGCGGGTGTGCCCACCGTTTGCCCAGGTGACGTCTGATTTTGGTGCGTGGCGCCTTTCCCAAACAGAAGAGGACGTCCGCACTGTCACATGACCTTCCTTTCCGCGCCTGGAGTTGTACAAGGAAATATACGGAGTTGCCAAGAACGTCATAGTTGAAACAGCTGCAATCTATTTGGAAATCCATTATTATATGGGCAAGCAACGCTCATGTTTCGCAGTAGTGTTACATAATATCATCCCAGAAAACCTACCCTTGCTTGACCAATGATGTCGACAACGCTTAACAAAACAACCTCGCCGCTCAGCATCGCGACTCACATGCCGGAAGATGTCCCAAAGCTGAAAAGAACGAGAACATGCATGAAGTGGAGGCCAGCTCCAGATGATCTATCCTGCTGAGCGTGTCTGCTCGGCCTCATCCTATCGCCTCCGCAGCCGCAACACGTCGTCGACTATCTCGGCGAACTATTGACGCAAGAATCAAAGAATAGAAAAGAGGAGACAAGAGAACCGCTACAAAGTCCGCCAAAATGCGCTCGAATATGCAACCCAACGCCCCATTTCACATCAGATGTCGAAAGCCTCCCGAGATCATGTTGGGCATCCGGTCCTCCCTCGCAGCGGGAAAGAATCGGGCCGTTATTGGAATCGTTCCTTGTCACTGTTCCCTGAGGGTTGATGATACGGAAATCGCTGGACGCCCGCCTGACTTTCCCAGAAAGTCTGAAAGCCTGCACCCTCATTGACTCCACTCGATTGTTGTGAGAAGTCTAGCACGGCTGCGTCCGGATGCTGGTCGAAGAGATTCGCATTCATGGCTGTAGATGCCTGTTCGGCCGCCGGCCACTCTAAAAAGTCCGGCAGAAGAGGATCCACAACGCTTTCCGGTCCTGGAAATGCTGGAAAAGTGGTACATGAAACGGTGTTGAATGTATGTGTGGGTGGCCATGCGTCGAACGAACCATTCAAAGACTTCGCCTCATCAGGTGTAACGGGCGCGGAACAATTTCCCAGAGAGAGAGGTGGGGGCGAAAGGAATGGGGACTGTTGCTGGGGAGGCATAGATGTCATGCGCGGGATGTGCGGGGTGTACAACGTAAGAGGCGACATGGCATGCGCCTGATGATGGCCGAAGGGAATCTGCGCCATGGCGGTGCTTTCTGCCTGATTGGGCACGAGCACCAAGTTTGGCAGACCGGCTACGGGTCGTTCTTGATGCTGCGCGAGTGGCGTCGCGTGGTGTAGCGCTGCGCGTGGCTCCTGGTGTGGCAGCTCCGGAGTCTGACTAACGTATCGTTCATCCGTAGCTGCCGCCGCTATTGATGCTGCTGCTTGACGGCCCTTGTTCGTCGTCTGTCTGGGATTGGGCTTTCGAACCTTTGACGGACGTGTGCCTGTATCGGATGCTGCATCTTTGGGCCTTCCTCTTTTGCTGTTGCCGACACGATTCTGGTACTTGCGGTTGGCGTAGGCCTTTGGTGCGTTGACGAACATGCGGATCTGGCAGGCGGAGTTCATGACATCCTCGCAAATGGTCTTCTCTTCTTCAAGAGCGCGGATAATGTTGTTCAATCGACCAGTGCAGCTAACATCTCGGTCTTCGTCCTCGCCCTTGCGGTCGTCGGTCACATAGTCGTTATGTGTCCATCCACGAAACCCTTCCCTCGCCTGCGACAGGAGACAGTCAAGCACCTTATGTGAATACGCTTCAACCAAGCTGGAGTCATAGTAGGCTCCATGCACCCATCTCTTCATGGCAATGGAGGCAGCGTTGTCTCTTGCGGCGTCGGCGCGGGTCATCGCGTTGTATATGCGCTCGACATGATGATAGCGCTCCTTCGCAATCTCGTCGATAGAACCATCAGTATCCGGAGGACGGTACGGCTTTCTGTTGAATCGGGTTGCGATTTTCCGAAAGGCGCTTGCGCTTTCGGGATTAGGGAACTTGCTTCTGAAAGGCTGGTACCGGGAAGCACGCGCAGGAGCTTGCGCTGCGCTAGTCGTGGAATAGTATGGTGCTGACGGCATGCGAGAGAGGCTTACGTTTGGATCAATGGTGGAGGTACTTTGGATTTTATCTAAGGAGGACGGAGCGTGGGTCTCCCCGCTTATACTTTCGAGATTCCGGACGCGTGAACGAGACACTTCAGCGTTGTTCTCGACACCACGTATAACGGTTTCCTCGTCCCGAGCAGCGAATGTAAGCACAACACTGGGATGCTGTGGGTGGGGCGAGAATCTTCGTTCCAAGTCCCAATCAAAATGCGGGCTGCGGCCGTTTGCGGCTCCGTCATATTGGGCATTCCGCAAGCCGTGGGAATCGAATGGCGGTTCGGAATCCCGATGCTCCCTTGTATGGGACTCCAAGTATGCTTCCCCGGGGTAAGCAAGCTCGCTAGGGGTAATGTAACGCCGCTCGGGAAAGACTTCATCGTCGTCACCTTCGTCTTGCTTCGTTGATAAGGGTGGTGGTTCCTTCATTGAAATGTTGCAGTGAAATATCAATATCGATCGATCCGCGAGAGTGTAGCGTAGAGATCCCAGAAAGTGGTATGGTCCGAGTCCTGGGATTTGAAGGCGTGTTCCGAAGCGTATGGAGGGATCAACGCTGGTGAAGGTGTGCGAGAACTGAAGGCTTCGATGGATCGAAGAGACCGTGAAGAGGTTAAGTAACCAACGAAGAAATTACATGCCCGAGCCATCGGGTCGAAGATATGGAAGCCTGGCATACCTGGTGATTGCTTTGGGGAGCCTGTGACCTGGCGATGCGTTGGAGGCGTGGGGTATTGAAGCGGGTTCTTCTAATGAGGCCCCTCGGAATTCTTGCGCCTCATATCGCGGCTTCAGCCCGATCCACCTCACCACCGTCATCTCAAGCATTCCTCGCTGCGCTCCCATCATTGGGTAGCTGCATGTTATCGGGGCAGGGCGCGCGAAGCATTCGAATAGCAGAAGCGCCGTCTCCCCCGAATGTGAGATACCTAGGTATGTAAGAACCATTCCAGGCCCTCGGATGCCTGGGCATGGAGCAACTCTATTTGGCCAAGTTGGGCAGCTGAATGATGGTTTCCACTGCGGGTATGGCGCTCCGAGCTTTCGGCACCAGGTTGAATCTAGCTCCAGCTGACTCTCGGAACGTGAACGGCGCTGTCCAGGAACGTAGGCTTCACTCGGCTGCAGCGTCTGCCTGGATACGATCCGTTTGCGGACATGGTCATAATCCTAATACCATATTAATCCGTGGCCAAATCGTCCAGATGAAGGGTCGTTCAGGCCCGATGTTAGTCCTTCGAACCGGGGTTTGCGCCGTGGTCCTCAGTGGACGGTCCTTCCTCGAGAACTGCAGAGGAGCAATGCCTCAAGGGAGTTCGCATCTCGTCGGGGAGAAGGACAGTGTATGTGAGCGAGCTTTGTGATTGTATCCGACGACGTTACCCATGTTACGAGTTCCCCGAAGCCGCGCAACGAAGCCAAGTGGCTCGACGTAGGATCCCTGCAGGCTGCCGGGTATTCTCCACCGCTTTTGGGGAGAGTAGCAATCTCTGGAATGAGCTGCGGTTCGTCGAATGCGGCTATCATGGTGATCCACCTGTGAGTCTCACCGCGTCCGGTCAGGGAAGATTTTCGAGTGTGTGATCACCTCCAAAATTATCAAGCGGAGATGGGACATTTCCTAGATGCTCCCAAATTCTAGTAGCATGGGCCTTCGTACATGACGGTGTGCATATTCAGCCCGGTAATTTCACCGATCAATGGGTTAGCTGATCCAGCCAATAGGAGTGTTCGTTCAGCATTGGCTCGACACATTCAAAGTTTTACGTCTTTGCAAACATACCGCCTTGCAGCGGCACGAGGCGATGATGCATGTCTAATGATCGTGGGTGATTCGTTGGTCGGTCGGGGTCCGATCAAAACCGAAACGGAAGATATTCACCTCGTAATGGGATCAACTTGGGAAGCAGACCTAGAAGTAGTTGGAGGCATCACGCTCGGTGGCGTATTTGTAGATTAGGTTCGAATTCTAGATTGAACTAATGGACAGGGAAGTACTTATATGAAGTAGACCATAACTTGTTAACCATTAAAGGGTATCGTAACAGACCGTAGCAACTCCCAAAGCTAAACATAGATTGCATTGGGGCAATACCGGGCACCAGGGCCAAGTAAGACCATGATATACCGAAAACCCTAAAGACCGACATACATATAAAATGAAAGGTTGAAAAGGCGGCTATATGACAAAGCCAAAGATTTGAAAACAGGTTCCACCCCGATATGCAACCGACTGGCGAAGATTCGAGAAGGTTTCGGCTAGTTCAACTACATGAAGGCCGGTGGGGCCTCCCACTCCGTCCCATGATGAGCTTTCCATGCTTCCCTCACTGATCCAGAGGGTCAGACAGCAGCATAACCGCAGAATATTGCGCACTTACGAAACTTTGTAGCGTCACCGTACCACCCGCCATACAATGGGGATTTCTGATCGAGCTCCTTCGTCGTATTGATAGAGTCCTCGTCCAGCTTGGCACCATCTACTTTCATACCATCTTTATAGAGAGATCGAGCACGCTCTTTGTTGGTAGTCTTTCCCATCCTTTGACTAACTTCATCTCCGTACTTTTCTTTCCAGCCGATTTGCCATATATTATGCTTCTCGTTAAACTTCCTTCCGGGCGGGGGAAGATCCTCGTACCAAGGACACATGTATGTTTTGATTGGCGGGAAAGGGGACTCTTTGGGGCGCTGTTCCGGCATTCTGCACAAGCGTTCTTCGGAGCTATGTGAGTAAAGTGGGTGATGCCTGAGACACGTTTTCGCAGAACCGGTAGGGTCGTGAATTTCGCTGATGAATAGTTTCGAAAGTTTGATCTGGTTTGGCGAACAAAGTAAAATGATAATAAGAACAGGTTGTCGAGCTTGGTGAAGTAGAAGGAAAGAAGGACGAGGCTGTCCGGGGGCTGGGTTTTATAGTATGCTGGTTGACTCATGCAAATAGTCATACACGTATTCCTGTCTTGAAGGAAAAGGTGACGGGTACGTGCGCGGCTGTGTTAGAGTATGGTGAGGAAAGCGATGACTGTGGTGGTATATGCGGTCGCGGCTAAGTCATCGTACTGTGTGTGATTCATCAGTAATACCTAGTCATGGAGGTGAACCTACTCTCTATGCGCTCACGAGGATATTACGCATTCGTAGAACTTGTCGCAAAGGACATCCCTTGCCAAGTCGCGTGTACCTATAACTTGGTATTATTCCGCCTAAAGTACTGTACGTCCCACCACTCATGAAGCTTCTACCGCGATGGATCTGCTTTCCTTATACCGAAGCTAGCATCGGGGATTCTGAAGGCCTTCAGCGGCCCAGTGCATCCCTCACTCATCTGGCGTTATTATCGGGGGTACAAGACGAATTGGTGGATTCAACTCACAGCCTCTCGTGCAATCCCCATTCCATCCTCTATCGAACTCAACGTCGGCTTCGATACGAGCCTCGAGAATCTCGTCCCTCGTACTGCGCTCCTGCCACTTGGCTCCAGGCTGCACCAACCAGCCATTTTCCTCACACCTCCTAGCGATGTCGAGGTTGCATGTGCGGCCGTATGTGTACCTACCGCTGGCTTTGCGGTACCGGATAGTCCAGGAAACGTAGTGGCCTTGGGGCATGACCGACATGTTGGGGCTGTCGATAGGAGTTTGGTTGGCTGCGGCTTTTGGGGAGAAGGCCTTGGACATGGCTGAGACTAGCGGTGTTATGCACATGATATCGGAGGGTCGCTTGCTGTGTGTATAAGGGTGTACGTTTGGATGCGAGGCGCGAAGCTTCCGACGGTGCCGGAGTTTGTTATGGCGTCGTGTTCATGGAAAGCCTCGTCCTGAGGCGATGTCGTCATCCCCGCTGGCGTAGTCTCGCAGTGAATGGGGATGTGCGTTGAAGCGTCGGTGAAACGTCTCCATTACGTCTATGCAGATTGGTGAAGAGATGATTAGCCGGACTCTGCTCTTCGCGTTCACGAGAGTGAACAAGATCAGTTTTTTCGTTGAAGATTCACATGCTAACGAAGAGCAAGGCTGCGATTGAAGCACACCTCAAGCGTACTTCGGGACGCAGAGAAGAACCGATAGAAGTCAGTGAATAGAAGGACGGCGGGCGGGGGGTCATACATACTATCTAAGTGGTTTAACTTGGACGCGAGATCCCCTCGATTCAGGGGCCGTGAGAAGGTGTCGCTCCTAGGCAGTGTTGGTCGCGTGGTATTCTGGGTAGGAGAGACGCGGACGGGAGATGGGGACGAAAAACACTCGAACTCTAGACACGATGAAGCATGTTCACACCTGAAGCCTGCGAATCCAAGAAAAAGCGCCAAAAATAAAAGTATGCAAATGAGAGAGACACCAAAGGCTCGTTCCCTATTGTATACCGGCGAGCACCATTCGTTCACACGTGCGCCCATGAGTGACTCGTGGCAGGTGACAGCTGCGAAGGCCGTATTGAGCCATTCGGATGGCGGACGCATGCGAAGTTTCCAAGGTTTCGACTGCGACGAGTGGTCAGATGACGACTGAGATGGAAAGTCGGCATGTCGGAAAGCCACAGAGGAGTGACGTACCTAGTCGAAACACTTCTTCCCAGCTCCCGATCTGACTCCATTCGAGAAGCACCTCAACATTCCGCCTCGGCACCAGCCACAGAACCGGAGCCTGCGCGAGTCTCAATGCGTCGCTCTTATCCAAACTCTTGGTCTTCCTCAATCTCCACTATTTCCGCACCCCCGGAAATATTCCGCACATTCCGCGCGCGCCAACCCACTCCCCCCGCATGGACGATCCCAAGTGCCGACACCATCTTGGGAACCCGGACGCGATGGCTTCAAGAATAAAACGAGCGAGGCGCGCTCGCCGATGTGTGCTCTGCCATGTTCTTTGTTCATCGTTGTCTGCTGTGATTGTCCAAACGCCGCATTTGTTTCCTTCAATAGCTTTTGACTCGCATCGTTTACGCATTCATCGTTCGCAAGAGCGACGCTACGCTTCCGTTTCTATTTTTAAGATTCCGGTGGTATTTCAAGAAGGGGGAAGAGAAGGCGGCTATCATGATTTCCATCATCTTACCGGCGCTTTTGAACCAGCTTCAGGAACATACGCTTCGCTCCGTCACTGCTCTTCTCCTCAGCATCCCGTTAACGTATGTTCTTATCAACGAATATGTACGGCGGGCCGCCCGCGTGAAGGGCTTCTCTGGTCCCTTCAACTGGCCAGTGGTCGGTAATATCCCCGACATCAAGTACAATGCGGCCGAGAAATATAGAGAATGGAGCAGGGTCTACGGAGATGTATATCAGATACAGCTGGGGAACGTTCCGGTGATTGTTGTAAATAGCGCCGAGGCGGCGAGGAAGATCTTTGGGCAGAACAGCCAGGCGTTGAGTTCCAGGCCTGTATTTTGGACGTTTCACAAGGTACGGCCGAGAAAGCGAATGTGGATGACGCTGACAAGAGCAGGTGCTCTCGAACACGGCCGGAACGACGATTGGAACCTCGCCGTTCAATGACTCCCTGAAGCGCCGACGAAAGGGCGCTGCATCAGCGCTGAACAAGCCGTCAATCGCAACGTACATCGACCACCTCGACATCGAGACGAAGGACTTTGTGAGGGAGGGGTTCGAGAACGGGCGAGCTGGCACTGTCGGCGTCGATCCGATGCCAATGATCCAACGACTGTCCCTGTCTCTTTCGCTGACGCTGAACTGGGGGACGCGGATGGGCAGCCGGGACGATCCAATGTTTGATGAGATAACGGAGGTCGAGGAGGCCATTTCCAAGTTCCGAAGCACTACGGGGAACCTGCAGGACTATGTTCCGATTTTGAGGCTCAATCCGTTTAGTTTTGGATCTCAGAAGGCGCGCGAGATGCGAAGGAGACGGGACGTGTACCTGCACCGATTGAATAAGGACCTGGACGAGCGTATGGAAAAGGGGATCCACAAGCCGTGCATCCAAGCCAACGTCATCTTGGACAAGGAGGCAGCGCTGAACAAGGAGGAGTTGACATCTATCAGCTTGACTATGCTTTCGGGAGGATTGGACACCATTACCACGCTGGTGCAGTGGAGCGTCGCGCTGTTGGCCCAGAGACCGGACATCCAGAGGAAGGCTATCGAGGAGATGCGCAAGTTCTATTCGGACGAGGAACCGCTGTGCGATGCGCAAGACGACCAGAAGTGCGAGTACGTGGCCGCGCTGGTGAGGGAGTGTCTGAGATACTATTGCGTTCTCCGACTCGCGCTCCCGCGGGCCACGGTCAAAGATATCTTCTACGAAGGGAGGCTGATCCCGGCCGGTAGCACGATCTACCTGAATGCGTGGGCGTGTAACATGGGTAAGTTATGTCGCACCGGTCCCGGAGAAGGCGTGGACTGACAGCGAGACAGACCCGAAGGTTTGGCGCGACCCGGAGGCGTTCCGGCCGGAGCGGTGGATTGAGCAGCCGGATGCGCCGCTGTTCACGTACGGGCTCGGATACAGGATGTGCGCTGGGTCGCTGCTTGCGAACAGGGAGCTGTATCTAACCTACATGCGCATGCTGAACAGCTTCGAGATCCTGCCGGATTCGCAGGTCGAGACGCACCCCGTGAAGGGCAGCGCGGATCCAACGAGTTTGGTGACCATGTGCAGGCATTACAAGGTCATCTTCAAGCCCCGGAACGAGGCCGCTCTCAGGAGAGCGCTGAGGGAGGCCGACGAGAAGCTTGGAAGCGCGACGTAGCCGCGGCGTGTGTATAGAAAATGGAAGCCTGCCAACGATTCGGGGTCGTGTAACGCATGTGGCATGATGCGGGTGAAACTGTCGCTCGACTGGGTGAATGCAGCCAGTACATAGCCAGTAGGGTAATGTCGCGGAATGCGGTAGATGAGGTTGCGGAGGCTTTTGATGAAGGGAGAGCGGGCTTGGCAAATGCGGGAACGGGCAGGGGTGAGTGTGCTTACTAAGGCCGAGCTCTCCAACCTGCAACATGTCTATGTCCACGTCCATGTCCTTGTCCTTGTCCTCCGCCCTCCCATCCGCACACGCACACGCACACGCACATGCACACGCTCCCGTGCCTTCTGGCTGCATGTCGACTGCGACTGTACTGCCCCGTCCGTGAAGGCGCCATGGTGTGAGCTGCGCGCATGCGGGCCGCATCCTCGAATCGTGGGTGGCTGCGGCAGGCCGCCGTCTGGGGACACATGCTGGGCAAGACGGTGCTGCCCGGCGACGAGGAGTTGGGGAAGAAGGACGACGACCACAAGCCGGGCGCGGCGCCGCGAATCCCCCTCTGCGCCTTTCTGAGCGCGCCGCGGCGATGGCGCCGCCGCAGGATACTGCTCGCCGTGGCGGCGCTGTACCTGCTCTATCTGTTCGTCCGCAACATACCGGACCTGGGAGAGGCCAATGGACGGCGGCCCGGATACGGCTCTGGCCGCCCGATTGTGCCCATGACGAATGACGACTACAACCAGGCCTACGACGCGGAGCCGTCGGGCGCACCGCCGGGAACGAAGGCCCCGAAGGCTGGACAGCCCGCACCGCAGACTTATGCCGGCCCCATCAAGTTCTACCGCCTCGCCTCGTCGCTCCATGCAGCATCGCATACGGGCGGCTACCACTACACGAATCGGAACGTCTTATTCGCCATGTCAGGTCTGAAGAGCGCGTCCGCCCTTCTGCCCATGGCTTGCGAGATGGCCAGGTGGAGCAGAAGCTATGTGCATGCCGCCTTCATGGGAAGACAGGACATACCCTTGGCTGATCTTCTGGAGATCAACGGCATCGACAAGGTCAAGTGTCCAGCCATCTGGCACGATGCGCGCGCAGACTTTACCGAATACAGCACGGATGCGCGGCACGAGTCGAGCGTCATGGCGGCTTTGGGCCATATCCACAGCTTCCTGCATCCCCAGGTCGCTATAGTGGATGGCGGAGGCTCTGAGGATTTCTCCTTTGCGCGCGGCATGCGGGCGAGGACGAAGGCCCTGGGGATGCCCCTAGTCGAGATTCCCAAAGACGGGTGGGAGAGCCTCATGTGGGCTACGAGGCTGGATGCGGGGTCCCTGCACAGCTGGCATCTCCCCTCTGTGGATATCATCATCCAGGTTCCCCCGGAGTCATCCAGCGTTATTGGATTGCTGAAATCGATCCGAACTGCTGACTACAGCGGCTTTCAGGCCCCGCGACTCACTATTGAGCTGCCAGCCGAGATGGATGACTCAGTGAAGCAGTATCTGGAAAACTTCAAGTGGCCTCTCCACGACAGACCGACGGGCAATCACGTATCCATCAGGCGTCGGATCGCGAATCAGCGCGCGACTCAAGAGGAATCTGCCGTTCGATTCCTCGAGCTGTTTTATCCTACTAGCACCACCAATTCTCACGTTCTGCTACTGTCGCCCCAGACTCAGCTTTCGGCACAGTACTACCAATACCTCATGTACACTCTCTTGGAGTACAGATATTCTTCATTCGGCGAGGACGATAGCGCTAACCTCATGGGCGTCAGCCTGGAACTGCCCTCGGTCCTACCCGATGGAAAGACGAAGCTCAAGCCTCCGAAACCCGCGGACATGCACACGTCGCGCTACCAGGAGCTCTTCCCCGAGACTCCAAGTACGCAGTTTCTATGGCAGGCGCCGAACAGCCACGCGACGCTCTTCTTTGGCGACAAGTGGGCCGAGTTACACTCTTACCTCAGCAACCGCGTCGCAAAGCATTACCAGTCCCCCAAGGCTGCCGCGAGACGGAAGCTTGTGTCCGAGACGCTACCGTCGTGGACAGAGTACATGCTCGAGTTTATGCGGGCACGCGGCTACTCGCTCTTCTACCCCGGAAAGACTTCGTCGGAGTCGCTTGTTACGGTGCATAACGAACTCTACCATGCACCTGAGGAGTTCCTACCACGCACCACATCAGCGCCAGGGGGCGGGGAAATGGCTCCGCCGAGATTACCGGACGAGCCTTTCCTGCGCGGGGAAGAAGCTGCGCCGCGTCCTACGAACGTGGAAGCTCCGGTCCTTGGACACTCGCGGCCTTTGCATGTCGCGCTTCCCTTCGAGGGCGATCTGCCTGAGATAGCTCATCTGCCGTATCTGCTCCACAGCGGCAGGATGGTTCCGCATGCCAACGTCTCTTCGATTGCGGCTGCCTATGCTGATAGATTCCGGGAGGTGATTGGCGGCTGCAAGATGCCCGCTGGCAAGCACCGCAGAGTGTTGCCGGGAAGCGCGCGCGATCTATTCTGTTTCGGGGACGAGGACGAGAAGGAGTGGGAGGACGATGCTGTGGAGACGTTTGCGGCGGACGTCGTGGACGACTACCGGGCGTCCATGGACAAGGGGGAGGCGAGCCCGGCGCCGAGCGTGCGGAGCAGGACGATGCAGAGGACAGTTGCGGCCCCCACGACAGCGATAGAGGGTTGATGTACGGAGTAGAGTTTGCTTTTCCTGTGCGAGCATTTTCCGAGCGGGCTGGTGTTTGGAGTCGGTAAAAACAGTACCTATTCACACACGATGTAATTCACGCGTGGACCACACCTGAAGTGTGGCTGTGAAGGCGTGGCTGTGACGGCGGGGCCAAGACAAATGGGGGCGGCGCGCACGGACCCGCAGTCAAGGGGGGAACGTGATCTCTTTTTTTCGCCTTTGAACTTTCATCCGCAAGCACTCGCACGCCGTGCAGTCCGTCGCCCGTCTCCCGTCTGCATCGCGCGCGGGCACTCCGTTCCTTTCTTTCTTTTGCTTGCGTTGCTGGGGCGTTTCTTCTTCGTCTGCCCTGTGTTCTATTTAATACCCCCTCCCCGCCGTGCGTCGGAAAGATGCTCGCGCGAGCAGCCCGCCGGAAGCTCCGCCGCGATGCCTTCAGGGCGCCCACACAGCTCGCCGAGCAACTGGCGCTGCCGTGGCTCTGTCCGGCGCAGATGCGATGGGCGGCCAGCGTCGGTCCTATGCCCGCGAATTCGAATTCGAAGGCGCACGATGCGCGCAAGCAGAGACACGCCCCCTCGCTGTCGCCGCGGCACAAAACACGCTCGCTCGCCACGGCCGCCGATGTGCAGCCCTCACCCCTCACGGTGCCCTTCGACGGCTTCCTGCCGCCCTGGGGCTCGCGCGTGCAGCGCCCCAGTGCTGCCAAGCTGCAGCCCTGGGACCCGTCCAACCCGCTCATCCTGCACGATCCCCTGGCCGCACCCACGACGCCCTTCAAGTACGGCATCGGCGGCGACCCAATCGAGCTGCATCAGAACCTGTACGCCTGCCTGCGGGTCGGCCGTCTCGACCGAGCCACGGCCATCGTCGAGCGGCTGGCCACCATGTACAACCCCTCGGCGCCCGAGGTCGTCGACGCCCACAACGTCTTCCTGCAGACCATGTTCGAGCTCGCCCAGCAGAACCCCACGCCCGCGTCCCTGGCCGACATCGAGCAGTGGTACGACGCACACATGGTGCGCCAGGCCATTGAGCCCAGCGCGCAGACGTTCGTGACGCTGCTGCGCGCATCCATGAACTTGCTGGAAGGAGGGCAGAAAGACGCGGCCATCCGCAAATACCTCGCCATGGCCCACCAGCTCGGCCCGGACGTGGTGGAGGACATCAATTCGTCGCCTGACTTCTCCGACGACGAGTGGGATACCCTCATCAGATTCCAGCCCGACATGTTCACCGCACCGCCGCGGCCTGTTGAAGAAATGCAAAGCATCGAGATCAGCACGCCCGCAGGACACGCCGCTCTGATCGAACACGGTTTTCTTCCGAATCCCGCGCACACCATCAAACCTGTCCTGCAGAAAGGCCGGGGTCTGGACGCGCTCAAGAAGTCTCTCGCCATCTTCGAGCCCGGCAAAGGCGTCGCGTACCCCAACGAGATGGAAGGAACGCAGGAGGACAAGGAGCGCGCCTACGCCTACATGCGGCAGCTACGAACCGAGACGGACGCGACCAACGCTGCCATCGAACGGTGGAAGGCCGAGGATGCCAAGTTGCAGGGGCTGGGCATTCATGGCGTCCTCAAAACGAAGCCCGTGCAAGCTCTGATGTGGAATTGGTACTCTGCTCTGCTGCCGCTGATCAAAAAAGAGATTGCAGCAACCAAGGAAGTCCTCTCGACGCATCCCCGGCGCGGAGCAGGTGACGACCGTCTCAAGTACGGACCGTTTCTGGAGCTGTGCAATCCGGAGAAGCTGGCTGCTGTGACTGTTTCGCGCGTCATCGCAGCGTGTGCACGCGGAGGTGCCCGCGATCAAAATGGATCCTTGAAGGTGTCCGTGCTCACCACCGCCATTGGGCACGACATCGAAAATGAAATCAATGCCGACGCCAAGCAGCGGCATGATGCTTCCGTAAGAAAACATCGCAGTCGCGCGCGAAAAGACCTGCTCGGAAGATTAGCACGGACATCAAGAGAGACGGCCCCTTCGCCGAAGCCAGACGTCACCGAAGATGTCCAAAAGGATGACTTTGAACGGCGAAACTTCCCGCTTGCTATCAGGGCCAGAATTGGAGCACTCGCTCTGGAACATTTGATGCAAGCTGCCATGGTTACCGTCAATGCCGAAGACCCGAAGACAGGGAAGCAGCTGACCAGCACACAGCCGGCTTTCCATCACCATACGGGCTTCACTCAGGGGAGGAAAGTGGGATGGATAGCGCCACACCACGAGATCATGAAGAAGCTGCGCAATGAGCCTTTGCACAGCGTAAGTACACATAGGCTGCCCATGATATTCGAGCCCAAGCCATGGGCCAGCTTTGACGATGGCGGTTACTATACTGGGCGCGAACTGGTCATTCGTACCAAAGCTGCAGACACATCACAGCGCGCCTATGCACACTCAGCTATTTCGAATGGCGACATGGGCAAGGTTCTCGCTGGGCTCGATGTTCTCGGGAAGGTGCCGTGGCAAATCAATCGCGATGTCTTTACCGTCATGGCGCAGGCCTGGAACGCGGGCGAAGGCGTTGGAGGCCTCGTTGCGGAGAACGCGGACCCCGGCCGTCCCGCAGAGCCCGGTCCAGAGGCGTCACCCGAAGAAAGGAGTAAGTGGACGAGGAAAGTCAAGGAGTACGAAAATGTGAAGAGCGGCCTTCATTCGCAGCGCTGCTTCCAAAATTTCCAGCTGGAAATTGCAAAAGGATATCTAAAAGAGAAGAAGATCTACTTCCCCCACAGTGTCGACTTCCGCGGCAGGGCATATCCCATTCCACCCATTCTCAATCATATCGGAGCCGACATGGCAAGGGGTCTTCTTAAGTTCGCCAATGGTAAAGAGCTCGGCGCCGTCGGCCTGCAATGGCTGAAGGTACACCTCGCAAACCTTTACGGATACGACAAGGCCAGTTTACGGGAACGGGAGAACTTTGCCATGGACAACATCAACGAAATTTACGATTCGGCCACCAATCCTCTCAGTGGAAGGCGATGGTGGGCCAAGGCTGAGGATCCTTGGCAGTGCCTGGCATGCTGCATCGAATTAAAGAATGCGCTCGATTCACCTGATCCGACCCGCTTTGTCTCCCGTTTGCCCGTCCACCAAGACGGTACATGTAACGGTCTTCAGCACTATGCTGCCTTGGGTGGTGACCATGCCGGTGCCAGCCAAGTGAACCTAGAGCCATCGGATCGGCCGCAAGACATTTACACCGGGGTTGCCGAGATCGTGAAGGAGATGGTGGTGAAAGATGCTGCAGATGGCCACGTAGTGGCACAGTTCGTCAAGGACAAGATTACTCGCAAGGTGGTCAAACGGACTGTCATGACCAATGTTTACGGCGTTACCTTCATGGGTGCGAAACTCCAGGTTTTGGATGAATTGAAGGAGATCTTCCCCAATTTCCAGGAGACCGACAAGATCCGAAGCCTCGCTACACCAGCTCTATACGTTGCTATGAAGATCTTCCACGCCTTAGGCAGGATTTTCAACGGCGCGCAGGAAATCCAGTACTGGCTTGGTGAATGCGGCGACCGCATTACCACATCGCTCTCTGCGGAGCAAATCAAAAAGATCCAGGAGCGCCTGGAAGGAAAGGCAGCATCGTATGATGCCAAATACAAGCAACCTGAAAAGTTCGGCCCTGCCTCGATGAAGAAGCTGAACAAGTCTCTCGAGACCTTTAAGAACAGCATCATCTGGACCACGCCGTTGAAGATGCCGGTCGTTCAACCCTATCGCAAACACAATTCGCACGTCGTCAAGACAAGCCTCCAGGACATTACAGTTATCAATCGCTCACGAACGGACATGGTCGACAAACGGAAGCAACTCCAAGCTTTTCCACCGAATTTCATTCATTCCCTCGACGCCAGCCATATGCTCTTGTCCGCCTTGAAATGCAATGAGCTGGGTCTTGATTTCGCTGCCGTGCACGATAGCTTCTGGACTCACGCCGCCGACATCCCCAACCTCAACGTTGTTCTCCGTGACGCCTTCGTACGCATGCACTCTGAAGACATCATCGGTCGACTCGCAGCGGAGTTCAAGGCTCGCTACGCAGGGTCCATGTACCGTGCGAACATCACCACCACCTCAAGGGTCGGTCAAAAGATCGCGGCTTGGAGGAGGAAGCACCGGAGCGTCAAACGTGCCGTCACCGCCGAGGGAAAAACTCGGGAAGCGAGTTTTGAGGAAGTCGCTCTCGAGGCTAAGAGACAGGAGCTGCTGAATAGCGAGGATCCAGCAAAGAGAAAAGAAGGGGAGGAGATGGTCACGCCCACGAGCATTTGGTTAGCGGACCAGGATCCCTTAGCCCTGGCCTCCTTCCGCTTGTCGCTGCTTGGGGAGACGAAGCAAAAGAGCGGTCAGAAATTCGACGAAGTGAAGGAGAAGGTGCTCAGCGCCGAGGCGGAAGCGATCAGAGATGACACGGGAGCGTCTATTGCTGCGGCGCCTGCCATCGAAGGAGAAGCGGACATAACAGAACCAGTAGAACCGGACGCGGAGTTGGAGGAACCGGAGATGCCGACCGAGCGAACTGGGATGAAGCCGACAAAGCGTTACGCCACAAAGACCATCCAGGCCTGGCTTCCGCTCACCTTCCCACCCGTTCCTCAGAAGGGGTCTTGGGACGTGACGCGGCTTCGAGAGTCGAAGTACTTCTTCTCGTAAAGGCCACACGGGAGTTCCACGGCGTAGGTGAGCCGACCGGCGATAAGCGCACCGCGAAGGGGCAAGGCCTGAGCTGGCGTTGATCTTGGGACTATTTGAGGCATTGGTTGACTCTTTGGCGTTTATATTGGGCATTGCCGGGCGTATGTACGTTGTATGGATTGCATGACGGAGGAATATATGTAATAGAGGTTGCAGTATACCTCATGTATATACTTGTTTGTATAGCCGTGGACGATCCGCCACTCCCTGTACCAGACGGCTGTGTAGGAACTTTGTATAGAAAGGAAGACAAATGAAAGGAGGGATATACCTGATCTTTAGTTTCTTGGCTGTGTCGACGAGGACCAAGGGGTGTCATCCAGGGGAAATGACTCCCGCATACGAGACCTGCAGACAACAGTACGGGTACAGCAAACCATGGTTCTGTTCCACCGGGAATCTTCTATGTATGCCAATCGGCTAGCTTTGCGCGATGCAGGCCGGCAGCGCTTGCGGAGTGACCTGTACGGCGAGAGGCTTTGCATCCTACTACCATTCTTCGTGCAATCCACATAGCGCAGCACACACATTTCTGAAGGGACGTCCATGTCCCTGATCCAGCGCCTTGCATCCGTTTAAGTAGGGGTAGATATAACCCGCACACTCCTACAACCGTTTTCAGCCACTCCTTCCTCTTTGAAATGTACCCGCGGTCCCAATCCAGGAACTCCCAAGCCTGCACGGCGCCAAAACGGGTTGAACAAGCATGTGGTCCATTCGCGACCCACATGTGGGTTGAGCGTTTCGATTCTCTGGCCGCCGTCGGGTCCGGGAATAATTCTAACTGGGCGGTGGCGAGTGTGTGGGACTGAATTTACTCGATCGACGTTGCGTGCGGTCGGTTTCAGGAGCGATAGAGGGGTTCTGCGACTCGGTGCCGGCGGATGGTGCGGGAGGTTGTTTGTGGTGTTGAAAGTGGGGGAGGAAGGGATTAGCAAGGGGTTCTACTGGCGTTGGCGGAGTTGCGGCGGAGGGGAAACGGAGGACTACGAGGACCAAGGGGGACGAGAATTGTCTCTCTAAATTTTTAAAGGAAAGTGATCGGGGAAGGATGCGTGGGTACAAATGCTTGGTTCGGCCTACATTTCTCTTTTGGGGGTGCGGTCACTGCGGCACTCGAATGCGCACAGCTTCAGAGCATCAGTGCATCAACACAAATGCCTTTGGGTAGATCCGTCGCCTTTTCACATATCTGAAGGTCTCGTAAGGGAAGAATCTGGCGCTATGCTTCAAACAGGTGATATCTAGCAAGGAAGATCAAAAGAACCCGTGGCAACAAGATCGCTAAAAGATGCTAACAGAGCCGATGAAACGGCAGCCTCGCGAGAAGCTCTGAGCAAGCAGTGTCTCCAACCCTCACAATACCCGCCCCCTTTCCCGCACCGAATCACCGCATGCACACTGCGTAGTGTTTCCCGCTTCCCACCTGAGGGCATCATAGCTTCTCGAATAAGTGACATGCCGCAATGTAGTTGACTGCGATTATCCCGCATCTAGCGATGCGCGACCTCATATCGTGGAGCTAGTACCGCCATTGTGGCTCGAGTGCGATGTGCCCCGTGTGGGAGGATTGCCGTTTGGGCGTCGTGGCTGAAGTGGGAATATTGCTTTTTCTGTCGTGTGGGGTTGCACTCAATGCGGTGCCGCATTGTCGGCGCCAACGGAAAGATGTCCCTAAACGTGCATCGATGGGTAGAGACGGAATGGTGGATCGATGTCAGAACAATACCGATAGATAAGTTGAAGTACGCGGCTAGGAAGCTAGCAAGCGTTGACGAGATGGTTTTCCATGCGATTGTGTCCCAGATGTTGCTTAGGATCTCGAAACGTGATGGTAGTCTGAACGAATGGACCCTCGTGGCGTATGAATGCAGCAGTAAGAACTGAGGTATGCCGTATTAAGGTAATACTTGCATCTCTTTGCTGGTGATCGAAAAGGGCACCTTCCTATGCTTCAGATAGGACAATCAGCCAGCTGCCCCTATGCACCTTGGGGACGAAGCAGCGTTGGATAATAGAAAAACTAGATCATAACAACGACAGAGGCTAGACTGGAGAACGATAGGATCCTAGCGAGCCAGAAATTTCGGCTGTCAGTCTCTAACGGGCCGCGGCGTCGAAGCGACGGCGCCGATATGCTAAACTTAGAAGGCTCCGGTTGACTCTCCAGATATCTTAGAAAGTTTAGCTGACGGTTCACAGGAAGGACATCGAAGCGCCCTTGGATCCGGAGAGGCATTTGATAGAAGAGCAAAGAGCCTGCAGGGCATGCACCGGATGCGGAGCCCTCGCGACAGACAATAACACATATGATATATCATACTCGCCCAGATTCCTCGGCTTCAGTCCCGCATATGCCGGTAAGGGACCGACCGGAGGAGTGGCTGCATCCACGGGTAGGAGAGTAGCCGAGCGGAGCTACGCTTCTTCTTGCACCTTGACGTGACTATCACGAGTACCGTTATTGGAAGTCGCAGTATCGATAGTCAAGGAATTGCATGCAAGGCTCGTACCCGCTGTGGAGCCCTCTCAAAAAAGTGGAGCGACCCGCTGGCGGTATTTTAATCCCGTTAACCCGCGGTCCGAAATGGTGCGTGCTGTACAAGGTTGTTAGATATTGCATGCGATTAGATGGCGTGAGATTTGTAGCTGGTTGCCTCCTTGGGTATCGCCAATGAATGATCTCCAACGGTCCTGCATCTTGAAGGAGGCAAAGACCCGCCACTTCGACGGTGGAAGTGGGCCTTGACAATATTGGGACCTATCAGCGATTGGGATGGAAGAATACGAGCATCTTGCCTGTTTCAGGATGATAGCGGAAGATTCCATGAAACAGGTTTAGGGAAAGTCAAGCTGGGAAAGTTTGACCCCTGCAAACCTTCTCTGGTACTGATGGCGGGCGGAGAACGCGGGATTGCGGACCAAAACGTTTGAAAACGAGGAGCGTGGTCCGGAACCCCCGCGACAGAGGCGAGGACGGGGACGGACGAAGGTGGCGAGCGACCGCGTTGTTTTAGCAACGGACGGATGCGTGGCTGCCTCGACTCAAACTCAAACACATGGGCACGACACGCGCATGGTAGCCGCAAAATCCAGGTTCCTGACTTGGATGTGACGGGTCCGCGGAGGATTGCTGAGGCGAGCAACGTGTTCTCGGCTCCTGGGATTGTGAATGACTCGCGGCACAGCCGGGGTTGGCGTTTGATCGAAGCAAGGAACTTGTTTGATGCTCCCGAACGACCACGACCACAGGGTTCGGCATTCGAAAGGCCTCGCCTGGCACTGAGGTCAAACAGGGTCCGTTGCCTTGTTTTGCGATTAGCTTCGATGCTTTGAGGGCGATGTAATTCACCATCATGACATTTATTGGAGGTCTAGCAAAGAAGGCGACATGAAAGTACTCGCCTTGGATGCGGGGCGACTAGGAGAGATTCTACTGTGTACGCTCGAGCGGATAAGATCGGTCTGTCGTTTGAGATGTTAGTGGCTCCAAGACGAGGACTTGGGCTTCAACCAAGCATATATGGCGGTGGATATAGGTGCTAGAAGCTATGTGAGAGCCATAGTAGCCAGGCGATAGCAAAAGCTAGACGTCTCCGCCGGTTGAGGTGGACGCCTTTCCTCGCTCCCGCTAGGAGTCCCCAGAGGCAGACATATAAGTCGAAGTCGAGGTCGCATCTCCGCGTTGCAGTTGTTGCAGCGGTTTCAAAGGTATATACGATCCGTTATTGCATTTGTGCTGCATTGTCGTAGGCGACAAAGTGTCAAATTTCAGCTTGAGGGCGAATCACCCCGCTTTCTGACTTCTACCGGCGGGCGGTTGAGACAGCGGGGTTGCATAGTGATGTTCGAGTTGAGAGCACGGCGCCGACTCTCTAGCGACAGAAATGGATTTGCAGCGCTCCAGAAGCAGAAGTGACCTCCTCCGCTGGCTGAACCGGCAGTGGCGCAAATATTGTGGTGAACCGTCGGAAGGGTTTAGGCGGTTTAAGCACTATACGAGGACGTGGCACTGTCGAATCACAGGGCGACACAAGCAGCGACAGGGGCCTGCGTACATGGCATCCAGGTGGGCGGAGCCGCGCAAGTTGCTTCTGGGAGCCTGCGGCCGTGGGATAGGATTCAGGGCGAATGCGCCGCAGCTCGCGGTGGGCGTTCTGGTCCAACTCGGGCGATGAAACTCGGGCGAGGGCATATGTAATGGCAAACTAGACACTGCTGCTGTCGGGCTTTGGACGCGGCCGGAGACGATGCCGCACCCAGGCCGGCACATTTCCGAGGTTACTCGAGGCAGCGCAAGCCTGTGCTGTGCAATTTTGGGCGGGGAATGGAGTGCGTTGGAGCTGGCGTGATGGAGGCCAGGCATCCCCGTTTGACAGGCACGACAAGGGCTTCTCGAAGCAGGCGACGAAATTGTGCGCGCGCGCGGTGGCGGCAGCGTGTGCGTGACGCGAGGGGTGCATGTGCTGCAGCGTAGATGAAATGACAATATGGAAGCGGAGTTGGGCAGGGCCACGGGCCGCAAACGGAGCGATTTGCTGGGTATTCGCGTCGGGCGGCGTGGCGGAGGCGGCGTGCGAGGCAAAGCGGGAGCTCGCGGATGCAGCGTGCAGGCCGCAGCGTGCAGAGTGCAGCGCAGAGATGCGGCAGTGGTGGTGGTGGTGGTAGTGGTGGTGGTGAGGGTGCTGAGCAGTTGAGCGATGAGGCAGCACGGGCTCGTCAGCGGGCGCCGCGGGGCGACGGCGGCGGGCAGCGAAAAGGGCGCGGTCACTGGGTTTGGCGCGCGGGCCAGCGCCCGTTCTGGCGTCTTCTCCGCCCGCGACCCAGCCGGCCGGGACGCCAGCCCGGCCCCAAGCTCCACGCTCGGCGCTGCGCTTGCAGGCGGGCGGCAGGCGAGCAGCGCAAATAATAGGAAGAGAGGCGACCAGCAGCGGGACTACCCCCAATTTGCCTGCCCCCCGGCTGCGACGAACGGGCCGGCAGGTCCTGCTTAGCGACGCTGGGGCGTGGTGGTAGTGGTGGTGGTTCGGGGTCGAATCCAGCGCGCTGGAAATGCGGCCCATGGTCTGATGCCCTCCGCCCGTACATAACTCACCACCCATCCGCGCCCGCTCACTCGCCCGAGACCCTCGCCCGATCCCGCCGGGCTCCCCACGACCACACATCGCGACGTCCCACAGTCGAGCGTCTTTGCCCACGCTGTCGGTTGTCCCGACGTTTCGCTCCTGTCTCAGCCAGCGCCAGCAGCCAGCGCAGCCAGCGCCGGGGATAATCGTCTGGACGCCTGCATGTCTGACCACTGCTGAACTCGGCCGCGAGACAGCCATACCGTATTCCTGGACCCGCCCGCAATCTGCCATTCTCCACCACCACCACCACCATAGTCATCACCATAGTCATCATCATAGTCATCATCATCACCCCCGCCCAGTGCACGCTGCCCCGGACGAATTGCGACTGCGGAGCGCGAGGAGCATGTCGACGCCGGCGGCTGCAGGACCGGCGGACGCAAAGGACGTGGATCGCCGCAAGAGCCTGGGCAAGTACGTGAAGCGGATGAGCAGCGTCTTCAAGCGGGACAAGGCGACCAGGAGCAGGAGCAGCGCCTCGCTCACCCCGCCCGCGCCTTCCACGCCCGCGCCCGTCGTCGAGCAGAGCAAGGAAGCCGCGCCTGCGTACGTTCCGCATCGGGCACCACACGCATCTGTCTTCCTCCTGTACTGACAACACTGCAGTCCCGCTACCGCTACCACTACCACTACCACTCCCGCGCCCGCTGCCACTGCTCCCATGCCGCCCGCGCCCACCGCCCAGGAGCTCAACCGCAGCGCCCTCCAGCAGGAACGCGCCCGCGCCCTCTTCGCAAAGTACGGCCTCACCCTGGAGTCGCACGAATGGATCGCGGCGCCCGCCCACCCCATCACCGTCCAGCGTGTCGAGAAGCCCATCCGCATGCGCGTGCACCGCACCTGCCACCGCTGCGGCACCACCTATGGCGCCGACAAGCTGTGCTCCAAGTGCGAGCACCGCCGCTGCAAGAAGTGCCCCCGCTATCCCAAAAAGAAGGCCCCCGCCGACAAGGGCAAGGAGAAGGCGGCCGCAGAGAAGCCCAAGAAGAAGAAGCTCCTGACCGTCACGTCCAAGCACGGCACCGACCTAGTCTACCACCCCGTCAAGCAACGCGTCCGGCGCACCTGCCACAAGTGCGAGACCATGTTCATTCCCCCTACTGCTACCACCTGCGAGCACTGCCGCCACATCAGGTGCACCAAGTGCCCACGAGAGCCGGCCAAGTCGAGCAAGTGGCCGAACGGCTACCCCGGCGACGTGGAGCCCGACAGCGAAACCGAGGTCGAACGGGAGCTGGACATGGCGAGACGCATATGGAGGAAGCCGCGGACCAGAGTACGGTGGGAGTGCGAAGAGTGCCATAGCCTGTTCTTGGACGGCTCACCGCAGTGCCCCGGTTGTGGGCACGCCCGGTGCGACAAGTGCGTGAGAAAACCGTCAGTCTTCCGAACCTTCATCTCCAATCTTGTCAAAACTGACACCGTGCAGCCTTAAAAGAGTGAAAAAGGACATCTCATTCGACCCTGAGGTGGTGAGAGCCGTCGAGGCCAAGCTAAAAGCCCTTGTGGTGGAAGACGACCCTCCCGCACCCACCTGACATTTCATACCATCACGATATTCACAGACGACGAGTAACGACGACGTAGTACTGCGAGCATTGCGCCACCCAAACTTCCCTTCGAGCTTCGCTTCATCTATTACCCTATTTCTACCGAACTGCTAGGAACGACTTGGGCACATGCTGGGACCTGGGCAATTTGGCACCGGAGCGTGCGAATGATTGGGATTAGGCACCGTCGAGAGCATCGGTCGGCATCACCTATCAGTTATCGCACGACAATACCACTTAGCCCTGCTTTCTTCTTCCGGAAGCAAAGAACTTTTGCATACCCCTGTGTCCCCCCCCCCCCTCCCCCTTTCCTTTCTTAACTATTCTGCTTATCTGCGTCTTCACATCTCCTTTCCATACCGCCAGTCTCAACGCAGCTTTCACAGCTAGGTCCTGCAGTCCTCCTCCGATCGCTCCCCGACGTCGACGTGACGTCCACGGCTGTACCACCATCAGCCATATCCGAGCGCAGCCCCGAAGCCGGTACAACGCCATGCGTCGCCCAACGGAACGCCAGTCCCACACCTGTCTCGCTTCCCGCTCCCCGAAACAGGACACCCTCTACCACATTACACAAAAACTGACATTCCCAGCACTGCGGGCCAGGGAACCCACAAACCCTCTAGCATGTCATCTCAATATCCACCGCCCGTGTGATGATCGTCTGCACCGCAACATCTCACGCCGGGTGCTGGCATCGGGGAAAAGCAACATCGGGGGCTGGTCACTTCGCTGTCGTGCCACATGCGCTTGCGTTATCCCTTCCAGCGCGGTCAGTCTCTCGTACGATTATCTGCGAGCGGTGCCCGACTATGGCCTGACTGGTTGTACAAAGGGTGCGCCGGCGGGGTAGGCTCAGCGTGTCGAGTGGAGGCCGCAACGTCGCACACGTCGCACGCGGTGCCTGTGCCACTGTGGATGTCAATTGGGCCGGACGAGGCTGATGGACACAGGCCATCGACGTCGCTCCATTAACCTCCTTCGACTTCTCCAATGGGATTCTAGATCTCGATCGCAAAGGGGGAAGATCACGGCGCTGGCTTGACACTGCTTGACACTGCTTGACATGGAGTGACTGCGGCTATGGTTGGGCTATTTGTCGACGCTTGTCTCACCTCCTGCACACCGATGAAGAAGTCTTTTGCGGGGCGCGTCGTTTCTGCTTGTGCGACGTGGAGACTTCAAGCCCAATGGAGCTCGAGATAACGCCTTCATCCACCGGAGTCGACATCGCATGAACCATCTCGCCACAGTACAGATCGCAGCCCCGTTGCAAGTGTGGGAGCAGGGCACACAGGTTCCTTTGCTGTCATCCTGCAAATCCTTCAGACCAGCATCCCCAACCACGCGCCAACACCAACCCTTCAATCCCAAATCCCAAACCCCACAGCACATGAAATCTACATCCCAAGCAGAATCACAATTCCCCAAGTTCCAGAACCCGAGTACCTGGTCTGACGTCTTCGCTTGAACCATCAGGCATGTTTTCACATGTTTATGCGCTCAAAGTCATCTGGAATCCTCAAGCGCGCTTAACCATTCTCTCACCGCTCTTCATCAATGCGTGCACACCTCATCACAATGCAGCCGCGGTTCTCGCCCAACAAGTTTTTAATCTCGGGTCGTGCACAATTTCAGTTTCGCTCTCCGACTCCGTGGAACGTGTCAAACTGCCGAAAGGATGGCACCGTGGACGAATTCGAATGCTTATGCGCTGTCGCGTGGAAGCTTGATATTGCTTCCGCTGACGAGGATATCATATGCTTGGACCGCGCACGTGCTTCAATGTGAACAGTAGGCATGTCTCACTCCGGAGCCTCGCATCCAGTTCTTTGGGATTTTGCTATCGACGTCGGAGCTTTTCTATTCCCTTCCTACTAACGGGCTCGGAATTCTTCTTTCGCAATGTAACCTCGACATTACTCGCGCTCAATATTCGACGCGTCAGTAAAACAAAAAGAACAGTGTCCTCCGGCACTCTCAACAGGCCTCTCCCTTCCAGAATTCATCCAGACTGCAAGTGTTCAAGGGGAAGGGGAGCCGTGAGCTTAGGCATAACTCAACTTGTGCAAGCGAAGCCCCGACACGCACCAAAAGAGCCGTTTTCAAGGAATCTAGAGTTATGAAACAATATTCCAGCACGTTACGCAACGTCAAAAGCGCGTTCCTTGTTGACGCTCAGATCAGAAGCAAAGTCGCGGCAATGAAGCTCAACTTTAAAAATAAAAAGCACCACATCGCTTGTCCAGGGAGCCGGGAAAAAGCACGAAAATTGATGAAAATCTCTATGCCGCACTTCGCTTCGCCCAATCCCCTGCACCCTCGCTCAGAAAAAAAAGAAAAAGGCCAGCACGATCTCCGCATTCCGCAACTCAGCCGCCAATCAGCGAGCTCGAGCGAAATCAATCTGGCAAATCGTCATGTCGGAAGGGCCGAGGCGAGAAAATTCGTGATCAGAGCGTCAGCAACGAGCACAATCAAATCTCCACAGGATCCTCACTTTTCTTGCTTTTCTTCCCATCAAGTGCGGCGGAAGACCTTCCGGCCCGTATTTGCATGCCACCATACTATAATCAGGCCATGCATCTTGTATGATAAGAAGAGGGACGGTTGAATTGATAGCGCAGGGCTGAAGGAGTTTTGCAAGGCACGGTGGATACGAGGCTCAGCATGGTACGGAAGAAATCGCTTGCAGTGAATCTGTGAAGACGGCGAGCGGCTGACAGCTGAAATGTTGGGGAGAATTCGTAAGCGCCACATGCTTGAATGAGGAAGGAATGGTGGTGTTTTGAGGGACGTTCTCGCGATCAAGATGCAGAGTGAATGTGCATTTGACGGTGGTCAGTCCCATTAGCTGCACACAGCGCTTGCATTCGGCCCAAGGACTGCTCCAGAGGGGGGTGCAAAAACTCTGGTCATCGGGCTCACATCCTTCCCTGTCACATGGTCACCGGAGTCTCCGAACCCATGTTTCTGGCATGCATCCAACAAGCGCGCTGACTACCTCTTCTAACTCCCTCTCCAACACCACATTAGCTTTCGATATTGAGTCCACGCCCTCAGCCCTGCGTCTTGTATCTCTGTCTCGCTTGCTATCTCCTCTTTGAGCCCTCCCAGCCACGCCAAAATCGAACAACGCAACCTTGGAAACGTCGAAGCTTTCATGTATGCATCTCTCAACGAACGCTCAGTATAAAATAGTCTAGCGCAACTGCGTGCTGCGTCTCGCCTCTGCATTGCTTATCGATTCTGCAGTTCGCGCTTCTCTTCAAGCCACTTCATATATATATCCCCCCTAGCTTACGCCCTTCCGGGCTTCATCCTGCCTCTAAAGGGCAGCAAAAGGATACGGGTTTCCCAGTTAGAGTCGGCTGGGCAGTTTGTGACTAGAACAGTGATGCCTAGCTCGGACTTACGGACAGCTCGCTTGCACCGGTAAAAAGCAAAGACACGTGTCCGGTGCAGCGCGTGCTCCAATGACAGGGTTCGCGGATCTGCGCGCTCGTGTCGTGAGGAGAGAAGTGGTGGGTAAGCTTTGCTGTTGCTTGGGTTGGAATTGGCGCCGGATAAAAGTGCTAGGTCGAATGAGCTTGGATGGAGGACAGAGGGTGTGGCTACGTGCATACCAACCTCTACCAAGGGCAGATCAGATGAAGGACGAACGAGTGTTCGGTCTCCGGGTATGTCACATGAAGGTGCATCACAAACAACCTGCTAGCGGACGGACGTGAACAGCAGAAAATCCACATTTTAACGCTAGTGGGTATACCGAAGCCAGTACAATAATAGTACTAACACAGAGCCATTTCTCGCCCTAAAATGCCAATCAGACTTAACGCCGATGCCTATAGTGCTGTTCCTGAAAGATGCTTTTTGGGTAGGCAAACAGGCGCCGTAACAATGCTCTAGGAACATTCTTTTGCTACCCCCTTCTCCTTCCGTCACAGCCTAGCGCTTCGCCGAAGCAGAGTCGAACCTGTTTACGTACCAGAAGCCACCGAAGCAAGAGAGGTCGACTCTAGTTCCGGGTTGGAAGCCTCAGCAGTAGGAGTCCCTAGTATCATAGCTGCTGCCTCCACGGGCCTGGATTCGAACCATTCCCTCCTCGCTCGACTCTACAAATGTACTATTAGCACAGATAACACAGACATCAAGGATATTAGAATGTAAAATCGTCTCCGAACGCTATTCCTCCATCGTCCATACCGTCCAGGTTCATAAAATCATCAAGCGCAAAGCCCGAATCGCCGCTTGCAGCACCTATCCCGAGCTCGAGGCTCTGCATCTCACTCGTAGGAGGCTTGCTCGGCTCGTCCGGGACGTCGAGACCTTCGACTAGATGCAATCCCTTGGGTACCGCCGTGCGAAACGCGCTGATACGGTCGGGCTGCAGGACACCAGCTGCTTTGCCTAGGCCGGTTGCGTCGCCACGCGAGTTCATCCATACACCGTTGCCTCCTTCGTTGTTCTTGACAGCTTTGGTGAAGAAGTCGACGAAAAGGACGCTGGACTCGTACCATCGACCTTTGATTTCGGATATCTCGAGCTTTTGGGAAGTGGCAATGAGCTTCCAGTAGGCGAGAGTGCGTGTGGCTGGAACGAGTGCCCGGTTCCGCCAACGCATATCCTCACGCATACGGATGGGGATGTTGCTGCTCGACGGGACCTGCGGTAGCGAATTCGGATCAGGCACAGGGAGAGTCGCGTACGTATATATATCTCCTAGTACTAGGATTTTAGAGAGAGGGTGCGCGGAATTGGTCTGATTTGGCGGAGGCCCTGGGACGGCACGCTCGATGATATCGGTGATGACCATCAGGTCGTTACCGCTGCCGATGCGTAGGCGGACCGGCTCGCCTCGCCAGATCTTCTCCGCACCGAGGTATACGCCATTCCAGCGCCTCTCTTCCATACCCGTGTTAATGGTCGTCTTTAGTAGCTCGAACGGGGTGAAGGTGGTATCGATGGCTTTCGCTGCCAGGATCGAGGCGTCGACGTCCGCAATGCCCTGGCCGAATTGGCCAGACAGAAGGGCCCTCCAGTCCACCTGGTCGTAACTGAGTGTTGGGTTCTGCTGGAGATAAGGATAGGTGCATGAAGGCGCAGACCACGCGAGCCAGGGCTTGAGGTTCTGGTCGGACGTGACGAGCTCGGCGGTGGGCGAGTTGTAGGGATGGGAGAGGGGCTGGACAAGGTAAGCTCGGTCGCTCGATCTGTCTTTCGGTACCCATCGACGGATGACTAGTCCTAGGCCCCAGGCTTCTGTCTTCGGTCTAAAGAACCATACTACTTCACCGGTCCGCGCGAGAAATTTTCCGTATTGGTGGTCCACTTGCTGATCAACAGAGCGAAGCTGCGGAAGAGGCGTGGGCTCCAAAATGGCCGGCGGCTTTATGCGTTGCGGATTCGCGGCTGAGCTGGGCGTCGCTGGCTTCACGCTGGGGCTCTGGGCAGGCGTGCCTGTGCTGGGACGCCGGACAGGTACCTGGGCACTTGGATTGCGGCCGACGGGCGTAGGTGCTTGCACTGTGGTGTTGGGGCTGTTCTCCTTCTTGAGGCCCGCCATAGCTGGATCGGGCCTGATTTCCGGCTTCAGCGGGAGCGCGGGCTTCTCGGACTCGAGCTGCATCGGGCAGCATATTCGACAGGTGCAATTTTGGTGGTCGCTCGACTCGTCGGTGGAAAGCCATAGCAGGTGCGGGAAGAACTCGACGGGGCTCCTGAACCGCTTCTTCGGTCCCTTGGGGTAGCCGTAGAGGTATGCATCTTGTCTGTCGTGGCCGCCGCCCGAGTGGTTCTTGACCGGCTTGGTCTCGCCGTTGGCTTTCGACTTGATGTGCTCGTACAGCCTATAGCCCTCCGGGAAGTCCCAGAGAATGCATTGCTGCCACTTGTCTGCGCCCGTTAGCCCTCCGCGCGCGAGGCGACCTCCAGTACGCACCCTCGTGCTGCTTGCCGCCGATCTCGCGCAGCAGCATGCCGCCGAGCTTCTTGCGCCAGTCGACGTGCTTGGGCTCGTCCTTCTCGATCAGGCGGTAGTAGTCGCTTTGGCCCTGCTCGTTGGGCGTGCGGTCGAGCTGCTCCTGGGTGGGCCCGTTCCGGAGCACGGTGCCCTTCTGGTTGACGACATCCTGCCCGTCCGACTTGCACGCGAAGATGGGCAAGAATTGGGTGAGTGGCTGGGCCATGGCCGGCGGCCGGCAGCGCGTGCACTGCGCGGGATGTTGTTGGCGGCGGCGGCGGGGGCAGCGGCGGTGTGGTGGAGCAGACGTCGCCGCGTCGCGAACAAAGAAGACCGCGGCGTTTAGCCGCTTTCCTCCGGCGCTAGCGAGAGGCTTCAACCTCAGAAATCCACGCCAGCCTTCACCACGTCTCCGCGCGCCCTGACTGCTGCTCCTCGCCCCGCCGGACCCGCCGGAGACGCGTCGTCTCGTGTCCCCGCGCGTCGCAGACTCCTACCATGTCGGCCCGGAGGTGATTGCTCCCTTAACGCGTCGTTCATCTTTATCTTCATCTTCATCTTCATCTTCATCTTCACCTTCACCTCCACCTCCACCTCCGCTTTCACTCCTCGGGCGAATCCACCAGCTCCACTTCAATGCCAGCTCGACCCACCCCTCAATGTGACCTCCGACGGATCCCCCCTCCCCTCACTACACGCCTCTCTCTCACCCCTGCCCGTCTCTCGACCGAGGCTGGGCCCGCTCGACGACATGGCCGAGCACCCACGGGTAAAGCTGGGGTCGCCGCTGCCCATTACGCCCAAAAAGCGACAGTGCGGAGGAGCATTGGAGGACTTGTTGCAGCAGTTTGGGTCCCAGAGCTCGGCGACGTCAGCCACGAAAGCCCGGCGCATATCCTCATTCACCGCTCCCAAGCGAGAGGCGCCTGTGCCTATCAAACCCGCCGACGAAAGCACACCGATTCTGCGTCAACGGCCGTCGCTTAGCTACGCAGTCTCCGACCTTTCGACCAGCGAATCCGCTCCGAATAGCTCCTCCAGCTCCGGCTTCTCTATTGCCGAGCACGCCCCGGAGAGGAGCGCGGCTGCGACCGACACCAGCGACCAGGACAGCAACGACACCAGCGAAGACGACCTCGCGAGGCCCATCCGCACCGCTCGCACGTCACACCCGAAGTACCAAGTGGATGAGCTGAAGATGGAGAATAGAACGAAAGAGAGGCCCCACCCTCCGCGGCGAAGTGCCCGCAATAGGAAGAGCGACATCCTGGCGTCCGACACTGTCCAGCCCCCGGCCACTACACAGCGCAGCGCCCGCCCGCCTCGCAAGCTCGACACGGCGCGCGCGAGACTCAGAGGTGCCATCGCCCAGCAGTCCAAGGCGAAGGCGGACAGCTTCTTGGCAGCCAACAAGGACTACTTTCTGCCGTTGCTTCCTGCACACAACTACGTGTCCAAGCTCGTGGCGAGCAATCATCCCCGTTCCACCGTGGAGTACGAGCATCTTCGCCGCCAACCCCAGGGTGTCCGAGCAACGATGAAGCCATACCAGCTCGAAGGCCTGTCCTTTTTAGTTCATCTTTACAACAACGGCTTCTCCGGGATTCTTGGCGACGAGATGGGTCTGGGCAAGACTTTGCAGACTTTGTCACTGTTTCAATATCTAGAGGAGCAAGACCAAAAGTTAGGCGCCGCATCCGAGGAGCTGCGACCCTATCTCGTCATTTGTCCGCTGAGTGTTCTCAACTCATGGGTAACGGAAGCGCAGAAATGGGTTCCCGAACTCAAGATCCTCCGATTCCACGGCACTGCCAACCAGCGAGATCGCCTCAAGAAGGTCGCCCTCGGCATGGCGGACCAGTTCGGCAATGAGACTCTGCAGTCCAGGAATCGCAAGGCATCGAGAAAGGCTGGTCTCAAGGTCTCGAAGCTTCCCACTGACGCCTCCTCGGAATCCTACCAGATCATTGTGACGACTTATGACACATTCCAGGCCGAGCACTCGTGGTTCAAGCACTCATTTGTCTGGCGCTACGTGGTCCTTGACGAAGGCCACAAGATCAAGAGCAGCGTCTCGCAAATATCCACGGCGCTGAGGCATATCGCTGCAGAGTATCGCCTCATATTGACCGGAACTCCGTTGCAGAACAATCTTGTCGAAATGTGGGCTTTACTGGCTTGGCTGTACCCTGACGTTTTCGCCGACAATACCCAGAGTCTCTTCAAGGAATCTTTCGATCTCACTCGAGGCATGGTCAACCGGAAGACCATGGATGACGCCCGACGACTGCTCGAACTCATAATGTTGCGGCGGATGAAGGATAGTCCAGGTGTCAACCTTGGGCTACCACCGAAAGAGGAGGTGCTGCTATACGTCCCCCTTACCCCAATGCAGCGTTTCTGGTACACCCGGCTTCTCACGCGTGTGGATGACGCCATGCTCGACGAACTCTTCGCGAACGGAAAGAGCAAGGAAAAGCTTGCTTTGGAAAAGGAGAAAGAAGATGGCAAGCTGCTATCGCGAATCGAGAAGTTGAACGCCAACACATTAGCACAGGAGGGCGACTGGGGAGAGACTGCCGAGATCATGCGACAGGCCCTCGAGAAGGAAAAGGGTGCTGAGACCAATTCAGCCTGGCGCAAGCTCATGAACCTTGTCATGCAACTCCGGAAATGCTGCTCTCATCCCTATTTGCTGCCGGGCACTCTTCCTGACCCATATTACATCGGCCAACATGTCATTCGTGCGTCAGGAAAGTTCATCCTCCTTGCGAAGCTCCTGAAGCACCAGATCTTCGAGCAACGCAAGAAGGTGCTGATCTTCTCTGGCTTCACCCAGACGCTAGATTGCTGCGAAGACATGCTAGCCCTTATTAGCAACCACGGCAAGGGCTTTAAGTACGTCCGCTTAGACGGTAGCACCGGCCGGGCTCGGCGCAATCTCGACATTCGCCTATTCAACGATTCCAAGACCGACTATAAGGTCATGCTTCTGTCAACTCGTGCTGGTGGCCTAGGCATCAATCTGACCAGCGCGGAAGACGTCATCTTTCTGGACGAGGACTGGAACCCCCAGATTACCTTGCAGGCAGAAGCTCGAGCCCACCGGATTGGCCAGACGAAGAAAGTGACCATCTATAAGCTTTGCACTCAAGGCACGGTAGAGGAACAGATGATGGGTCGCATCCGGAAGAAGCTATACTTATCAGCTAAGATAACAGAATCTATGAGGAACATCCATGGGGCGCGCGCTTCCGCAACCGCCGCCGCTAAAGGGCATCTTTCGCTTACAGATGATATGCCAGAGATGAGCACCGGCCAGCTCAAATCCCTCATCCGCCGTGGCGCGCAGACCCTGTCGCATCCCGAGATCAACGTGACAGAGATGCTGTCCTGGGACCTCAACACAATGATGGCAAAGTGTCGCGACAAGCCCGCGGATTTGCACGCGAACCCTGACGTTGTGAATCCCGACATTGACGAGGAGAAATGGCTATCGGTAATGGAGCGTGTCGAATGTGCCGTTCTCGATGGGAAGCGCTACCAACGCCAACTCAACACTAAGGCCGATAATCCCGCCGTCAACATTCTGCCGGATTCCATCAGCCGCGAAGACCGCCGCAAGGGCAAGAACACCACTGTGATGATCGATGGATTCGCTATCAACAAGGAATCGCTCAGCTGTAACGACTGGGAAGCTGTTCCAACCTTTGCCGGAAAGGATCCACGACTCGCGGAACCCAAGCGTGAGAAGCGACGGGAGATCCAGCACGAAGAGCATTGCGTAGCCTGTTTCGATGGACCAGATGCAGGGCATATGGTGGAGTGCAAGAGCTGTCCACGAACGTACCATTACGATTGTTTGGAAGACGACTATCAGGTCAAAGTCAAAGGATTCAGCGGCTTCTTCTGTCCCCAGCATACCTGCTATGAGTGCGGGAAGAACACGACGGATGCTGGAGGCCTTATTTACCGCTGTCGCTGGTGCCCGCACGGGTTCTGCGAAGACTGCCTTGAGTGGGGCAAGGAAGAGCTCATCGGTGAGAATCTTCCGGAGTTTGAGATGCTGGGTGAAGAATCCCCTACAGGCGGATTCTACATCAAGTGCCCTAGCTGCATTGAGGCCGTTGAGGAGGATGAAGATAGGAGGGAGTGGATGATGGGCATGGAGGCCAGCTACCGGGAGCAACATGAAGAGTGGGTCAAGGATCAAGAAGAGCAGCTGCGTTTCCTCGAGAAAGAGCAAGATGCCCTGCAAGGCACCGGTCACCAGAACAAGATCCAGAATAAGGTCAATGCTGAGACGAACCAGCTGCTTCCGCAACTAGGTCTCGGAAACCAGCGTTTCCGGCCCATCATTCTCGACGACGATGACGCTGCTTCACAGCCTGCGCTGACCGACACTTCGATTCCAACTCCTGCCCCTGGCGAGTCTGGCGTAAGCACTCCGCGCCTCCTAGGCCCTCAAATGCAGGGCAAGAGAAGGGCCGAGATTGAGCTCGATGAAGAGTTCAGGGATGCGCGTGAGGAGAAGAGGGCTAGGCTTGACACTATCGGTCAGCCATGGATGGTGCAGACGGATCCGCTGCTCATGGATTTCTACAGCAGTGACACTTAATGCGTGCGTTGCCGAACTCCCAGGTTCACGGCCCATTTCCATTTCTTTGCACCCGGACTGTCATGGGTTGGCCCGGTGGCATATGCAAGATGACGGTCATTTGGGGGCACCGCTCTGACTTGCATTTTCTGGCGTTGGTCGACTGACTATACGATATACCCTTACGTCCTGGCGCTGTGTCGTTGTGGACTTATGCGTCTGCGTTGGTAGGGTATGGTGGAAGGGTTAGGAATCTCTGGATCTACAATCGGATCGCGTATGTACATTAACTCATTATCCGGAGGACAGCCAAATGCGCTCTGCACTAATGGGATCTGGAACCAATTTTCTATCCATGCATGATGATGCATGTCTGGGAACACAGGACAAGCCTTTCGAAGCATAGACAAGCATTTCCTAGTTGCGAATAAGCTCGTACAGTTTTCTCACGAAGCAACAAAGGTTCAACCACAGCTCACCGCTGAGGCTGTTCTACGATGCGTAAGCTGACTCCTGGCGAAAAAGTTATATTACCTTTGTGACAAAGACTCACCCATCCAGCTTGATTCCGTATCAACCCCTAATAGGTCGTCAGCGGCCACTAACCACACCAAAGCATCCCTGAAATTGGGGCAGCTGGGCCTTACAGGATGATGGGGACAGTGACCGGATATGGTAATTGATGTATGCAGGCCGGGTATTTGTGGAGACATTGGTGTCAGCATGGAATCCAAAATGGGGGGAAGGCGGGAATAGCGACTGACACTCCGCCAGCGACGACAGTTGACTTCATCGCCGAAAGTGGAAGGGAGAAAAAATATAAAGCACCCACTGCTGCCGCACAACAAGGAGTATCATCACTCAAGGCCACTACCATTCAGTCCTTCATAGATCTTCTTCGCTCGATCTTCTGCTCAATCTTCTGCTCAATTTTTGAGAATACAGCCAAAATGCGCTTCAGCACCAGCATCCTCGCCATCGTCGGCCTCGCCACTCAATCCACCCTCGCCGCTACGTGCTTCCCGCAAAGCGGATGCAAGTCGTGCGCTAGCTTCCAGGAGCTGTATGTCCTAAATCGCTTCCCCTTCTTCTACTCCTCCCAATTATCGCACTGCGCCACAATCCCCCAGTTACCCCCTCTAACTGCGAAGAGCGGAGCTGATATGCAGGTAGCGAGGATCTCAAGAACAACTTCTGTGCCACCAAATTTAACCTCGCCAACACGCCCGAGCAGTTCAATTTCCAGGCGCACGCGCAGGTCCTCGGTGGGCCAATTGGCAGCCAGGACCTGTGCAATAGCGCTTTCGACAATATTGTTGATCAGTGCTTTGGGAATCATGATGGTGGGGACTTCAACTTCAATGGGTGAGTGATATGTTGAGAGTGGAGGGTGGAGAGTAGAGGGTGAACTGGAGAATGTACTAATGCGGTGTTAGGTGGGACTTGAAGGTCGGGTTTTGCTCTTGCGACTAGGGGGGCTGAAGAGAGACTGAGTGATGAGGAACGGGAGGCGAGAGGGCATGAGTTAAGGACCACACGTAGGCGGTGGTGCATAGAGTCTTGCATTCTTTTCTATACTCTGTCGCTACTGGAATTCGTTGCATATGTGGACGGAATGTGTTCTGGTGCCTGCAGCTAGCCAAATACAGATCTGTTCTTCATCTTACGCTGTGGTCTGAAATGCGCGTGTTGAGAAATGACATCACTACCACACCATCTTCCAAAGACATGTAAGCTCTCGCCCGCCGTAAGCAGAATAGAAGAAGCACTTCCAGTCCCAATGGCCAGCCACATATCCCGCAGCATAAATCGTTCCCAGGGGACGCCGCAGTCCGCACAGTTTTGCCGACAGCGAAGCATGCCCTCAAGCCCCGCCACCTCGAAGCCTACACTAACCCCATACTCCCCAGGACCTGCTGAGCGTTGTACTCGTACGCGCAGGTAGCATTTGTTGGCCTGTCTTCCCCACCTTGGGTTGATCAATCTACAATGGTTAATATCCGCCAATCCTGGTGGTCCGCATCCTGCGCGATCCTTGTTCGGCCGTTTGGATCACCGCCTTATCGCGGCGCATCTCTCTCCGACTACAATGCACCCCCAATCACGTTCAGTGCTGTTGAGGGGCAAGCGTCGATACCTGGGCGCATCTGGGAATTAACTGAATTCCATGTATAAAGGATGGGCTTCCGCCAGTTCCGAGGTTGGGCGACGGGCGACCATTGCCGCATCGTCTTCGCCGCGATGATGCTGTCCCGGGTGAGCGTTGCACTGGCCGCTTTAGGATTGTCGCAAGATGTTCTGTCGGCAGCATCTTCAGATAATAATAAATATTCCCGTGAGGCCAAAAGCATCTCCACTCCTTCCATCCATCTCCCAAAGCTAACACAACCCAGTCGTGCAACCCCTCTACAAACCTCTCGACCTTGGCTCCATCAAACCTCTAGGATGGTTCAAAGACCAACTCCAACTAGAAGCCGACGGCCTCGGCGGAAACTTGTTCGACTTCTACCGCTTCGTGCATGACTCTAGGTACATCGGTGGCTCGACTGAATACTCCGCGCTGGACGAAGCATCGCCGTATTGGTTCAACGGCCTTGTTCCTCTTGCATTTGGCCTGGGCGACGAAAGGATCCGTAGCCAAGTGCAGTATTACCTCGACTACGTACTTGATCACCAACAGGAGGATGGATGGCTAGGATTCGAGACGACGCAAGCTTCTAGGGGACTGTGGGCACGATGTCTTCTTTTGCTCGGCATGATACAGTATGCCGAGGCGGACCCCATGCGGACAGAGAGAATCGTGGATGCAATGCATCGGTATACTGTGCTCGCCCATAGCATGCTGAAGAATAATTACACAGGTCTGCTTGTACATGGGAATGATACGTTTGACACTGCCGGATTCGGGGTGGGAAGGACGCATGAGATGCATATACCCATGCAGTGGCTTCTAGAGAGATATCCGAGGAATAATTCGGAGATTCTGTGGGAGACGATGCAGATGATGATTGATGGAGGTGTGGTTTGGGGAGCGGACTGGCGGACGTTTTGGACCGAGGAGAATTACCCAAAGATATACTACGAAACTACGCCGTATAATCTGAGTTGGGTTTTTATTCACGGAGTCAACATGGCTGAAGGTATGGGTTTTGGAAGGTCAGCATCCCATCCGTCACTAAATGCATCTTCTAGGGCTTCGCTATCCGTTATCTCTATATCGAAACACCAACGACTCATCTCTCAAATCTCAATCTCGGCTCGCAGTCGACCTCCTCGCCAAGTACCATCGCTCACTAGCGGGTACCATCATCGCAGACGAATACATCTCAGACCTCAATCCCAGTCGTGGTGCTGAGCTCTGCATCGCAGCCGAAGTCATGTTTTCATCGGCTTACCTCTATCAGTACTTGGGTGGTAATGATGTTGCTGACTGGGCAGAGCAGACGGCGTTTAATGCGTTTCCCGTAAGTGTGACTCCGGATTGGTGGAGTCATCAATATGTTCAACAGGAGAACCAGGTTGGTGTTCTATATCATGGAATGTGCGCAATTGCTGCTGATGAATAGAAGCCGTGGTCACGCAATCTGTCCACGAATGATCTATGGTGGGATGTTAATTCGTACGCTAATGTCTTCGGCCTGGAGCCAAACTATGTTTGTTATTTTCCCTCCCTAAACGCGTCCATTGAGTAGTCTAATGGCGAGGTAGCCATGCTGCACGGTCAACCACCCGCAAGCCTACCCTAAGTTCCTAGCAAACTCTTTTGTATCAACGGAAGATGGCGGCCTCGCACACGTCTTCCTCATCCCCTCCAGCGCATCAACAGGTCTCGGCCCCGACGGCTCCAACATAGTCCTCATCAACGCAAACACTACATATCCCTTTGGCCACAACATCACATACAGTATTTCCGCTACTGTTTCCTTCACGTTCTACGTCCGAATCCCGGAATGGGCGGAGAAGGCTAGCACCATCAACGGCCAAATCCCAGTATCACCCAACGATAGTGGACTGCAAAAGGTCGACGTGCCTGCCGGCAAATCATCGCTCAGCGTCGAACTCGCAGCATCCCCGAGGGTGACTCATAGAGCTAATAACACCGCAGCAATATACTATGGACCCCTTCTCTACGCCCTAGCCATCGAGCACGACATCACCTCGCACGAACCAATCAACTACCGCTCACAACAACCCCTCCCCGCAAACACCACCGATCCACTCGGTCGCACCCAGGACTTCCAGCTCACGCCCAAGAACGGTACGATCTGGAACATCGCAATCGATCCGCAACAAATTGAAATTGTGAAAACCAACAAGTCGAACTCGGGGTTAGGAGAGTTGGATAATCCCATCTGGGATTTGGGCGCTCCGCCCGTGGAACTGAGGGTCAAGGCGGTGGAGATTGACTGGCCGGTTGTAAGAGATTCGCCGGCGGATCCGGGGACGTTTGAGGTTACTAGGAAGGGGGAACCGTTTTGGACGAGGTTTGTGCCGTATGGAAGTTCGAAGTTGCATATGGCGTTGTTGCCGGTGATGGGTTTGGATGATGCATAGGGTAGGTTTTGAAGCGCTACGAAGACCATTTGAAGAGGGTAGCTTGCGCAAAAGCAGATGCTGTAATATCGCCGCAGTTTTCTGCGTTGAAGTGGAACGCATACCCGACGGAGTCTATACACGAACAAACGCCGTTTTACGGAGTGTGCGTGCTGCGCAATGACACCACTGCCGCTTCACTTGAGAAAAACGTTCTTCTACCTGCACACCGTTAGCCACTTCCAGACTTCAGCCGGCGTAGGACAGAACCGAAAAGGGGTGGCATAAATTTCTCTAATAGGTATAGCTGGCGACCCGCCTACCTAGCGCGAAATAGCGCGCTTCTCCATCCTCCGGCTACCCAGGTACACACGCGGGTAAGCTACAGAAGCTACCCTCACCATCTGGACTTTGGTGTATTATAACGGAGAACTCCCCCATGTCCTCAGCACCTACAACGGCGTTACCTTTCGGTCTGTGTCGCGTCAAAAGCTCGTCAGTATGACGGCGGGTGGCAACTCCTCCCAAAATCCTCCCAAAATATCGTTCGCGATGATCCATCCATAAACCCCAACTCCCTCCACGACTTCCACGCCGCAAAAAGAGGACCCAAAAACGTCCCAGACGCCGTAGTCATGGCCTTCTCTAATGCCAGCACCCCCAAGGACCCAGGCCATCCGTACGCCAAAACAAAGCACATCTCCTTCGAGTTCTTCGACCAGCGGCGATCCAATGCACCATTCGGCTACGAGCACTTCGTCTCCGTGCCGCCAAACTACGGGAAAGAACTGGAGAAAAGCTGGCCACTGATACTCTTCCTTCATGGTGCCGGCGAATCCCAGCGTGCCGTCAAAGAATCCTACGCCTCACTCTGGCACGGCGTCCCAAAGCTCATCCTCTGCTATGACGCCCTAAAATCCGGCGTATTCCCACCACGGATTTCCATCCCACTCGCCGCTCATCTCTGAAAATCCAAGCAAACAAAGCAAGGCGACAAATCCACAGATCCCGTTCCTGCCGACGTTTGCGAAATGGTAACGGAGAACTTCATCACAGTGACGCCGAGCCTGAACATGGAGTGGGGATATGGCTGGAACGCGTCGATTCTATCAGCGCTGCTGGGTGAGATTGTGGAGCGGTACAGGGTGGATTTGGAGAGTGTGCACGTGACGGGTTTTAGTATGGGCGGGTATGGAACGTGGGATTTGGCTATGCATAGTCCGAAGAGGTTTGCGACGCTGATGCCGATTTGTGGGGGTGGGGATCCGGCGAGGGCGACGTTGGTTAAGGACGTGCCTCATTGGTAGGTTAAATTAGAATGTGTACGGAAGGTTGAAAGTGCGACACTGACGATTAATGATAGGATTCATCATGGCGACAAGGACGACATCATTCCTCTTCGCGCTTCTCAACAGATGTTCAATGCCTTGGCGAAATATGGCGCAGCTGAATATGTTAAGTTCACCCGGTATCCGGATCTGATGCACGATAGCTGGACTGCGGCGTACGGAAATTTCGAAGTGTTCGAATGGATGCTTCGGCCAAAGAGAAAGTGGAAGGGTGACGAAAGAGTCGTCCCGGAAGAGAATAAGGCGTTTGTTGCATAGTCGGTGTGCTCAGATCTCCTGTAGGAGAATGTGTCCGGGAGCACCGGCTGTCAGGTGTTGACGAGCTTTTGGTTAGGAGTGAGTCGTCAGCACCAACACGTAAAGCGCGATATCCTAGGTGGAAGTAACTGAGGTGAACGGTGGAAAAAAGCTCTGAGAGTTGAGCAGAGGGCAATATCTAAGGCTCAGGGTGACGTCCTGAAGTGGCGGGTGAGACCACCTTCATACAAGAAATCTACTTTCGGGCTTCTCTTCTTGGTTGCCACCATTATTCTTGGGCAGATATCGTCCGTGTTCTATTACCACTCGCCTTTCTAGCATCCGCTCCCCGCAAGTCCATGCACACCTCCCTGTGCAATATACTTACAAGCTCCATTCATATTCTCTGTCCCATTGGTTGCGCTCTTCAAGTCGATGTTCTCAAAGTAGATATCATAGCACGGGTGCACGGTGCTGCAACTCACACTCCCCTTCGACGTCTTCCCGTTCAGATATCCTGTAAAATTCACGAATCGTATGTCGTTAACCTGCATCTTGCTCGTTCCGGAGTAGCTTCCGTTGTTGCCGTTATCCTGGTTGATGGATGGGACGCCATCGGCGCCTTGCACACGGAAGTTGCTGAAGGTGACGTTGGTTACGTTGCCCCATCCACCGCCGCGGGGCTGTCCGGCACTCTCATATGACGACTGCGGTACGAGGTGGCCCATCCAGGTTTTGATATAGGCGCAATTGTGCATATCCTCGTTGTAGCGGACAACGTCAACGTTATCAATCACCACATTCTCAACAGAAGAGTCTTCGAGATATTGGCCGAGAGACCCGATGGCGATGCCATTGCCTCCGTGGCAGTAAATGTTGCGCACGGTGATGCTATATGAGCGAGGTTTAACAGCGATGCAGTCATCGCCACCCTGGTACCACAATCCGTCTAGGGTTACGTTCCGTGCATCCATGGTGTCGAAACCGTCAGTATTCTGGACCCAGTTGGAGCCATATGGGGCTTGCGTGGCGGTCGCATTGGCTTTCATATTTTTGAACATCATGTTGGTACCGTTCATGATATTGATAGACCAGAGCTGGGGATCTTTGATATGGAAGTCAGAAACGCTGACGTCGGATACATTCCAGAAGACGAAGGGCATTGGGCGTCCAGGCTGGGTGTTACCAGCTTCAGCGGTGTACCACACATCGCCGTTTCCGTTGATGTGGGTGTAGTCGGTGGTATGGCCATTGATGCGGATGTGCGAGCCAGAAAGAACGAAACCCGCGCGATGGTTTTGGAAGTAGATCGTGTATGAATTGTTCCGCCAGTAAGCCAGGTCATCCGAGAACTAATGGGCAAAGTTAGTACAGGGGGTCTCGGAGGTGGATTGCTACTTACGGTCCATTGCCCACGCCAATCTATCTTCACGTCATGGACGACAGGATTAAGGCGCTGCGCAACCCAGTACTCTTGTCCTCGGGGGAAGACAATGGTACCGCCATTTCCGCATTCCGAAAACGCATCGAGGATGTTTGGTACGTCGTCTTTCTTGCTGCCGAGCGCGTATACGGTACATGTTTTCCGGCCATTGTGGTATTCCTTGGGTACATAGGGATTGGCCAGGACCGTTGGTAGAAACAGGCATAGCCGGAAGACAAGAGAGTTGAACAGCATCGCGAAGAGACCAGCGGAAGCTCGACTGTAGGGGAACGATAAAGGCATAGAAGCGTAGGGGGGTATATGAAAGCAAGCCGGATAATAAACCCACCCCGGCGGAGACCATGGTACCGCACGAGCATGGAGGCGTCACGCTGATTGCCGGATTCACTCTTCTCCGCATCGTCTACCTTCTACCTTGTAGCCCCGCGATCGACGGGTGGTGGTGCCTGCATACTCCGCAAAAGCTTGATGCCGGCGAAGCTCATTCGGACGAGAATATACCGAGGGGCGTGGACGAAGCTTAGGTAATCCTAGTGGCTTGGCGAGCGGACCCCCGAATGACGTCGCGTCCGTCACCTCCGTCACCTCCCGAGGTCTGAAAGGCGCGAGCTTGCAAGTTACCCGCGAGTCTGCAATGATTCTTCGGCGGCCGCCTCTCCTCTCCCAGCGATTGACTCTTCAACTGCTGCGCGCATCGGCTCGGCGCAGCTTCCTGACCGGCTCCTCGACGCCATCACACCAGAACCGCATCTTCGACAACGTCCGCAGCCCGGCAGACCTCCATACGCTCACGCTTCTTTCCGCCGCCGCCAACCGTCCGCTCATAACCTTCTGGAGCGCGAGCTGGTGTTCGACCTGCCGGGCTGTGAAGCCACTTGTGAAGGCCTTGATTGAGGATGAGCGGGTCGGAGAGGCAGAAGGCGGTTTGGGTTTCGTGGAGGTGGAGCTTGACAGCGTCTTGATTGAGGACTTGGGTGTGAAGTACATGGTGCACATCCCTCTCTGCCGCTATCTTGATGGCGCATGTAACCGTACGTGGTCGGAGAAGATACTGATGCTTCATCCGTAGATCACGTCGATGCCGACCTTGCTCGCCTTGAGCAGACAAGAAGCCCAATTCGAGACGAAACTCACGCGCCCCGAAGAGATGAAGAACAAAGACTTTTTGAGGAGGTGGCTGCTGAATGAGGCTAGAAGAGGAGGCCGTACCGGTGGGGGCGGCGGCGGTCTATTCGGAGCTTTGTTTGGACGGTAGCATCGGCGCTGCATATCACTATAGCGTAGGGAGAGACGCAAGCCACCTTCACATCAGGAGAGCAGCCCATTCCATCATGAGCGGTCTAAAGGACAAGCGAAACAAGTCGAATTACTACAAACTTAAAACGATTCGCCGACATCTGCATCAATACAAAAGAGCAACCCGCGGACCGGGGCCCGATATCCTATCCAAAAATTCAAGTCCTCCATAATCCGTCATTATCACTTCGTCTTTTTCCGAGCTGTACGTCTGATCGAAAGGACCCCACTCATCAGCCTCCTCAAATGCTCTTTCGAGGCCGCCATCCTCGTCTGCATCGGGCCAAATCCATTTTGAGCCGTGGAAATCAACGTTGTTGTCAAGGCTATATGGAAGGTTCGCCTCAGGATACTCTAATGTTAGAGTAGCATCGTTGCCGTTGAAGATACAGGATATTCTCACTTGCAGCGACTCTTCATCCTCCTGCATAACGGTTGCGGCGAACCGTCTACTCTCCGGTACTTGATCTACGCTCCGCTCGACAGTAACCCCGTAGCAGAACAACCACGCCACTAGCATCTTCCAGTCTAATAACCCAGCGAGTGCTAGCTCCACTATGAAGTGGATGTTCTTGTAGAGCCTCTCAGTGTACTGCGCATCGAGGTCGGGCGTCAGACTAAGAGCTAGGATCCAGGCATTGACGATTGTGTGATAGCCGCATGCCCAGTTGTTAGTCTGGCGAGGAACCTCGATTAGTCGAGCAGCGCGTTCGAAAGGGATGCGTCCGCCTTCTCGGTGGGTAGACCAGTTCAGGTCGCCTGCGGCTTTGATGATTCGCTCGAAGAGGAAGTCGTACGCATCCCGGAGGTACCTAGGTAAGCTGTCTAGAAAGTATACGAGGTAGCGTTTCCCGTTTGCAGGGTCATGCACTGGTGGTTGTGTCGCTGCGGAGTCCTCATATTCGGGGTCCACTTCTTGGATGACGGCGAGGATGATATGGCCTGCCTCTGGGGTTTTCGCATATTTCCCCTCTTTTTCTCCGATATGTTGAGCTACTTCCTTGAGGAGAACTTTATCAACTACAACTGGCATAAGCCAGCATCTCCTTGGCCGCGAGGCTGTCACATGGGCATCTTCCAAATAAGCTGTTTTTGATCTTCCGCATTGGAGATCCCTTGACGAAGCGAGGGTAAATCCTCCAGCGAATGGAACTTCTCTGCCCCATTGATTTTTGTGCTCTTCGTTTTGCAGACGATCGATGGACTCGACCACGGCAGCGATACCCAGCGTCACCTGCTCTTCCTCGAGGTACTCTCCGATATCCTGAATCTGAGCCGATTCCCAGAGGTTTCTCTTAAGCAACTCCCCGTAGCAAAGCACATATTCCCGCCAAAACCCACAGGGGGCCTTGTTGATCCGCTCGTCGTGTAGCTTCCGATTCGAGACCTTCGAAAAGCTAAGATAGTTCTGGAAAAGGCGAACAGTTTCCTCCGGGGGTAGTCGGACGGGATCCTTCTTCTGCTTTTTGAGTTGGTCTAGAAATTTTTGGACCCTTTCCCTCATCTGGTCACGGGAAATGTCGGGGTAAAATGTACGGAAGTCGGCTCGAACCTGCGCGTCGCTGTAATCCAGGTTCATCCTACCGAGGCTGATAAGCTGTGGAATTATGTTGAGCTTAGTCGACTCATTCCATCCGTCGCTTCCCCATGGGATATCAGACCGTCTGCCCTCGCCAAATGCAATCCTATTCCGGTTGGAAACATTTTCAATGTTGAAAGCTTCCACAGCCTGCCACGCTTGCTCTTCGCTTTCCCGAATATTCCGAAGCGACTGGGCTACACTTGCCTCGCTCATTACCCGGAGAGTGTTCCTGAACTTCTTCAACTCAGGGACGTGCTCTTCTTGCTCTACAACATCGTAGCATCTCAGAAAAGCGTAGATGACCTTCCAGTCGGCGGATCCAATGCGGACGAGATGAATGACGTTTTGTAAGTCGTTGAAGAATTGAGAGTCCCAGTCCGGCCTGAACTGCGGGTTTGGTTGGAGGCCCATAGCGAGTGCCCATGCATTTAGGATAACCAGGTAGCCGCAGGTCCAGTCTTCGATCTGGATGGCGCACGGGACCCAGGTAGCGTATTCGGGAATTGGCACTTGGCCCTCTGCGGGGAAGAAATGGCGCCACCACCTCGATCGTTTGAGTATGGTGGCCACAGTGTCATAAACACGTTCTCGCTGAGCTCGGTTGTAGTGATACGGTCTCGAGTCAAGGACGGATACTGTCGGATCTCCCTGTTCATTGAGCTGGAGTACAAGGAGGACGATGTGGTTGCCATATTGTAACGGTACCATCATCGGTCTGCCAGGACGGATCGCGGCGTCGAACTGATGATCCTCATACGGGAATGCATTACATAGCTGGACATTATCCTGGTGCAGGAAACTAAACCCCCCAGAGCTGTTTTGTATGTTGCTGATCGCCAACGTCACCGAGGCAATCGCCAGCGAGACTTCTGAATCCATCATCCATATTTTGCGTTCCGTAGTGACGGTGTCTCCTCCCTGTTTGAGCTTCTCAAAACTGTTCTTCACGTAATGGCCACCAAGCGCTTTTCGGATTCGGTCATGCAAGTAGGAGCACGCTACGAAGGGCTGTGGTACGTTGTCGCCGGGGTCGCTCGATGTTGGTTTCTTCCGAAGAACTTTGAATGCCTCCCCCAGCTCTTCTAAAGGGAGATGCGAAATCGCTATACCCGCCTCTACTAATCGTGGGACTCGACGTCGAATATCTTCCGCCGTCCAGTCATCCGACGGGAATATATCATCATGTGCTCTGCTGGAGGGGGGAAATATGTGTGTCCAACTACGGGCGGGCGTTGGATTTTCTAGCCGTTTAAATCTCCTTCTCAGTTTTGAAAGATGCAGTTCGAGTCTCCTTGAAGGAACGGTCTTCGTAATCCTGCATTCAGCAACCGGTTCTCCGGCCATTACAAACCCTGAACAAAGCAAGAGGGACCATATAAGCTTCCAGTCAGCGAATCCGCCAAGCGAAAGCCGAATGAGTCTACCTGCCTGCTCAAAGAAGTCCTGGGACGGCCGGAAAAGCGGATTTAATGGAAGGGAAAATAAAATGGCCCAAGCATTGAAAATAGTATAATAGCCGGTGTGCCAGGGTTCTCCTGCTTGCAGAGAAGTAATCCAAGATGCAGAACCCTCTGTAGTGAAGCCCGCGGGCTTCAGGTAGTCGTCCCAGTGGATATGCTTAATCAGGTCAAGCACTGAGGTGTAGATTCGAAGGCGCTGTTTGCGACTTGATAGCCACAGTGCAGGATCGAGCATTGATACTGTGATCCGTTTCTTTTCATCCGTCACATGCGCCTGTACAGCGACGAGCATGCTATAATTGTTTTCCGTCCAGGGCAGGAATAGTGGTCTGCCATCGTACAAAGAAGGGAACTCAGGGAGTTCTTCGCTCCCGAAGATGAATGATTCCAGTGTCGCGTAGTCGATCACTCCAAGGCCTTCGGTAAGAGGTTGAATCCAGGTGATCGCCTGACTTACAGAAGCTATGCTATCGAAGATGTACTTGGCACCAAGTGCCTGCGGCTCGATATCTGTGCGCAACCCATATCGTCCCGTCAGATCGCCTAACGCCTCGTTGAAGTATTCGCAAGGGTCGAACTCTGCTGGTATGTCTGAAGGATCCTGCGCAAAGCGAAGAGATGCAGTCGATGTACTTGAGGACTGTCTAAACGACGACGACGAGGGACGTCGTGATGATGCAGGGAGTCTGTTGTAGCGTTCTTGTAGGTCCCCATCAGAGAGGGTAGGATCCCACGCGTTCTCCGTAATGAGAGTCTTGACGACCTTCTCCCTGAAATCGTCTGTCTGTGTATCAGACCGGAAGTCCTCATCATGAGGGGTCCCGCTCCCTAAATCGAGTCCAATGCTTTGCACCACACGTATGACTTCCAGTTGCTCCTTGGCGTCACGCCATGCTCTGTCAACTTGTAGCTCTCTCTGTCGTAAGCTGCGAGCGGACCGTCCACGGAGGCTGAACCGGCGATCGAGTGGGGGTAAGACGTCACCGTCCTTGTTATATCCGTGACATATAAAGAACGCGAGCAGGAGTTTCCAGTCAAGATATCGACCGCGCAAAGCCAGTGCGAATATGCTCTCTGCGTGGTCAAGGAAATCGGTTTCTTCTGTCTTTCCGCGGTGCAATTCGAAGCGTGGATCTGGGAATAGTCCCATGGCCAGCGCCCAGGCATTGAGAACGGTGTAGGTGACGGCCAGAGCTAAGTCGACTGTCTGAGCGCTCTCAGCCCACGAAGCATATAGTGGCAAGGCACCGAGTTTTTCTTCGACGTCCCCAACGATGTTATAAAGCCATCCCTCGCCCAACATTCTATCCAAACTGGCTCTATAGATCTGCTTGCGGTCCTTTTTCTTGGAATTCCAAACCATAGGATCCAAGACATGAAGAGTGACGTTTTGGCTCTGGTTGAACTGTGTAACCACCAGCCAAGGCCGACCCTCGTTACCCCGCATAACGCTGAAGGAAGGTCTTCCTGGACGCAGTAACCGGTCCTCGACGATCATACTGAAGCCAGCATTTTCCGCTTGCAGAGCATTTATCCCGGACAAGACTGCATCGACGAGATCCACAATATGGTGCTTCAGGGTTCCACCTAGCTCGTCGCGGTATCGTTGGATCGGGCCGTCAAGTCCGCTAAGTTGGCGGCGCAGGTAGTCACAAGGTGTGGATCCAGAGAAAACGTCTTTGGCCGTCTGGTAGAATTTTTCATCCCCCTCTTCGACTTCGAGGCCTTCAGTTCCGTCCTCATTCTCTTCGCTCGAGTTATCATCGAATCCGTAGCCTGTACCATGCGGTGGAACACGTCCATCAGGGGGTATATCAGCTTGAGCCGTTATTTCAAGGCTTAAGTCTTGGGGCCGCTCGCCGCTCGGGAATTCCAAGCCCCTCCATGACAAGTCCAACTCTACCCCATCGCCGACGTTATCTCTACGATGGAACTCTTCTTGCGATACGGTCGGCTCACACGGGGCGTTAAAATAGACATCTTCTCTCCTTCTCCAAAAGAATATCGGTTGCGAGAGAAGCTCGATGATAGCGAAGGACTGGAGTGGTCCAATGACGAAGTCATCCGGCCAATCTTCATTTGTGTACGTCAGCCCATTGACTGTGACAGAGGTGTTCTGTGGAAGCAAAATAGAGTAACCCGCATCTTCGCCAGTTGAAGGGATTCTCCGAACGATGTGGATGCTGGCGGTCGCATCCCCTTCATCAAAGTGGACAGTTCTATGTGTTTTATATTAGCAGGACCATAGGGAGTTGTGTGGCCGCACGCTTACACTTCCATCGCATAGTCCTGATCTAGCATGAAGGGGTGGCTGTTCTCGGTTGCGACCACTGCATGATTTCCCTCTCCGCTGAAAGCTGTTCTGAAATTGGAGAAATTGTAACCGCCCACGGACCAGTCATTGCTTGTGTCCGCCTGGATCTGTGCGAAGAAGCGTCTCAGAGCCCCACTGCTCTTATTCTTGGTGTGCGCCCGATCAAGGTCCCGCTGGCTGACTCGTTCCGGTTTTCTGAAGACTGGAGAGCGGAAAGGCGCTTGTTGCAATCGACCTGTCTGTAGATTTATGAGTGCGGCCCAGGGTTGGCCATAAAGCAGGGGGGCGAATGTTCGAGCGGTGTTCTCGTCGTAATCTTTCTTCTTGCCAGCGTCCTCAGGAAGGACCCACTGAACTTCCTTCCGCTCCGATTCCTTGTTTGCTCCTTCATCAACCGTGGACCGGCGCTTCGTTCCTCCGGGTATCGCTGGCGGTGATTTGCCATCTCCATTGGAATGCTTCGCCTTTTTCGTCTTGCGCTTGTCGGTAATTGCTTTCGCAACACGCTTTACGCCTTTCCTCGGCGGCATATTTGCGGCAGATGGAATGTAAGAGTGGGTTAATCAAACTAAGACACAAACAGACCCGATGGAAAACTATGGTAGGCGTGCGGATTGCGCGCTTTGTTCTGGAGGGACAATGAAGGTTGCCAGCAGTGCCGGATATGGCAAGCGTAGCGAGAAAAGTTGATAACAAACATGAGCGAAACGGTGTATAAAGACGTATTCTATATTTGATTGAAGTCTGGAGCGACCTATCGCAGTCGACAGCCGGCGACGGGTCATTTTGCCCCGGGCCCGACCGCACTGTACAGAACAGCGACACAACAGCCGAGTGCATACATGGGCACTTCTGACGCGTGATTCGAAATGTTCAGCTGAAAACGTGGTACCCATCGGCATTAGTAGGGTGAAGCAAGGGCTCATCGAGCGTGGTGTGTCGAATGTCGAGCTGAGGACGAAATTATTCGCTTCTTCATACCCCGAGGGGGATCAGAGCGCCTTAGCTCTCGATCTTCGTACAGAGAAGCAATATCGTTATGGTATCCCTTCAATAGCCTGGGGAACGGTTTTCGGCTCGAGTGAGGTTTGGTGAGTGTCGCAGAGGCCAGTGACGTGGAGGGCGGAGACGGTGCGAGTGTATCCAGACCAGGTGAGGAGCACCTCAGTCTCATACATCGAGGCGCCTTCGCATATATCTCGGATCACGTCGTTGAAGCTGAAGCATGATGGGGTCGCTCTGTTAAGTAGCGGCGTCGTGTGGGTTGCGCCCAGAGAGTCCAGCAGGTGTGCTCGCTCTCACACGCCTCGTGGATTCCCGTACTTGTCCATGATGTTGAAGACGACCGCGTTGTTCACGTAGCAGTCCTGACCAGGCGCACGACACCCGAGGTCTACCTCCAGTTCCGGGCCAACATCGGAGCGCATTGTTCGAATGATGTTCGCCGCATCTACGCATGAAGACTTGTTGTAGTAGCTGGTAGGATCCGCAACATACTGCACATCGTTTGCATATGTCCACGAGTTGGTGAAGGGTTGATCGTAGGGGATGTACGGCGCGTTATCCTCTGTTTTGATCTCGGGAGCTGGCGTCATAGATACGCCGTAGAATGGAGTGCCTTGAAAGTCAGGTGGCGTGTCCATGCTCGAGACTATTGAATGAGGGCTGGGAGAATCGTTGCTGCTCAGAGCTGTCGTGCGTTGCACCGGAATGCAGAGTGGAGGGCCCGCTGGGGTATTATGGCCCATCTTCGAGATTGAAGATGCCGTACTGATCGGCGAGTCGACATAGGAAGGACCATTGCATGCAATTCGCCGCTCAAGCATTGCACTGAGAGCAGGCGCAGCGGAAACATGCTCATAGGGTTGGTGACTCGGGCAGCCCATGGCTGTAACGATTTCGGCTTCCGAAATGCCTCGTTCATGGAGCAGCAAACGAAGTTTCCTGTTCTCCTCGAGGACCTTCCTGGCCGCGATCTGAATCTCAGCAGACGCTTCGATGCCCATCTGCTCGCAGCCGCGCAATTTGGCCTCTAATTCCTGGAGGTATTCTTTTCGACGTGCTCGAGATCTTCCTGCGCCCGATCAGTACATCTTGATCAGGCTGTCTTGAGCGTATCGCCTGGGGAATGCGGAAGTCATATCTACGCAGAACAGTTCGAGGTTGGGCGCAGGCTTCACAGGCAGGGAGGTGAAAGGGGTAGGAAATGCCCACTTAAGACGTTCTACTAGGGCATAGATGTGTGGACACACTGCCTAAGAGTAGGAGTGACCAGGAATGATAGTACGGGGGTAGCTTACGCTGGTTGTCTCTAATTCGAGCCAGGTTTTGGGCCTTCTATTTGCAGGTCAGTAACCGCATCCCAGAACCAAGGACTATGGAGGGTCTCACGCTTGCCTTTGAATCACTCATGGCGAAGTTTTCGTGGATAGCCGCTTGTAGTGACGGCGAACAGGTGCGCTGTGTCGGTCTTGAGGTGTCGGGCTTGCCGTCATGGTGGAGGATAAGTACGAAGCCGCCGCATCTTGGGGCTTATAGCGACCATGGGTGTGCCGCCACCAGCCAGGAGCTCGAGAGACGGCCTCGCTCGAGCTTGTCTGAGCACACCTGGTACATCTTCCAAAAGGCGCGGGAGGGGGAGGGACCGTGCGTATCAGGTCCTGCTACGAGGTTTTCATCGGGCAGCGAGGACTGTAACGTTACCGGTAATGAAAAGAGATGTGCGCCTAGCGTAGTCACGTGGCACGATCCCTGCCACCTGGGCAGGCTCCCGTCGCGTTTCGGACTCGGCGTCACAGCCCTGGGCTGGGAATCTCCGGAGTCCTTTCAGCGCGACTCGGCTCAACACCACGCGAGCAGGCCGCTGCTGCGCCGCGATACCGACCTTCAGCTCTCGTCGTTGTCGGCCCCTTGGATCATACATGCGCATTGCCCATACACATTGTCAGCAACATGACTTTCTGGAAGCGACCCGCGGCCCGCGACGAGGCAGGCTTCGACCCGGCCTTTCGATTCGAGACCTCTTGGATTCTCCCACCAGCTATACTCTTTGGCATTCGCACGTTCCTCTCGCTCTACGCTTTCGTCACGCTCTTCACTATCTTTGGGTGGAATGGCAGCCATAGCTTGTCCGCGGAATCGAGACACTCCTTCTCGTACTTCACCAACTTGACGTACTGGGGGCTCGCCTTCTACTATGCTTTCAGCGCGCTCCATACCTGCAGCTACTGGCTCACAGGCACGCCGTTCCTTTCCCGGTGGCCGCGAGCTTTCCAGATCGCCCACAGGTACGTAGGTCGCGGTACACACTCCAGCATGTCTCAGCTTTTACTTGCGGAAAGCCTTTCCTGAAGGCCTTCCAGTAGGTAAAGACCTAAGACATAGTAAAGGGCTAACTTCTCTCCCTGATCCGAACATCTGCTAACTGTGCCGCCAGCATGTACTATTCAACCATTGTCGTATACCCTTGGATTGTAACCGGCAAGCAGTTGAATTCCTTCAGGATGGTCTATGCTGACTCGCCTTAGCCGTGTATTGGGCGCTTCTGGCACCGGACAGCGGCTTCCCCTCCACCTTCGCGACTTGGTCCAATACCTCGCAGCACGCGCTCAACGCTGTGTATGCTCTGTTCGAGATCGTTTTCCCCCGTACCGAACCGCTACCTTTCCTCCATCTTATTCCAATCGTCCTGATCCTCGCGTCATACCTAGCCTTGGCATATATCACGCATGCAACCGAAGGATTTTACGTCTACGACTTCCTCGACCTGGACACGAATTCGGACGGCGAAGTTGCTGGTTATATCGTGGGCATCCTAGTTGGAGCAATTATCATATTCCTCATCGTGAGGTATGTGATACTGCTGCGTGTTTGGGTCACGGAGAAAAAGATGGGCAATATTGGAAAATTCAGCGATCGTGGAAGGACACGGGTGGTAGATGAGGAGACCGGGAAAAGCATACCTTTGCACAACATCAGGGCGAATTAGTGCAGACCTTGCAAGCGTGGGCAGTCCTGCTATCGAGTTTCGTTTCTTACAGTACAGATACCCCGGTTAATCATCGCCCGCAAATACATTTATTCACCCGCCTCCGGTCGTTGCCAACCCTTCCTTCGCCGCCCTTGCTTTTCTCAGACACCTGATCGCCTGCAGACTATGCATGGTCCTTGTTACCTCCGGCTCTCAAGCCACATGGGCAAGGCTATGGACTGTGCGTCGCTAACAACCCTGCCTAGGTGGGCGCGGCTCCTGCATGTTTCCTTTTTCTCCTTATTGCGCCGGCCACTCGAACCCACTCCAACGCCTTCATGTGACGAATGCCATCTGGTAGACATCGAGCCAGCGTCTGATTTCGATCACCGAGACACGGCATCGCATCGCACGTCATGGAGCATTTGTGTTCGAGCTAGAGTCAGGGTGATCTGGTGTTCGGGGCGGCATCCACCTTCTCCTGACGCGAATCCCGCGTGTCTGCGCCCGAAGCGCTTTCCATTACCACATAGCTGGGTGCCGCTGAGGGATTGGCCAGAAGGGCGTGTCTGAGTTGCGGCGAACAATTGGGCGACCTTCATATTCTTTTCAAGCCCTCGTAATCGACCACGAGATGCGTTTTGAAGTCTGGCGGCCAGTCCCCGGTGGACACCACCCGCTTGCTTCACCCAGCATTCTCATGACGACAGCAATTTTGACGAGACGCCGTAGGCGCTTTCTTGTGTGGAGAGCGTTGCAACCAATCAAACGACACACGTGAGAATACTTTCGTGCCAAGCATCCTGGAACAGCCCTGGACGGGGGTAACACTTGGTTGTTGGCTACAACAAGAGAATACGACAGAACATGGGCCACGGCTTCTAGAAAGGGGCTAAGGCTTACACCCCTGCTCGCATGCAGCGGCCTGGAGACCTCGGGAAGCACACGACATGGAGTGACGCTGCTGTCACGACTTGCCAAGCCCTGGCTTGCGCAATTTTCGCCCGTCTGATATCGAGCGAGACCACGACGGATGCAAGAGGCTGCTGTCACTATGAGCCAACGAGCTTTCTGGCGCACCGCGAATCCAGGGCGATGGGCGTACAGACGTCTTTCCGTTCGTCTGATCCTGCATCTTACTAGTACCAGCCCTAGCACAGTACTCTACTAGCACACAGACGGCACGGTGGATGCGTTACCGATGTGGCACTTTTGGCAAACCTTCTGCTCCAGTCCTCTGGCGTGGACTTATGCGGAGGCGCTCTTGCCAGCGAGGCATGAAGGGCATGCCTAGCTCTGAATTCCTGTCACGGACCCCGAGCATGAATGCTACTCGCACTTCAAGGTCGCTAACAGGTCGAAAAAGCACTTGGAGATACACGGACGCCGCCGGCCGAGATGCCTGGACGGACGCTATACGCAAACTGGGGTATACTGCATACGGATCATCCGCCGTCACCGCCCGTTCAGACTGGCCGAATCTAAAGGAATAGAGTTGGATTGCACGCCGAAGCCCATCGATATTATGACTTGGGATGCGAGCCTCCCCATTATCGGAATTCTGTGGCATCCTGCAAGGCCACCGTCTTTTCAAACTGACATGGCGGCACAAAGACCATGCTTCCCCTCCCTAGGTTACAGTCACTCCTTAGATGAAGTCCAAGCGCGGTCTTCGCAAGGGCACACACTTCCTAGCATGCGCTTCCACGATGCCGCTAGTCTTCATGTTTTTGACACGCCTAGCAATACCCTGGTGCGCAGTGGCAGTAGTCGTGTCGGCGTTCCTGGCTTCGAGATAACGCGCAGATAAAGTGCGCCGAGAGAAGGTGTACCTTGCGGTCTCAATGTACGACGCATACTACTTTGGCGAGTTAAGTCTCGAATGGAACGGAACGTAGGAACCGTTCTACTGCTGAAACCCCGCAGTTGCATTCTGCTAGGCGTGAAGGATCTATGGCCCTGCTTCCATGGCGCGGTTTTTACCGTTGGGCCTTCCTATACGAGTAAAGCCATCCTAGATGCCTCGACCGTCGCCAGTTTCAGGACACGAACATGAATTAGGACATGGATGCGAGTCATATCGGACGTTCCGACGACAGGGAACGGGATGCGGAAGGAGTAAGTGCTAGTTCGTCCGTTCGGCGTCAGCACTTGTTCCTTCGGGTGTGCGGCACTGTCGACGTGCGGACTACCAAGTCCTGGTAATTGAATGAGCCGCAGCCCTCGCCAACCTCGACGCCAAACGTCACGAAGCGGGATTGCTGCGATCGGTGGAATGCAGTCTGACGACTTTGGAAGGCATAGCAGAGGTCATGCAGCACGTACTTCCATTACTGTATTGCCTCGTAAGGAGCTGCATGGCAACCTTGGAACTGCACGCTGCGTTCGCGCTAGCCGCTGTCAAGAAAGCCCGCAAGCGCAAGCGTGGGGGTTTTGCAGTCCAGAGGGAGGCGATCGTTCGATGCGGTGAAGATGCAGGGGACTCGAAGGGGAGCAGCGCCGCCTCTCGAGACAACTCGAGACTTCACGACTGTATCGCCATGGCCACGTCGGCCATGCCGCGAAGAAGTGAATGGTTCCTGTTCACTCGGAAGCGTTTCGCCATCATCGTCCGGCCCACCCTGAGAACGGGAGAAAGGGCGCTAGCTACATGAGAAACGAGGACTTGCAGCGCCTGACCCTGACTCGAATCCCCACCGCGATTTCTGCAACCCCCCGAAACCCCAGCAGAGTCCTGGATTGTGGGACTGTTTCTGGAAAATTCGGCCATTCTTTCCTTCCCACTCGCCCTCGCGCTTATCGATAACGCACCCTATAACCGAGGCAGCGAGGCTGCACCCACCTCCACAGCTAACTGCGCCTGCATATCCAATAAACCGCAACAAAACTCTATTCGCTCAGTCTCTCCCCCCGGAAAGCTGCCAAGAGCGAGCGCATCATGATAGAAGTCGTATACGTGATACGGCACGCGGTACGTCGGGATGCTCTGCCGGCCTGATCGCGGCCAGCCAGCCAGCCAGCCACCGATACCTCAAAACGGCTGTGCTATGCAACCCGCGCCCTGCTTACGCACTACAAGGCAGACCGACTGACCGGGATCCACAGTTCCGCGCCAACTGGGTCGTTAATCCTCAGACGGGCGAATACTCGGCGTCGATGGTGAGGACGCCAACTGGGATTCCGACTGACCCGCCGCTGGCGGCCAAGGGAGTGGAGCAGTCGAAAGAGCTGGCAGAGTACCTTTGCAGTCTGGAACCGCCAATCGATCGGATCTATTCGAGCCCCTTTTATCGCTGTTTGCAGACGCTAAAACCCACTGCCGAGAGGCTGTTCAAGGAGGGGAAGGCTGGGGGGAAAATCAGGATAGATCGCGGAATTGGGTAATGCTTCTTCGTCGCGTCCCTAGGTCGAGAACGAGCAGATGCTGACGATGTGAAAGAGAGTTCTTCGGCCGCGCCGACTTCGACCATCCTACACCACCAGACGTCAAAATCCTAAACCCGCACTTCGAGGACTTGGACCAAAACTACGAATCCATCCACATCCCGCACTCAAAGGGCGAATTTATTGTCGAGCTGCACCAGCGTGTTCGAAATGCGCTGAACCACATTATCACCGCGCTCGACAATGACCCCGAGCAGCCAAGAGCAGTCCTACTCTGCACGCACGCCGCCACCATGATCGCGGCAGGCCGCGTACTAACGGGCCAGATGCCGGAGGATCCCGACGAAGACGACTTCCAGTGCTACACGGCGTCGCTATCGAAGTTTGTGAGACGGAGTACTGATCCGGGGAAGAGTCCGATAGGGAACTGGGACTGCGTGGTGAACTCAGAGACGGGGTTCTTGTCTGGTGGCGCGGAGAGAGGCTGGTGAGTCGCGTACATTTCTCTTATTTCCATTTTCTTATATGTATCTCCTTAGGATGTTCTGGCATCATCGCAAAGATTGGCCGGATTCGGAGCCTGAGAAGTCGGGGTGGTCGTTGTCGGGTGCCGCCGAGATCCAGGGGCTCAGTTTGGCGGGCCTGAGCGACGGGATGATAGTGCCTCCCTAAACGGATCTCTCCTATCCTTCGGGTTTGCAAAGCGACTGACGCGACATGTTCGACAGGAAGTTCAACGGCGAGGAAAGCTTCATAGCGTTTCCTGAGGACCCTCTCGACGGGACGAATTCACCCAAACTGTGAGCGCCATTGGCTCTTGAGCATAGAGACCCTGATTTGCATTTTTAACTCGCTCGCTGTGGGCGCGATAGAATCTGATAGATTATGGTGCGCACCAAGGGCGCGGCGTATAAGCTGTTCTAAGGGCTGAGCTATTGTCGCACGGTACCCTTTCGATAGAACGCTGCACCAGCATACTACGGAGTATATCAGCTGGCATATGAACACGAAGCATACGTTATCTTTCAAGCCCTCCCAAGTGCCTTTTGACCTTCCGTAAACTACTCGCATACAATCTCTCCCCAACCCGCTCCTAAATATGTATCCACGACAACCCAAAAAGGAAAGCCCTCACACGACCTCCCCACCCCAACGTCCAAATAACCTCACAAAGTAAGCTCAGCGGGCCCCCTGCAAGTGTAGTCCTCATTAGCCCCGCCCGAAGGCTCGGGCGATCCGCTGGAAATGAAAAACGTGGTGAAAATTAAACGGCTGTGGCGCGGTGTGGGACCAGGTTCTTGTCGTGTCTGTTCTGAACCCAGATCTGAGGCCAAACGCATCCCGCGGGTCGCAAGTGCGGCAGGCGAAAACAGGCGCGCGGAAACGCACTGTAGATCGGCGGCGGGGGTTCGCTCATGGCGTGAGCGGCTGGAAAGGCTGAATAAATAGAGACGCCGTTCCTGGTCGTCGGTTTGGGAGGATGGTGGTGGAATCTGGGGTAGTGGATGCGGATGCGTCACCCTTCACCCTTTCGCCGATTTTAGGCTTCAGGGCGTTTCCACTCTAAGCAGCTCAAGTATAGCTCAGCGATTCTGGTGATTAGTGCTAGCGCTTCTGTTCTCTTCCCTTCCTTTCGTATATCAATTCAGCTTTCGCGCGCGCTATTCGAGTCGTTTCTGGCCTTGCTATCATCATCCCACATCTTTGCTTGCTTTAACCTACAACCAACTCCTACGCTGCCTACTCGTCGCTTTTCTACCATCTCATCCCTGTCATACATCCTTCAAGATCTAAGCCAAAAAAAAAAGGCATATAAAAACCCAACATGCTTCACTACGAAATCATCCACTACTGCGACATTCCACCCGAGCAAAAGCGCAACCTAGCCGTCGCCCTCACATCGCTCCACTGCCGCACCTTCTCCGCGCCCTCTATCTTCGTCAACGTCACGTTCCAGCACTACACGAGCGAAGGCTGGACCGCTGGGAAACTGGGATGCTGTCAGACGGTGTTTGTGGGCGGGCGGCGGGTACGTTCCAAGTCTTATTCTATTCCCTTGCAATGGGCAGTCATGAAAGATGACTTGAACGCGGCCTGCTCATTGATCCATCTCCTTCAATAGGTCCACACAAACTACATCCACGCACATATTCGCCCGCGCACCCCCCACAACCAAGCCAAACTCAACACCCTCACTACAGAAATAATGCGCCTCTGGGACGAAATCATCGTACGCTCCAAGCCCTCCCGGGGAAGCAGATACAAGCCGAAGGAACCGCCTGGGCGGCTTGGCGAGAGCCGCGCACTGCACAACGTCTTCATTATGCAAGACATAGCCGCCGGCGCAGAGCAAGGATTTATTCTCCCTATCGCTGGCGAGGACGGCAAGTGGATTGAAGAGAATATGGCAGAGTTTGAGAGGAGGGCGAAAGATGGGGATGAGAGTATGAGGGCGTTAGCGGAGGAGGTGAAGACGGGGCTGGGGAGTGGGCCGGTATTGAAGAGCAAACTGTGAGGATGGGCGGTATGCGAAGTACTGTGGGATGAGAGAAGAGGACTATTCTATTGAGAGATTTATGAACTGAGTATGGATATCGTCGGTCTACAACAACAGAAACGCCTCCGGAGTCAGACGCTCTATCACCGCTTCATCGTCACCTCTGGAACACCACCGTGCACTTCGAATGCGTCGCTCACAATGGCACCTCCTCCATCATCTGCATAGTGCCCTCTCTTCCCACCGTAATTATCACATCTCCTAACGTCTTCGTTGCAAAGCCCGCCTCGCTGTACCTAAAATAATACTCCCACTTCCTCCTGAACACCTCCGCGCTCTCCGCATCTATATCCTCTTTCTTCTTCTCACGCATGAGCTTGGGCTTGATATTCGCTTCCCAATTATCCGAGAACGCTTCGCGCCATAACCGCAACGCCTTCGTGTAATGCGGCCCAATATTCTCCACGCTGTCAACGACCAGCGTGCCGTTCGAGCCGTTGGTGATCGAGTTTACGAGCTGCGTTACGGTGGGGAGGTGCCCGCCGGGGAAGATGTAGCGGCGGATGAAGTCGTCGGATTTTGCGTAAGCGTCGTACCGCGCTTCGGGCATGGTTATGCATTGGAAGCATGCTATTCCTCCTTCTTTCTTGAGAAGCTTATTTATACACCCAAAGTAAGTATTTAGGTATTCCTTGCCAACGGCCTCCAGCATCTCGATTGACACGATCTTATCGTACGGATCGGAGGCGTATACGTCGAGACTGCGGTAGTCACGTAGAAGCACTGTGATCTTGTCTGATAGTCCTGCGTCCTGTATCCTCTGCTCCGCGAGGTGCTTCTGTTCGGTTGATAGTGTCACTGATGTCACGCGGCAGCCGGTTCGCTGAACTGCTCGCATTGCAAAGCTGCCCCACCCAGTGCCGATTTCTAGCACAAGATCCGTGGATTTGATATGTGTGTTGTCGATGAATCGGTCTAGCTTTCGCATCTGCGCGTCCTCGAGGCTCTCGACTGCATGTCGCTGGTCGGATTTCGGTAACCATATCGGACATGAGTAAGTCATGTCTGGGGACAAGAAGGCCGCGAACATGTCGTTCGAGATGTCGTAATGTGCGGAGATATTCAGACGTGCATTCTTCAGATTATTGCTCCCTCGGACTAGGCCAGCGAGGCCAGTGGAGATTATGGACGTAAAAGTCGAGCCATTGGAGAGGGAGTTGCGGTTGAGGATGAAGAGCTGGGATTGTGAGCTGTAACTAGAAGTCAGGATGAGCTGCTGCTTACCTCGAAGAATTTAGTCAAATCGGACGACGAGACTTCTCCGAGCATGTAGCTTTCCGCGAAGCCCTATCTTCTCGGTCAGCCTCACAACACCTTTTGGAGCTGGAGCTGGAGCTTCTAGGAAGTCTGGCCCTTGCAGATTAAGACGCACCATATCCGCGAAGAGCGCTAATCGGACCCAGAACTTCTCATCATGAACATTGAGGACCGCTACTGGACAGCCGGGCGTTTCAGCTCCAAATACCGTCGACGCTTTGCTCGAGCTCTTTTCGTAAAGTACAAGTTTCCCTTGCCGGATCGCTTGCAACTGTGAAAGCGTCCCATTCCTGCACACTGACACCAGCGGATCCCAAGCTTGGGATGCGATTCCATTCCATATCGCCGCAGCGGGACTTGTCAAAGGGCTGAGGATGGCCATGAGAGCGCGCGCAGGCAGAGACGTGTACGAAAGACAGAAACAGCCAATGGCACCCCCAGAGGTTTAAATCAGCTCAATTGACAACGTAACGTTGCTCTGAGCTTATTGTGGACGCACAGCTCGGATATCGCGTGAACGGCTTCTGGAATGCGTCGGGACGAAGAGGAACAAACAGTGACGAGGGCTGCCATGACAGCAGCGACAACGGCCATATTAACAAAAAGTTCGCGTTGACCGGATCAACCAAAGCCGACGGGGCTCACGCCAGCGTGTTGATGCGTGTGGCATTTGTTTGAGCTGCAGAATCGACGAGGGTGCTTTGCCGTTTTTAGCATTCGATGACGTTTTCGACTTTTTCGGCGAGAGCACAGTGGAAAGATCCGAGAGCGCTGTCTCCGTTCTTCGCGGCATTTCGGGCTGATAATTGGCCCTAGTTCGAGTCGCCTTTTGCGAATGCGAAGAGCAAGACTAGAATACATAAGAAAGCGGGTGAGACATTGTAGAAATGACGTTGGTGACGAGCATCCGTACGCAGGGTCATGGCATGGGTGCGGCCAGCTGCTCCATTGGTGAGGGGCAGCTCTAACTGCAGGGCTGGAGCTTATGCAAGGGCATTGCCTCTTTGCATGTGCCGGTCCGGCGAGCTCCGGCTGTGACAGTTATTTTGAAGTCGAATCAGTCTCAAGAGCGAGGAGGAGAGGGATGACAGGCTGAATTGTCCTCTCCGTTTGGAGGCATAGCCGGGCCCAGGAGCGCGACTGCCGGACGGCACGCGACATTCGATGGACTGGGGAGGCGTCTGAAAGGACCAGAGAGATTGCCGGTGGTGACACGAAACGGTGGTAGAGTTTGAACAGGCGTCCGGGATGGAGTCTGAGAGATGTCTGGGGTTGCGTTTTCAGAGGGCTCGTCCCGCCCGCTCAAAAGGGAAAGATCGTCTGTGCGTCGCTACTCAATTCTCCGAGCGCGTCGACGCGTCCTCTGTGTAACAACGCGTCTAATCCCAGGAAGAACCGCTCCAGCTGCTCTGCGAACAAGACAGACCTCCTTTCGACGACATCAAAGCTTCATAACTGTCCAAGAAAGCCTGTCGCCTCCCATGCTCGCCATCCACCCCTCCAACCCGCGGAAATGCACCCCCAACCTCCTCCCCGCCCGCCTCAACCACAACGGCCCCATAAATGACACAGACCGATACTGGAAATCTAGGAAAGACGGGAACGGTACGTCTTACGTCCTCCAGCATCATCTCTTGTTCGATATAACTACTATGCTCCGGTTCATTTACGGCTCCACCACGGTCTAAAACCCGCGCAGGAAACGCACACGCTTACTTCCGCGGCCGCCACCTGCACGGCACCACGCTGCCCCTCCCCTCAAGCTACGCTGGCGCCGTACTGCACGTAACGGGCAAAGATCTCCCTCCATCGCAATCGCAGAGCCAGACGGGCAATGATCGGATGGGTGAGGATGAGGAAGAGGAGAAGACCGACGTCAAATTGGCAGAGAAAGTGGGCGAGTTTGACGAGGTTGTGGTTTGGGGACATGGTGGCGAGGTGGAGGGTGGACAGGATATGTTTGTAAGGGGACTGAAGGAGTGGGTGGGGTTTGCGGAGGCTATGCATGCGGGGGAGGAGGAAGAGGAAGAGAAGGAGACGTGAATAAGCATTGCCGGTGGGATAGATGAAGACGGTGCACGTAATTGGGGAAGCGCATAAAGACACATGATGCCTACACGAAACACTGAGAGATCACGTGTCGAAGAGGGAGGGCTCAGGGCGAAAAGGATGAGCCAGAAACAGTAGTCGATTATACGGACCACGCCTTCTCCGCTCGGAGCGGTGACGTTATTAGCACGTAACTCCTAAGTGTAGAGCTCTAGTTATAGCATCTATACTATATTACTTGTAGAGTATGTATTATGTAACTATGCGGTCCTCTCTATATAGTGTAGCTCCCCACGCAAAACCGAACTCAATAGGGACCACGCCAAGGTGAATGCGCCCATTCCCAAATCGTCGAGGACAAGCACCTCCAGCAACGGTCAATCGTGCCCACGCTGGATATCTTGCCTTCCCTCAAGATAGGTCTGACCTGCGCTCATCGCCGGCAGTAGCAACATAACCACGCTCAGCGTCTGTCCGAAGCCCCATACATTCTCCCCTTCATCCTGCAAGCCACACCATCTCTCCTGATCCTTCGGCACCGAGAACTTCTGACTCAGGACCAGAACGACGGACAGTGACGCTAGGATGATCTGGACAATGAAGGCAATCAGGGGGTTTAGGAACAGGTAGTAGACGAGACGCAGACCAATCGTTCCCTCGACGGTGATCGGACTGCTTTTTGAACCGATCCTCAGGCGCACGCCGCAGAGCATGGGTGTGATCAACGAATCCGACTACCGAGACGTGAGCATTCTTCTTTGCGGCTTGTACAGAATGCACACCAATGCCGTCGAGAATCCGATGAGCATAAAGAACATGGGGATAAGGAAGGCAAGTCGCCGCACGCCGGGTTGCCTCTCCACATCTCCGTTATCAGCTTCGATTATGGTCTCTGGCATGCTTATGGCGGCGATCATGGACGAGAGAAGGAAGAGCGCGAAGGAAATGACAAGCGTCATGCGGATTTTCGCAATGAGTTTGTACTTGCCGAAGTATTTGCGGAGCGTGATGAGCGCGGCGAGGTGAGAGGAAGACGACAAGGCGCAGATGTACAGGAGGAGGACAAAGTGAGCACCTTGGACTTCGAAGGCGTTTCGAGCAACCTGCGCGTATAATGTGTCAGTGTACGTGGCGGGGTTCATGGATCTTCCTCATGGTGAACCTGAATCCAACCGCTGAGCAGTACCGCATAGCCAGTGATGAGTTGCTGGTCTCCCAATCCAATGATGAGAGGATCCAAGAACGGACGCCAAGCATAGTCTTTCTTCCACTCAGTATCCAGAAAGCGCTCTCTGAGGTACTTTACCGGCGCTCGTAGGGTGAACTGTCCTCGAGCGTCGAAAGCTTGGTCGAGGATCATAGCGAGGATGGAAGCGGTCGTAGTCATGATGCTGGCTAGGACGAAAGAGATCACCACCTCAACTCATTAGCACGGTAACCACCGTGTGGAACGTCGAGGAAATCCTTACGCCAACGCCAGCAATGCCTGCATCCGCATCAGGTCCACAGTGCCCTCCAACGGACACTGTGCTATCGAACACGACCCACGGCGCTGGCATGTCCTGTAGAGCGGCGACCGGCGCTGACAATGAAGAAAGAAGAGTGCTGAGTTGACGAGACGGAGTGGTGAGCGGGAATAGAGGTAAGGTATCAGCAGGGGCACCGCGGGAGCTCGCGCCGGCTTGAGAAAGGTAAGTGTCAGTTAGGTCGGAGTCGGAGGTTGAGTAGGAAAGCGCATACCGATATGTCGTGCAAGCATGTGTGCAGGCTCAGAGTATGGCGAAAGAAGGATGTGCCATGCGGTTGACGAGTATTTGTCCGAGTGGCAGGAGTAGGAAGACGGGAGCGAAGGAGCTACTCAGACGGCCATTCTTGACATCACGTAGCCTGGCGAGTACTGTACAATATATAGTGGACAACGGTTCGTGGGTATCAACTCGACTTGACAAGGCACTACCTGAACGGCTTCACGGCCGTTTGCTCTTCGCCTTGACTCTAGCAGCCAGCTTCCTCAAATCATCCCCGTCACTTGCAACCCGTTTCGAAGCCTTCACCTGCCCAAGGTCGTCCTCATCCCTGTCACGTTTCCGCTTCTTTCGCCCTTCCTCTAGCAACGCCTTCATGCCTGAGGTGCCTTTGAAACGCGGATTGGTAGGGTCAATCGCAAACTCGTGGTTCTCGTATAGTTTGGCGAATCGTGGATCATTGGTATCCATCTGGAAGTTATCCTCAAGGACGGCGTCCTTTGCTTTCTTACTCTTCTTCCCTTTCTTCTTCGCTTTTTCAGCCTTCAGGATCTCGTTCATGTCGAAGTGCTGCACTTTGGATCCCTCGTCGTCCACCATGAGCAGTTCGAGTTTGGCGCGTTCAGCGGCAGATTCCTGCTCTTGCTTCTCTCGTTCTTCCCGCTGCTTAGCCTTCCTCGACTTCTTCGACTCCGCCTTCGTAGCGTCCGCAGCCTCGGTATCCGACCCAAAGAAGGGGTCGTTCCACGGATCCTCTTCGTGTGCGTTGGTCTTCGTTGCGCTTTTACATACAGACACCGCATCGGGGTCATTCCCTTCTTTCATAGCTACGGCTTTCTCTTTTCGTCGCGCCCTTCGCTCTTTCTGCTTTCGGATGTACTTCTCAAGTGTGTTCTCTTCAGGCTCGTTTTCAAAGACAGAACTCTTTCCACCGTTGGCAGACAGGCCAGCTGTGAATGTGATCTGCATTTCGTCATCTGGCTTCTTGAAGTCTCGATCTCTCTTATGCGACAATTTCTGCTTTGGCTGCGACTTTCCCGCGGGTTCCAGGCCTAGAGCCGCTCTGAAACTAGCAACCCTATCCGCTTTGGAAGCTTCAGCCTCGTCTTCGGAGGATGAGGAGTCTGTCCCCAGGTACGCCTTCAGCTCGTTCTCATCTATCTCTTTCCTGGAGAAAGCTCGCTTTTGGACCTCTTTTCGTGTTGTGTCCTCGGCATCCCAGGTCAATTTGACCTTGGAATGTGATAGAGCGTCGGTGATGAATTCATTCGGTTTATAGCCGTCCGGCAGCCGTTCGCATTCGTCGTGAGGATCCGCATCGAACTCAACCCCGTCGGGTATGAATCGAAGGTCAAAGAAGTTGGCGCTAGAGAGATACTCTCGTCCGTCCATGCTCTCGTATATCGCTCTGGCGACGTCGGGCGAGGAGCAAGTGATAACGGCATAGTAATAGCGTAGTCGATCGAGTTGGTAAGTCCGCAGTGCCTTTGAGTCGAAATCTTCGCCCATGTTCTCGTTTGCTAGCTCCTCTTTCAACTCCTCTTCGTCTTCCGATCCAGGTTCTTCGTTGAGGCTGCCTATTGTAGTGACATTTTTTTTCTTGTTCTTAGCTGACGAGGCGAATATCTCGCGCGGGGGCCCTTCCATCTCCTCTCGCTGTAAACGCTCTATCCCAAACTCGCTAGGGTATATGATGACACTGTGTATCCTTCCATCTGCGGGGGCGAACGAGTTGGCCACAGCCATGATATCCGAGGCTCGGATGTTGTCCCAGTCCATGTTTACCGCCGCAATTCTCGACGTGATATCCCCCATAGGCACCTCATTTCCTTGCGCTGCCAGTTCTGCCTGGTCTTCAACTTCCTCTTCCTCCTCTTCGTCTTCGCTGGAACTATCGTCCGAAGATGAAGACAGCCCACCATCTCGAATCGGATCGAAGCCCCTCTGTCGCACCTTGTCGAGCTCCTTCCGCACGGCCTCATCCCGCTTGTGCTGATTGGGCGCATCCAGATTATCCTGGCTGTCTTCATCGTCCAGCTCGTACATGCGCTCCAGCTCCTTCTTGCCGGCGTCTTTCGATATGCGGCGCCCATATCTGTCGACGGATGCCTTGTTGTGGAAGTCGGGGTCAGACTTTAATCGCGAGAATCGAGGGTCGAGCTTCGTTTTCGCATGTTTCTTGGAGGGCAGACGGAATCTGGGGTCGGTCTCGAAGCTGGCAAATCTGCTGTCGCCTGGGCTTGTCAGCTAGCGCAGTAGGCATGTCCTGCGCACGTACCTGACTTTGGCTTGGGCTTCGACGACGCGCTCTTCGGAATCGTGGGGCGTTTGGGCAGCGGCATTGTTGAGTGTCGTGCTCGAATCGCTCGCCTTGGAATTCTTTTGGCGATGCTGCAGGCGGTCAGACATTTTCTGCCGGCTGTGCAGTGCCAAGAGTTCCGTTATCGATAACGCACCTGCGTCGGCTGTTGCGACCGGGGCTCTCACCGTGTGGAAATCTCCGGATAGAACGACGCGCGCAACAGCTACCCTGGAGGCCTTCGCGAGTGCGTACAATGGACGACCTAACCTTACTTACTTGTATGGCGAGCCCTTGGATCCGGAGAATTCCCTTCCGCAAGAGGTCGGCTATTGCGACCGGGGTTGCCGACTTTCTGGAGAGCGCGTCACAGTGGGGAGAAGGTCGTGTGAGCAGCACCTGCTCCTGAACCACCCCTCCCAGACCCCTCGATAATTCCCAGCGGCCGCCCCTAGAGCCTGGCAGTATCGCAGCACTCAAGGACTGACCTCGGATGCACCCAATGGCTTATTCGAGGCTCTTCACGTAAGCTTCCCGTTTGTTGAGCTCCGGGAGAAGCTATGCTAATATCGCCACCGACAGACCTCGCAACTTCGCCATCTTCTCCTTCCTGTCTCTCGGCGGCGGATATATGATGCTCAAGTCCCGAGCCCTAGCTGCAAAGCAAAGAGAGAGAGCTGTGGGCGACTACAGCGTATCCGTTGATCGGTCGGGTATGTTCCTAAGTCGGTTACACGTATGACGGGTTGGTCCCAGAAGAGGCACCAGCGCGTTCTCACCTTTTAGGCGCCTAGAAGGACGCACCTGGCGGGCAAGAAGATTGGAATGGCAACAAGAAGCCTGGAACGAATGCTGACGACACCTTCAGGCGGCGGCATCTGAGTCCTAGGACAGGCACACGACGTTATGACCACGGCAGTACTATTCCAGCATAGCCAGGCAGGCAATGGATTTGGCGTTCAATTTCGCGAACTGGTGGCATTCTGAAGAGGCTTCGTAGGCAACGAACGACTTGACTTCCACGTCCATTTTCCTGGCTCGCCCTGCTCCGTGACTGGCCGTGAGCGAGTACTTCTCATAGTAACTACCTTTGTTCCAAGGAGCTTCAATCAGGCATGCACATCAAGCACAGATTGAATGCTAGGTGTAGGGCAAGCGGCCTTGTCTCGTTGCGCGTGGGATTTGCATCTGCTCAACGCCAATTCTCCAAACACTCGCCAACGTATCAAATCGGGCGGGTATATTCCAAACGACTAGCATCAGTTTCGAGAGGACAACCGACTTTTCCGACCCGGCTCTGCTTTTCTATGCAGACCCCGCTTTGTTGTTGGTCGGCTTACTCAGAATCCGGTGCTTCAGCCAGCCTCAGCGACCGCAGCACTAGATCCCAGCTACTAACAATAGAGAACTCAGCCTCAGCAGCGGCTCTTCCGCCCAACCCCGGTAAACACGCCCAAGGTCGCAGTTCCCGCGATTAAAAGCCTTGATTGTTAGGGGCCGAAATCTGACTTGTGGTTTCTGCGGCGCCCAGCATGATTGAACGCACCTCGCGCCTTGCGCAAATACCCCGGTTGAGGCTTGCATTTCAGCTCCTCGCTCGGGCGGTTAGCTCTCGCTTGTGTCTGCTGTTCTGGCCCAAGCCAATCGGGATAGCTTCTTTCAGCACTTATCGGGAGAACACGTCCTGACGCGGGCGTGTGTTGGCTCGAGCTTTAGCCTTATGACAATGCTGACTCTTAAAGAGGTCATCACGCCTCGGGGTTGTATTCTGATGGCGCAGCTGCGGCGAGTAGCTTATCCTTCCTCGATCACCGTCTCCCGGAACATACTTGACAAAGCCTGCGGACAATCCGACGCTGTCGTTCAATGCCAAAATCGAGCCCCGCTCATGCTTCCTTTCATCAGTCTCTCAGTGCGGCCCTTCAATTTCCGTCTCCTCGCCTCTAGTCCAGAATGGGGGATAACTGGAAGTACTACGATGTAGATGGCTTTAACAAGCGCAAGAGAGAGCAAGGAAACACGTACAGGATCCCGCCCCGGGCGAACTTTCTGCTCGCGGCAAACTACATCAAGAATTTTCTCGATGGAAAGAAGTTCAACTGGGCCGCCATGGGCGGTCTGGCAATGCTCTGCCTGGGATCGCGGCGTGAGATGCTGGATATCCACATAGTATACGATGACAGGGACTTCCAGCGCATCAGAGCAAAGTTAGAGGGGGATCAACGGTATGTCCCGCTGCAACAACACCTGGTCCTCCAAGCTTATGGTATCAGAGTGCGATTACCCAAGGGTATGAACTCGCTTTTCCCCTCGAAGCTCCTCATCGCGACCGGGCCTAAATACAACGACGCTGGTTGCACGGAGAATGCAGAAGTTGAAGTGGATCTGGTACCCCCGGGTGAGTCGTCAAAATATAGGATACAGGGAAATCTGGTCTGATGGCGCCCAGGATCACACGGTTCTCCACCGAACGATGTACTGCGCAATAACCAGGTTATGCTGCGCCTGAGCCGTGACGGCAGATCGGAGAACTTTAAGGGCTTAAACATGCTCTACCTAATGAAGACTACCGTCTATTATTGCAAGAGTCCAGATCTAGTATGGGACCCCAGGAAGGATGTGGTATTCCTATGCCAGAACTACGGAAAGGAGATCGAGTCGATCCGGACCCGTCTCAACGCTCGAGAAATCCAGGAAAACTTTCTAGGCACCTCGTTCTTTAGCAGGCTGCCATCCGACGAACAGCGTCGATGCCACCTCATCTTGCTGGGTAAAGAGCCACCGCCGACCATGTCCGTGACCCCGCCCGTACCATATCCGGGTCATCGGCCGTCTGCTTCGGCGTCTGATCCACTCACGAGACCACGCATACCCTCTCACAAATCTTCTCCCTCGCTCAACAACGCCGTGCGGCAATCCTCGGGCCTCTTAACCCCGCCGCTTCCTGGTAAAGCGAAGGCGGGTCCAGTTGTCCCTGAGAGCACGCCACCTACACAAACTACTGCGCCATCTGCTCCGACAACCCAAGATCCAGTCCCCTCCGCCACCGGCAAAGATTCTCGTTCCAGATACCGTCACGCAAGTGCTCCGAACACACCAAATGCGAGCAGGAACGGAAGCCCAGAATCGAACGTTCCCGGTGCGTCAAGGCCTAAGTCCATGGAACCTCGTGCTCCACAGCAGCAACCTGCCACTCCTTCCTACAAGATGCCGCAGACCGGAACCCAAAATGTTGCCTACGTTGGACATATCTTGAAACCGCAGATGCTTTCGGGCCTGACTGCGCCGCCCATGGGCGCGCGTCCCCAAAAATCCATGCCAGACTTGAAGGGTCGCTTTACCGGTACGGTTCCAGTCTACGCCCATGGACAACAGACAATTCCTCCCGTTCCCCGAGGCCATTCGATCCCGTCTCCACCAGACTCTTTTGCGGTGCCGCTTGCGGGTTCGGCGGCAGCCAAGCGCACACTACCCCAAGGACCGCCCCAAGGACCGCCCCAAGGACCGCCTCAAGGATCGCCTTATATATCGCAGAAGCACGGTGCATTCAGGCCAGCAGGTACAAGTGTTTCCCATATGGGTCCACAGCCAATCGCTACTCAGAATAGACCCTCGCATGGAACTCAGCAGCAATCAGGCAAAAGCCAGGGAAGGTACTACGTAAACTCCACAGAGCCTGGACCAAGACCCAACTACGCTGGTTCCGACGTTCCTTCGTCGGAAGGCTTGCGGGTTATTGGGTCAGAACATTTATACGCTGCTTCACAGAAGACTGGCCCCCAGAATCCCCGAGGCCGGCCTGTAACCTATGATCCAACGGAGAAACCGCGAGCGAGATCGGCAGAGCACAAGACCATGCCAAGCCAGAAGAATTTCGTTTTTGAACTCGATGCAAGTCCTCCAATAACAGGGTCTGCCCCTCAGGGATTTGGACCTCAAGGATTCATCGCAGAGCTACCTGCTGAAGTGGATGTGCGTGGCCCGACAAGTCAAAACCCGACCCCTCGCAGTCACTTCGAACCGAGTCCACCTCAAGCAGCAGCACAACTTGTTTCCACTCTACACAAGAGCTACGAGGATTCTCCAGTAAGCCCGCCTCTCGATTATGTTGTCCCGGCGCCGCTACAACCCAGACCACAGACGGGTCCTGTTGTTCCGCCCTCGCAGCCCGCTCCATTCGATGGACTTCCCGCTAGCTTAATGATCGGAGGACTGGGGCCTAGACGTCATTCTCCTAGCAATTCGTCCTCCCAACTACATGCGCAACCCATACAACCAGAGTCCAATGCGAAGAAGTACCAGCGATACTACTCACCTCCTGTATCAGCGCCCAGCAGCACGCATCCTTCCCCAAGGCATTCCCCAAGGCAAGCCCCAGTCTCAGAGTATGAAGCTTATTCAGGTCCGATCAGCCCCCCAACGCAGCCCGCCACAGCTCCGGCCCAGCTCCAAAACTCCTCTTCGATGGCACAAGTCCATGCTGCTCCGATGCTAGCAGCAGCACAGCCACACGCTCCTTCGCCCGCCCGCCCTGCAAACGTGTACGCTTCCCATCCCAATGTGCTAAAAGTAGCACCTGGACCGCGGGGCGAGCAACCACTACAGAAAACCATGCCTTTCCAGCTTCCAAACCCGCTTGGAGCGAACCCGCCGACGCCGCCCGTTGAATCTCTCACAAAGCACGATTCACATCAAAATCACAGAGAACATGCCATGAAGGGAGGACTTGCCGGCGTGAGCGTAGGAGTCGCGGGCGGAACAGGTTACGCAACATACTCGTACCACTCAAGTGAGCAAGCCACACAGTACCAATCCGGTGACGAAGTGCGGTATGTCCCGTTCGGGGCCGCCGCGCAAGAGCAGCAACACCCCTACGCAACCCAGATCCCATACGCACCACCACAGCCGGCTCCTCGTCCTGCACACGAAGCCAACCATCAGCGAAGCATCTCGCACGACTCGCACACCTCCACCACTTCGCAAGACTCGGCGAAGCTAGCTCAAGAGTACCAAATGGACCTTCCTGACTTCAATCGCGGCTACGGCTCCGGCTCCGACCACCACTCTCACACGGATGAATATGATTTTACATAGGGCGTTGGGTAGGTAATGAAGAGCTAAAACAGGAAAAGTGATGAGGATAATGACTGTAATACTGTATAGAAGCGTTTTAGCATACACCGCATGTCTGGGTTGGAAATTCTAGGATAGTCATGAGTATATCTGAATTTTGATCAAATAACTACGGACGTGCTATACCTGGGTCTACGTTTGTGCACGACAGCTCCCGAGGCATAGTTTCACTTCTCATCAGAGCGCACTTGTTCATGCTGACGGTGGGCATACCGGGCCGGCTACGTGGGTCGGCTGCGGGAACTGCCCATTTGTCGTTTGAGCGCACCGTTTATCTCAGGAGTAATGGTCCTGCCGTTGTCTTCACCATTCAGTGTCGTGAAGCGAAAAAAAAAATTTTTTAATGAAAAAAGGGAAAAAAGAGCGTTATTCATCACGCACAGCTCGAACGAGAGAGCGCATGGGAACCGGGGCGGATGGACAACGCTGTCCTTGCAAAGCTGTACATGTATGGCTTCATGCTTTAACGGCTACTTCAAGTAGCTTATGACTGTACACGCATGACAAAGGAAAAAGAAGGGTTGAATCTAGGTCATTCGGATGTAGAAGGAATCTTACAAGGGAACCCGACTATCGGCGTTGGGTTTTAGAAGTTCATCAAGTCTGCCACTCGTTAGTACTGCTCCGTAGTTACTTGCTGACAGGACTGAAACGTTGAACTCACCTCTCCCAAAAAGCGCCCTCTTACTCCAATCCATGGCGAGGAGACATCTCGTCCTAAAACTCACACTCTGCGCAAAATACACACTCCGCCACAGATACACCGCCAGCAGCCCACCACTCCATCCATAGCCGTCCCAATCAAAGATCGCCGCATTGCCAATGTATGCCAGACTGCCTAGGTGATGGTACTCGAAAGCCTTGTACACAGCGTCATCCAGATCGCCATAGTCCACCTCGTTCAGTTGCAAGCCTGGCGCCGACTGCGCGATCTTATTGAACTTTCTCCCGAGGTACTGACCTTGCTGGTGAGCGCGCTGGGCAGTAGCGGGGAGGGATGTGAGTTTGGAGTCGATCTGCATGAGGAGCTCTCTAAGCTCGCCGAAATCGAGGGTGCCGGACTTGTCTGCGTCGTACTGTTCAAAGAGCCGATCTAAGCGACGGAGATGGTTTGCAGCCTGCGGGAAGCGCTCTTTGACGCGCTTTGCGACGCCCCGCCAGTCCGCGTACTTTAATTGCAAGTTCTCGGGATCCTTGCCCCGCTCCCATGCTATGGTGCGTAGAAAGCTGATGATGTGGTCGCTGACATTGTTTTGCACGGTGGAGCAGTCGCCGATGGCGTAGACATCACCCAGCGGTGCACCGTTCAGGCGGAGATGGGTATCCGTTTCTAAGGCGTGTTTGTTGTTTTGACCTTCGAGTTTCTTGGCTAGACGCTTGCAGAAGTCGGTCTGTGAGACGCCCGTCGACCAGAGACAGAAGCCCATGGGGATCTCCTTGGTCACGATCTTGCCTTCGTCGTCCTTCTGCGAATACAATATCCTGTCGGCAAAGACTTCCTTCACACGAGAATTCGTCTGTACGTCGACTGCATCGTGGGCGAAACGCTTCTCGGCATATTCGGAGAGGGCCTCGTCGTACGTATTCAGGATGTGGCTCCTGGATTGGATGACATGGACGGAGATTTCGTTGCGTAGAATCTTAGGGAAGAACTTGCAGAGGTCCTCGTTCAGCATGTCGAACAGCTCGGCGGCAAACTCGACGCCAGTCGGTCCACCGCCACAGACAACGAAGGAGAGCAGCCTCCGTCGCTCTTCATCGGATGTCGTAGGTAGACAGGCAGTTTCGAGATTGCGAATGACCTGATTTCGGATCAACCGCGCATCGGTGATGTCCTTGAGGAAATGGCAATGGTTGAGGCCCTTGACGCCGTGAGGGTTTGTAACAGAGCCGACGCCGATGATTAGCTTGTCGTAGGGTACGTAGAAGTTCTGCTTCTCGCCGTTGGGACCAATGCCAGATACTTCAACAAGCTTCTCGGAGAATTCCACGTCCTCGGCCATAGCTTTCAGGAAATGACCATATACTCCTTTGACAATCCCTCTAACCGGCTCGACCAGCGACCTCAGCTCCAGGGTCCCCACCGTCGCCGAGGGCAGCATTGGCGTGAACAGGAAGTGATTCGACGGGGATATAACCGTGACGTGGTAGTCACCAGGGTTCAGCTGCTTCAGCAGCGCCACGCTTCCCCAGCCCGTGCCCAGTATGACCAGCTTCGGCTTGTGCTTGATAGCCCTCATTTCCGGGCAATCATCGTCGTCCACGAAGTAATCCACGATGGGCAGATTCTTGGGCCCACCTCTTCGCGGATTCAAAGCCAGCTCTGAAACGGGTATATCCTGCGTCTGCGGATCCTCTTTGTACGTGGTATAGTCATAGATGAAGAAAGCCACGACCAATGCGCCGCTCACAGCGACGAAGATGCCCAGGGCAGCCGCCGACCTGTAGGCGAACCGGAACAAGCGTGATCTCGGCGCGGGGAGTGGCTTTGTAGAGATTGCCCGAAGTATCGGAGACGTATGCCTGGTCAATCGCGACGTGTGGAGGGTCGCGCAGACTGCCAGCTGAGGACGCTTTGCGAAGGTCGAAGGGCCGCCATTGCTGAAGGGCGCGCGGGCCTGGGCATTGGACGCCCTGGGCAGCCTCGGGCCGAGATTTGAAGCTCTAGAGGACAGGCCAGATGCCCGCGACAGAGCGCCGGCCTGTCGGGGGAGCATCGCGAGGGTTCGGAGGAGGCGGGAGACGGAGGGACCCTCGGTCGGCAATTGTGATCAATTGGGCCGGAGAACTAGAATCGGCCGGTGGATATCATGTAGGGCAGCTATAACGAGTGTAAAAAGAGCGGGCAGGGATAAGAGGGAGGTGTTGGAAAAGAAACTGTTTATCGTCTATGCCATGTCCCACGGCTCACAGTGACGTCGCTTGGCCGGCATCCCGATCGACAGCCAGGGGCGCATCAACACCACGCTAGCCACTGATGCAACGCTGACAAGACATCCGCACGCGTCCATTTGGCAATAATGACAGGAGAGGTAGGAGAGGCAGAACCGATTTGACGTGTGCACCTGGTGCTCGTAGTAATACACACTGCGTCTATGCCAAAGCTGTAGCTGCGGACAATATATCACATATGTACAAGGGAGTGGGTCAACAAGACCAAACTCCCACCGTGCCGTTCTTCCGGCCTTCGACCATATATCCTTCCTTGATTCGTACACGCTCGATGATGGAAAGGGCGGTGGCATCGTCGTCAGCTCCAACCCCGGGTCCACAGTTCCAGTGTCGGCCATCCGTCTTGTCGTAGACTTTGACTACATCCTCACCTGCTGCCGCGACAATACGGCGCGCATCAAACATCATGCTCGCCACGGGGTGGTCATACGCGTAGGCATCGTATATCGAGCCTGTTCGCAGGTCCCAGATCTGTACGAGTTAGCTTGCATTCGGGGGTTGGGGGGCCTGAGACCAACTTACCCTTATGCTCCTGTCCATACTACCCGTGACAATATGGACATCGTCGAACTGAAGAGCAGTAACAGGACCTGTGTGACCAACGAGACTCCGGTGTACCTGCCCGCTTCGGAGATCCCATAACCGTACCATGCCATCCGCTGTGCCGCATGCCAGAGCTGCGTCAAAGACCTGAAGCGCGCCTACGAAATCGGCCGACGCGTCCGCGACTCGCCCGGTTGGTCGCCATTGTCCGCTAGTCGTGTCTGTCGCGTTGGCTTGCGCCGCAGCCCATAGGACATCGAGAGTCTGTACGCAACGTCCCTTTACCAGATCCCATTGCCTTAATGTCTTATCCGCGGACCCGGAGACCAGTGTGTCGCCTCGGAAGTGCAGCGCAGTAACCTCGTCGACATGCGATTCAAGGGCGAACAGCGGGCAGTCCTGCATGATCGTCGGCGGCGGTGGGGGAGGCGCGTCCTCGGAGTTCTCGAACGTGAGCCCGTCGTCTTCGTCCTCCTCGCCGCCCTTGTTGATCCGGTTGTCCGAAGGTGCGTATTCCGCCTTGCTCAAGTCCCATAGACGGATCGAGGCATCCATGGATCCGGTCGCAACGACGTTCTCTTCAACCTGCAAACAGCGGACCGAGGAAAGATGGCCTTCCAACATGCCGATGCAGCGCCCGGCATTCAGATCCCATACTCGTACAGTGTCATCCAGAGCTGCTGTTACCAGGGTTCCCCAAGGTGCATCAAAATCCAGAGCGGTTATTGTGTCTTCATGTGCCGGTAGCTCTCTGATCTTGGACCCAGGCTCCAAATGCTCATGCAGTATAGGCATTGATATCCGCCGCATGTTTCGTCTTCGCTTCGCCTTCGGAGACGGCAACTTCTGATATATGGATTCGGACATGAAATCGCCCGAACCCTCTTCCTGGCTTGCAGTTGTGGGGGTGTCTGGCGATTTGGGAGCCAATGCGGCGGCATCTTCGAGCTCTTCCTGCAGGTCCTCGATTTTGTTATCCACCTCTAGCAGTTCCTGTTCGATTTCCGCCTCTTCAGCCTCCAGTCCCGCCAACCTGTCCACCACCATCTTGCGCATCGTGTTGAGATTCGCGATCTTGTTGTTTATTTCGTGGATCTCGGCAGCGCACATGTGCTTCCTCACACCCATCATCTCCAGGCGGTGGCTCATGCTATGCTTCTGGTTCTTCAGCTTCGCCATCGAAGTCGGCAGGCGCGGGTCGTCCTCTTCAGTAGCTTCCCCTATCAGCCTCTGCCCTCTCGAGTTATGCCGGCCATGCCTTCTCTGAATGGTGGGCTCCTCCGGCAGGGAAGCCTGAAAGCCCTGAAAAAGCGAGTATGCATTGTTGTCCTCTGGGATATTTGCGAGAAGGTCGTCGGGCAGGTAGGATAGCGCTCGCTGCTGGATCTCGGGTACGGATATCCTCGAGCGGACGAGCTCGCGGGGGGTTGCTTGCGCGAAGGAGAAGACGGAGCGCTGCAGCATGGGTCGTCGGAGTTCTCTGTGGAGCTCTCCCAGTGCGTTTTGGTAGTGCTGGCTAACGCCGTCCGCGCCTATGAGATGTCCCGCGGTGGCTGTAACTTTTCGGCCAAAAGCTTGCAGGTTGCGGGTCTATCGCGAAATTAGTGTCACCAACACGTGAAGTCGCGAGTCAAAGGCCATTTACATCGGGGAGGTTGTCCATGATGCTGGCATCGTCGTCGTCGTCGTCGTCACGCGGTCCCAGCGGCCGCGGGCTCGTGGACCTGCCGCGTGCAGGCGAGCCATTGCGGGCGGGCGAGGAGGAGTCCATGCGGGCGGCTCTGGTAGCGAGCGAGCAGGCAGCTTCTGGTGCTGCCCTAGGACATGGCTATCATGGGCGAGCGCGAAGACGATGGCGGGAGGGGCTCCGGCGCGCAAATGGTGCGGCGGGGCGCGTCGTGACGATGAGTGTTTGGTGTTGGACGGCCAGCAGCAGTCGGCAATAATGCTAATGCAGGCCAGTTGCGCCCGGACGTCATCCGCAGCGACCAAATATGCAGGAGCCGAACATCGGGGCGTCGGAGCTGGCGGTGTTTGCAGACATCAGCAAATCCCAATGACTGCCCCCGCCGTTGCACCCACCACTCTCAGCCTCTCAGGGTGTCTGCCGCACAGGGAACGTCGGGAGCGCCATGGACGCTGCGATTGACCTTTCGGATGCCTCCAAGGCCTTGGATCTGGCCAATATCCGCTTCCAGCTCATGTAGGCCCCATTCCGACGCGTGCATCGCCCACTCGTGAAAGGCAGGCTGACCGAAGCAGACGGTTAGAGGACACAATCACCTTCCACCTGATAGAGCGCGTCCAGTTTCCTTTAAACAAAACCGTCTACGTCCCTGGCGGCGTGCATATCCCGGGCAGCGGCTTCAGCCTCCTTGACTGGATGCTGCGGGAGCAGGAACGCCTGCAGTCCCTCGTCCGCCGCTACCAGTCGCCCGACGAGTACCCCTTCTTCCCCGATGTGCTCCAGCAGCCCATCCTGAAGCCCCTCGACTACCCCAAGATCCTCCATCCGAACGACGTGAACGTGAATACAAAGCTCAAGGAGAGTTACATCGAGCATATCCTTCCAGCCGCATGCGTGCAGACAGGACACGGCGATAGAGGAGAGCGGCAGGAAAACTATGGGTCGGCAGCGACTTGTGACGTGCTGTGCCTGCAGGCTCTATCCCGGCGCATACACTTTGGGAAGTTTGTGGCGGAGGCAAAATTCGTAAAGGAGACCGAGCGCTTTGTGAAGCTAATCAAGGCGGACGACAGGAAGGGCATTGACGAGGCTATCACGGATGCAAAGGTGGAGAAGAAGGTTCTGGAGAGACTCAGGCTCAAGGCTAAGACCTATGGCACGGATCCTGAGAATGGTTCGAGCGCTCCTTCAAAGGTCAATGCCGATGCCGTTGTTGCAATGTACAAGGTGAGCTCGAAAGACTCATCTGCTGAGACAAATCATTAACATTGCTATGCAGGATTGGGTTATCCCGCTGACCAAGGAAGTTGAGGTGGACTACCTGATGCAGCGATTGAAAGGCACGGAATGGGAGTGAAAAGCGGCGCTCTTCGAACCTCGAAACTAGCCGTCTTCGATGGAGATTGATAGATCATTCGCCTTGCTATATCGCGATGCTTGGGTAAGCAAGCTGAGGATCTATTCAGCAAAATGGGAATGTTGTCTTGGATAGATAGCTTCTCTCGGAATTCTCGGAATGCCCCAGGCACCCCATCGGAGCACTCTCGGCCTCCGTAGCCAAAGCCACATATCCAAACATCACTTTCACCCCTAGCATCGTACACATCTCCCCATCCATGAAACGCATCCGGGTTTGAACCCCTTCCCCAACCACGCACACCTGAAACCCTCAATCCCCTCATGCACGTGACGCGCACCTCGCCCTATATCACTGGGCGCTAACCCCAGCCCATCAACCACAACCACAACTTTCCCCAGCCCGCCATGGAGTCAATAAAAGATCTCGCAACAAACCCAGCCCACACGCGATGGATGTACCCGCTGCTCCTCCTCGCGGACGCCGCGCTCTGCGGCGTCATAATCGAGAAATTTCCCTGTGTGTTTCGACGCGCCCAGCAATCAATACGTGGAAGGAAGCTAACGCAGCAGCAGACACAGAGATCGACTGGACGACCTACATGGAGCACATTGAAATCTATAACAAAGGCGAGCGCGACTACAAGAACATTGTTGGGTCGACGGGCCCGCTTGTGTATCCCGGCGCGCATGTTTTGATCTACAGGATTCTGTACTGGCTCACGGATAAGGGGACGAATATCCAGCTCGCGCAGTACATTTTCGGCCTCGTGTATCTGGGCACCCTTGCCGTGGTGCTTCAGTGCTACAGGAATGTTAAGGTAAGTCACATGATAACGGCGGGTTTTGATGTGGGTTCCTGAGGCGCTGACGATGGGGAATAGGTGCCGCCATATGTGTTCCCCATGCTCATACTGTCAAAGCGGCTGCATAGTATTTTTATGCTAAGATGCTTTAATGATTGCTTTGCGGCGCTGGGGCTGTGGGCGGCCATTTATTGCTATCAGACCGAGTATTGGCACTGGGGCAGCTTCTTCTACACGACCGGGCTGAATGTGAAGATGAGCTTGCTGCTGCCGTTGCCGGCTATAGGCGTTATGTTGCTGCAGGCCCTGCCATCGAGGGAGGCCGTCACTCAGGCTATGATAATCTTCCAAGTCTCGGTAGGTTCGCTCTTGTATCCATTCCGAAATAACTAGATTGTTGACCGTTGTAGATCGGCTACGGGTACCCCTTCCGCAAACGCGCACCCTCCTACTTCCCACGCGCCTTCCAACTAACCCGCCAATTCCTCTACAAATGGACCGTAAACTGGCGCTTTGTCCCTGAGTCCGTCTTCCTCAGCAAACCCTTCGCCATCAGCCTCCTCCTCATTCACTTCGCGCTCCTCTACTGGTTCTTCCGCACCCGCTGGATCAAGCCTTCCAAGCGACAGCCGCGCGAGTTCTTCCAGATGATCCGCGAAGAACCGCGCGACCAAGAGCAAATCGCCCGAAGAACCACCCCAGATTTCATCATGACGAGCATGTTGACTGCAACTGCGATCGGCATGCTTTGTGCGAGGAGTCTGCACTACCAGTTCTATGCGTATATTGCGTGGGCGACGCCGTTTCTGCTGTGGAAAGCGGGCTTTCATCCGATCGTGCAGTATGCGCTGTGGGGTGCGCAGGAATGGGCGTGGAATGTGTATCCGAGTACGCCAGCGAGCTCGGCGACTGTGGTGGGCGTCCTAGCTGTCACCGTGCTCGGCGCATGGTGGGGAACGAGGAAAGAATATGAGGGCGTGGAGAGGAGAGGGAAACTTGAAGAAGAGCAGGAGCACGAGCATGCCGAATGATTAGCTCTCATTCTTCATCCGAATCCGCTGGCGGCATTTTCCCGACGTTCGATTCCTCGTCGCTGTCCTCATCATAGGACGACTTCTTTGCGAATTCCACAGGCCTGCCCTTGTGTCAATACCACTGTACTATATATCTAAAAAGTTCTAGAGTAACGTACCAATAACCCATCTTCCTCCACGCTTTCTCGTCCCTCACCACGTTCACAATCTCTCCATCTAGCTTGTTCTCCCTCTCCGCCAGTGCCTTCATGTCCACTACCACGTAGCTACCCCGCTTTATCCATATCGTGGAGCGAAATTTCGCTTCGAGCTCGACGAGGACGGGCTTTCCGTCTGCGCATTCGGCGTTGTAGAGATTGTTGCCGGCGGCTTTGGTGATGCGCGCGATGACCTGGGTGGAGGGCAGGATGGAAAGAGGTGTGAGCGTGTCTTCGACTGTTGCGTGGAGGTTGCGCTTCGGCCGCGGCATTTTGCGTGGTTGTGGAGTGGGCAAATGCTCGAGTGATGAGATTATTTCGGAGGGGTCGGGCTGGCGAGGAGGGAAGGCGGTGCCGAGGGGCTTCTCGCTTACGGCTTCCCCGGAAAGGCGAACGATAGGGAACCCTCGAAATCATGAAGTGATTATTGTGATTCCGCTATCCCTGTTGCCCGTGTTTTCCGACGGGTTGTACGAATCAAAGGTTTCGTGCTACCTCCCAGCCTAATATCTCACCTTTCCTTCCCAGAGCGGTGCCTAACACACAGTCCTTTCACTCCACTCAACCTTCCCCTTCTCATTAACTAGTGCACCCTCGTCTGTCACTTCTACTCCATACCTCCCAAGTGACTCACGCAGTCTAGTCACTTCCCGCCGACTGATTCCCAGTCCACATCTCGCAAGCCAGATCACCGGCGGCTCCGTAGTGATGGCTGGATGGAGACACGCCTCCCTGGCATCCCCCACTGAATATGCAGGTCCTGGCAAGCGGAATCGTGCATCGAGAGAAGCGGAGAGCTCGACTGCCGATTGAGTCTGCGGCATCAATAGACGCATTAGAAGCGACTGTTTCGGTGGTCTTAAAGAACGTTGGGCGAGGTCGTTGGGCACGGCTTGCACATGGCATCCCGCTACATGGTCCGCGGCACATCCGGATACGAGGCCTCCATCCGCTCCTCTCATACCATCCATCGCCGGTCCGTTCGTCGACTCGAATCCTGGATGCATGGCTTCTCCACGCTCCGCCGTGTTGACAGCGTCCCTATCGGCGCGCTTCTCTGACTCCGCTAATAGGTTCAGTGGCAAGGTCTCAATCAACGGATTCAGCTTCCTCCTCATAGAAATGTAGAAGATGACCGTGGCCACGATAAGCACAACCTGCATTACCACAGGTCCCACAGCTGTCGCTCGGTCGTCGATCCCAATCCCGAAGAGGCCCAACAGACACAACTCTGCGAGGTAGACTCCAACCATGAGCTGCTGCACCGCGCGTCCGTAAGATGCTCCTTTTGTGTCGACCTGGGTGTTATGCACATAGATCATGTTGTAACGGTAGGCTAGATATATGAGCCCCATACCCACGGTGGCAAAGCCGAGAACAAGCGGCGCGATGACAGCATATGATATGGCTATGACACCCTTGTTCGTCCATTTGGGGTACTCAGAGCCCCAGCTAGGAGCCGTCAACTGCATCCACTTGTCGTACTTCTTCCGAGGGGTTTTGGCGAAACGATTCTGGACGAAGATCCCGACGAGGCCCATGACGTTGAAGAGGTATTTGGCCGAGTTTGCCACGCCATACAGGATAAAGTAGGCGATATAGAAGTTGCTGGCTTTAGGCAGGTTCTTAGCTAGCAGAGGAACGGCCTGTGGAAGATTACTAACGATTTGGCTGGCTACAGCTGTGGCGCCTGATGTGAATGTAGTGATGAGGAAGACTTGAACGACTTGGAACCCGAAGTACCAGACTTGTGTCTGCTGTTCGACCTCAGATAGGGTTACTGCGCCGGCGAGCTTCGCTAACACTGCCATAGTCAGTCATGTGTGAAATCCGATTCTAATATTAACGGCCACTTACAGCGACAAACGATTGGGACGAGCACCATCAGGCCAGCAAGAAGCACCGTAGGCAGCAAGCCCGTGATGACCCCGAGGATCACCTGAGGGATACCATCGATCCAGGCGAGGAACGGCACATTTTCAGTCAGATAGTTCACGTTGCTGATGATACCTACTACCGCAACTAGGATGCTCCAGAAGAGGATGAGCGCAACAATTGCCGCCGTAGCTATGCCGCAGCGGGCAGATTTGTTCCAGGAATTCATCTTCAGATTGTTCCAGATGACCTCGTTTGGTAGGACGCCAAATTGCCGAGCGATGAATGTGGCGGGTTTGTCGGACACTGTCAAGGCGTACGCGGACTGGGCTGCAGCTAGGGGCTCGAATTCGATGAAGACGGCACTGATGAGCTTTTCCTTGCCTGAAAGATGAGAGAGTTGTGCTGTTTGCACTTTTGGGATCACGTCCTTGAGATAACGTCCTTGAGATAACGTGTGCAGTAACCAATAGAGTCGACCTTCTTTCCTATTAAAGGTTGGAGTCGATGAGCGGGTCGATGTCTAGGGTCGATAGGCTGGTCCCGGAACACCCGTTCCTGATCATTGTCTGTGAGTGCATGGTTGCCCATCGTTTTGTACTTCTTGACAGCCTTTTCAATCATGTTTATTTCGGCGCCTTCCAGTTTGAGAGCAGTGTCGTTCATCTCGTCCACGTCGTCTTGCAGGTCCGAGGTGTCCGAGACAAGCCATATCTCCGCGATAGAATAGAACATGTTCTGCAATCGCACATATGACGGTAATTGCTCCGGCACATCTGTAAAGAGAACTGTCCGTTGTGAGATCCGACTCGCGTTCCAGGCCGACAGCATGTATGCTTGCCGGATTTTGATCAGGAAGAGCAATTCGCTCCAAATCAGATACAGAACGAAGCCGATGGGATTAGCCAAACTTCTACTCTTTGGCGTTATCCTGCCTTACCAAAGAAGATCCATGCAATGCCAGCATGTGCAAAGTACCTTGTGGCGTCATCCACGTTGCTGAAAGAAAGGATATCTAGCCCGGACTGGCCCCCTCCGCCAGTTGCATTCACGGGAAAGAGGACGGGCCACGTGATACAGCAACCAACAAAAGCCATGAAGACCATCATCTTGAAGAATCGGACATAAAGGTAGCCATCGAGTGAGTGGTGGCTGAGGATGTATTCATCGCTGATGTTTCGGAAATCCCCGACCCAATCGAGAAAGCCTCGTCGAGGCGGAGGCGTCTTCTCACTATACACTCAAATAGTGAAGGCACATGACATGATAGAAGCCACCACGCACTGGCGGGAAAGTCCGTCGTAGAAGGTCCGAGGCGCGTAGAGTCACTGTTGTTTCCTGCGCAAGAAGAGGACGAGTGCTACGAGAACGGCGGCGAGGGCCACGCATGGCACCAGCGTTGATACCAATGCTGAGAGCGACGATGACTGGTTTCGGTGACTGCCTGATCCTGTAGGGGCACACGCAAAAAGAAAATGCCTGGTCGGTTGTTGTCAGCTTTCGAAAAAGTGTAATTGAAGGAGACAAGACTAACCATGGGATGATCGCCGCTCAGCCATATTGACTGAGAAGAGAAGTCGATTTGTCCTGAAGTTGGTAACCGAACGGTGGGGCATCGTATATCTAGATGGGCAATACGCAGAATGCCATCATCGCGCAACTTGCCGTACTCCCAGATACAAATCCGCTGAGGGGACCAGCGTAGAGCGAAAGATTGGCGTTGTCACCAACCTTGGAAGGGCCCAGATACAGCGACCGCCCAAAACCAATGGGCACGGGTCCGTAACGTGAGGTTACTCCAAGAGTAAATGCCAAGAACATGGCGCAAAATATCTGGCGGAATGACGTTGACCATCAGGCGCGACCGCTGAGAATTGCAGCTCTGTTGAAATGCTTGCGTTGTGTAGCGTGCACTTTGGTTCTTTTGATGTCATCGTTGTGCCGACCAGCCGGACGACCAACATCAACCCTAAGCAACCAAAACGGATCCGCAAAATCGCATCTTCTGTCCTGCCGCCACATGCTAGTTTAAGCCTTCGACTTTCCCAACTTGTACCGTCACTTATACGTCCCTCTTGATACGATGGACAGGGGGGACATAGAACTTGCGCCCATAAACAGCATAGTACACTGTCGCAAAAAGGATCATTGACCCATACATGAGGCATCCCCAGTTCATACTTGTAGGCACAACCGGCACGACGGGTGGGAAGAATTGAAAGAGCGCGAGCGGTATCAAGAAGCAGAGAGCGGCAGCATTCACAAGCGGGCCAGCACGCCCTAATGACCAACGACGCGCAGGCAGCTCCTCCTTCAGCCGCCTCACGAGCACAGATCCGATACAGAGTATGTAAGAGGTAAGGATGCTAACGCCACTAAGCGAGAAGATCGCGTTCAAAGCAGCGGTGGAGCCAATGTTGACGAGCGGAAGGAGACAGTTGATGATGAGGGATATCAGGATAGCGTTGAGCGGAATGGCCCAGCGGCGATCAACCTAGACTGCCATAAATAGATGCGATGCGATGCGAGTATGAATACGCCGTACCTGCGAGATGTAGGAGGAGAATGGAACACCTCCGTCCCGAGCGAAAGACCACAGCTGACGTGAGGCAGTGGCCACTTCCGCAATCACACTTCCGATGAGTGAGATCAGTGGCACTATCGCCATTACCGTCGTCGCCGCAAGGTTGCCTGTTGCGTTCTGGAAGATCTGGAGAAAGGGAGAACCAACCACTCCAACTGGAGATGCTACAATGCCATCCACATCGACCGCGCAGAAGCACAGTGTGATGATCATGACGAATCCGAAAGAAGCATTCAAGGGGAGTGAAGACAATATCGCCAGAGGCAGAGCCCGGGAGGAGTCTTTGACTTCTTCAGCTGGACGCGGAGTCAGCGGTTAGAGAGCCCTTCGTACGAGTTATACGAGCGTAGATGACTCACCCATGTGCACAACACAATCAATACCGGCGAGGGAGCCTGAAAGCGGCATGAGGCCAACCATGAAGGACAGGGCCCCGGTGGACCATCCACCATTATTCCTAAACTCCGTAAAGACGGCGTGAGCAGGTTTCTTCGGTGAGAGCGCCCATAGTGGAATAATGATAGCGAAGAAGCCGCAGATATGAAGGAGGAATACGAGGCCTTGCACGAGCGGGAGCCTTGGACCTAAAATGGTGTTGAAGATGATTGCGAAGAGAATGATGGCGATGACTATGAGCGTGCCGTGCCACGTCTCGTACGCGTATGTTCCGGGATGATTTAGAACGACGAGGCCCTGTTTTCTATTAGGATAGTTCTCACGGATACCGAGAATGGTGTCACGGAAGAGCTACCTGAATGGTGGTTCCAATCAAGAAGGCTATGGAGCCGATAGCCGCCTGCCAGCCTGTAAAGCAGAGCCAGCCTGTGATCGAATCAGCATATGACTTCCGCTGAGCTTGCGAAGACCGACCGCTAAGATAGCTAAGGTATTTCTGGCAGAATGATGGCGAGAACTCGCTGACCCACTAGCACGCAGGTTAGTGATAAATCAAACGCTGAAGTTCCAAATACTCACATGGTATTGACCTCCTGCAGTAGGTGACCTGAACCTTGTAAATACACATGCATTGCGATCTTCGTCTCTTTGGAGACTCACATAGACGCCATCTCCGCCATGCTCGCGTACACAAATCCATAGGCCACAGTCACGATGATGAAGCCGTATATCAGGCCGGCAGTCCCGCCATTCAACAATGCTAGCCCAAACGTCCTGATTAGCACTCATCAGCAGGACGGCCTTGCTCGCAAGATGTGTAGAATATAGTACGTGATGTTGATTTCCCATGTTGAGATTAGGACGCAACCAAAACCGAGAATGGAGATGTGTCGGAAGTTCCTTCGGAGTTGCTGGGCCCGGCCAATGATGCGCATGTAATGCCGGTCAGCATCGGTGCCTTGCCATCTCTTTTCGATGTCAGGTGTCGACGGAAGCTCCTCGAGCACCGCTGTTGGTACGCCTCCCTTCTCCATTGCTAGCCAGTCTCAAGTTGTGTAAAGGTGTCGGTAAGCGCCACGCCCAGAGCAAGGTCGGGAGGGGGCTTATGAAGGTGACGAGCAGGGCCGAACGGTGAGCAGGCTGCATCGGGAGCTGGGACAACTGGTGCTGGCGTAATGATAGGCTTCTGCAGTCATTATCCACCAGCCAGACGAATATCCGCGTGCATAGGGTGTATTGCTGCGTGCATACTCATTGGTCGAGGCTTGCAGGCCACGGACGCGAGCTGCGGGGCGTTCCGTCCCATATGCATTGTGCCGTAGATAGCTTATCCGTGCGGTGAGAAAATGCGGTGGTTGCGGATTGGGGGTGCGTTGGCAGGTTCGGGTTGCCTTCTTTCGGTCTATTTCCACAAAGGGTAATTCCTCCGACAAACAGATACTGTTTCCGGAAAGTTTGCATGGCTCGTAAACGTCACGGCAGAGGGGCACCAGAACATACTAAAACTAGTACAGAGCCCTTGGTGGAGGACCTCGGGACGGTGTAGGTCACGTGAAGCCTGTGGACGGCTGGGGGCAGGTCGTGCCGAATCGAATGAGGAAATTACCGCCACAACCTTCCGACCAGACTTTTCCAGCCCTGGGGCCTTGCACCCCGCGAGGAATGGTTTCCTTGCGGAACGCAGTCAGGCCAGGCCACGGCTGGTAAACGGACGGATACGGTCTTGGACTCGGTAAAATGACGCCTCGATCGCAGAACTCTCCTCGCAAGCTGCACTTCTCTTAGACCAGCTCACCAGGTCACTTGTGCGATCACGACCATGCGGCCCGTTTCTGAATGGCCAGGAGTCGGATAGAGCTAACTCTAGCTGCGTGGTAGTGGGGGTTCTCACGATGGATCGGGCTCCCCACCGACATTATTCAGCAATGACACCCACAATAGTTGCGCCTTCCAGTCATCGCTATCGTGGGCTCCCCCCTTAAAGGTCCCACGACGAGAGCTCTCCCCGCCCGTCTTCTCTCTCTTACCTTTTTCTTCCAAGCATCCTCTCTCTAAGCTATCTGCTAAGTCCCGGTCTCAATTCGCAGCCGCCCACCATGGCTTCGGCAGCACTACATGGCTTCTTTGATATACAGCCAGCCTCGGCGGTCACGAGCCCACCAGCCGCCCACCGGAAAGACATTTCCCAGGCACGGCACGCACCGTCGGAATTTGAACTCGACAATCTCACGTTTGGAAAGTGCTACAATGGCCCTGTCGAATCTGGTGCTCAAACGCCGAAGACTCCAAACGAGCTGGAGATGAGCAGGCCACCATCACCCGTGGGGAACGATGCGGTGCCCATTATGCAAAGCTGGAACAATCCGCCCATGAATAAATGGAGGATCTTGTGTTGCTGTTTGATCTACCTCGGCAATGGGATCAATGACTCTGGTATGCTCGGTTCATGTCCGCATTTGAGCTGGTATCGGGAGGCTGCTAACACGCGTGCAGTCATTGGTGCCCTTATTCCATACATGGAGGTTTACTATCGGATTGGCTACGCGGTCATGTCCATGGTCTTCGTAGGCAATGCCGCAGGTTTCATTGTCGCCGCTTTCTTCACAAACACGACCTTGGGCCGTCTGGGAAGAGCAAAGACACTTATGCTAGCCGAGGTGATAATGATGTCTGCCTACATCATGCTTGTCGCGACACCGCCATACCCCGTCGTTGTTATTGCGTAAGGCCAGAGCACACGCACCCAACGTCACACAAGCTAACTTCGTAACAGCTTCTTCATACTCGGGTATGGTGCCGCGACGAACCTCGCTTTGAACAACGTCTTCTGTGCCAATCTCCACCCTCCAAATGCCATACTTGGAGCCGCTCACGGTAGCTATGGTGTTGGAGGAATCATCGCTCCGATCATTGGAACAGCCATGGTTTCCCACGGTATCTTATGGTCCCGCTTTTACTTCATCAGCCTTGGGCTCCGTCTATGTTGCATCGTCTTCGCGGCGTGGTCTTTCTGGTCCTACAAGGAAGATGCCTCCCAAACACTCTTGACTGCCGTCGAAAGGACTGCGAGTCGACCGGCGCAAGCTGACGAGCGCAATTCGAGCCTGAAAGAATTGAAGCTAGCGCTGAGGAACCGGGCCACGATCTTCGGCGCACTGTTCATTTTCGCATACCAGGGCGCCGAGGTGTCCATCTCCGGATGGGTCATTTCTTTCCTAATCAATTATCGTGACGGGGATCCGGCGCGCGTTGGTTATGTGACTGCTGGTTTTTGGGTAGGCCGCCAGCGTTCGGATGCTGCATTCGACCACCAGCTAATTTCGAAATAGGGCGGCATCACAATTGGCCGTTTCGTCCTCACGCATCTCGCTCCCAAGGTCGGCGAGAAGAACTTCGTCACCATTTTAACTCTCGGTACCCTGGGTCTCCAACTCATGGCCTGGTTGATTCCTAACATAATCGGTAACGCCATCGCAGTTGCCGCCCTAGGTCTTCTCTTAGGCCCAGTTTATCCGTGCGCCCAAACCGTTTTCTCCCGCCTCATGCCTCGTCACGTCCAGACGACCGCGATTGGATTTATTGGCGGAGCGGGCAGTTCAGGTGGTGCGGTCGCCCCATTCACCACGGGTCTCCTAGCTCAAGCTGCTGGGACGTGGGTCCTACATCCGATTTGTATCGGGCTGTATATGGTCATGCTAGCTTGCTGGTTCAGCTTGCCGAAGACGAAGAAGAGGACGGTGTAGATGAGGTCTAGTAAAAATAGGTGCGCGTCCATCCAAATAAAGCTCAAAAAAATAGCGCAAAATAAAGAGCAGTAAAGAATAAAGAAAGAAATAGCAAAAAGAAACCCAAAGGCCCAGAAAACCCCTATAGAGTTTTGCTGTACTATGGTTACGACCATACTCGAACTCCGAACTAGGTCAATCCTAAAGGTTTGGCGCTCTATGGGCTGCGGCTTAAACGGAAGGGCAGTCAGACTTCCCAATCCGCGGCGCTGTCCCGGCGAGTCCAACAGCTGCTGACGTAGTTCGTTTGTTGAAGGATGTGCTCTTTTGTTTAATATATATACGACAATTAATTCGGATTGCGTGCTCCAAGCGTTCCTGTGGTGAAGCGAGGTGGCCAAACTGTGATATTCGATCCGCCGAGGGTAATCACGATACGTAGAACATGTGGAGTCTAGACATGTGTTGTCAGCAAAATTGACATGAAATATCACAAGAGATTTCATTACCCGTCCTGAAGTGCGTCAATGTCGTAACCGCAACCAGCGACTCTTTCAGCCTGTTGAAACTTCGACTCCCGTCCGAGATACCGCAACTGCTCCACGGCATACTGACGTGCGGGCTCAGGAGCCAAGGAAGCGCCTCTGACTGCAGAGAGCGGCCAGAGCAGCGAAGCGACAGTGGCCTTTGTGGGAGCTGACGAGGTAAATTGCGGTACGCTCGCACAGATATCCAACGCTGCATCTTGGATATTCTTCGCTGCCTGGTGCTGGAGTGATGACTGGCTATCCTCCAAGGAGCTGGCTGTGCCATCGAGGAATGCCGCTTGAGCGTAGATAATCTCATTCAAGAGGACGCGAGTCATCCTGCATGAGTTCCACAGCTGGGCGACGCGATGCCAAGGGTACAGGTGGATGGTATTCCCCAGAACCTCAGAAGTCTGGTCGTGGTTCTGGCGAGAGAGCTCCGTGTATTGCCAAGCGCGTGGCAGTTCTTTTGTAAAGACCACATACCGCTGATCGAGCGTCGTAGCCGCGCGAACCATCTCAAGAGCGCCATGTCTCCCTTCCTTTACGGCGGCCAAAAACTCTATCGCGTCCGCCGTAAGAAAGGTAAACGCTAACTGGGGATCGTCCTTTTCGAACGCTTTGGCGGCTGCCGAGACGAGCTCTACTAAATGTGGCGGCAAGCAAGTATTCCGCCGAATGCAGTTGACGTATACAATGTTCACCACTTGCAAGAACAAGCGACGACCAAGGTCCGTGTGGAATTGCTGTGTTCCACGAAGTCGGAGAAGTGTGAGAGCGCCGTCTGTGTGTGTCGTCCAGTTGTTCGGGGTGCGGAGGCCGGGCCATACGATAGCTTCGAATAGGCTAAGTAGGAGGACTGACACCAGTGTGGAGTCTTGTACGGCCGTGGTGGGACTAGCGAGAGCGAGATTCGTTTCTGAGAGAGCAGTAGAGTACAATCTACGTGCTCCACTTATGAGGCTAGGCTCACCGAGCTCGTGTGATAGGAGAGCTATCGATACGGAATGAAGAGTGACGAAAAAGGGAGAACTAAGACCGGTTTGCGCATAGAGACTTGGAAGGTATGCGAAGTGGCTTCCGGGGACGTAGGAGGACATGAAAAGGGAGAACGCAACATGCTCGACGGGCTGAGAAGGATTGCACCGTACTGCGAAGCTCGACACGGCCGTATCCGCTGCGTGCCCATTCCGACTTCGTTTCATCAAGGACGCCTTATAACCCGCCTCCGCCTTTTTCATTACGTTGTCGCTTTCGTCCCGAAAGAGCACGTCCAGCGGGTCGCGGTACCCGGGACAAGGGGTCGACATGCGTAGGCATTGCGTACAACCCGGACTTTTCCTGTCACACTGATACCTCATTAGCCAAAGGTGTCCCGGAGGAGGTGTATAGGCCGGAGGATGCTAAAGAAACCTACCTTGATTCGCCGGTTGCGGCACAGAAAGCATGCTCGCGACGGTCTGCCTCGGTACACCATAGTTCTGAGCTGGATGAACGAAATGATTCGCTGCACTGCCACACGTCCTCGACTTCCTGGACGGGGGGAGATGTCCGAAGCTTAAATGCCACGACTGTCAATGTGGAGCAAAAGCTTGCAGAGGCTTAGCCATGCTTACTGAGGTCCTAGAGATGCGATTGGTTCAAAGCTTCGGAGAATTGAGTGAACAAGTAAGCGGAGCTGAGGTGGAACCGCGCAACAGGGCGCGTGGATGACTAGGAGGCTGAGTAAACAGTTCAGCTCCCCCGCTGGCTGACAGGGTTGGTATATTAACAGCGTTCGAGGATGCGCTAACGAAATGCATGCCGGATACGGTAACTCCAGCTGCGACAACACCAGCGTCTTGAACTATGTCCATAGCCGTATAAAGAGGGAGCAGAACTAGCGATGTGTGGATTATTCTATCATTTGGTCTTTGCACTGACTCTTTACCCTATTTCCCCATTCGCAGTCATGTTCCACGCCCGGGAATGGGTCTCCGTCGTCGAGCTCGTCTTCTACATACCGACTCTCATCCTTGCCCTCATAGTATGCAGCCGCCATGGTTTCCGTCGCAGCTCCGGTTGGGTGTACACGCTTGTTCTATGCATCGTTCGCATAGTGGGCGCCATCTGCCAGCTTGTGTCCTATCATGACCATTCCTCCGGCGTGATCACGGCGACTGCCGTCATCGATTCAATTGGTCTCTCTCCGTTGCTCCTGGCTACTCTCGGAGTGCTATCGCGATTGTAAGTATGGATTTGACCGGTGCTCCAGCGCTTGTTAACGTAGCGCTCAGTGTCGACTTCATCAACGCCAAGTCCGGCGCCACCTTCACCGTCAAGCATTTCCGTCTTCTTCAAGTACTCATTACGGTCGGCCTCGTCCTCAACATCGTAGGTGGTACAAGCGGAAATGTCCAGCCGGACGGCAAAATCGAGGTTCAGACTACTAGCAAAGTCGGAATCATCCTCTTCATCGTCTCCCACGTTGGCTTGGTCCTCGTCTATGCCGCATCCGTCCCTCGAACGGCCTGTGTTCCGCCAAAAGAACGCCGCGTACCCGTCGCTCTTCTCCTCGCTTTGCCATTTGTCCTCGTGCGCCTCGTATACTCGGCCTGTGCTGTCTTCCTGCATAACCATCTGTTCAACATCATTACTGGATCCGTACCGGTTTACGTCGTCATGGCCGTTGTGGAAGAGTTCATCGTCGTGGCGATATACCTTCTTCTTGGCTTTGCGGTGGATAAGCTGGATGACACCCAGCAGGGGCCACTCGCGTCCAGGCCTTGGAAAGGGAAGTGTGATCGAAGGGGTCGGAGCATACCACGGGTGCAAGTGCACGCTGAACACCTTAGAGAATTACGGGGCGTCCCACCTCCTGTATAAGATCATACAGGACGAGGACGTGTAATGTTAGGAGCGGGCTTGCCCTGCACCTCAAGACCGATCGAAACATATTAGGAAGCGCGAGAGGAAGATCGCTGGCGGGCTCTAGCTGTGATGGGGATGGTTGCGGAGCTGGTGCAGACGGCGTTTGAAGGCCCTCCTGCTGTTCGCGTTTATAGACCAATAGATCTCATGTCTTTTTCCTTTCCCTAACTCTTTGGTGTGCTACACATTTCCCTATCGATGTACATGAGTAAGATGACGAATGGCCGCCCAGCTGCCTAGAAGACAGAAAGCAGAAAGCAGACTTTCGCATTGCTCGGACTGGTTTTGGCTCACTCCTGCTGGCCAGACGGAGCTGGTGGTGTTTTAGGAGAGCGGCCCAGCATCTTCCTGAGTCATCGCTGTAGGGCAGTCCTACAACTTCAGCTCGGTTTTTGCTTTGGAAGGGGTCAATCCATATACGCGCGCGGCCCGTTCGGCGGTGATAGAGGACTTACCGGACTGGTATGGAATGATGAACAGGAATACCTTACTGCCGATACGGACGAAACCGAGAGTGAGCTGAGGTCTTTCCGGCTCTCCGTTCCCAAGGAGCGTTTCTTCATACCAGCAGGCAATCGGGGTTGATTAGTGAAGTGGATGCTCTCACCAGGCATGTCGGCCGATGAGAGACGTGCATAAATCTGCAACTGGCTTACCATTCGGATGCCCGCGGACCCACATCGTACCTGTCCATCCTTGCCAAATGGCTCATGGACGAATGCGGCGTGTGCGGAGGGTCCCCTAGCGGGGTTGAAAACCACCTAGGCAGGAAAAGCTTCATCGGAGCTAAACGGAGTTAGCCCTCCGACATTCTTCGGTAGCGTTATCCCTCCTCCTGAAGTCTCTTTCATCCCAATTACCGAAAAGTCCCCCCACCACAACGGACGACGGCCCTGCATTAAGTTTCGAAGACATCATGGGTAGCTCTGGAGCCACAACATATTTAAGAGAGGGGCATGCCTTCACTGAGCTCATCCCCAAACCCAAACACAGCTCAGCACTCTGGCTTCAATAGCTCACATAGAACCCTTCTCTCGATCAATTGACATCAGCCATCGAACATGTCCATCTTCGGCGAGCCCCCGAGAGCGAAATCGCTCCTCGACTTCCACCGCGTCCTCGCCCCCTCTGCAGGCGTCCGTGTCTCACCGCTATGCCTCGGTGCTATGAACTTCGGTGAGGCCTGGGAACCAGTGATGGGCAAATGCGACAAGAAGACGACATTTGAGATCCTGGACTTCTTCCACGAGCAGGGCGGCAACTTCATCGATACGTGAGTACCCCATTGCCCAGGCAGAAACTCGATGCATGTGGGGTAGTCTGGCCCCACACGTTCAGCGTTCAACTCTTCGGCCTCAAAGTCAGGAAGCAACGGACAAGAAGCTGACTTAGGTCGTCACAGCGCCAACAACTATCAGAACGAGGAATCTGAGACATGGATTGGCGAATGGATTGCTAGCAAGAAGGTTCGCGACGAAATCGTCCTCGCCACAAAGTTCACCACCTTCTATCCAGACCCACGCAACGCGCCCCGCCAGCGCATCAACTTCGCTGGAAACAGCTCCAAGTCGCTCCGTGTCTCGCTTGAGGCTTCTCTCAAGAAGCTCCAGACCGACTACATTGACCTGCTGTACGTGCATTGGTGGGACTTCACCACTGGCATCCCCGAGCTCATGCAGAGCTTGAACCACATGGTGCAGCGAGGCACGGTGCTGTATCTAGGCGTGAGCGACACACCTGCCTGGGTGGTCAGCAAAGCCAATCAATGTACGTGCTCGTCCTCCCACGGCTTGTGCGGACATTGCTAACACTTTTTACCAGATGCCCGCGATCATGGTCTCCGACCCTTCAGCGTCTACCAGGGTCAATGGTCCGCCGCTATGCGAGATTTTGAGCGCGAAATCATCCCCATGGCCCGTGACGAGGGCATGGCGCTCGCCCCGTGGGGTTCCCTCGGCGCCGGCAACTTCACGACCGAAGAGAAGCGTAAGAACAACGAACAAGGTCGCAGTATGCGGCCGGCAACCGATGCACAGATCAAAGTGTCCAAGAAGCTTGAAAACATCGCCAACAAGAAGAACACCCTGATAACGAGCGTGGCCCTAGCCTACGTCATGCACAAGGCGCCATATGTGTTCCCGATTGTAGGTGGACGCAAGGTGGACCACCTCAAGGGAAATATTGAGGCACTAGGTCTGGAGCTGAGCGATGAGGAAATCGACGACATTGATTCGGCCGTCGACTTTGAGGTTGGCTTCCCGATGAACTTCCTGTTTGAGTTCGGCGGGTCGAAGTACAACACGCGCATGACTAGCTCGGACGTAGCATTGCTCAGGTTCTCGGGCAATCTCGACGCTATGCCGCACCAGAGGAATATCAAGCCTCATGGTATGTAAGGAGGATATGATCAAGGCGAGATTGGAACTATAGCAGTGTAGACGGAGGAATAGACTGTAATAAAATCTACTTTGTATTCGAATGATTTGAAGAAGGGTATGCCGGTGCCTACAATGAACAGCAAAAACGCTGTCTGCCTCAGTTCACCTAGCATTATTGACCTCAATCAGCATCGTTCACAGACGGTGGTGCTCCAAAACTTTTCAACAGGGTATCTGTATCATACGCCAAAAAGGAATTGCGCGGCCGAGCCTCAAACCAAGCACACCACCCAGAGACCTGCCCTCTCAATGCTTCTTCTTTTTCTTCTTCTTCCTGTTCCTGTTCTTCCTCTTCACCTGCTCCCCGCCTCCAACATCCACCTCGGCAGCGGGCGCATCCACCCTAATATGTCCATACCTTTTAATAACCTCCGCATCAAACCCCTCCTTCTCCAGCCGAAACAGCGCCATAGTCGCCCTAGCATCTTCCACCGAGCTATGCGCCCCAACCTGGATATCCACACCTAGCAGCCTCTCCGCCAAATGCTTCAAGCTCGGCGTGCGGCCGGGTATTGACGCCAACTCTCTGAACTTGGAGTACTTCGACGTGTCCCTTATATATCGCTTGTCGTGCTTGAGCACTAGCACGTCGAGATCGTTCTTCACAGCGTGACCGACGAGTATGCGTCCTTCGAGAAGGATCTTCAAGTCGTTGTGGACTTCTTTGAAGGGGCGTGCGACGTCTCTTCGGAGGTGCTTCGGTTCGATGCCAGATACGGCGGTGCGGTAGTCTGTCACTGGGACTTTGACCTGCACGTAGGAATCGTAGACTTGGTGGCCCTTGTAGTTCACCACGGAGACTCGTGCCAGTGCAGAGTCCCTGTCAGGCATTGGCCCCGTCCCCACCATTTCGCAGTCTAGTGCTATGTATTTTCCTGGCAGTGCGGTGTCGGAGATTCCGCCGTTCTCGATGTCGGGGAAGTCGGCGGAGGGCGTCAGGACGGAGATGGATTCGGCAGCCTTCTTGGAAGAGGATAGAAGTGGTGCCTGCTTGAGCGAGGGCATCGAAACGCTCCGGGAGAGCGTCTTCTGGCCATGGTGCTTGATCGAGGCTCCGATTGAAGCTGGTTCCTCCATTTTTTGCCTCTTCCGCGATGATGGTTGCCTATATGGTATGTTCTTCCCTGACTGGTTCAGAGACTTCGAAGCATGCTCTCCGTCGACCTTAACAGGCCTTTTTCGCTTCAGTGAGTTCTGCTTCTCCGGTTGCGAAGCCTTCGGGGATGCGATGGGTTTTGAAGCCTGAAGAGTCTGCTGCAGCTTCTTCCAATTGCTGGACAGATTGCTGAGCTCGACTGGCGCCATTTCGTTGTCACCTGAGTGGCATAGCGGTGTATGACCCTCCGTTCATCGGGCGTGGTGCGAATGCTGCGTTTGACGTCTCCACCGCCTGCACCGCTTTCCCCGCCGATGAAGTCCGCAACACAAGGTCCAGCCTTATGTAAGCGGAAGCTGATCACGTGCTCAACCGAGCTCGCGAGCAGGCGGCAACTTACCTCACCGGCGCATCACGACAAAGGTCTTACCAACTCCTTGCGACGACAACAATCCACAACACGACTCAAAATTCGCGATAATTCAACTGAGGGTTGGGAGCAGGTATGGCTCCTCGGGAAAATTCTCACGAGCCCTCTGGAACGCCTGTTCCGGTAGAAACGGGATTTGCCACTCTGGCGCAGTTGAGGTATGTGCGACATCGCTGCGCGACTTTCTGTGATGGCTGCTGATGCATGGTGTGTAGGGTTGGAGTAAAGGCTTTCGTTGAGAAGGTGAGTACCGCGACATGTTACCACGAGATGGTCTTTCCTTTTCCTTTCCGCTTAGGATTACCACATTCCGTTTACTTTAGTCCTTTTCACGTTTGGTTTTCTGTTTGCATCGTATATGCGACTTGACCTTTCTGACACAATCCAGGATGGCGAGAAACGCAAGGCCGAGATCTTAATGACCCAGATCCGTGGCGGAAAGCCCAAGTTCTACGTCCACTATGAAGACTTCAACAAACGCCTGGATGAATGGATCGGCGCTGAGCGCATCGACCTCTCCAAGGAGGTCGAGTGGCCCGCGCCCGAGAAGCCCGAAAAGAAGAAGGCCGGATCGTCCTCCAAGACTGACAAGGCGTCCCAGTCAAAGCAGTCAAAATCCGATCAGAAGAACCCCAAGCGGTCGCGCAGCAAGCTAGATCGCGAGATCTCAGCGACCCCTGAAGCCACGAGTGTCAATCTTCCTGGCAAAGCTCCCCGACCGTCAAAAGCTAGCGGCAAGGAAAACAACGAGCTGTTAGTGACGAGCGAGGTCACCGACGGCACGACGCCCAAGCCCGAAGATGAAGACATGGACGTAGTAGACATCCAGGATGCCGCAGCGGCAGCCAAAGCCATCCCCGCCCACGAGTACTCGCGCGAAGACGAAATCGAGAAACTGCGCACCTCCGGCTCCATGACGCAGAACCAGACCGAAATCTCGCGCGTCCGCAACCTCGAGAAAGTCCAAATGGGCAAATACGAAATCGAGCCATGGTACTTCTCACCTTATCCCATCGACTTCGTCGATAGCGAAATGGTCTACATCTGCGAATTCTGCCTCTCCTACTATCCCGAAGTCACGCAGTTCGAGCGCCACCGCTCAAAGTGCACACTCCTCCACCCGCCAGGCAACGAGATCTACCGCGACGACTACGTTTCCTTCTTCGAGATCGACGGGCGCCGGCAGCGCACGTGGTGCAGGAATCTCTGCCTGCTGTCAAAACTCTTCCTAGACCACAAGACGCTGTACTACGACGTCGACCCCTTCCTCTTCTACTGCATGTGCACGCGCGACGAACACGGCTGCCACCTCGTCGGCTACTTCTCCAAGGAAAAAGAATCCGCCGAAGGCTACAACGTCGCCTGCATCCTCACGCTTCCGCAATATCAACGCAAAGGCTTCGGAAAGCTGCTCATCGACTTCTCCTACCTGCTCTCCAAGCGCGAAGGCAAGCTCGGGTCCCCCGAGAAGCCGCTCTCCGATCTCGGCCTCCTGGGCTACCGCGCCTACTGGCAGGAAATCATCGTGGACTTGCTTATCGACGGCCGTGTTGAAGCGAACATCGAGGACCTGGGCGCTGCTACCGCGATGACAACGAACGATGTGTTGCATACACTGCAGAATCTAAATATGCTGCGGTACAGCAAGAACCAGCATGTTATTGTGCTGACGGATGCGGTGATCGAGCAGAGGGAACGGCAGAAAGCGAAGGAGAAGATCAAGGGGAAGAGGAGCATCGATCCGGATAGGTTGATATGGAAGCCGCCGGTGTTTTCGGCTGCTAGCCGCACCTGGAATTGGTAATTGGCTTTGTACTATGAGTTCTTTGCCCGGCAAGAATCGTATCGCACCTTTTGGTATGGTCTTACGTATTTGATTGCGCCCTGGGTGGGGAGCAGACTGAGGACTTGGAGTTAAAGGCTGGGATAGATACCCTTGGGTAGGCGTCCTTTGCATTTGTAAATCGATGGTATCACACGCTGTCTTTGTTCCTGTTTCAGTTGCGTTGGACTTTGCTTGTCCGTACGCCAAATATCATACGTGGTGGATGAAACTTTTACCGCGTCGCGTCTCACATCAGAGGGAGCTCAATGCTTGGAAGAAGTTGCTCGTAATTGTACCGGATTTCTCCAGCGTACCAAAACATATCCGGGTATCCTACCAATCCATTCGCATCCAGTACCCTATCTCCATTCCTGAATCTTCACACAAAGTACTCCGCTCCCTTCCTGTCAACGGTCTGCCTCTTCTAGTTGTCTGACATCGTAGCGTACCTGCGTTTCTTCCCGTGCTAGAGGAAGTAATCCGCAACGGGCTTCTTCGCCGGCATGCCCCTCGAGTCCTGCGGCGCCGCCTCAAAAACTCTGTATCTCCTGCCCGGTCCATCTCTCGTCCGCTGCATGCTATCTCCCAGAACAGAGCTCAACCTCCTGTTCTCGCCGGTGCCGTTCGGCCCCGCATTAGAACCTAGCACCCAGCCTCCGCCACCGCCGCCCCGGTCGCCGTTGCTTCTCCGCACGAAGCCCCCGTTCGAGCCGTCTTCGCCAAGTTCCAGAATGGCCGCTACGTTGCCGCAGCGGTAACAGTAGTTCGGCGCTGACCAGACTGTTACTATGGTTGATTCGAACATTTCTTTGAAGCCTTCCATGACCAGTTGGTGCGCTCGCGCGATGAGACTCAGGTCGTTCTTGTGGTTGAAGCACTTCACGATATCCGCGCCGAACAGGAAGCCCGCACCACGGGGCGAGAGGCCCCAGCCATCGATCTCATCGGGATCGGACCAGAGGAGGTCGCACATTGCGCCTTCGTGGGGCACCTCTTGTTTTCGGTCGAGTAATCGGATCTTATCAATTGTGTCGATCAGAGGGGAGAGGCCGCCGTGGACGCAGAGGATGGCGCCGGTGTCATTCCTAGTCGACCCGTTGGCGGAGGATGTTGCGCCTGTGCCGGTAACGCCTGCCAGAGAGGGTGTGGGTGGTGCTATGGGGGAGGAAGAGGCCGGGTTGGAGTTTGCCTGTGAAGCTGCACTGGATTGCGAATCCGAATTTCGTGCGTAGCGGTACATGATCTCGCCTTGGGCATTCAGCGTCTCGATCTCGATGTCGCAGTCGACGTCGGGGATATCTATGTTGATGTTTTCCGCGATCGGGCCGTCAGTGGGGGTGAGAGATGTTGCGGCGCCGGTGACGAGGGCACCTAGTGCAAGGTAGTCGAATACTTCGCAGCAATACCTCCACACGTTCGCACTGCCGTATTTCCGCAAGCATTCATCGTAGAAGCCGTATACGGTTGTGATCTGTCGCGACTCGTGGTTTCCCCGAATGAGTGTGATGCGGTCTGGATATCGAACTTTGAGACAGAGAAGCAGCAGAAAGGATTCGAGCGAGTAGAAGCCTCGGTCCACGAAGTCGCCTGAACCGCGTTAGTCTTGTGCATTCCCATGCCGCGGAAGATGGATACGGCATACCCATGAACAAATAGTTGGTGTCCGGCACGTCACCACCCACGCGGAATAGCTCCATCAAGTCGTGGAACTGTCCATGTATGTCGCCGCATATCTACCCACACAGCTCTGTCAGCATTTGTACCAATTTATCATATGGAGCGACGTACCGTCACCGGCGCATCCACACCCACCACGTTCCCCTCTTCTATCAGCAGCTCGCGTGCCTTGTAACATAACTCCCGCACTTGGTTCTCTGGTATAGGACGGCATGCACGAAGCTGTGTGATCGCTCTGGTAGCAGTGTCAGACCCGACTCTACGTCGCGAACAGGTGGGTGGGAGGCCTACCTATCGAGGTCGCTGCCGCCGATACTCATGGTTGCAGCTGCGCCACAGGTTATGCCCACGAGGGGCTAGATACGTCGTGTGTTCGTAACAGGCGAATCTGAATGCTCAATGGTCTTGTACCGCGAAACGTCCGATGTACGAGAGGATGTGGCGGGCGTGAAGGACAGGCGCGAGCGGCGTGACGCGTCGAGCGGCGGGAAGATGCAACGGCGGAGGAGTTGGTGGGTTTTCGGCGAGACTAGGACCAGCAGGCGTTATGCGGATAGCGATTGCGGGGAAAGCAGGCGGCAACAACGGCGGAGGCTGAAGATAGGAAAAGATGGGTGTTGAAGTTCGAGACCTGGTTCCGACTGCTGCAGGGATCATCCGCTAGCGTCTCCTTGGCGGCGGAGCTCATGCCGCTGAACCTCGCACCACCGAAAAGCTCCCTCCACCTCCCTCCCCGCGTTTCCTGGTCCCTCCGGTCTGCGCTCGCTCGAGGCATCTCAATTGGTTTGGTACGGGGCCTTCCTATTCCCATGGGGCGTCCAGCAGCCGCTTACACGCATCAGGCCTCGGTAATGCCGCCGCAACGTCCTCTCTAGCTCTCGAACCACTGCCATGCCGCCGCATCTCCACCCCCGGTCGCGCATGACGACCTCCCTTTTCACGACCACGCTCGCGGTATCGTTTCTGGTTGTAGCGACGCCCCATCTTCTCCCCTGTCCGGTTGACCCGCGTACGCTCGCCGACTCTTCGAACCCAGACGCATTATCCGGAGAACCGAGGAGAAGACGGAGGAGGATCCCGCGAGAGGAGACATGCAATGATGTGATGAGCGAGGAGCGGAGGCGGAGGAAGGAAGCAGATGAGTGGGCGCCGCCGAAGAGAGAGTGTCCCGTGCCGAAACCTGGTGGGCTAATCGGGCAGGTGCTGGGCATTAAGGAGGAAGCGGACGATGCTGAAGATCAGCCGTCGGTCACAAGACAGGTTGATAGGGCAAGGTGGAAGAGGCGGACGCAGGATGAGGATCAGTCATAACTACCAAGAACACTCTTAGGCGGAACGGGGTTGGAACACGCACCATCGGGACGACTATGAGGGCGCAGGAGCAGGAAAGCGTGTATCATATGTATCAAGATGGTGACATAGAAAGGGAATCACCTCAAAGTCTATATGGCAATACCCCAGATCCTTCAGCTTTGGCAGGGCCGTCGTCCAGTCATGCGAAATGTGCCACTTCGTCGCTCCTCTCAATCGCTCATGTCCGGAAGCTGAAACTCGATCTAGGCTTAAAGCTTAACGACACAGACGACAAAGAATGATGGTAGCTGAATGCATTCTGCTCCTCCAAGTTGTAATATCAGCTACGAGCACAGCATTCAACAGTTAGGACCCCTCTTCGAGATTTGCGGCTGGTCTTTTTTTCGATTCTTTCATCTATTCTAGTTGCAAATACAGATTTGATCTCTCCCAGCTCGAGGCTAGGTAGATGCTACACGGATCAAACGCACCAGAAGTGCGCCTGATGGGTTGGTTCCCTTTACAATGCACAGACGACAAAACCGCTCATCAAACTGCAAAATATCAACCCCTTCATCAGGCGCTACTGGATCAAAGATACGTAGGTTGTAGTACACTCTAGCATGTCTTGGTCTTTACCTGCTAAAGGGCTTTAGGGAGGGCTTTCCGTAGGTAAAGCCAAACATCCTCGAGAGAGATTTTCCTTCCCCTTTTCTCGAATCTACGTGCTCTGCTAAGTGCATCGCCACCTTTGCAGACAAAGAGCTTCCGATGCTGCTGTGCAAAGTTGGTGAGCACTCTTTGGTCGTAAGGTAACCATGCACGGTGAACAACTTTCACCTCGCAACGGAGCGCGGCGAGAAACTCGAGGGCATCGCGGTTCGTCGACGGTACGTCATTTCTTTGAGTTTCACCACAGAGCTCTCTCTCGCCCGCGTACATAAACCTCGCTCACGGGCCCAATCCTCGCTCTACCTACACGTCAACTACTTTCAATTCCGGTAAAGACCGCTGTGATACTCAACCAAACAACCGTTACCATACCTTCGGTACATCGCTCCCAGCATCTACCTTCTACGATGGCGCTTGCGAAGTCAAGCTCGCCGCCCACAACTCATGCCACTGCGGTCGCAGTTTCAACTGAAGACTCAACCATCCGTCACTCCGAAACCCAATACAAGGCTGTGTGCGGGCTTGCAACGGTGCTGGAAGCCATCACGCCTAGCCAGACACCAGTCGACAGCACGTTCATTCGGGAAGCGTGGGTCCGCAACGGATCGCGTCCACAAACACCCGCCGACCAGAAAACTAGAAGCCTCGGGGTTCTTGCAGGGGTTGTCAAAACACGGCTGCGGGTAAAGAACAACGAAATTGCTGGCTGTCAGAAGACGCTGGCCGAGACCAGCGACGCGAACGCCCTCCTCCGCAAACAGCATCAACAGGGCCAGAACCGCGTCGAGTACCTAGAGCAAGAATGCTCTAAGTATCAGCAAGATATCACATTCACCAAGAACGAAAATTCCGCACTGCAGAGCGAGCTAGACAAGGAAAAACAACACAGTGCGGACCTCGCTGAATCTTTGAGCCAGGAAGCCGCTGCCTTAAAGAGTCAGGAGCTGGAGGCTAAGCTTGCGGCGGCCTTGAACATGGTCAGCATCCTACAAGAACAGAATGATTCGCTTGGGGCATCGCTGAGCGAGAGGGAGCTGGCAGCAAAGGTCGCCGAAACGAGGAACCAGGATCTGAGCGAGAAGGTCACAGAGCTCGCAGGCAAGCTAGCCACCGAGCAGCAGCACAAGCGCGAACTTACAGAAAGCGATACGGCAGAGAACGCGGAGATTCAACGGGTGCAAGAGCTGGAAGAGAAACTAGCTTCTTCAGAGCGGCGCAACCAAGACCTCGAGGGTCAGCGGAAAGAGGACAAGAGGAAATGGGGAAAGAATCAGCAAGGTCTACTCAAGCAGAAAAGAGATCTCGCCCGAGAGGTTAAGACGCTCAACGAGAGCAACCAAGTCCTACGCGATAAGAACGAAGAACTCCAGCACGAGGTTGCTGGCTGGTCTGGCGAGCGTCAGCTCTTGCAGGAGAAGAACGCTGCTCTTGCGTGTAAACTGGAAAACTGCAACCGCGAGTACGACTCGCTCGACAACAACTGGCGGAAGTTTATCGAGGATACCGAACAGATACGTAAAAAGTTCGACGCGAATGTACACAAGGAGCTCACGAGCCAGATCGCGGCTCAGACTGCTCAGATAGAGACTTTGGAGTATTCACTCACTGAAGTCATTCGAGACTTCAACGAGAAGGACAGGGAAAACGAATTCCTCATAGAAGGATGCAAGCGTCTGGAGGGCACCAGGCTGAAGGACGTTGGCAAGTTTGGTTTGCACTTCTGGAGCATTGGCGTCACCCGCATCCGCAAGATCAAGGACTTGCAGGAGCAGCTTACCGCTTTGAAGAACGAGCTTTCCGCTAGCCTTGCCCGGGAAGAGGAACACAAGTCGAAGATCATGAACTCACGAAAGCGCGAGAAGGAACTCGGCGCGGACAACACTGCACTGCGGAGTGACAACTCCGATCTAAAGGACAATCTACGCCAGCTCAAGACCCAGCTCCAGCGACTTCGCAAGCCTGACGCCGGGAACTTTGCGGCAGAGGCCGTTGCTTTCGGTGCGGCCGTCGCCGAGAAGCTCTCGTCCGTTCTCAAACAGCTTGCAGCCAGCAAAGTTGAAATCCACTCGCTCAAGCAGAAACTTGTAGTGCATGACATGGAGAAGCACTCCCGCGAAGCCGAAGTCGTGCGGTTGCGAACCTGCATGCAGGAGATGAACAAGATTCTCCGTCTGCGAGAAGATGAACTTCAGACAGCCAAGTCCGCAATCAACGCCTTCAAATTACAGCTGCGAGACACACATATGAACTCGCGAGTCAAATTCGCAACCTTCGATGGACATCACTGCGCCGTTGAAGAGGCCAAATCTCTCAGCAGCAAGGTTATAGGCTTGAACATGCAACTAACCAAATACGAGACCATCCTCGGCGACCTAGGGGCCTAGTACTACGACCAGACATGCAACGTCGTCCCCGCCCTACACGCTCAGCTTGCCGAGCTCTCGGCTGAGAAAGGCGTGGAGTACACCGTCGAGCATCATCCGCATCCAAACCCCGAAGTCGAAACCCGGAAGTTGCTGCGCATGGCAGCGGCGTACGGAAAGTGGGAACTGAAGGGCTTCGAGCCTCACGCGTATGATCCGAATGAAAATCCGGGCTGCATCCCGGCGACATTCGAGGCGATGAAGAAGCTGCTCCCAAAGGGATGGAAGGTGCTCTACGACTTGGACAAGGCCTGGCTGCGGCCGATGTTCAAGGCTTTCACCCTGTCAGATGCGCAGGAGCGTGCTGATGCAGAGAAGGAGATGGTGCAAAAGCAGCTCTGCCGTGAGCTGGGACTTCCAGAGAGCGAGTTTGGCCGCGTGCGTGTCAGTTCAGTGGTGGAGGAGACTCGGGAGATACTTGCGGAGATCGATGGGGATGTGCTTGAGGCTAGCATGAATGCGACTCGGGTGTTCCAGGTCGATACGCCGGTGGGTGTGCATCCTGATTATATTCAGGATCCCATGACGGATGGCGACTTTGATGAGCGAGAGGGCTTCGTTCACGGACGCTTCGACGACGCCCGCGTTTAGGAGAATGGCGCGAGGGCATGCTCGGCCTGAGGATGATCGACATGTGCGAGGGACGAAAAAAAAGACAAAGCGGCGTGTTTCTCTAGTTTTTGGGATCGGCGCTTGGGACTTTAGGAATAGGGTACGGGATGGCAGGTCATGATACATGCTAGGTTTTTGACAATGTCACGAGGTTTCCTGCATGTAGAACGTAAGGCCAGTAGTCCAGGAGCTAGAAATATGTGCTGGAAACCTAAATACAAGGATTTCTAGAGTCATATGCCATTCTAATTGCGTTAAACATTTAATTGCTGCTGAAGCTGTAGTCATTTACGAGCGGTGGCTTCGAAGGCTGCACACTGCGTCATAGATCGCTGACACCCGTGGACCTTAACGCACCAGCAGAGTCGCGTCGCACCACAACGTCCTGACTTCTCAATCAAGATATGTCCTCCCACACACTATCAAAGCCCCAACAAATGAACTACCGCATCGGCCGCGGCGAACAAGGTGTCCTGACATTCGAGCCCTACAAATCCGAAATTCTCCCGCTATGGCGCTTCAAACGCCCGCCATCGCGCGTCAAAGCTCAAAGCAAATCTACGCTAAATTCGAAGATTACGATAGAGACGGCGACTTCGTGGGTATGGATATGTGTCGTAAATTTCTGCAGATGGTAATTTGGCATGCCATGCGATTCGATCGAACCGGCGGTATGTGTGGAAAGCTTATGAGAGCGATATCAGGGCATGACTAGAGCGAAGAGATATGCGAACCACAAAGGTGGGAGGAAATATGATAGAGACACGGGGGAAGAGTTGGAGAAGAGTGCGGAGCATAAAGATGCAAAGGAGAAGCTAGAGGCGGCGTTGATTTTTCGGGAGGTTTGGGAAAGGGCGAGGGCGTTTGAGGGGTATCGCGAGAAGAAGGAGAAGTTTCTTGCGGAGCAGAAGGAGTGGGTTAAACAGGAGAAGAGGAAGGCAAAGAAGTAATATCATTTGATAATGATATTGCCCCGTGAGGATGTCTTCAGGGTTCCGACTTTCTATGACCCCTCTGCTGCGTACAGTCATGCAGGAACCCGCCCCGCCGCCATCCCCTGCACGTCTCCACACCAGCAAACATCTCAAACGGGCCCCAATCTTCCATCAAGGCATCAAAAACAAAAAAGATGGAGATACGCTGCGATTCGAACGCAGATTTCTCGCAATCGTGACTAACGAGGAGGCACAGGCCAGGGGTACGAATACTGTTATTGGCGGCACTAAGCAAAGAATCTTGTCGTTTTGGTTTGCTTGGTGATGTGGGCACCGCACCGTAATGCGGATCAGAAGAGGGCAGAAGGGGAAAGTGCAAAGGCCCTTGGCGCACGTAAGAGTCATCGTCGGTTGCGAGCGTCATACCGTTAGACCACGTATCCGAGATATCTTTTGAGGACTGATGGATTATGCGGTATATGTGGGATGAAAGGGGGAGCGGAGGCAAACGCTGTTCTGACGGGAAAGGGCATGCTGGGATGGCTGAGGAGCAAACACTGCCCTGTATGCCGCCGCCAACATCTACGGTTCTATCTCCATGCCATGCAAAAGATAGACTGGCGTGTAAGAACGGTTTTGACGAAAGAATCTGAAGGCTACCAGGCTCGGCGTTGCATAGTTCCCGGATAGGAGTCCCTTTCGACACGAGCGCAATACCTCTAGTGCATGATACGTACTTCTATCACTATCATTCGATAGACCTCTACCTTAACAGCACGGCCGTTGCGGTTCCGCAGTAGCCCTCCGACACTGCAGTCTCAGAATCCGCTAAAGCAGCGGCGCTATAATGTAAGGCTGAGGCACAGACAGACCGCAAGGCTCGAGTCTCACCCCAACCATCCATCCATCCATCGGATGCGGGCTAAGCGCCTGCGGCGTAGTTTCCAAATAGATGAAGCCGGGGCCATACACATACACGACGTAGTCAGTCAGGCTTATGACCGGACAACATCACCTGAGGGCATCAATTGCAAACACAGTATACTCGCCTGACTGGGTACTCGTCTCCATCCCTCGAAAAAATTCCCTCAGCACAGTTGTCTAAGCGAAGAAGCCCCAAGAATCTTCCCGCCAAACTCTCCTTTAGGAAAATCGCCCTTCATCCCAGCGTCCTTATTGGCTCAGTACCATGTATTTTCCATCCGACAAACGCACGCGCATGCGTGCATCCTTCGCACGCACATAAGCAACCTCATCCTCTCTCCCCTTCTCTCCACTCGACCCCAACAAAAGGAAGCCCGTCCCGCATCTCCGCAGCACCCATCCTCTCTCTCTCCTTCCCTTCACAGCGCCGCGAATCCACCCACCATGCGAGAACACACCCCAAGTCTTACCTCATCAGCCACCACCACCCAGAACAGCAATCGCTCCCCCGGTCCCGTGCCAGTCCAAGAACGCCCCGTTTAGCAACAGGGGTTTAGCCACAAGACGAGCCGAGCCGGCCCCGTCCTTCCGTGTGTGCGGCACAGACAGTGTGTTTTGCGTTGCGTTGGCGGTTTGTGGTTGTTCCCCGTTCCCCCCGCTTACGTTGGACGGGAAGCGAGGTGGCGAGGCGAGGCGTGCCCGGGCGCGTGGCTACCATGTGACTTGGGGATGCAAGCTTAAATTCTTGAGTTATAGGTTCGTTTTGGGGGTTCCTGCGAGTCTTGGAGTCTCAGATCAAAACGGTGGGGGAGTAAGGTTTACGTCATTGGATATGTTGTGTAGCAAGAATGAAGAGTTAAGTTCTTAACCGATAAGAGGCAGTTTGGGCAGAATTTTTTTTTTTGGAGAAATTTGATGCATGCAGCTAAATGAAATGGCTTCATATCATGTGATTAAGATGCCTCGTAGAAAGAGCATCGGGTGTTCGGCTTCTAAGCCCTTTGTGAGTGTATCGAGTCCCAGAACATCGACGAACAAAGCCGCGCTTCCTCCGCCCACGCGTCACCAGACTAAGGTCATCGCCGGAAGCGGAACAAAGACCTAAATCACCTCCCAACGACTACATGAAGGCCCTCAAGACCAACAATACTCACAATCTCCGAAACGTACCACCAGCTTCCTCACATTATCTACCATGGATCGCGCAAGCAGCCGCCGTTCACGCTCGAACTCCACCTCCCAAGCCCGCGTACCAGTCGACTTTCGCGCCGTTACCAAAGCAATGGACCGAGAGCTGCGCGACCTCAAAGCCCAGAATGGAACCCAGCAGAACTGGATCAAAGCGCTCATCGGCGCCCTCATCGTCCTGATCCTCTTCATCCTCACCCGCCCCACAACCACGTACTCCCCCGATTTGAAACCCAACTACCGCAAGCGCTCCTCTATTATTTGGCCCCTCAACCAAACAACAGCGGGGCCATGTCTTTCGCGCGTACAAGAGCCTCTTTTCACGAGCTTTGAGCCGCCATTGCAGGACCTGACGCCTGCTCACCTGGGCTTCATCCATGCGGATGATCCATGGAAGACGCTGAGCCTCGACGAAACGTACATCCAAAGGGAGTGCACGATTGAGCGCTTCAATGAATATGTGAATGGGTATTTGAAGGAAAAGTGGCAGACCGGAAGAGGGACCTTGTGTGGGACTTGGTGGGAACCGGGCAAGTTTGACAGAAGGGTTTGCAGCGAGGCGAGGAAGCGCTTTGATGAGGCTGCTATGGAAGTGCGGGCGGAACTTAAGGCGAAGGCTAAGATAGCGAGACGTGATGAGGAGGAGTATAGAAAAAGACAAGCCGAGATTTAAAGATCGGAGGGATGATCTCAATGGAGGAGTGCGAAATCGTGTTCTTTCTGCAGTTGGTTGGCTACGGTAGATGTATTTTTTCATATTGTTTCCGCAGTTGGTTTAATGCTTAGAAGGAATGAGGAGGTAAAGCGCTTACGGTAGAATATGTCTGTCGGACGCCCGTTGTCAATGATTGGTATATGTGTAACATGCCATTGCGCCTCCGGAAATACTTTAGTATCGAATATGGAGCGGGTATACTTGGCCGCTGAATCTAGCCTGCGTGAAGAATATCGAACGCTGTGTTCAAGATGTTCTCGTCTCGGGATCCGGAGATGCAAGGCTTCAATGCGCATACTTGTCGGAACGCTGACGAGAGCATGTGACAACTGCATAACTCTATAACCATGGTCAACACTATCGATCTCTGCAAGATATAGGGGGACGTTCTGTATCGCCGCTCTCGGGATGGCGAAGCAATAGCGATGTTCGATATTCGCGAGCCTCAGGGGTCCGTTTTCGTCTCGAGCTCATGATGATGTCCGTGGAGAAGGAAGCTGCTCGAATCAACGATATCGACGAACATGGACGAAAATATACCCCCTGCATCGCTGCACGTCATATCTTATCGTTCTGCGAACGACGAACATGTTCATCTGTAGATCGTCAGCTGCACCGCTTCAGCCTTCCCCAGCTGAGTACTTTTCTCAGCCTGACTCCGGATCCCGCTGGCTGACACAACATGCGAAGCTTCAGCTTCTGCAGGCACATTTTAGCCTTCGGAAGAGGCTGCCACGTTGACCTGCAGTGCCCACTTCTTACCAGCCACTCCCACACCGATGGGGCCGGGATCCAGGTTTGAACTAACCTGGGACCTGCAACTCTGTCTGGTTGTCTCCGCAAAATCCTAGCGTAGTCAAAGTTTGATGTGCGGATATCTGTTGGGATGAGGTCGTATGATTGAGCCAAGGGAGAGGCGGCAGTTCGAACGCTCTATGCACGCTTCGTGCCGAGCCTTGACAATCACCGTACGCCGTCCTTTCCTGATCTGCCCTGCTGTTATTCTTGATGTCGGGGGAGAATGGACGGGGTGGAGTGCACTTATGCAGCTTGTGCATATCTCATCGGCCCGACGTACACGCAGGAGACGTCATCTCAAAATTACTATTCTCGCAAACCAGCTGCGGCTGCTCAGTGTGCTCAGTCAAACATATCGTCCGAACAGGAAATGCAGTTCATCGCAATTCAAAACACCCGAGGTGTGCCCAGGTCCGCGGCGCGGGCGATCAAACATCCAGATCAGGCTGCTGCTGCGCACGGATGGGGAAGCCCACGGCATGTGCCTCTGGACTCTTCCCAAACCTCCATGCGCCTCAATTGCACTTCAGCCTTTTCAACCGCCTGCAGTTTTGTCATTGGCGGAGGGGCAGAGGCGAGCAAGGCTGTAATTCTGGCCAATTATTGCGCGTACCCGGCTGGATGGGTGGGGCCATGAAGGCGGCCGCAGAAGAGGCCTCCTATACATGGATGTTTTAATATATTGCCGGAGTCCGATAGAAGCTGGGAGGGGAGCGCACAACGGTATGCAGGGTAACGCGATGCACATGTCCTTTGTCGAGGAGGGCAGGCGCGATTGCAGCCCTTTCCTAAAATAGCCTAAAGTCAGGCGGAGAAATAGATGGTCGGGGTTCCAAGAGAACGGTGTGGCAGGCTCGCAGATACGATTGGGCGGAGTCGCTGGAGAGGAGGGACGGATCTGGTGGGCAGAGATAGAGGTGGTGGTGAAGAGGGCTGGTAGGTCGAGAGGAAGAGCGCAGAGGAGCATCCTGGATGGGCCGTGCACATGTTGGACACGATCTGGAAGGCGCGAAAGGCTGAATAATTAGCTCCGCGCTATCCCCATCGATACGAAGATCTCCAGCCGGCTCGTACCATCGGAATGCGGAGTCTCGTCGAAGACCGCGGTTGCCATCTCTCATGTGTTACAGAAGAAGACGGAGCCCTAGGAGATGATAGTTCCCCTCTTTGGCTGTTTGCATCTTCAGACGGCCGTGCATGCATAGCGTGCCATTCCAGGCGCTCCTCCAATTGGGATCGTCGGAAGCTCAGAGAGGCCTAGGCATGTCGAAGCACGCGGTGTGGCCTCATATCGGCAGTAGTCGCCTGCGGGTTGTGTGTGGCCGGATTGAAGGGTGGCGGAATTCGCATTGGAGGAAACGGGCTTTGTGCCGTGGAGCAATCTGGATTGAAGGAAAGCGGGGCGGCGAGGCCCTCGGCGCAGCCTGGAACTCTGCCGCAGTACAGACCAGATAAACGGTACGTGCCGTGGTCGTGAGTGAAGATGAATTATGTGCATAGAAGTCGAAGCAACTTCTGCAGAGGCAGTAAGTAGAGAAGAGTAGAAGCAGTTAAACGGAACATTTTCGGATTCAGGGACCATGCCGCCCTACCCCCATGGCACCCTGTGACTGCTTGGACAAGGAAATACAATTTACCAATTGCCATGAAAAAAAAATGAGTCTAGAGAGGCGGGCTGGCGGCAGCGCTGCCAGCACAAAAGAATCAGTCCAGGAAATAGAACTCTTCGAGCACAGCACCGTGTCTGGAAACGCGCCCGCAGAATACCCGTGTCAACACCAAGTCCCAAAAAGCGAACCCAAAGAGTAGTAGTCGAAGGGAAGGATGGCCGAAGATAGACCACGACGAGTTAAACTGAGAGTACGTGCTAAAGGTATCAATGTTTTCCTCTTGTGCCCAACAAGCCTCAACATGTGACGGCGAGGGCCACCGGCTCGGATCGGTGACAGGTATCTTTCTCCCACTCAAGCTGCGCGTCAATAGCCCAGCTCCTACATGACCACGCACCCACAGCAGCCCTTCTTCTCGTGGTCCTCTTCTACGCCCATCTTGGACATGCCGTTTTGCTGGCCGCCTGCGGGTGCGCCTGTGTACGATGACATCTCCTTGTTGTACCTGCGGATTTCCCGTACGATGTCGTAGAAGGCGTTGTCGACGTTGATGCGTGACTTGGCCGACGTCTCGATGAACTTGCAGCCGAATTGCCGTGCCAGATTCTGGCCCTCTGTGGCCCAAGGGATTAGCATGCCAATGCAACGAAAGGGGCGTGGGGTGAGACATGGGACGCACCTTGTGTTGACACCTGCCTCTCGCCGTCGAGATCGCACTTGTTGCCGACGACAATCATGGGGAAGTAGTCCTTGTCCTTTACCCGGAGTATCTGCTGCTGGAAGGTCATGATCTCCTCGAAGCTCTGCCGGTCGGTTATCGAGTAGACGAGCAGGAAGCCCTCGCCGGTCCGCATATACTGCTCCCGCATCGCTGAGTATTCCTCCTGGCCGGCTGTGTCGAGCACATCGAGCAGGGCGACCTCGTCGTCGATGACACACTGCTTGCGGTACGAGTCTGCTGGGTGTTACCAATGCTCTCCCGCACTCGGCGCTTCGCGGCGACTCACCCTCGATCGTCGGATCATACTCGTCTACGAAGTGGCTCTGGATGAGCTGGATGGTTAAGCACGACTTTCCCACACCACCGCCGCCGACTACCACGAGCTTGTACTCTCGGAGGAACTGGGCGCAGGTTAGCGGGCCGCAGGCAGACGGCGGCGAGCAGCACGCACCTTTGAAGCCATTGTGGATGGGGGATGCTAGACCGAGGGGGATCGCGAGGCAAACGCGATGGGCAGCGTTGCTCTGGTGCAGCGGCCAGGAAGCCGAGCGCTGCTCAAATGAGGAGGCGGGAACGGGGCCCTGCTCGTGTTGGTCGATCGAGGCAGAGAGGAAGGTCCGCGGCGGCGCAGGGCAGGCGTGCAGGGCAGAAGGAGCAATTGGGGCGGGCGTTGGGATGGGCGCGGCAGGGAGAAGATGGGCAGAATTAACGGTGTTGGAGGCGGACTCTCTAGAGAGGATGGGAGCAGGTTCGCAGAGGGCAGCAAAAACGACCAGAAGCTGTCTGGGGTGCTGCGGGCGCTGATTCGCAGCAGCGCGCCGGCTTAGCGCTGTGCAGTATTTGGCACCTGCGTGCCTGCTTGAACGAAAAAGGACGCCCACGAACAGCAGCGCGCAGCACAGTCCCCACGATGGCGGTTTGGGGTTTGGGAGCACCCACTCGGCCGCCTGTCCGGGCGGCGAGTGGACGCAGCGGGCGGCGAGGGATGCCTGGCTCCCTCGCCGCAGGCCTCACGCATCGCGAGAGGACGCTGTGCCCGCGCGATCAGCGCCCGCCGCTGCCTGAGGCCGACGTGAGGGAACGCCCACGCCCGCGCAGCCGACCCTGGCAGCGGTTAAAGCGGCGCTTCAGCGACGACTCCAGCCTCCGAGCGCTGCAATCCCGGCTCCAGCATGTGGCACGGTTTGCAGCCTGGTGCTGGTGGTGCTGGTGCTGGTGCTGCAGTGCGGCCAGCGAACCCTTTCCCCTTCGGCACCGGCTACCGCGCACACGCACACGCCCGCGTGCCGACGTCGCCGCCGTGAACACTGCCAGAGCACCGTACGAGGACATGTCTTCAGGTCTTCGGGTCTCTGCGCCCTTTTCGGTGCTGTCCCTCGCCCGCCGGCCTGCATTTCACATGACTGGCCACCACTGCGGGCGCGAAAACGCAGCGCGGATGGCACACGGCAGCGCTGTTGCACAGGCGGGGTTCTGCCGGTACGGACTGTGTGTATGCCTGCAGCCTCTGCGATGTGCTGCCGCCCACTCGATGCCACGCGAGAAGCGCACGCGAGAGTTTCTTCTTGCGCCGCCCGCCTCTGAGTGGTGACAGGCCGCTATTGAAAAACAATCACCCTGCATCTTATCGTCACTGTCACCTATCGCGCCGTTATCGTGCCTGGCTGATATTGGCTCGGCGCCCCCCCCTCCAGGCGAGCGAGGCACGTCAGGCCTTCCACAGTCCTTCGAGAAGCCCCTAGCAGCACGCGGGCGTCTATTATTGTAGCCCCTCGAGATCCCCTCGATTTCTGTTTCGACCGCATGTCGTCGTCTGATCACGACCCCTATATTTACAGGTGAAGACTCTAAGACAGGGCGCACTTCAGCCCGACTTGAGCGTGCCCGCGTCTGGATCTGGGTTCGCTGAGTCGTCCTCCCCTTCGACAGCTACGCGCCGCCCCTGAACAGCCTCTTCCACCTCAGGCACCAGCGACTCCATGAACTCGACATCGCGGCCCACGAGTGTCACCGTATTACGGTCCTTCCCCCAGCGTGGATAGCTGCCCACCTTGACCCCTTTCGCCTCCGTCCGCGCCGCCAGCTGAGTGAGGTATTCAGCAATGGCACTCTCCGCCATCGGCGTGGACACCAGTATCCGGGTCACGCCTTTTCCTTCTGGATCTGTCAAGCGTGGTAGAATGCGGGGTCTCAGCCCGTCTAGCATGCTTTCGAATAGTCTTGGCACTCCAGGCAGGATATGGACGTTGCCATTGACGCAGCTGATGGGAACCCACAGATTGTCGCTCACGAATATTACCTGGTCCTCGTCTGGTATGGAGTCGTCTGTGGGCAGCTCGATCATGCGCTTCTTCGCCGTGAGCGCTGCAGACGGCGTGTTCCAGTCAAAGTTCGGCTGCGAGGGGTGCGGCTTAGACAGGCGCTTCATGCGCTCAAAGGCGGCTTCGTGCAGCTTCAGGGGCAGGCCGAACGCTTTGGCTATCGATTGGTATGTGATATCGTCGTGTCTGGCAGGCATTCAGCTGGAGTCTGAGTACCGCATACGAGCGCTGTGCTCACGTAGGACCGATTCCTCCTGAGGTGACCACCAAGTCATAGTTCTTCGACATGCGGCGGACTGCTTCCACAATCTCGCCTTCGTCGTCGGCAATGACTTCTATTCGTCGCAGGTTGATCCCCAGAGCGAAGCAAAACTTAGCAAAGTACGCCTAGACGCATTAGCTGCGTCCCAGTGGTTTGGCGCTGAAGGTCTTACCGAGTTCGTATCATTTGTCTTTCAACGCGACGCGTTAGCAACCCATCCAATGTATCCAACACGAGCACGTGTCGCGCGTACCTTGCCTCCTAGCACTTCGTCTCCGATGATCAAACAAGCCGCCGTGTGTATAAGCCCCTTGCCTTGGGAGCTTGTTGCGTCCGCCATGACCGATGACGTTATTGAGGAAGCCCGGAGATTTGCTGCAGATAGGTGCGCGTAATTGGGGAGCGGTGGCGAGAGGTGCCTGGCTACTTGGCTGAGCCTGCTAAACATGAAGGTTTCAGGGGTACGTGAATTGGGGCTTGCGGAGCAGCTAGTTGCATGGAGGGAGGAGCTCTGGAATGGACGAAGAAATGCAGTAGCGACGGCGAGTAAGGCCGGGGGTTTCGGAAGGTGCCCCGCACCGACGAATGACTCAGGGGCCCACCTTCGCGCCGCTCACGCTTTCTCAGCCCTACACTGTCACCACCCGACATACGAAACAGCCGACTGAACCTTAACCTCTACTGCTCTCCCGCTCTCCTGAAATTCTCAGCGGCATGGCAAGTCTCGATAGTCCCCGCTCCGCCGCCGAGCTGACAACCCCGCAGTCCTCCGAAGCCCGGCTGTACACCTTCTCCGATGAGACGAAGCAGAAGCTGCGCAAGTTCCGCCTGGGCACGTCGCGCGCCAACGACCCCCAGGCCATCCTCTGTACGCCCTGATCTCGTTCTCGATTCCCCCGTAGCAATGCAGACTCGACCCGAAATGGCGGCTCCACAACCTGTAATCGGGGCTGATGCCTATGCGCGCCAGACGAGATCGACAAGAAGACATTGGAAATACGGCCAGTAGATGGGGAAGTCTTCTCAGACGTTCAGAGCCTTGCGGACGAGCTCCCAGACCACGCCCCGAGATTTGTCCTGCTCAGCTACCCCCTCACACTCGTACGCGTAGGAGACTCTCCACATGCGAGCCCGATACTGAGAGGTTCTAGGATTCGGGAAGGTTATCCGTGCCTTACGTAATGCTATTTTACCTGCCTGTCACTTGCAACAACGAAGTGAAGATGCTGTATGCCGGTGCGAAGGAGCTGATGCGAAATACCGCCGAGGTGGGAAGGATCATTGAGATTGACAGCGCGGAGGACCTGGACGACATTGAGACGAAGCTGAAGGAACACGCATGATGCTGCGGGGTGCTGATTACAAAGGGGAGAGCGTGGGGATGTGACGAGAACAAGGCAAGCAACAAGTCCTTCCAAGGCGTGAATGAGGCGACACATGGGTAGCTCATTAAAGAGAGACGCGAGGCGAAGTCTCCACGGATCCTATAGGCTCAGAAACGCAGCCTTATCATGCAAGATCCATCTTACCTAAGGAGATATCTGTTCGGGCTACTTCTTTCCAGGTCTTGTCATCTCGCCTCCACACACGTCCATGTTCGAGATCTCTTAAGATCGCTTTTTATGTTTCACCTTTCGTCAAATTCATCAAACTGTCTGCCGAGCATGGTCCCCACGCGATAACTTCCTGTTATAGCTCTTTCCTGTTCCCCTAGCCAATACTTTCGCAGTGATCTTCACGTTTTGAAGTCATCGGGGATCAGGGATCCAGTCGCGGCAAAGTCGTTGCAATTTCTTCGCAAGACCCACGCCATGCTCCAGCACGATGGAGCCTCCAGGACAGCCGGGTGATATTCTCCCTCTCTGGGCCTGCCATGTTTAGAAGATGCTCCGAATGCCTTGATTTTTTTGCGTGGCAAGTGCAGTGATATTTTGCAGTTATGTAAAGGTTCGTCCAGCCAATTATGTGCTCCACGTGCTTACGCTTGTCTGCCTATGAACGAGATACAGCGACATCGATGCACGCTTTCCTTCCACCGCCAAGGTACCCAAGGCTTTCGAATGCTTTCCTAGAATTAGCTCCCGAGTGACATGCGTGCGACGTCGGGTTCTGATTTCTAAAGTATGATTTGACCTTGCCTAGGAGGGCTTGACTGGCTTGGGGGTATAATGGGTCATGAACATAGAGGGAATTCTAACGCCCTGATTGGCCAGATGAGCGATACTAGGTTATAATTGGTTGATATGCTGATATAGCCCACTAGCCACCTGCGCTACTGTCCTATTTTCTGTGCGGGCATGACCCTTCACGTGCCTTTGTACCAGGAGTGCCTCCGGAGAGGATCGGCAGCACTCGAATGATGATGCACAACGAAGATTTACTTTCTCAATATGCTTTTCGCTCTGCACAATGGAATTCTTAGAGCGATATCCTGGAAGCCTAACGACTGATAGAACTATGATGCTATTCAAGAAGCCTACCGCAACTCGGTCTCCCTTCTTGTTCTGCTGCAGAACTCTTGAAAAAGAGTCGTAACAGTTAGACTAGTCAACGGTGTACGGTGATAGTGTCAGAGTGTATTGGAGACGAAGCGCCATGGCTGATAGGGTTTCTGAAGCACATCGGGAAGACGTATCCCAACTCGCTCTTCCCATAGATATGATAGAACTCTGTAACTCAGAGAACGCTATGCCATCAATCCATGGAAAGGATAGCTAGTCGGCAGGAGGTGAGGGTATTGCGACACGCCGTTCAGGTTTCACCACAATAAAGAGACATGGGTGACTGAGACGGCGACTAGCAGGTAGAATAGGATTTCTATTGAATATCTTAAGCTGTTACAGTAGCCACATGAAGCCAGCTCGATGGACCAAGTCCTCAAAAGATCGAGTTCAACGTGGAGGAGCAGTGCCGCAGTGACTCGGTACAGCTCACCCCTCGGTTCGGTGCGCACCACCCCAACGCCGCAGAACAAACAGAGACCACGTAGACTAGCAAAAAGAACAGCTCAGAGGTCGTGCCCGGGCTCGAACCGGGGTTGCCGGAATGCTTTGACATCATAGATCAAAATCCGGAGTGATGACCACTACACTACACAACCCTCCCTGATGGATGTGTGCCAGCAGTACACAACAGAACATGTGGAATTTTTGCCAAAATTTTGGCTTAGAAAACTTATATATTGAGTTGGTTAGCACACATGGCGGAACAGCGGCTATAAACCAGGAGCCTTTTCTTTGTGCGGGCGGTGCCTTAGCTCCGTTTCGGAAGCGTGACGGACCAGTGAGGGGTGCAGGACGGTGAGGGGCGATTCGTACCGAGTCACTGTGACACTAAGGCTGAGGCTACTGGGTACCAAACGTCGAATTACTTCAAAAAGGCAAAGATGACGTGTCAGCTTAGGGATCTTCAATATACTTTCTACACTCTGTGTTACATTATGCTCGCCGCATGTGCTTGCTTCATGGCAAACCACATGCTCCAGGCAGCCAATCCACCCATCAGCGCAACCGCCAGTGCCACCGCGGCAAAGGGGATCACCGGCGGGCGCGGCTTGTTCGCCATGCCCTGAATCTCTGCCTCCAGCGTCTGCGCCATCTTCTCTTTTGAGAATTCGGAAACCACCCTCTCCTGGCCCCACTTGCCCATCTCCTTAAGCCTCTCCTCGCCATCACCATCTTCTAGCGCGATGCGCATGACCTCCGTCCAGTCTTGCACCTTGGTTACGTCCCTTAGCCAGCCGGTTTGGCCGCTGATGACTGTCTCCGTTGGCCCGCCTTCATTGGCCGCCAACACTGGTGTACCAGCCAACATAGCCTCGAGTGGGACGATGCCGAAGTGCTCGTTGCGCGGAGTATACACCAGCAGACGCGATGTAGATAGCAGTGTAGCTTTGAAGGCATTCGGCACGGAATGGAGGAAGAGGATTGAAATGTCGTCGGGGATGCGCTGCGCGGTTATGACGGTTTTTGCGGTCGCGTGCCTGAGGCCGAGGGAGTCTGCGAGCTCGCAGAGCGCAGTATATGTCGCAAGGTTCTCAGCTACTCGCGGATCGTAGCCGCCTGCTATCACGAGCCTTGTATACTTGCGCTCTTCCCCAGATAGGCCGGCATACGCCTTAATGGCCAAACCCACGTCCTTCTTCTTCTCGAAGCGGTTGATGCTCAGCAGGACCTTCTTATCCTTCCATAGTGGCCTAGTCTCCTCGACAGGATCTTCAGCATTGGTATCTACGCACGGGTATACGACGCCCGGCTTTCGGTGTCTCAGGCTCGGAAATGCCTCAGCGAAGACACTTTTCGTGAAGTTGCTGTTCACCACGATCGTGTCGCTGCATCCCGTACTCCAGCTCTCAAGCCAATCAAATGGCCCTCGGTATAGAGTCTTCAATATGCCTCCTGTCTTCGCGAGAAGTTTATCTGGAAAGTGGCAGTAGAATATGATGCGCACATTTGGCTGCAGTACTCGGAGAAGTGGTATGCCCGCGCTGAGTTGATCCACGAAGAACGAGGTAGGCTTGAGATCGGGCAGCTCCCTCGTAAGCAGCGCTATGCGTAGTATCAAGTGCACCTGGCGAAGGATAGCGCAGAGGATAGCGAATCGGCCGAAAATACTGGGAGGAACGATTGAGTTTCCGCGTACTCGCACGTCGAGGGTCCCTTTGCGTCAAGGTGGTGTCTCAGCTACCTCCGTCCATAAATGAGCGGTGGGAGGTCGTAAGGCGCAGCAAGGAGCTTACCGTCACGCGCTTCGTCGAAGCAATGGCGAGGATCACAGTGCGATGTGAAGATGGTGACCTTGTGGCCGCGGTTCTGGAGTCCGACGGCAGCGTCAATCACCAAACGCTCGGCTCCGCCGATGCCCAGGTCCGGGTGGAAGAAGACAATGTGCGGCTTCTTGTCGGCCATGGTATGTGTTGAACGCAGGTTCGCATACGTGTTGCGTCGAGATGAAGCCGCCCAAACACGCACGCCCTTGCCGCTTCGGGCATGGTTGCCGAAGGACCCTGGACGCGGTGAAAGATGACCTCGAGCTCTGCCTGCCACTGCACATGATCCATATCTCATTCATCGTCATCTCGCAAACACAGGATCTGCTTCCGAGTTCTCCAGGCAGATAAGGATATGGTGCGGTGAATACAAATCCCGTACCTGAGCCTGCCAACAGATACAACTCCGCCATGCGGGCTGGGAGGCATCTACCTCGTCGCTCTTCCTAACGCGTATCGCCGTCCATCCCAAACATGGGGCAAGGATTCTCCCTCACGACGCTGTCGGCGGGCTCGGCCAACATCGACGTGCCGGAGCTGGCGGATCTGCAGTACGAAAAGTCTCTCGGAGCAGCCCGGTTTATGAAATCAGTAAGAGCGCGGCATAAAGATGGCCTGGTCGTTGCAAGAGTGGTTATGAAGCCATATGCCCAGTTCAACCTCGATATCTATGTAAAGCGCCTGCTGGAGGAAAGGAAGCTTCTGGCGGACGTTCCTAATGCTTTGGGCTATCATCGCATCCTCGAAACCGCCGTGGGCGGCTATCTAGTCCGGCAGTACATCCACAGCTCCCTGTACGATCGGCTCAGCACGCGTCCATTTCTCGAAGAAATCGAAAAGAAGTGGCTCTCGTTTCAGCTTCTCTGCGCTGTTCGAGATTGCCATGCCAGAAATCTTTACCATGGCGATATCAAAACCGAGAACGTGCTCGTCACGTCCTGGAATTGGCTGTATCTCACAGACTTCTCTGCCTCCTATAAACCGGCCTTTCTACCAGAAGACAATCCTGCCGACTTTTCCTTCTACTTCGACATGTCCGGCCGTCGAACGTGTTACCTAGCTCCCGAACGGTTTCTGGGTCCCGGCGCTCAGCCAGAGGGCGAGGGTGTGGTCACCTGGGCAATGGACATCTTCAGCGTCGGATGCGTCATCGCTGAGCTCTTCCTTGAATCGCCCATCTTCTCACTCAGTCAACTTTTCAAGTACCGGCAGGGCGAGTACGATCCTGCCCATTCGCATATTAGCAAAATCCAAGACAAGGATGTCCGGGAACTTATTTTGCACATGATTCAACTGGGTCCAAACTCGAGAATGGCTGCGGAGGACTATCTCCAGCACTGGCGAGGCAAAGTCTTCCCTCACTACTTTTATGGATTTCTCCAGCAATACATGCACTCCATTACCGACCCATCCTCAGGCCGCAAGCCTGTGACCACGGCTAGCGAACATCTTGGAGAACCGGACGACCGGATAGAGCAGATCTACAGCGATTTTGACAAGATCTCCCACCTGCTTTCGAACAATGAAGGGAATGTACCTGCGAAACCGCAACATTCGCCGCCCAAGCCAAACGCCAGACTTTTCCCGTTGTGCATCGATATCCCTAATTACCAGCATCAAGCGACCCCTGCGCCAAGCCTCGCGGTCGATGATGGAAACCTCATCTTCCTCACCATAGTTGTCTCCTGTCTACGAGGCACAGCTAGGGCGTCTGCTCGTCTTCGAGGCCTAGAGCTACTTTTAGCCTTCGCGGAAAGATTGACCGACGAGGCTAAGCTCGACCGTGTCGTGCCCTATGTCGCAACGCTCCTGATGGACAAATCAGAGCAAGTCAAAATCGCAGCCTTGCGGACCATGACACAGATCCTCGCCATGGTCCATGTTGTCTCACCAATCAATGCGTACGTCTTTCCGGAGTACGTTCTGCCTCGGCTAGAGCCGTACCTTCCGGACTCCTCCACCGCAGTCAGCCCTCTCGTTCGGATGCATTATGCATGGTGTATTGGCACATTGGCGACGACCGCGGCAAGATACCTTGACATGATCCAAGCACTCCGTGCTGAAGGATCCCTCCCAGCCGCAGACCCCGAAACGGAAGATGATTTGACATCGTCCTATCATCGAAACCAGTTCGATTCGGATCGCCAGAACCTCCTGGAAGCCTTCGAAAAGCATACCAAAGCGCTTCTCACAGACTCTGATGCTTCTGTTCGCCGCGCTATGCTTCGCTCCGTATCAGACTTGTGCGTCTTCTTCGGCAGCCCCAGAGCTAATGACGTCGTTCTAAGTCACCTGAATACCTATCTGAACGATCCGGACTGGATGCTGAAATGTACATTTTTCGAGGCCATCGTTGGCGTCGCTGTCTTTGTAGGCGGCGCAAGCTTGGAGGGCTACATCCTTCCTTTGATGGTCCAAGCATTGACAGACCCTGAGGAGTTTGTGGTAGAGAAGGTCATTCGGGCCTTCTCCTCGATCGCTGAGCTTGGCTTATTCCAAAGATCCAAAACGTGGGAACTCGTGGATATTGTAGCCCGACTCACCATGCACCCAAATATCTGGATTCGAGAAGCAGCTGCTCAGTTCATATCGGCCGCGTCAAAGTACCTATCCGTGGCCGACACGCACAGCATCTTGGTCAATCTCATCAGGCCATACCTCAAGGTTGTGCCTTCCGGGTTCTCCGAGATACGAATACTTGATTCCCTGAAGAAACCTTTACCAAGGCTGCTCATTGATATGGCCTCGAATTGGGCCATGTCCGCGCAGAAAGGAATGTTCTGGGTTCCAGCACGGCAGCAGCAAACATTCACGTTTGGATCTACCGAAGACACTCTTCCGACTATTTCAGGTCGGGAATTAGACCACAGAGTACTGCAGAGAATGCCAAAGAATGAAGAGGACGAGCAGTGGATACGGAAGCTGCGACAGGCTGGCATGGCAACAGAAGACGATTTCAAGCTTGTCGCGCTTCGAGAATTCATCTGGAGGGTAACCCATCGCCGACGATCAGATGCTGTGGGATTAACTCCTTCTAAATTCAATAGCATCGTTGCTTTGAAAGACCTCGGCATCAAGCCATTGACAGTTCTGTTCGAGAATGCGCAAGAGACGGTCGACCGGGCGCGCGACACGGGTGCACTGGATGAAGGATATCGACCTCGGACGATCAGAGATGCTTTGCTGGATGCATCCACCACTGAAGCTGATGCCCAGGCTGCTCGAAGGATCGATGGCACGCAACCGGAACGGAGGGAACGCGAGGAAGGTGATGGCAAACGAATCACTATTCCTTCCCGGCCTAAATTTGTGTCATCTCCAAGCGATCTGCGCTCCGCCCTGGATTCGCCGTCGGACGTTGACAGCATCCGGCGAAACTCACTTCAGGTACCTAGGGGCTCTCCCAGCACGCAATCTCCGATAGGCTCGGTTGGTGCTGGCGAGCATATGCATCCTCTCCGTCATAGGAACAGCGCAATGAGTCTCTTGAACAGGGGGGATAAGGCACATGCCGAGACTGGTACCACGTCTACAAATGCCTTTGGTAAGGTCGACACCGCACCTCCGCGAGAAGGCTCTCGGACTCGCCAGCCTGCTTCACCACTTGCCTTGGAGCAGAGGCACCGAAGTCCATCCTGGGTCCATTTCCGAGAAGCGCATAACTATACTGGAAACGATCCTGCGGTATTGAAACTCCTGGATTCAATGCTCCTTGAAAGGTTCCCGTCTGGCGAAACGGAATTTGGCAACAGGATCCAGCTAAGCTCTCGACCACAGCTCATCAAGTACAAAGATGCTCATCACTCACCGACAGGCATTCCTTGGAGACCAGAAGGCACTCTGGTAGCTACTTTCGGCGAGCATACGGCTGCTGTCAACAGAGTCCTAGTTTCGTCGGATCAAAGCTTCTTCATATCTGCATCCGATGATGGCACCGTCAAAATCTGGGATGTCTCCCGTCTTGAACGGAATATTAGCCGTCGGTCGCGGCAGACATACAGGCTCAGCGATGGGGTCAAAGTCATCAGTCTGGTATTCGTGGAGCAGACACACTGCTTCGTAGCCACGGGGGATGATGGCAGCGTCCATGTCGTCCGGATCGACTATGAAGGAACCGGCGGTAGCGCGAAGTTTGGGAGACCTAGACTACTTCGAGAGTATCAGCTTCCGGATGGCGATCATGCGGTATGGTCAGAACACTACAATGAGGATAACAAGTCCGTTCTCGTCTTAGCCACCAACACATCCAGAATCATTGCGCTCGAGTTAAGAACCATGACGGAGCTTTTCACACTCCGGAATCCTCTCAACCACGGCACTCCGACCTGCTTCTGCGTCGACAGGAGGGCTCACTGGCTACTGCTTGGGACCTCGCATGGTGTGTTGGATCTATGGGATCTCCGCTTCAAGCTCCGACTGAAAGCCTGGGTCTTCCATGGGGCAGCGCCGATCCACAGACTCTATCTTCCGAGGGTCAGGAATCCAAGGCTCTACATCACAGGAGGAACCGGACAGGGTGAAGTCACCGTGTGGGATTTCGCTCGATTAGTCTGCAAAGAAGTATACCGAACTGGAAACAGTAGGGATATTGGATCCAAGAGCACAACCCTTATTGACCTGGACGAGGAAAAGTCTGGTGGTATGCTCGGACGATTCGCTACGTCGCTCGAGCCGACCGCAAGCTCCACTGCCGATCGCGGTATCCGCGGACTCGTAGTCAACACCCAGGCTATAGATGAACGGGGCGACTCAAAAGGCCACACATTCCTCCTCACGGCAGGCCCAGACTGGAAAGTCCGGTACTGGGATACTAGCCGCCCGGAATCATCCATCGTCATCAGCGGGCTGGAGGCAGACGAGGCAAAGCCACAGTACGGCGTCAGCCAACCTAGTCCCGACACGGTAGTCATCAGCGAGCGGCTAATGCAGCCTCAGAGCCAGAGTACCTCAGTCGGAAGGGAGAGTAGAAGCTCGAGCGGTTCGACAAAAAGGCCGCCGCAGAAGTCGTCGAGGTCGGGGTTGATTTCGTTGCAGCAGCAGCATTTGTTAAAGAGCCATCTGGATACGATTCTGGATGTGGCGTTGCTGGAGCAGCCGTATGGGATGGTGATCTCGGCGGATAGGTCGGGCGTTATTTATATGTTTATGTAGTTTTCATGGATCGAGAGGTTGCAGCGCAATATATTACTGTCACGACTTCCATCGTATCGTGTTGTATGTTCAGCCTTACGTTCTACGGTGTTAAAGTGCATCGGGCTAGCGAAGTCGCTCAACCGATCTCCTCCATGCCACGCCAACTCCTGTTCTCCGCCTCTCATTTTGCGTCCTCTTCCAATCTGCTTGCCATACGTGTCAGTTCCCTTTTTGGAATGTACATGCGCCTGTGTGATATCATGCACTATGTTTATAGCTGTCTTCCACCGGAGGCTGCGGCAGTTCGACCGGTGAACGTACCAAGCCTGCAGGACTATCTCCGCCATGCAGCCTTGCGTGTTTTGCAGCAGCATATCTCAGCAGCGCAACGCCCTTTCAGGAATTTTTTCTCTACTTCATTGTTCCAGCTGCTCAGCCTTGTGTCTTAGGCATCACCCGAGTTCGCCTCCGTCCTGACGTTCCCTTACGTTCTCTTACGTTCCACACAATCCACTATCACTGCGAGAGCATTCAAAGCCGAGATCCAAGCCTATTTGAATTCCGAGCAGGGTCAGCTCTAATCGTCCAAAGTCGGTGACCAAAGACATCATCATAGCCTCAGCAGACCTTCCGCTAACCCATCTCCAGGCCCATCTTCGCCCTCCCCTAAGATGCCGTTCTGCACAACCTGCGGCTCCTACTTCGATGGCCGAGGCTCACACTGCGCGCTCCATAATCCCTACCTACAAACTCACTACGCCGACACATCCTCCCCAATCAACATAAGTTACCGTACTGGCACAGGCGGCCGCTATGCCACCCCTATCCGGCGCAAGGCCAAGCTGTACGACGACTACGATGGCATGCTCGACACCTACAACGACCGCAACGCCGTCGCCCGCTACAGCCCCCGAAATTCACTAGCCAGCTTGCCTGATCCTATCACGTCGCCGTCGCACCTCCGGCCCCTGGCGACGACGTTCGCACACCTGACAACGCACCACGCTATCACGTCGCTGACGTATAGCGTCTCGCCCACGGGGACGCGCAGTATCACTGCGACTGCGAATCCGGATCGCGAGCAATGCTCTACCTGCAGGCAGTGGTTTCCGGATCGAAGAAGGCTGGAGCTTCATCAATGGGAGTTTCCCGTGGGATGTGAGATGCATAGTGTGTGTTTGAGGGAGGAGGATATTGGGTGGCATGCTGTGAGTGAGAGGCATGAGAGGTGTTTTGTTAGGGGGTGTGGGAGTATCTACAGGAGGGAGGGGGCATGGAAGAGGGGTGTTGTGGAAGGGCATGTTCGGGGACGGCATGGGGTGTACGGGTGATTGAGGCGAGTTTACTTTGAGTGATGCGTTCGATGTGGCTGTGGGATAGGATAGTGGGGGCAAATGGTGTGTACGTGGACGCTAAGGGGAGGGCGGCATACAGCAGGAAATCATCCATCTTGGATTTAGTTTGACATAAGAATATACAGTGTGTCCATTGTGTACATCGGTAGGGCCAGTGGCATTAGGGTTCCGGACCGGGCGAGATAAGCCCGGTGGGTCATTGTGTTTGGGCCAGTAAAAGTGGAAGAAATACTTGGGTAAGTGTCGTTGCCGGGCTTCCTTTCCGTCTGCATCCAGAGCCCGCTGCGATGTCTAGTAGGTAGATGTGGTGTTGCTAGCATTGTGATCACGGTAAATGTGCTGCAATGGAAGGGAAGTGAACGGCGATGGTGGAGAACGAAGCATGTAGGGCTGAAGGACGCTGATTAGTAAGCAAGGTCTTGGCACGAAGCCCGAATTTCGTAAAACGCGTGCTCAGGCTCCATCCTCACCCCACGAATACCCAATACCGCCGTTGCCAGACTTGCTACCTCTCCAAGACGCCCGACGAACAGTCCACTCGAGATCTAGACATCCAAAATGAGGTTAACAACAGACCTGATCAACAACTCCCTCTCCTTCATCAACTGTCTCACGGAGCGCGAACTCGATCTACGAGGTGCGTGTGAAAAGGACAGATACTACACTTGAAGAGCTGAATTAATATCAATCCGTGTAAACTCTAGGCCACAAGATCTCCGCCATTGAGAACATGGGCGCTGCACGCGTACGTTGCACTTCCCCCTCCTTCTCTAGAACTTGTCATATTAACATGCGAGGACAGGACAACGACGCAATCGACCTCACCGACAACGACATCGCGCTACTCGGCAACTTCCCGCTCCAGCCCCGCCTGCGGACGCTCTTCCTCGCCCAGAACCGCATCTCGAATATCCAGGCGAATCTCTCGTCGAGCATACCAAACCTCACAACGCTGGTCCTGACTAAAAACCGGCTGACAGAGCTGGCGGACCTGGATCCCCTGGGCGGATTCAAGAAGCTGGTGTATCTGACATTGATGGGGAATCCGGTGACGAGCAAGGAGGTACGTACAACTGCTTTTCATGGTATGGGAGAGGTACCTAATTTGGTCAGCGGCCTTGAGCATCGCATGAAGCCTAGCAGGAGAGAGCCTATGCACTGCAGCGGGCGGATTTGAAGAAATAGAAGAGACTGACATGTCGCAGAACTACCGGTACTGGGTCATCTGGCGTTGCCCCTCGGTGCGCTACCTCGACTTCGCCAAAGTGCGCGACGCTGAGCGCAAGAAGGCGAAGGAGCTCTTCGGCACAGCCGAGGACCCTACGGAGCTCGCGAGCAAGATCATGGGCATGAAGTCCAAAGGATTTGTCGTCTCGACCTTCACGAACGGCGGCGATACCCCGACTAAAGAGCGCATTTGGACGGAGGAGGAGAAGAGCCGGATGCGCGCTGCTATCAAAGCGGCAGGCAGCCTTGCGGAGATGGCGAAGCTGGAGAAGGACTTCGCGGAGGGACGAATACCGGCGCATATTCTGGAGGGGGGAGACGCGATGGAAACATGAGAGAATGAAGAGCACGGCTTGTGGTTTGGTAAGATGGAGTCCTGGCGTTTGAAACCCGAAAGGTCGAGCCTTTGCTTGTGATAGCGCAGGATGATCTGAGAGGTCTTTAGTAACAGACCTTCAGCGAAGCTCCCGTTGCGAACGCAAATGACAGTTTATCGAAGGGTAGCTCTGGAAAAGGCGCCATTTGGTCCTACTTTTGAAGTATCGGAAGCCCCATGCGGCAATATCCGCCCGTGATCCATGGTATCGTACATAGAACGCCAGAAATGCATGATCCCAAATCCACCGAAATCCGTCTTAGAAGTGATGAAATCCTCTCACCAACCTCTCCCTCTCCCTCCCCTTCCTCTGCCGCCTCCACCCCCACCCCCACCACCGCTACCACTTGGTTGGCCGCCTCCCCCTCCTCCGCCATAGCCACCACCTGGCTGCCCCCCGGCTCCCCCGAAGCCGCCCATACCCTGCCCCGCCATCTGCATGAATGTACCGAAGTCTATGTTGTTAGGATCCATGCCGGACTGGATCATTTGCTGGAACATCATGCCCATCTGCTCCTCGCTTATTCCACCTGGCGGCATACCACCCATTCCGGCACCTGCAGCTGCACTAGCACCTCCTCCACCGCCGCCGCCGCCACCACCACCACTAGCAGGAGGCCCGGCCGGTGCGCTAGGCACAGCAGCATTTCCGGCGCCAGACGACGGTGCACCGCCCATGCCAAAGAACTGCTGGAACTGCGCGGTCTCGGCTTTCTGTGCGGCTAGCTGGTCCACCATGTTTTGTTGGCGCTGCCGATACATTTCCCAGGTGAACTCATCAAAGCCATAGTTGAAGTAGTCGGACTGATCGGCACCGGGCAGACGCCATGGCTTCGTGGTCTCAGCGAGGTCGGCGTCCATGTCGATTTGCGAGAGGGGTTTGCCGAGGGGCGGGTAGACGGGGTCGGCGTTGACGTCAACGTTGGAGGTGTGGACAATGGGGTAGGCGGTTCCTGGCTGCGAGGGCAGATGCGGTACTATTGACTTGGGAGCTTGCGAGGGTGTGGAGGACGGCTGGGGCGGCGCTTCGATCTTGATGGCCTTGGATTCTTGGGGCTGGGCTGGTCTTTGGCGGACTGTTAGCGAGCTGGAGGGCTCGTCTGCATCGTCATGGAGTACCCACTGGACTGGCTTTGGTGCGGTTTGCGGCTTGTCGATGATGATTTCGAGGTCCTGAGCCTTGTTAGCCTTGATTGAGTGTTTACTGCGGGGGCGAATCCCACAGAATCGCTGGATTCCTCGTCTTCCTCCTCGCCAGACTCTAGACCCTCGTCCATGGGCTCATCGCCGCCCTCGTCGTCGCTCTCCTTCTTCGGTTCCTCCTTCTTCTGCTCGGCGGGCGCCGTCGTCTCGGAGGGCCCGTAGAGATCGTCGTCCTCCTCGTCCATTGTTCCACGCTCCCAGAATTTCGGCGGCTTGCCCTTCTTGAAGTCCCAGGGGACGAGGCTGTAGCCGGCCTGCTCGAGCGACTCCTTGATGAAGCGCGCGCGGGTGATGACGTTGCGGTGCTTGTCGCGCTCGACGTCGTGGGCGGGATACTTGAAGACGTAGAGCAGCTTCCCGCGCTTCAGGCCAAAGCGCACGGTGCTCTCACCCCTAGCGGAAGGATTAGCCGAGCGACTGGAGAGGTGCGGCTCTGCGGTGGATGGCCTTGGCGCGCGTCGGCGCTTGGCTGCTGGCTCGCCAAAACACCCAAACACCATCGCCGCGGCAGTTGCACAAGGAACTCACGCGCTGACTCTCTCGATCCTGCATAGCGGCAGGTCCACCGCCTCGCCCCTCTCCAGCTTCTCCTTGATCAGCCCGATCTCCCACTCGCGACGCGCCTCGACCGCGCTGTAGCTGGGGAACAGCTCCGCGCCATAGGCACTCATCTCCGCAGGCGCCGGCCGGAACTGCATCGACGTCCGTTTTGCGATTCTTGCTCGACTCCGCTGCCCTTGTACACACCCAGCGTGCGCTCCCTATTTCGGACTGTGCATACAGCTCTATCCCTGTGGATGATTGGCTGCGAACGGCTGCGTATACTGTAAAGCAAGGGCGGGCTTCTGCAGAACGACAGAATGACGGGCTTTGGGCGCTCCAACTCGCTGAGCATCAATACCAGCGGAGGCCTCTTGTAAGTATATATATACCGTACTGCACATGACACCTAAGAGCCACCTCGAGTTAAGCTACATCGCCGCATCCTTCAGGAACCGCGCCATCCACCTCCGACCGTAGGGCTTGGGGCCGGCTTTCTCATCACGTCCCGCACACATGCATATGACGGCGCATGCTAACGGGCAAGCAGCGGAAATAATACCAGCCAGGGCCAGCAGAGCGCAGGCCTCTTCGGCTCGTCGACCAATGCATCGCAGCCCCAGAGCACCGGCGCCCTCTTTGGGTCGACGTCACAGTCTCAGCCAGGAGGATTGTTCGGCGCTACATCACAGCCACCCCAGTCCGGGTCGCTCTTCGGGGGGCAAGCCACTACCTCGCAGCCGCAATCAGCGGGTCTCTTTGGCAATCTAAACAAGCCTGCAGCGAGCGGCGGCGCTGGCGGGGGGCTGTTCGGCTCGTCCACGGCACAGTCGCAGCCCCAGCAGAGTGGCGGACTGTTTGGGGGCGCTCTGGGAGGCAACGCGCAGACAGCGGCTTCCCAATCGGGAGGACTATTCGGCGGGCTTGGCCAGACACAGCAGAAGCCCTCGCTGTTGTAAGTAAGGGCGCCCGTTTGCGGTTGCACAAAGGCTAACCGCATTCTCTAGCGGCTCGTCAACACAACAAACCACCACACCTTCTTTGTTTGGACACACGACCGCACAGCAGCCGACTCAGACACCCTCGCTCTTTGGCTCGATCCAGCAGACGCAGCCCCAGCAGCAGAGCTCGCAATTTGGCGGCATGTCTACCCAAAACAGGCCCTTCACACTTGGCAGTCACACTGTGACAGGCCCCAATCTGGGCGCCTCCCAGGCAGTCCAGATGTCCGCGATCGAATCGATAAAGGGCACCACCCGCTTTAGCGATCTGCATCCCGACATCCAGAATGAGATCATACAGCTCGACGAGGTGCTCCAAAAGAAGATCGATACCGCGAACAAGACGCGTGAAACACTACCAGGACATATGGAGATGGTCGCTACAGTAACGCCCGACGTCACCTACATTGAGAATTTCCTTTCCACCATCGAACTCAGCCTCGACAACGACTCCGCCAACATCGCCTACCTGAAGGGCTTGGTCAAGAAGGACGCAGAAGACGCATCGCTCAGCTTCCGTGCAATCGAGAACCAGGGGCTTCCGCCGCAATTCCGCTACGGCAACACTGCGAATTTGAGCACTTCGACTTCGAAACCAGCACCGTCCACGTCCCTTGACGAGGACGATCCCACCAAGCCAGTGGACCTCCTTGGCTACTTCAACAGGCGCGCGGATGACCTTGGTCGCACCCTTGACCTATATCAACGGCAGATCCGTGAGATCGAAGCACATCTGCGGACCATGGAGGCTGGCACCGTGGAGAAGGCGCAGCAGTTGACAGGCAGCAGGAGCAGGCCCCAGGATCAGAGACGCGAGCTGGTCGAGGCGCTCAAGGCGATTGAGATGGCTATCTTGGACTCAGCCAAGCGGGTAGGCAAGGTGCGGGACGAGGTTACGAAACAGACGTTGGGGGATGTTGGGGGTGCTTTGCTGTGAGTGGGTGGGGTGGCATATGGGGGAGCTGTGGCGGTGTACGAGTGCGAGGATTTCGCCCCACACGAGTACGGATGAAGCATGCATTGGCGCAGCGATGTCTATGGTATAGTTTGGAAGTAAAAGCAACAGATACCCTTGAAGAAGATCAAACAAGCTTGATCGATTGATTCATTTGATCCGGTTGCCTACCATGATGGATGGAGTGATGCCCCAATGCGGAAGGATCTTGATGCCTTGGATGTGGCGGCGGGGAATACTTCCCCAAGCCTGGAGTGCCCGAGGACTCGAAACGGAAGGCCAAAGGCTTCTTACCGTATACGTGGTAGTCAAGCCAAGTAACTTCTCCGATGCGTGGGCTTGATATTTTGTCTCGGTTGCGCCCGCGAAAGTGCAGCTTACAGGCGCGGACCGGATATTCACGCTTGTCAACTTCCCGTTTAGTCAGAACAAAGAGGATTCTCCTGCAGAAGTAAGGGACTTGGACTATGTCATAAAGTCTCCATCCTGTAGTGGCTCGGCTAGGCGTTTGCCGGCGTGGCGGCAGATGCCGTAGGGAGATGGGGTCGGGGGTCGGATGCACGCACACTTGTAGGAGGGGAAGGAAGGGCGACTAGGCCAGTTAGCTCCTTCAGGATCAGGAAGCTCAAGCGTGACAAGCTAGCTAGCTCGAGATATGTATGCGGCAACGGTGCAGGTTCTCGGGTCCCTGCCCTGCTGAGCTGAGATCCTACCTATCCCGCTGCACCGCCATGAAACCCCATAAGGAAGGATCGCACGTCTTGCGCCGATCGAAGGGGGAGCCTCCGAGATGCGGCATGTCGTCTTGGCCATGGGCGGCGCATATGTCATTAACTGGTACCGCGTGTGGAGCGACTTCCTGGATTGGAACTATGGCAATGGATAAGCGGACATTAGCAGTCTGGAGGGTCGCAGCGGACTTCGCGAGAGCCGCTAGAATTAGTCCATGTTGGGTAGGAGCAGATGGTACGGAGAGGAGCCCGCACTCGAGCTATTGCGTGAATGAGCAAGCAAGTCATCGCATGACTTCGTGGCGTGGCTGTGGTGGCTGTACTTTGTGTGTCTGATCGTCTAGCGGAAGGAGACAATACTTGCATGGCCGGCGGGTCAGCTGTTGTTGGATCCTCTTCCCGGACGAGCTGGTGAGGCGCAATGCGGACAAGCGAATCAGGCGAAGGTGTCAAACGTGACAAGTTGCGGAAAAGCGGCAGAGTGCGAAAAGGACTGAGTGTGCGTGCAAGAATAGAAGCGTTAGGCTCCGGCAGTGGGCAGTGGGCAATGGACGATGGTCAATAACACAGGAAGGAATGGATAGTGACTGGCTTCTGCGCGGTGGATTCTTGGTTGTGAATGCTGGATGCAATCAAAGTTCGGGAACCGGAGGATATCCCTGTCAGCGGCCGTCAGTCGAGAGACGGGCGGATGGATTTGAGAATCGCGGCCCCTGCTGCTTGGAGGAATCATGTTGGAAGGCATCAGCGTTTGTCGTTTCCAGATGGCATGAAGTGAGGTTTGGCTCTAAGTGGCGCGAAGGATGGTTGAAGCCTGACGGTAGGCCGAGACAGGCATAGGGCTGACAGGGGTCGGTACCGAAAATAAGCTTAAGGTAGTCGCAGGGCAAGGTCAGCCGGGCCGACGATGACGCTCGCTTACCACCCCCATCGCTGGATTCTCGGCCACGCAGATGCCGCACGAGATCCGTCGTTATTGGTTGTAGGAAGTCCGGCAAACCCCCAATGTTTCCACATCGCATGCGAATCTTGGGTTTCATGCTGGGCGTGATGTGTGGCGCCCATAATGTCAGGCAATATAGGCTGGATGTCGGCGGTCCAGGCAAGACGAAGCGAAGCGAGAAAGTAAGCAGGGGCGAGGCGAATCTCAAGGCAGTCTCTCTTGTTTATTTCAAGAGCACCTATTCTGACGGGGAGATGACACTCAGCAGAAAAACTTGTGCGCGTCGTATGTGTGTGTAGATGCAAACCAGGCGACCGAAGACTCCGTATGGGGCCTTCGAATTCCGATTTCCTCGGCGGCGGAGTGTAGCTGCTCCTTGAAGGTAAGGAACCGATCCTTTGCGAACCAACACGACGGATCCACTAGACGTCATCTGGGGACGACAGCATCGAATCGGTGTCCCCGCTCACCGATCATGCAAGGCAACGGCAACTGACAACGGGCGGCCGTGGTGAGACATCGTGAGCACAGAGCGTAACGTCGATCTTAGACCCAGAAGAACGCGCATGTTCAGCGATGTGGACAGAACGGGCGGGCAGCGCGTTTGGCCATGGGCATACTCCTGTTCTTGGAAGCTCCGGTAAGCTCCATGAGATATATCGGAAGGTCAAGAGTAGGGTCCTAGGGTAAGGCCGTTGTTTCTCAGCCATGATGCTGATACTCCAGACAGCTTGCTGCTTTCTCTTGGTAGATCGGAAGGCGGCGATAACCGCCGTTGTAGCGTCGGATATCGCCCTTGTCAATATTGCTCTTTGATTGCACACAATCGATATTGCTGTGTGATCGAGACTGTTGCAGTGCATAGTGCGAAGATTGGCGTGCGGACTGTGGTCCATGTCCGGACTCCGAGCCCAATCGCAGTCCGGCTCCGAATTATGGCCATGGGCGAAACGAGACTCACAATAGGCGCCTGTTAAGCCTAGGCACACTGCTGTCGTGGATTTGGGGGTGGTGGAATGAGTAGGTCGCTGAGTGTGTGGACGCTGTCAGACAGGGTGTGGTATTTCTGGCAAGGCGGCCTCATCGATTAATATCTCCTTTTTTGCCTAGCTCGCATTAGCCCACTTCTCTTGGTAGAGAAACGAGTGGGTCTCACGAAGCGATGGCGGACGAAGAGAAGCGAGGTCTGGTTGGAAACATAGTGTGGTGTTGGGGGAGATGAGGGTGCAAGTCGCATCCGGCACCTTGGAACCTTCTAATCCTGCAACGCCAGGTTTGTGGCTCTTTTAGCAAAATTATTAGGTTTCAGTTTCTAACTATCTACGCGTAACTGTTACTCGTATAAGAGTTTGCCGTGAGCTTGCTTAAAGGGCCACAGCAGCACGGGCTCTTGGCCGTCCTAACGAAGCCAGTCCAGGTATCTCAACCCATTCGCCTTGGGTCCTGCTATCGATACCGTCGGCTTTATTCCATCTGTCTCTAATAATTCCAGGCCTGTATTCTAGCGGAAACGCCGTTCGTGGTTCTTCTATCGTCAGGGTTGTCATAGCACGCCAGCTCCAGTCAAACGGCGATCTACAGTCCCCAAGCTGGCGATAAATAGATACTTTTATGATATAACCCTTCTTTCTGCCGCGCCAGGATATGTCGATGCAATAGTCTGTTGGACAGAAGGTGCAGGATCCGAATGATTGCTCGCAAGGTGCGAAACGGCCAGGCGTAGTTTTGTTCTTGGCTAGCTCAGGAAGCTGCTTGGGAGCGTAATTAGGGCATCCTCTTCCTAGGGTGAGATGTTGACAGGCTTGGGTTGCCCAGCAATCGATATAGTCCCTAAGTAGCCCCGAGTCACCTCGTGGATGATACATGGTTCTAACTGATAACACTAGAAGTTTATCATCGACGATGCGTGCATGCAGGGACGCAGAATACGTGACCGTGTTTCGAAGACTGTGCAACCAGATCCGCTTCTCGAGTTTGTGGAGAGGCAGCCCGTGGGAGGGACCGTAAAAATGTCGATTCATCACCAAGCGCGCATGGTGATATGAGATGTCGCCAGGTGCGAAGCTAATGGAGCTGAATAGAAGGTGTTTATCGCATGGCAAATCCTCCTCGGAGATGGAATTGGCCCAGCGTGTGTGCCATCGATGGAGCTTCGCGCAATAATGGCAGAAATATAGAGTGGCTGTGTCCTTCTCCAGCCAGAGCAACAGCTCTTCCTTCTCTGCCGTGTTTAGACGCGGGTGTCGGGGAAAGCAAAGGCTGTGAAGAGTTCGGCAGGTCAAAGCGAGAGATATGACGGACGGATCGGTGAGATATGTAGTGACCATCAAGATAATCTCAGGAGGAAGGGCGAACGCACCCAAGCGTGGTCGAGGACGCTGCCGAAGGAGCGTCGCTAGGCGCCGGGAAAGCCACTGGACAGCACCCGCGACCATCCTCGTTGACTAGGTAGGGTGGTTAGTGTTGAAGCAGAAAGTTGAGTGTAACATTGTGAAGCTCGGGCTATATACCCGTGGACACTAGTACTAGCGCGATCACGTGACCCTCACCCAGTTCACCATCTCACGTGGGAAGAAGTCAGTGGTCTTGGCGCACTAACGCGATGAGCCGGCGATATTTCGGCCCGACCTCAGCCCCAAGATTGCTGGTGGCTGCCTTTGTTGAGTCTACGAAGCCTCATCGTTATCCTACGTACCTTGGTACCCGAACATACAGTCCCGTCCGTAAGTAATGGATAGCAACTGAGTTCTGATTTTGACAAGTCCGGGTCCCACAACTGCCATTTTGGAACGTCGCTCTTTCTTATCACATTGTCTAATTCGAGTTTCCCATGGCCACTACCTAGGTACCGGATGGCTTGCACCCAGGAGGCTCCAGGATACACGGTTGTTTCAGTTGATATTCCGCATCTCACCCAAATTTTTGCAAATCCTTCCGTCAGAAGTGAGAAATCATGCTTCATATCGTCCCAAATTCATGACACTCTTGCCTCGTGGCTTCCCTTACATACAAAGACGTCCCTGCCCAGTTGGTATTTGCCTCTTACCCTACACACGCTTTCCTCGTCTATCAATTGTTTGGTCTCAAGACTTGGATGAAAGAGTAACTATTTGCCATGGCTGCTTCAAAACGTTCGTCTGTCCCGTCATTTGGTTTCTTCTCTTTCTCTCCTCAGGACTGGCACCTTTGGCACTTTGTTCACTTTGTTTCTTGATTCTGTGCCAAATTCTGCTTCTCTTTACGACCATCATGGATGCGTCTTTTGCTTTCTGGTTTCCGACAGTCTGGACGATGTTCGGGGCCATTTTCACCATTTTGTCTTTTGCCTTTTCCTTTTACGTCGCGGTTGTCAGATACGATCCCTCTGTTGATCGGCTTCGGTGGATGCACGAACGCCTAGAGAAAATTTATCTGCGCCTGGGAAGCCTGGAGGCGTTGATGATGGCATTCACTCCTCATGGGGGGTCGACTGCCGAGACGCTTCGGGACGCTCTTCGTGGGTTGACGACAGAGTTGCAGGCGTCGGCTGCTGCGACTCACGAGACCCACGCAGTGCTCACAAGATTGACGACGGACTCACAGGAGCCAACACCCGTGCTTCTCGAGATCTTGGCTGAACCCCGACAGCTGAGAAAGGGTGACTTGAAGATCCAGAGGAGGCTACCTGCTTTCTCCCTTTCCAATTTTGTTAGAGGGGCTCATGCCGAAGGCCTGGCACGAGAACGGATACAGGCGACTCCCAGTCCATTCCATGAATTGGACTGATGACATCACCAGCGTCCGGGGTGGTGGGGGCTGTGCTCCTTCGGGCGTCGCCCTCCCCCAGCGATGAGCTCGCACCTTACCGCGATGCCGGGGTTCAGTATCCTTGCGAAAGGAGAAGCCAAGACGAGCTCAATGTACGTAGCCTTCTTACTCAATGTCAACTCTTGCTAAACTGCGTAATGAACGATACAAATTCACATCTGACATGCTCTATTTTTGCCATTCTTGAGTACGCTGAAGCTGTCGTAACCAAGATAGAGAAGGGCAAGTCGGGTAAGCAACTATTTCCCGTTGGTCTCCCATCCAGAGTGAGCTCGGTTTGCCTCTGAACGAGCTTCTCCTCCGCTCTGCCGCATCCGAAGTTTCTGATCCATGAGACGGAGCATATGGACTTCTAGAGCCATTAACTACCGAGAGTAGACCACTTTTCGCTCGAAGTTGATTATAAAGAAGCTACTGAATCTACGCTATCTCTCAACGCCACCAAGTCTACACCGATTGATCAACGAGTCAGTCTTCCTTTCGTCTACTCGAACTAGCAGGAATTACCTACCCATCCCGCGCCGTCTCTAACCCGGTTAACAAACCGTCATGGGCGGCTACCGCAATAGGGTCAATACCACATCGATTACACAAAGACGCTGGTCTCTTAGAGCAATTTTTTTTGCCAAACTGCCACTTATGCTCCGGCCGTCATTACCACTCGAGAAGACGACACAAGCGGCGTACGCGGAAACCCAGACACCAACGGAATCATCGTCGTCACATAGATCACCGTCGCTAAGCAAACCCTCGATGCGCTTGGGCCCTTCACAACGAGTGCATTGAGCAAGACTTCTCATATAAGAGGCGACATTTCGTATTCGTTCGTTAACTGCAAACTTTTCGGTTCAACTCGACTAGAGATACATTACAGCAACAAAGAGATCCAATCATTCCTAATCTGTTTCCCCTCCCTAACTTCCCTCAAATCTTCCCTACTTCTTCCCCACCGCAGCCGCAAACCGCACCGCCAGCACCTCCTCCTCCTTCCCCAGCACATCCGGCACCGGACCGACCGGCGTAATCGCAAACCGATTAATCTGCGCATGGCTCTTCGTATAATGCTTCTTGATATGCTCGAACTGCGTGGTCTGCTTGAATGCCGGAAAATCCCAGTACAGATGCCTGAGCCAACGGTGCAGGTACGGATATCCCGAGCGAATGTCGCGGATATTGCACTTGAAGTGCTGCACGTAGACGGGGTCGAAGCGGACGATGGTGGTGTAGAGGCGGATGTCAGCTTCGGTGAGGTGCGGGGCGGAGAGCAGATAGGGGGTTGAGGAGGTGGAGAGGTGGGATTCGAGGCGGTCGAGGGAGGCGAAGAGTTGGGTGACGGCGCGGGTGTACGCTTCTTCGGTGCTGGGGGGATTGTGTTAGCGTTGGTATTTTCTTCTGCTGGGAGGATAGGGGGAGAGACTTACGTAGCAAAGCCCGACTTATACACTCCGTTATTAACGTCATTATACACCCACTCATTCATCTCCTCAATGTCCTTCCTCAACTCCTCGGGGAACAAATCAAGCCCCTTGTGCTCCTCATCCAGCAGATCATCAAACGCGTAATAGAACATCCTGATGATCTCGCTGCTCTCATTATTCACAATCTTCTTCTGCTTCTTGTCGTACAGCGTCGGCACCGTGAAGCGCCCCTCATACTGCGGATTCTGCTCAAAGTAGATGTCGCGGAGGTGCGTGTAGCCCTCGTGGAGCGGATCGGGCGTGACGTCCTCGCCCGGCACGTTCTCGTCGGGGGTTGTGAACCGCCAGCCCCTTTCCCCCATGTGCCAGTGCACACTAGTCACCCCCACTATCCCCTCTAACCCTTTCAGCCGCCGCACAATCAAGGTCCTATGCGCCCACGGACACGCATAGCTGACGTACAAGTGATACCTGTCCTTTTCCGGTGGGAACTCCGCGCCGGGCTTGTTTTCAATCCAGTTCCTGAAGACGCTTGTCTGGCGCTTGAATTCGCCGCTCTTGTCGCCGGGTTTGACCCAGTCGGTGATGCTAGGAGCTTTATCCATGGCGAAAGTGCGCGAAGTGGAAGCTGTGAGGGGGTGAGTGAAGGTGGAAGACGAGGGGAAGTGTGAGCTTAGGGTCCGCAGACGGGAGAGGAACGTGGTCATAAAAGAGATGGGGTTGAAGAGGGAGAGGAGCAAAACTACTACTGCAATTCGAACGAGAACAGGCTTCGACTTTATATCCATGAAAGAATAGAGCTCGAAGTTGGAGCTATGGCGTCGAAAGCTCCCCGCGCTAATCTCGTACCGCTTTCGTCATGACCGTCTCGCTTCGGTAGGGCGTTCCAAGTTCCGAGCCGGCTTTACTCAGCATTGCAGAAGCTTGACAAACGACCTCGGCCAAGCAAACATTTGACAAACCTTAGATAATGCACGCGGAAGCGAAGCCGCATGCAAAGAGAATAGAGAGTGATGAACGGTGTGCTTACTGAGCGTGCCTGGAACTGAGAAGTGCGGGGTTTGGACGCCATGGCGGCGTGGGGAGGGTTGCACGGCGTCGGAATGCTTCTGATAGGCTGACGCAGCATCGTGAGCGTCGCGCGAGTATTGCAATAGTGGAATTATCAGTAAATCCAAATGGCAGATGTTGTATTCCTAGATACCCAGGGCCTCCCGTGAATCCTCTCAGGAAGGCCCCATGCCTGCGCAGGCGAACATGTTGAAAGCGCAATCATACCCATTAATATGGCCGTAGCGCCGCCGTAAACCACCCATAAAAGTGAGGCCGTCCAGCCTCCGCAGTAGTGCGATCAGATGTCCGCCCATGGATATCGACCCGAAGTCCGTGTATAGTAAAAAGACCTGATTCCCAAGATAACGCCCGCTAAAACGCAGTGACAGATCAGAAATTGAAATGTGAGCGACGCGCCGCACCGGACGCGGCTCGCCTCGCGATACCGAGGTTGAACTTGTAAAGAAGAACGAAGAAAGGAACGCAAGATGGTAGTATAATACAATGTTATCAAAGGGGGGCAAAGGATGATGTAGGATGAGACACGGTTGACGTGCTCGAAGGATCGCCGTGGCAGCAGCACGTAAGAAGGCGTGCTCGGCTCCGGGAACATAAAAGGTAGGAGCTCGACTCAACTTTGAAGACTGTCGAGAGGAGGAAGTTCCCTCACTCGACTTCGGTAAGCCAGCGGCGGATCCCCTCCCGTAAAGAAGAATCCGTCGCGGGTTTTGCAACTTCTTGGATCGCTTTATTCTCGCCCCTGGTCTCTTCTTTCGACTCGTCTTTACGGTTGCGCTCCGCCGTCACGTTCTTGACGACCGACTCCAACGCGTCAAAGATAACGGCCTTACAGTCGGTTTGCGCGACTTCCATATGGTGACCAGCGTCAGACCCAGAGCGGGTGTCGCGCCTTCCCCGCCTAGAGCTGGATCGTGACGAGCTGGCGGATTGAACACGAGAAGCTTGGCCAGACTGCGCCAGCACGCGATCCACAGCATCGATCAAAGTCGCATCGAAGTCCATGATCTGCTCTTCATAGAACTTCTCGTCGAGATGCACTTCGGTCATCATCGGGGCGACCGACCCAGCCGTATACGGATTGCCATACTGCGAGCGCCCAGGAGGCATCCCAGCGATTCCTGGGGTCATGGCCGACGCCTGGTATGTCGGTATCGGAATGAGTCTCACGAGCCGCCGCAAGCGGAGGCGCTTGATGCTGAAAGTGCGTGTGTCTGCAACCAGAGCTGAGCAGACATCAACCCAACGCTCGAGCGGACCTTGTTCAAGTGTTGGTGTCGCAGCGGAGGTTATGGGCGTTGGTTCGGCGCTCATGGCCCACTTAATGTCACGCTCAAGCTCAGCGTAAGGTTTGATGGCTTGCACTGCGAAGTCTGGGTGGAACTGCTTCAACCAGCCAGCAGCATTGACAGGTTGCTCAGGTTCGACGCAAGGCATCGATAACACAGACGACTCGCCGTAGCTAGAGCCATGCTGGCTGGAAGCCGAAGCATAGCCTCCAAGCAACGGGGACTGCAGAGGCGAGCCAAAGTCGGGGAGCGAAATATCGACGTCGATGACGCCGTCCTTCTCGTTCACCGAGAGCTTTAGGGTAGAGTCGAACGTCTTCGGCCGTTCGGGTATTGGCCGTGCAGCGGACGGTGTGACCCCGCTGGTACCCAGCGGAAAAGTCTCAGGAGAGTTCTCCGTAGCGGTACTTGCATTACTTGTAGAAGGTTCATATACATCGGCATCGCCGAATACCCCATCCATGGAGAGATCCTGCACCATCTGCTCCAGTTGGGAGCGTGGACGGTCTGTGCCTCGATAGGCTGAGCCAGCGATGCCCAGACCGTCGTCTGTGCTCTGCAAGTAGTCACTGTGGTCGGTTGAAGACCCACGGCGTCCGCTCCAGAAGTTCATGAAGCCACTCCAGCGGCTTGAGTTCCCTGAATCTGTACTAGGATTGCTGGTGTGGCCAGTACCGCTCCGTTGCAGAGTGTGCATTAAGTTCGCGGATGCTAAGCTATCACTGCTCTCAGGCCTATCCTCGGGCGATGGCCCGGAGGATTTGGTTCGAGGGAGAGTGAAGTGCGCAACCGGGACGGCGTTTTGAGGGGTAGCAGTTGCCACAGTAGCAGTGCTGCCCTTCGAGGTAGCAACACTATCGGACATGGACGGGATTACCAAGCTAGTGCGTATAGAGTGAGCAGACGAGCGCCGTGAGTGTCTGGGTGCTTCATGGAATTCAGCAACGCCAGAGTCGGAGCGCGTGTTTGCTGACTCTAGCGTGGAGAGGCTGGCACCATTCGTTGCCGGAGGCTGTAGACGCATGTTTGTCATACTCTGCTTGCCTCGGGGACGTCGATTGATGTGACGGCGCAGGGAATGCCTCCTTGACGGCGGCATATTAGTTGGAGGGGACTGCGAGTATGCGCGGAGAGACGCAGAAGTGCTCGGCCGCATGGGAGAAGCTCCGTCGTATACAGTAGAAGTGTTTGGTGGCAAGAATGCAGCCAGCAGGAAGATCAACCGTCGTGCCGCCATCTTGTCTGGGGACACAATGACAGTGCGGTTGGAGATGATCAGGTTCTCGCCAGCACTGGACTTCTGCTGTTCTCGGTGGCGCTTGCGATGCCATTTTGGACCGAGCAGGTTGAGCCATTCAGTGTGGTTTCCCAGAAAGGCCGTGAGTAGGTTGAAGAAGAAGAAATTCTCCTCTCGCCTGCCGGCCCATCTGCCGAGCCATCTTGCTTCTTCGCGCCACACGCCCCATTTGCCTTGGCCCGTCAGTACCCGAGGAATCCGCATGCCGCTCACGATGCGGTTTCCTGCAAGCTCCACCGCCTTCTTGATTTCTTGGTCGAACATGAGGGCGTGCGGCTGCAGCCTCAGCGCTCGGCGTATTGGCGGGAGGGGAGTCTCTCTCATGCTCGAGCGAGACGGTTGTGTGCGGGGTTGCGGCAGCACCGGTGGAGAAGCTATCTCTGCCTTCTTGAAAGAAGCCAGAATACGTTCCTGGACGACGAACTGAAGGCTGGTCAGAGCCCGCATGATGACATCCCAGTGCTGGCCGACTACATCTACGCGGTCGTCGACGTCGCTGCTTAGCGAGGTGGAGAGGAGTGACTCGACACCAAAGTTGGAATCAATAAAAGCCCATCCGGCGCGCCTGTCTGAGTCCAGGGATGATCCTAGGGAGTCATGGCCCGTAGCGGAGGTGGACACGTGACTGGTCCTCGGATTGCCCGGTCGGGATGGCGGGCGGAGGGTCGACGAGGCTGCAGCTATTGGCAGGTGGAGGATAACTGTGATAGCATACATGGGACTTTTGCGAGAAGGCGGCATTCTCGGGGCTCCGCCTTTGGCGCCGGTACGAGGGAAGGGGAATCCATTGCCGTTCCCGAGGGAGTTCTGGGGCGTAGGTGTGGGGACGTTTGATGTGTCCTGGTCATCGTCTGGGATCGTGACGGAGAACATGCGTGTAATGAAGATGGTACGTCTGCGGGGCTCCTTTGAAGTACTGCTGCCAGCATCGGGGGGCGGTAGCTCGGGTGGTGGGTTCCCTGGAGTGTAGGATTTGGCTAGATGGCTCCTTCTTCGCAGACCGTCCGCTCTGCCTAGGGAGTTGGTAGCGTCTTGCAGATTTGGTGACAAGACAGCAGACTCGGCTGGTTTAGGGTCCAGCGGCACAATGTGGATCTTGTTGGAGTTGCCCCTGTAGTTCATGGGCGTGTTTCCGAACATGCAGTCCAAGCATATGTTGAGCAGGTCGGTTGAATCCCTTGCTTTAGACTGGCCCTTGGCCAGAGCCTGCGAGTGCTCGTCGATGTTCGGCATGGAGGAGATGGAGTTGCCGCGGGTGCGGGAGCGCGCAAAGCCGCCCACGGTGGGAGAGCGTGGTGTTGTCGACTCGGTGACGAGGGACGAGCGGCGGGCATGCAGGCCTCCGAAGGTAGGGCCCGCCGTGCTGGCGCTGGCGACACCGCCAAAGGCCCTCGCCCGCGTGCTCTGCGTGGGCGACTCTGCGCGCGGCGGGCCCGGCTTCGAGTCGAAGAGTATGGTCTTGGGCATCGAGGCGGTCTCGTCCTGGGCGATGATGATGCGGCAGTCCCGGGGGAACTCGAGGTCGATCTCCGGCAGAGGCCCGTCATGGCCGCTCCCCAGCAGGAGCGAGGCGCCATGCAGCGGGTATGGCTGTCCTTCGGGGTGGTAGAGGGTGTTCGATTCGGGATAGAGCAGGTGTCGCGTGTGGGACTCTTCGGTGGCAGAATCGAGCGTGGTGGCCGGTGACGGGTGGGCGGCGGCGGCTTTGCGGCCGCTGAAGAACTGGCCGAGCATGTCTGTCACCGGGCGCATGCCGCCATCCAGGGAGCCCGTCTCAGCAGGAGGTGGAGCGGCCGTGGGAGCAGGCCTGTCGGACGCGCACTCGGGGGACGGCAGGGCGTGAGCAGCCCATGGCAGACGCACGGAGGGGCCTCTTCTGGTGGATGCTGGACGGTGCCAGGCGGCAGCTCGCGGCGCACTGAGGGTGCGAATTGGCCCGTCGCCCGAGGGTGGCTGACGGCGGTGATGTCGTCACAAGACGGCTCGTGCGGCGGGACCGAGGTGAGGTTGGGCAGGGCGCGCAGGCTCCAGGGCGAATTGGCGCTGTGTGTCGCGTGCGGCGTGCGGTGCGAGGGAGATGGGGAGCTGTGTGGAGTCGCGAGGGCGCGGGCGGGGGTGAATCCAGCGACGGTTGCGCGGTGCGGCTTAGCAGTTATCTATACAATGGCGGTGAAGCGGCGGCGTGAGGCGAGCCGGCCGACGTGCATGCTAGCTAGCCTAGCCGGTATTCCTTCTGCGACGGCACCGCGACGAGACGAGAAAGCCACTCAGACAATCGTCAGCGGCGGGCGGCCGGGCTCTCCCTTTCCTCCCGCTGCGATCCACAGGAGCGATGGCGCGCTGCCCACTGATCGGTGAGGGTTGCTCAGCAGCGTCTCTGCTCGTCACATCACCCGTGATAGTCACCTCTGCACACCCGCCTGCCAGCCCTCCAGCCCTCCAGCCCTCCAGCCCTCTGCATCCCTACATCCACGCGCAGATCAGCCGCCCAGGATCCCCCGGACGCGCTCCTCCAGCCCTCCAGATAGGCCCTCACCGGCAGGCACAACGGGACTAGGCTGCCCTCCGCCCGCCAATGCGCTGCTGCTCAGGCCGGCAGACGCCCGCAATCATGAACGCGACGGCACCATATCAACACCAACGGCTATTTGCAGCTCCCACGTCAGCCCGACATTCCCAAGCAAGCAGCTCCTCGCCGTTTCGTGCGACAGCAGCCTCGCATCATTGGCGCAGATTCCGTTTGAACCCTGCGGGCTTTGTTGTCCTCCGCCGCTCAACACCTGTACTCCCGTTGACCAGGACATGCATTCCCAAACCTGGATCCCATGCATAGCGGGAGTTACACGCCCGGAACCATTCGCTCGACTGGCTTACAGCTCCTTACTCAGGCGCAGTCTGGTCCTCCAGCATTACAAACGGCCAGTGTAGGAACTGCTGCACGTCCAACGGGAGCAAGATACGCCTTTGACGCGTCGTTCGTGGACACCTGGGCAGCCTTCTGTTCCGCTAACATCTGCTTCCAAGAGCTGGGTACATGAGCCTTGCGCGGTCATGCTGCATCCAGTTGCAACCCAACCGTCACAATTAAATGACCCCATCTCCAGTTATCTTCCAGATGCCAGAGTCCGAACCATCAGATCCTTCCTTGCATTTTATCCAGAACGGGAAACTCGACAGTAATTCAAGACGTCGTGTCGGACTGACCGAGCCGAAATGACGAGTACATTGCTACCAAGCATTGTTGAAAGTAGCGTTGAAAGTAGCTCTCACATTTGCCAATGGAGGTGCATGTTTCTCAGCCTTCTTCATCCTGTCTGCGCTCGCCGACCATTTGAGAGAGAACAGCGCACACTGGTCAGTTTCGAGTAATCCGAGGACGCCCCAATGCTGGGGCCTCCTGAGTCCTGCATCCCGATGACCTCTCCACATCCCGTCAATCGAGATCCTAGAGAAATCCTCGCATTCTCTAACATCACGTTGCATATTTCTGCAGTTTAGGGAATTTGACATTCCGCTTCGGGACCCCGATACCGGAGACATGACGAAGGCGCATAAACTCGCCCGTCGAGACCGCCCTGTGAGTGGTGGCAATTATCCCGAAGTCGCGACAACAACCTACCGAATAGTGAACTTGAAGGCACGACGCACAAACCGTGAAGCTTTTCAACTTCGCGAGTGTGCTTCACCACAGTTTGAAACCCACAGTTTGGACACCATCAAACTCTGTGCATGCCCTGGTTCCGGCTGCTGGCTCTTTTCGATGCACCCCGCTCCACGTCGCGCTGCTGCGCTGGGTTCTATTCGCCTATGTACCCCAGAATCCGAATTTTCCCTGGTGTGCAGTGCAGCTCGACAGGCTCTGGTTGTTCGGTGTCTTAACGCCCGTGTTAAGCCTGAATTCGAATATCCCTCACGAGGCCGCCGTCGAAAGCTCCAACAACAACATGATGAGTGTGCAGAAGAGCGCAGGCCACGCTGCGGTCACTATCCTGGAGTGACGTACGCAATTCGGTAGATCTACCCTTTTACCAGGTGCGACCTCCGGTAAGTAAATTGAAGCTAACGGGTCTCGAACCGTTCATCGCCCTTCTTGAGCCTCAATTCGTGTTCAATTTCTCTTTCCCAGCACGAGCTTCTGCCGCTGCAGCTGGTTTTTCCCAAGCGAGAACGAGCACCACGCTCTTTATACATCCGGAGCCGCAAAGTCCTTATTACTCTGCAGTAATGCCGGCTGCTTTTCCGAATCGCATCCAATGGCAAGAGCAGCATTTCGGAGGTCGAATAGAAGGGGTGCAGAGGGGCATGTGAAAGTTCGCAGATGGCTTGCGTCTCACGCGCGAGGCGTTCGCATCTATGCTCATGCGGTACGAAGTGTTCACGCCACGTTCCTCAACAAACTCCTAGAGGTTGCAACACTTCCGCTCTCCTGGTTTCCAATTTCCGCAGTCATACGAGTCCCAGACGCCTGAGACGCGCTGCACAATCTTGCACGTTTCGCTTTTCGGCGACCTGCCGTGGAGACCGGCGACCAGCGACACACGACCACACCGTTCCATTCCATTCCATTCCGGCTGATTTGATGTCCCAGACCCCGGAATTCGCCTCGTGCTCACCTGCCACAAAGAGTACGTACCCAACTGTACCCCAGAGCTTCTACGCGCGGCGATCTCAGCGCATCTCGATTGATTCATCTGTACAGTACTAGTATTCCACTGTATTGTAGATCAAATAGCGGGCCCCGGGCCCCCTCCTAAACGGGCAACATGCACGGCGAAAATCTGGACAAGATGCACGGATCGGCACATGGCTTAATTTATCACCGATCGCATGGGCTCGATCGACGGCTGTATCGCATGGCAGGTGAGTGACGTGGAGCGTGGATTGAGCAGAACCCTCTCTTCGGACGAGGGCTGGCTGTTTGTGCTACCGGCTACTAGGTAGACTATGCTGTGTCTACCGCGGTGGGTTGAGACTGCGTATAGGGCTTGCAACATGGCTGGCGTTGGCATGGCGTGGCGTGCATATGTCTTGGACTGTTTGTGTTGCGAAGGGCGAATGTGTGTTTGTGCGTGTGATACTTCTCGGTTACTCTGTTGGACTATGTTAGAGTGGATAGCGTGCAAGGGGGGGGTGGAGGAAGGGAAGCAAAGCAAAGCATGCATTAACCATGTCTATTGTAGGAAGAGGAGACTTGGGATTCGGAGATATGGACGGCAATTGAACTGAATCAAATTAAAGTATATCTCCGCTTCGCGCGTGGAGATCCTACCTTACATTAATAGAAAGTAACTAAACTAACTAATCGGGGAGTCAACGTGTACCAAGCAAGCAATCTAGACAGTTGAAGAAATCTCAATGCCTGAAACGCCATGATATTTCAACCATTCCCCCACCAATTCCAACTCAACATCAACTCCCCGTCCCCGCACTCCCCGTACTATCCTGCCTCTTAGGCACCCCTACTACTTCCCCAGGAACAACACTCCCCCTCCTTCCCCCACTACCCTGACTCCCACTCCCACTGCCCTCACTCCCCTGCCTCCTTCCCGCAATTCCACTCCCCATTAACCCGCCGCTTAAGCTCCAACCACCACTGCTCCCCGGACTCGCCCCCTGGATGCTAATCGCGGGCGGCAGGCCCAAACTAGGGATATTGCTGTCCAGCACGGGTGTTATGCGCGGCGAGGGCGAGGGCGTTTGCTTGAAGGCTTCGGCGTAGAAGGCCGACAGGAGCGAGGCGGAGGAGCAGAAGGCTTCGAGTTCGTCTTTTATGGCTTCGGGGGTTTTGCCGTCGGTGGGGCCGAGTTGCTGCGACGTAAGGGGGCCTGGTGTTGGAGTGGGTGTGACAGCGGTGGAAGGCTTATCGCTGAGCGCAGAGTGCAGGAGGGAGGAGTCTTGGACGGGGCGGGCGAGCGGGGAAGAGAAAGGCGAGCGGTGTGGATTTGCGCGCTCGACGGCGGGCGTGGTGGGCTGCTTGTCTGTTGTGGGGCGTTTGTGGTCGTAGGGATCTGTGGGACGGAAGCGTGTCGTGTCCTTTGCGCGATTATGCGCGAGGCGGTTCGCGAGGAGGAGGAAGTTGCCTTCGGAGGTGATTTGGGCGAGCAGCGTGCCGGAGCGGTGGATGAACTGCGTGTATTTGTAGTCTGGACTGCCCCAGGAGTACGTCACTTCGACGTCGGCGGGGAAGGAGGCGGCGGATTCCATGTCCAGGATGAAGTTTAGCTTTCGGAGTAAGGCCTTGTGGTAGGCGAATTTGTCGGTTTTGGCGAATTGAGGGGAGAAATGCGAGGCGTCCCAGACGGCCTCGGGTTGAGCCTGCGGAGGCTGAACAGCGAGTTTGATAATGTAGGGTGAGCGGAAAGGATGGTGATCGATGATGTTGGATGCTTCAGCAATGGGTACTTCGACGAGCTTCAACCCGTACTTCTCCACGTTGGTGGCCCAGGAGACGATTGCGTCTTCAATCAACTTAGCGGTGACATTCATCCAGTCGATGCGAATGTGGTAGCAGTTATCCGGGTTATGCAAGCGATCATAGTGCAGCGAGATGATTTCTGGGCGGTAGGAGCGCTTGCGAGGGTCGACGTCGTAGCGCATCACCCGAGACAGCAAAACCTTCCGCTTGGGTGTCCCTGCGCGCGTGGGTGTCTTCTCCCCATCTTTCTCGGAGCCGGATGTACTCGATGAGTCGCTGGTGCTAGGGCGAGATCTGCTACCCCGTGAGGCAAGAGGCGACGTTCGCGGTCCTTCTGATAGGGGTGTTGAGGGCACGGAACGGTCAGTTCTTCGCATGCCAAACCAGCCCGTGCGAGACTCTGGTCGGGGTGCCCTGTACTCAGCAGCGATCTGATAGAAGAAGTTCCCGTCGCGGAATGCGTGGCGCTTCTGAACGTGTTGGAAAAGGCCCTTGTTCATGAGCTGGTTCCCAAGGTCGACCGCCTCATCACGTGTCTCGATGTCCTTGAAGTTCGAAAGTAGCCAGCTAGTCAAGTCAAAGCCAATGAAACAGTTGTAGTGCAGTCGCCAATGCCATCGTCGGTCTAGCATCGGGATTCCCTTCTCGCCTTGTAAGTCTTCGGCAAGCTTCTTGATGTCGATGTTGGATGTATTGTATTGCTCTGTTTCGGAGAATAGCGAGGTCTGAAACTCGCTTTCCGTGTCGTTAAGTAAAGCACTATCCGTACCGGCAGCCACAATGGCAGAGGGATCGCGCGTATGATACTCAATGGCGAGAGGATTAGGATCTTTCTGCTTCTTGCTTGTGGTAGCCTGGAAGTGGCGCTCCTCTGGCGGAATGTAACAGTACTTCTGCCATATCTGCGTTAGCTTCCTGATACCCTCCAGCCGGATCTCCTCTTCGGAATCTTCGGTCAACATGGGCAAGGGCCGACGGTTGACTGTCGGTATATCCACTGGAATAAGGACGAACCGTGCCCTCCAAAAGCGTAGAATTTCCGAGAACTCATCATGATAGCCAGCCAGGAATGTGTCGATGAAGTTCCAGTTGTACTCTTTCCGCAGTGGTCGAAGGATAACATCTCGTGATGAATAACTTTTCTCTAAAGCCGTCCGAATGTAGGGCTTATAGGGGAATGGCGTGTCAATCCCGGCTGACCACTGCAATGCTGTCATAGGCTTCCGACTGTACCGCTTCACTTCCACCTCGCCTCCCGCGACGCAGACGAGTTGATGGATGGTACTACCCACGCTCATGAATACGCTGTCACCATCATGAGACATGTACTCTGTGTGGAAGATGTTGGACAGATCATGCTCGCGGCAGCCAGAAAATTCTGCCACAGAAGAGCCAACGATGATTTGAAACCCGTGTGACAATCTGAATGCGATGAGCTCCCGGATCAGAGATTCCCGCGACTTAGGTGCTTCTACCATGTCTTCATCGTCGTTCTGGGTGATCTTATACGGGCTCTCGTTATACTCTGTGGCAAGCTGTGCGGCGGTGGGAAAGTACTCGTTCGTCAGAGGAACCGCCGCTGGCGAGCACAGGGACTTCCATTTAACCGATGATGTTCTCAGTTGCTTTGGGAAGACATGTTGCCACCGTCGGAACTGATTCGCAACGTTGATCGTGTTCTTTCTAGGATTGCATGGGTTCACTAACACCGCCCAAGGTGCAATAGCGCTAGTAGGGGAGAGGGTCCGTCGAACTTCCTTTCCGCCGCCACTTGATGAAAGCATATCGATTTTGGGACCGATGGACTCTCCTAATGCTCGCGAGCCTGCAAGCAAGAAAGTTGATCCGGGATCCTTTGCGACTGAACCAGACTGCGAAGGAATCGTGGTCTTGACAGAGGATGGGCCTTTCACAGTTTCCACTGATCGGCCAGCACGATCTGACGTAGGGGAGTCCGCCGATGAAGCACCAGCTCGACAAGCACTTCTAATATTGATCGGTTGTGACGGCTTCTCAATTGAGGTGACCCTAGTGCTCGCCAGCTTTGCAGCAATTGCTCCTTGTTGATTGTTCTCTACCGTTAGCTTCGCCGGTTTCACCCTGCCTTGAGTAATATCGATTGTCGCTTCACCAATCGTCGGCTTGGCGGTTACTCCGCCTTTTCCTCCAAAGCTGATTTGTCTGAGAAACCAGCCCGCGGGCCGGCTTTTGCTATCCACCTTTGCAGGCGTTGCAGTGAGAGAGGTCGGAAGGGGCGGCAATCTGCTATCTTTCGGTGGTGTATTCCCTCTGCTTACGGCTGGTGAATCGCGCGGGGTTGAATGTACGGACCGATGCGGATCATTTGAATCCCCAGAGTCAGCTCTCCGATGCGGACTCGGCCGCTGGAGATTGTTTGACTTCTTCATCGCCATTTGCCTTGCTAGCACATCTGCTCGAGGCACGCCTGGCCCCGTGTATTGGGGCATTTGGACATCGCCTCCCCGCGGAGACTGGTTTTCCACTTCCTTTGACCTCTCCCGCATCAACTGGTGAAAGGTTGCCTCGGGCGGCGGTCGAGCGGTCTTGCCAAAGGACGGGCCCACGCTTCGAAAAGAGGAGGATAAAAATGAGCCTTTTGCCAGATGCTCCGGTGGTTGGTTTTGTGTCTGCATGTTTGATGCCTGCCGACCGAGCTGATGGCTGTCGGTACGCGAGCCTATATCCATCAATGGAGCGAATACGCTGTCGTCATAAGCCTCCATCCAAGCTCGATAGAGTGTTTTACTCTGATCTAGTGACTCGTCTGTGCTGTCCTTCTCGTCCTTCGATGGGTAGGAGCCGTTTGTGGTCGCCATACTTCCCATCGTTCGACATCTGTCAACGATCTTCCTTGCCGAAATTATTAGTTCCTCGCGAAGGCGTTGGGGATAGAGCGGATCCTCTTCCAGATACGGGATCGATATGTCGCCAATCTCGTTTTCCATAACACCCATCATCTGAAGCTCGTACATGCGGCACCTGAGTGCAAAAGTGCCGCCCTTCTTCTGAGTCTTCTTGACGATCTTCTCTGGTTTCTTTGGTTTCAGAAGCTCGATGATCTCCTCAGAAGGACCTGACCAAAAGGAAACATCGACCCAATGCGGCATTGCGTACCTCCACTCTGATTCGTCCTTAGCCGCGATCAAAGGACCCTCTAAAAAGATCGGCGGAGGTAGCGCCGGAGATGCGCGCACCACGGAGCCAAAGATAGGCTGGTGTTGCCGGGGCGTTTTCTCATCGTGCTCATCGAAAGCTTCCATAGAACCGCGCTTTGCCTGGCTATCGGAGCACGTGCCTTTCATGCTCGATACCACTCGAGGGCTGCGGTATTTGAATAGAGGGACGGAGTGCAGCGGCATCGGTGACAGGCACACGAGATCAATGCCTATTCCCGATCCTATGAGCGTATCCGTGGTCAACTTGAGCATGTTGTAGTCGACTTCAAAGACACCGGTGCCAGCAGTAACGACGACAACCGAGATTCCTGTTCGTACCAAGTCGCGATCGATATAGTCCTTGGCAAACTGAGCTGCGGCGAGGTTGATTGCCTCCAAAATGTTGCCCTGGGCTGCGGTAGACGGTTTCCCAGCAATGACGAGATCCGGTTCACACTTCTCCGGATCTTTGTCCTCAGTTCTCGAGGGCTGGCTTTCTGATTTGGGAACTAAGGAGACGTCCCGAAGAAAAGCCCTGAATTCCTTCTTCAGCTGGTACAGGATGTTGATCCAGTCGCCGCTCGCCATGTCACTGACAACCACGCGGTAATAGTCCCTAAAGCGGCCCGACCGGCTATCGAAGTCCCCGCTACTTGTCGTCTCGTGGGGATAATCCAGCGAAGATCCTTCATCGTACTGCACCCGGGTGAACAGGATAATGGTCACAACGTGTCGTGCGCTGATTTTCATCCACCGCTTGAAGAGATCGGGTAGGAAGCCATTCACGACCTTACTGAACATAATTTCTCCGGCGCCTTCGGCATCGAAATCCCACATCTCTTTAGACATCTGGATGAAAAGCACGTAGCGCGCAGACTCGCTGCGGAAGACGGGCTTAGTCATAGAAGAAAAATAACCGGAATGCGTGGACTGCCCATTGATGTATACATTCTTCACTGTCGCTTTTATGGTGCCCATGAACAGCAGCTTCTGGCCGCGGTAGACCGTACGATTGCTGAGTTCGGCTACTGACATGCGCCACATGTCGGCTCGTGCGAGATACTCATCGCGGAAGGTAACCTCCACATGAGAAGCCGAATGTTGTTCTTCATCAGCCTGGACACGATTAGCCAGTGTACCAAACGAAACTCTCCATGAAGGCTGACCAGAGTTACTACGACCTGCATGCGATTTCGCAGACCGAACACTTTGGCGATTTTCTCAGCAATCGAGACTTGCAACTGGGGATACTTGGCCTTCAGCTCGGCAGGGAAAGGCTTTGCAACGAAGACGTATGACTTTTCGAGGTCCACTTCACGCCCTTCTTGAATGACTGAACCGTTCTCATCAAGAGTAATCTTCACGGATCCTCGGCGACTCCTCCTAGAGTGAGGTTCCGGGGTTGCGGTTCGGGTAGAGTCATCGGCTTTAACTTGGCTGGCATCCTTCGGCGGGGCTTTTGCGGAAGATTGAAAGTCTCGGACTGCGGTACCATATTTGAACGCCACGACCTGGATCAAGGACCCGGGCGTTGCTGGAAGCTCTGGGAATTTGTCCCCGCTGAAAACGACGTCGTCTCTCGAGAAGTTGTCATCATGCGTCCAAAGGGTGCATATCTTCTGCACTCGCGTGCGCCTGGCGCTCAGGACAGATTTCGACATTCCGATGCTCGATCATCGACGACGGCAAAATGGACGATCTCGAGGCGGCGCTTCATTTCGATCTGGCTCGGAGGGGCAACGTGAGGGGCAACGTTCAAGCGGACGTTGAGTGCATGCGCTCTGTGGCGTGGCACTAATGCTCAGACGCACGATGGCGCTGACGGCTGGTGATGGGTGAGCAACGGGGTTGGATGATTGGGGACGGCCAGGGGTCGCGTCGGAGCGGGCTTTGACGCACGCCAAGATGCCCAGGCCGTCGGAGAATTGAACCGCCGCCGCCGACCTCGACCTCATCCCTTGTCTTTGTACTACCATCGTACAACCAAAGACCAACCAAAGCAACCTCTTAATTTATGAAGGCAAGTGGACGCGTGGATCCAGATTTGCTTCAATTTCGGTCTCGCTTTCGCACCGAATTCCAGGCGCCCTGGGTTCCGTTTCCACGCCCATGGCACCTTCGAAAGGCCGGAAAATTGTGCTCGGATCTTGCATGTGGCCCAATCTTGGTAGATGTAAGTAAGTCACGTTAGATCTCCGTTTCTGTCACTATACGGATCGACGCGCCTGTTCCTGGGTGTACATCTAGTAAGCTCAAAGGAAATGTCTCCTTGACGCGTAAGACCATCATTCAAGTGTGCCTCTGCCTTGAGCAATCTAGGGATATGGATTGGAAGGACCTACCGCTTGTCTGGGCGATAACGTCCCGTCCTGTCCAAGCCCCAGCAGCTAGGCACTAGAGGTCTTGGAAGCTGCGAAATCCGGCTAGCGGTCGTTTACTGCCCGGGAGAAAGCCTGTCACGGACTTGGAGCAAGGAAGCTTTCGCACATTAAGAGCCTGGAGATCGATTTCTAGCCGTCCTGATAGGCCCAAGTAAGATTTCGTCGGATGCTAGCCAAGCTGCCACGTACGGATGAAGTACCGCGAGGCGCGGTATAAAGGCCAGGAAGAACATTGTTTCTTCTTCACGGAACGAGCACACGGGGCCAAAACATGCGTTTTTCAATTCTCCTCACAGCCGGATTTGCCTCCGTACTCACACTCGCCAACTATGTCGCGCTACAAAATAGCTTCGACACGGCGCTAGACGCTCATCAGGCTCGAAGTCTTGGTCAACGTGCCCCAGGCAAGAAGGGCGTCTTCTTGATGAATCGCATCGGACCGTCTACCTCGGAACTGTACATCGCAGACGCGGACGGCAGCAATGAGCGCAAGTTCCTATCTAACTCCTCGCGGTTCGAATACCACGCATCTTTCTCTCCGGACGGGCAGTGGATCACCTTCACTACTGAGCGCAACGGTGACGGTAACTCAGACCTATATCGCTGTCGCCAAGACGGCTCGGGGCTCGAGAAACTGGTAGCCACTCCATCATTCGAAGATGCCGCAGCACTGTCGCCCGACGGCAGCAAAATTGCTTTCGTATCCACGGCGAACGGCTACAAGGCCAACATCTGGATCAAGGACATCACCACTGGCAAACAGCTGAACCTCACCAACACAAACTTGGTCGCCGGAAACACTAGTCTACCAGATGGGTATTTCAGGCCAAGCTGGTCGCCCGATGGAGAGTGTAAGTCAGGACTGGGATCCAAATATCGAACCCTTTCTAATCGTGCCGGTATTTTAGGGATCGCCTTCGCGTCCGATCGCAACACCGCGTGGCGCGGGCATGGAAACGGAACCGGCTGGGAACATACGCAGGAGCTTTCCATCTATGCGATCCGCCCCGATGGAACTGGATTTCGCAAACTAGTGTCGAAGGCGGGCTACTGCCTGGGCTCTCCCAAGTGGTCGCCAGACGGCAAACGTGTTCTCTACTACGAGATTGCCACCGAAAATACTTGGGGCGCGCATCGACCCGAGTCCCTCGCCACCGTCGTTTCGCAGATCGTGTCCGTCGACTTTGAGACCGCCAGCGATCGTATTGAGCATACCTCAGGCACGGGTCTGAAGTTGTTCCCACAATACGTGACGCAAGACGCCATCGGCTACCTTGTTAAGGGAGGCTTCAACGAAGGGCTCAACTACACTTCGTATGGGGCAGGTCGTGCCTCGTTCTTGAGCAAGATACGCTCACCGGCCTGGTCACCAGACGGCACAAAGGTCGTCTACGAAAAGCAGGGCTACGACACGCGCTCAATGGCAAAGTCGCTCTACAGTTGGGACCCCGACTGGGAGTACCGGTTCACAGACGTCTTCCCGACCCTATCGAGGCAAGGTCGGCTCAGTATGACGGACAAGCAGCTCGGCAATTCTTCCATCGTTTCCCTGAACCCCGACGGATCCAACCTGAACGTCATCTTTGACTCAACCACGACCGGCGAGTTAAATGCTTCGGAGATTGCTCGGGGCCAGGATGCTGCGTTTCAGCCAGCATGGTCTCCAGATGGGCAATGGATCGCCTTCGGGCTGGGATCATTCCTACAGGCCCGTGCCTCCAACACTGCCAAGATCTATAGAGTCAGAGTGAATGACTCTTATTACGAACAACTCACCGACGGCGAAGTCAATTCTGGTTTCCCAAGCTACTCTGCCGATGGCCGCTATGTGGTTTTTCGGGAATGGGGCGCCCGCTTCGGCCTGCGCATCATTGACCTCAATACTAAGGAAGTACGCGTGTTGACGAATGCGACGGATAACCTGCCAGGCTGGTCGCCGGATGGGGAACTCATCGTCTTCACCCGCAGGGTGTCTTACACGAATTTCGACGTTTACACCATCCGCCCCGACGGTACGAACCTACAGGTGCTGACCACGAGTGGAGCCAACGATGCGCATGCAGTGTGGACCGCGGACGGGCGTATTATGTACTCAAGCGGCATGTATGGCTTCCGGGAAGAGGCCGCCCTCTATGACGACACCTTTCAACCGTATGGTCAGATCTTCGTCATGAATGCTGATGGCTCCGGTAAGCGCATCCTCACGGACAGTATGTGGGAAGACGCGATGCCGTTGTATATTCCCAATGAATTTCTATCTTGAGCTAGGCGAGATATGAGTGTGGGGTAAGACCGGAACGGGGTTAAGTAAGATAAACGGTGCGCAAGCTACAACGTTGACGCGAAACCACGGTCGCTAAGATTTCGTCTCCGTATTGAATTCTTAAGCGTGCACCAGAACATAGGCCATAATGTTTAGAAATATTTCCAGCGAAAGACATAGGCCTAGGTATATAGCACCCTTGCGTATACTTTAGCACGCGCATCCGGTTAATCGGACTGCAATCGGTTCATTGCATCGAAGGTCTGCGGGACAGCAACTCCCTTTTATCAGGATCCTAGGGAGCTCGCTGAGGTGTTCTGTTGACCTCATGCCCTATCGGTACTCCCTGTGTCATCGTTCGCAATGTCAGTGAGTCACGATCAGTCGACGCAATTCTACACTGACTGCTCTAACAGTCATCGTCGACGGAAGTATAGACTCACTACTGACGACTCACCTTATTAAAATCACACAGTAATTGTTAAAGATATTCTCCTTTCGCTGCGAACTCTCCTTCTTTCCTACATTCTACACTGCAACCAAGTCCGCTTGGAACCTCGCAAGCTTTTATCTGCGCACAAACACAAACACCGCTAGGAGATCACTCTTCTTCTTCATAAACATACGACTCGTTCTCGACACCCACCCTTGGAGCCGATCATGAGCTACAACCCCCCTCCTGGATATTGGAGTCCGAGGAGGCAACCTTCTACTCCTAGCTATAGGACTAGACCTCCCCACCACCCACCCCCTTCCCTCCCTGCTTCTACTCCTAGCTATAATACTAGGCACCCTCATCCCTCAGTTCTGGGCCTCCCTGCTTCTTCCGGGCCCCTCGTAGGACACCCATGGATATTTTCACAATGCCCCCCGCCAATCCCACGACCGATTCCAAATCACATGACATACAGCAATGTACACCCACAGGCACTCACGAACAACGCTGCCCCCTCGGCGTCGGCCGGTTTAAATCCACCATCGCAGACCAAGTCAGGAGGCTATACCTTTGAGAAATTCGTTGCTAAGGCTAAGTCGATATACCTTGTTAAGATCGATCCCTACAACAAGTACGAATCGCCAGAAGAGTACACGAGGTGTCCAGAAAGAACGTGGGGTATTTACGAGTACGACGCGTCAAACAAACTGAATGCAACGATTCTACAATGGCTTTACCACATCCAAAAGTTCGAGAAGGAGGAAGCGGTGGAGTTGCTAGGTGTAAGCGAGAATAGTGATTGGATAGAGTGGGTCGGGGTGGCTATATTCCGAGGCCAAACGATTCCGTTTCTTTCTGAATCCGGCTGCACTCCAAATGGTAGGTCCAGATATGCCACGTCTGAGTTATTCAAGGCTAACGAAGGCAAAGTGTACGATCGTGTCATGTCGTCTGCCATGGAAAAGGGTATGAAGGGGAAAGCTCAAGAAGAAGAAGAGGTAGAGGCTCGCGAGAACACGAAACTGATAACGGATGGAAACGAACTCAAGGAAGGGCGCCCGAAAGCTCCAAAGGTCAAGCACGTAGACGGATTCATCCCTTTCGAGCCCGATAAACGAAACCGTTTCAGAGAACTTCTCGGAACATTCGATCAAGACACCTGGAAGAGCAAGAAATGGTTCCTGGTGAGATATGCCCCATCCTACGCCTTTACAGGGCAATTTGATGCAAGAGGACCCATACATGAGCTCAAGGAGACAGGTGGGGGTGAGGGCGTGATCCTTAAGGATGACAATCCAGGCGGGAAAGAAATGCGGGACTATTTTGCGAACTTTCCTGGAAAGATACATGTCATCGAAATCACAGAAGAGTACTATGATGGAAAGCTCTATCCCAAACTCTTCGGCCCCGGCAAGGAAGATTTCAATGGAGTCAGAGGCTGTACAGAAGATGGTAAGTCTCCAATCCCTATTGCCGACCTCATTGGATTAACTAACGCGACGGTTCGCAGTGAGGAATGAATACGAGAAGCGATTTCGAAGTCGAGAGGCTACGAAAGCATGGGTCAATGGAGGGACATCAGAACTCCAAAAAGCTTCTGATTCTAGCGATGATGAAACCGGTGAGCAGGAGTGAAGGGAAATGTACCCATTGGTGCGGGCCCTGGATATCTTGTAATTTTGCAGTTTGCCACTTTGGTAACTCCCTTGTGGTCTTCCTTGGCATCTCTCTTCTCCATAGGCGGCCTTTTGGCGGACTTTCTTTCATCATTTTCTGTAATTTAATGTTTCCTTCCATACTCATGATTTCGAGGTTTGTCTTGTGTTGTATGCTTTACTTCGTGTGTATACGGAGGGCTGTGCTGTTCGGCACCTGCTTCCATAGATAGTTTTCACTTTAAAAAAGTGCTCACTTCACTCTTTGAAATACAAGGAAGAGAGAAAAAGCTCTCGAAGAGTCGGGCGGCGGATTGCTGCGCAGTGTCTGCCCGTTTCGATTCCCTCTTTGCGAATGATCTAACCTAGTTCAGTCAGCTACATGTGACTCTGAAAGAGTGATTCATGAATGTGGAGTATAAGCGAATAGGAGAGGGGAACTTCCTTCCTTGCTGCGATCCCGGAGCGGTGTATTCGTGCCCACGCGGCCATGAGGATGCCAACATAAAGCAGCAACGAACGATAGAATTGCACAATCCCCCAATTTCGTCCTCAGATCTTCATAGATCTCGCCCATGACTCTACTCTGGGACTCAGTGCGAATCCAGTCAGTTCCTTGACTCGTGATTAGACTCATTATACCGGGGTAGTAAGTGTCACATACGAGTATAAATACTGCAACTCTCACGGCCTTTCCTTCTTCCTCTTTCACCAACGAACCTTTGTCCGTATCAGACCCTGCTATCTCCCTACAACGAGTCTACCATTTCTTCAACAAATCATATCTGCAAGCGCGAATACCAAGCATGAAACTAATCAGGGACGACATCTATGAGGACATAGATATTCGGGACCTCGGAATCGAGCAACAAGCCGTGGAACCGGAGTTACCTCGCGGCATTTATTGCGACATCTCCGACGATGAAGTGGACGAGGATGCGATCGGCAGTCACACACCCGTTCCCGGCTTTATTCAAGCGAAGAGCGACAGAGGTCTACCTTTGCATACCCGACACCGAAACTATCCGCTGGGCTACCTCATGACTGAAAGATACAAACTAAAGGATTGCCTCATCGTCAAATACCCAGCATACAGACTGTACATGTATGAATCATCGGACAATACATCGAAAATGGCGATATACCGTACCAAAGTCCAGCCTGGAGGGGAGGGTATCATCGTGAAGGAAGATGGAAAGCCGTTCAATGAGGGTCTAAATCCGATCTGGAATCTGAAAGGGTTAGAGTTTCGACGTGCAAAGAACTGGAAGGAAGTAGAAGTCTTACTCCCCCATGGTAAACCCGATTATTGCCTCGAAAAGGCGTTCAACGGGGCTCTCGGCTGTTCTGAGCATGGTACGTACTCCATCGCGCTCCATAATTACCGCTAATGTTCTTAAAGTCAATCAGATGCTCAAGGCCAGGAAGCTGAGAGGTATTTGGTTTGAGCTGCGCCGGGAGAGTAGGCGCTAGAGGCATTTCTCCTGTCAGGATATCTCTGTCAACAGCCGGAGTGTCGGCTTTCCTTCACACCTGAACTTATCTTTTCAAGTTGGAAGTTAATGTACTAATAGAAATCATTTCCTATTCTAGTCTGAAGTGAGTTTTCTATGATCCGTGAAGGGTGTCAGTTCGCTGAAAGTGCCGAGAGGTGATCTTTATAGCTTCGAGGCTCCGTCCTTCATGGCCTCAAAGTCCTCACCCTCCACGCTATCCACACCATCCTTGACTAGCCTCTTAACCGCTGCATCCACATCCTCGTCTCCGTCCAGCATATCGACCCAGCCCCTCGCGCCTTCAGTCTCCAATACCACAGCTATTGCCTGCGCAACAGTCTCACGGCTAACCTTCCCTTGGCATGTAATCTTCCCCATCATAACTCCGCCTGCCTTCTCTGTAGTCAGAGTTCCGGGCCTTAAGCTAATGCCACAGAACCTCTCCTTTTCCGGAATACCCTTCTTCGCTTCATCGTCGAACCGCTCTTTCGCGAGCACTGTGAGGACTTCGTCGGCAGCGACCTTGGCATTATAGTACGTAGGCAGGATCTCGTTATTGACTTTCTGAGCCAACTCCCAGTCTTGGTCGGACCACCAAGAAGGCCGGCTGCGGCGCGATGAAATGTAGGAGACGGTGAGGAACTTCTTAATGCTGGGCGTGTGGATGCTGGCTTTCGTAAAGGAGATAGCGGCATCGCGGTCGATGGCCATTGTACGCGGAGCACCTCCACGTCCTCCAGCGCCTGCCCGTACGTTAGCATGCCGCAGGGGCTCTCGATGCTGGACTGCGAAACCGAAAGTGATCACATCACGTGATGTCCGCATCACCTCGACGTGACTCGGAGATGCTTCAAGATAGGGCTCCGGAAAGGGGCAATGCACTCACCAGCGCTCCAGACAACCCAGTCTGGCTTCACTTGGTCGAGGATCTTCTGTGCGTCCCCTTTGCTCTTCACATCTTCCACGCTACTAATCAAGACATCCAACTTTCCTGGCTGCCCTTGCCCTAGCTGTTCGATGGTGGCTTTCTGCTCCGGCGAGCGAATCATACTTGTGACGCTCCAGGATCGCGCAAGTAGAAGAGGAGTCAGAAGCTGTGACACCTTGCCGTGACCGCCGATGAGCAAGATCTTGTGAGCCATGTTTGACGTGAAAGACGGAAGACTAGTGTGTGCAGTCTTTATTAAAGGACGAGGAATGAGCGGTTAGAATGAGTTGGTGATAGTGATTGACTTGCTTTCGCGAGTTATATGGATCCCGCATGCATTGGTAATGCGGAGACGATCTCGCGACCCTGACGTAGTGGGTGGCTCGGCCCAACCAAAGAGATTCCAATGACCAAGTGCAGATATCTATTACTATTCAACTCAGTAGCCCGCAAGCTGAATAATTTGAAATCGCCGAGAACACGTTGATGGTTAGGGCGAATGTTAGTCCTCGTGAGGCGGGGAGAGTTGCGGAAGGTTGAGGCAGTGCACGGGCCTCTGAGTGATCCGCAGCTTTCCTGAAGGTGAGGTGACTGGAGCGGCGACGTCACCGTCAATCCGCCAGTCTTTCTATATCCTCGTCTCGCGCCCCTCAATCCTGGCCCTCATCCGTTCAATTCTCGGAAAACATTCGGATGGTGGCACGACCGAAAAAAGAAAGCACTGGGCATTTCGACTTGATGCCTTCTTTCGAAGCTACTGCAGCCCGCTCTGTGGACAATATCTCAGGCTCCACAGTCTCGCGGTCTTCTCCCCTGGGTTTCTTTCATGAAAGCATCCTCCGTGCTTCGTCCCCTGCAAACATGAAAGTCTCACGCGGGCGACGGATGCTTCTCGCATCACCAGGACTTCTCATCACTCCCGTTTGCTACTATACAACCGCTCGCTGGCCTGAACGGAATGAGCTTAAAGAGTCGCTACACTAGCGACGTACGCTGCTCACGCAACAAACCTAGAATGAGACCTCGTCCTGACATCTGCGAATAGGAAGTAGAGCAACCGCAGCCAGCTCAAACCCCGGATACCGGCCCACCACCATCGTCAACCATCTAGTTCCAGTCGATCGATGTGGACGGCTTTACCACGGTTGCCGAAGCAATGTGCCCTATCTGCCATGATCTTTATCCAAATATGCGCAAGCTCCGGGCCTGTGGCCACTTCCTTCGCGATGCTTGCCTTCGTAGACTGGTCTCAAGCGATCATCGTAATCGATACTAGTGCCCCAAGTGTAGAAGGCCAATGTTCGATCTACCTTCATCATAGGAGAGTAGTCGCTCCTCTGATATTTCTGGGGAACAAGCAATGCGACTTCATGAGATTTGAGTCTTCCATACCCTGTTCTGCTTTGCGCCACTTACTTTTTGTCTCTTACTTTTCTTATTTCCAGGTCGACTCCTTTGTTGCTCACACCAATGAGTCACGCTTCGCATAGTCAACAGGTTATCGAGTTCTTACATGCCCAAGTTGAACTCGAACTTACCATCGTCTATCCCATGACCAGATCGTGATACTGGCCCAACACTCCCCTATTGGCAGTGCTGCCCGTCCGCCCGGAATATCAGGAGCGAGGAAGTGCATGCGGAGGTGGAGCGCTGGCGGTCGGTATCAACCACTACCCTTCGAGTGCCGTCGCTAGTCTTTCTCGAAAAGCCGACACACTGTCTCCGAAGCGGTCTAGACATGGGGCACAGTCATGGCAAGTCGGTGTTGGGTATTCGTCACCGCAATCTCGGAGAGGGGCTGACACTAAACTCGGACCTGGCGATGGGTCATTCGTGAGAGCCTGAGTCTGCTACCCAACCCGCTCGGAGTCATCCCTTGACTCTTTCGCAGACGAGTATAAAAGCTCTTCGCGACCGAGGAAACCTTCAACACCGACATACATACCTATATCACACTTCAACTATCTTTCAAGTCTCCCCAAGCGACTACATTTCTCATTGAAATCATACAGAAATCCCAAATGCGAGCCCCGGCGATCTTGTCCCTACTGCTCGTAGCGGCCCGCAGCGTCTCTGCAGGTTACGATGCTGGATCCAACAGCAACGTTGCCGTCTACTGGGGACAGAATTCTGCTGGGTTTAGCACCAATGACCCGACGCTCCAGAAGCGGCTTTCCCACTATTGTGATAGTAAGTTCAAGAACAGTTGTAACCTTGCCATTTGGACACTGTACCCCAAGTTTCCAGTTCACTGACTCTTCCATAGGCGACGATGTTGATGTAAGATTTGTCCATGGTTGGCTTTACTCCTCCTAACTCCACATTAGATCATCATCATGGCGTTTATCGTTGAGCTTGATGCTGGGAGTGGAATTCCGACACTGGTAAGTAGAATGGAGTCGCTCCCTCACTTGACGGAAGCTTACAATAAGTAGAACTTTGCGAATGACCTCACAAACTGCACTACTGACGAGAAAGGCGTTCCAATCTGTACCGAAATAGGGTATGTTGTCGCCCCCGATCTCTTGGACTCGCATAATTAACGAACTCGCCAGAAAGGATATCGGAACGTGCCAAAAGAACGGCAAAACGATCCTTCTCTCAATTGGCGGCGATGCGGGCGCCAAGATCGATTTCCCAACCGCAGAAGCCGCAACCAAAAATGCACAGTTAATCTGGAGCATGTTTGGCCCCACACCAGCATCTGGCGAGAAGCCTTCGCGTCCGTTTGGGGAAGCTGTCATCGACGGTTTCGATTTGGATATAGAGACCAAGCCACAACACTACGCCGAATGGGCGCACAAGATGCGCGAGCTCATGGGTCCAGCCAAGGACGGCAAAGGCTACCTGACCGCTGCACCACAATGTCCCGTACCGTCCGGTAACCCCATCGGGTCCATCCTCAACGGCACTGAGTTCGATATGTTCTTCGTCCAATTCTACAACAATCCCTGTGGCCCACACAACGAAACGTACACTTTCTCCGACTGGAACACCTTCGCGCAAAACAAGACTAAGGTCTTCCTCGGCCTGCCAGCAGATGTGGACGCGGCCCCGAGTGGTGGGTATATAAAGCCGGAGGAACTTGGGGAAGTCATAAAGGAGACGAAGGATAACGACATGTTTGGCGGCGTGATGCTCTGGGATGCGAGTCAGGCTTGGACGAATGATAACTACCATACGAAGGTCAAGCAGGCGCTGAAATCGTCCTAGAGACGGACATCTCTCCCTTCTCTTCTATCAAGCAGTGCTAGCTTAGGGCACCGCGGGATTTGGATTGTACTATCACTATCTCCTATTTCTTTTGTGGCATGTATCATGGTCAGCTCTCTTCTATCAGGCGGTGCTAGTCCCTGGGCATTGCAGGATTCAGATTTGTACTATCACTTTCACTTATTTTATTTTGTAGCATGTATCACACTCATTTGTCTTCTCTCCTCTTCTCCCCCTATGCACCGTTATGAAACCTCTAGACCTTTCCGTGACTTCTTTCTATTGTATGCATATCACGCCGCCCACGCAGTCGCCGTATGCGTAACCCACTGCGTCCCGCAACTCCCATCACACCTCCCCAAACACGTCCTACTCCTCGTCACCGTCGGCGTAACGGGGCACCCTTCCACGGGGCCCCCGGGCACCGTCGTCCTGCTCAGATAAATGCAATCCGGCGGCGGGCAGTCCAGCTCATCCTCAGGGCACTTATTCGTTGCGCTGACGGTCTTCGTGTAGCACGGCTTAGTGTGCGAAGGGGGCGGCGTTGTTGCCGGAGGAGCCGTAGGACTAGATTTAGTGATAATGCTGGGAAGGCAGGACGAAGAGGCGGCTTCTGTGCTGGTGAATGTCGCGCAGCCGGTTGGGCAGGCTGTTTGGCAGGGCAGGAAGGAGGTCAGGACGGGTGTTTTGGGGCAGCGTGTGTTGGGTCCTGGGATCGTGGTTGTGCTGTGTGTATGCGTGCTTTGTGAGCATTTGTTGAAGTGAAGTGGGGTGAGGAGTGGGCACGTACGTTAGCATTGCGCACATGGGCACGATACAGGGGCGCGTGGGCTCGAAGGCCGGACAGCCGTTGTTTGTTACGAAGGATGTTGCTGTGTAGCAGGGGCATGCTTTGGGGGCTGTGTCGGCTGCGAAGGAGGTGCTGTAGATGTTAGGTCCTGTGGTTGTGGTTGTGGGTTGAAGCAGACAATGCGGCACGGAGAGACGTACCTGAAGAAGAGCGCTGCTGCTATAGCAGCATATTTCTCGATATGAACCATCGTGTCGCTATTGTTGAAGTTCCTCCTTCCTACTAATGATTGTATAGATTGAAGCGAGCACTGCACAATCGTCCCCATACATATATTCCAAACCCATCTGCCATCGTATTCCACAAGTCTTCCTCAATTTCCACAAAGTACTCAGGCCGGCCCTTGCATGAGCAACAATAAGTTGCTTCCCCGGATCCACGCTCCGGATCTGCATGCCTTTGAAGCCAAAGCGGCTAGTTCAACGGTCCGGTTAGCCCGGCAAATTAGACTTAATGATCCGCAACGTTCGTGCTGGAAAGTCGTAGTAAGTAGTACGAGAAAGAACCTCTGCCCAGCCCGTTTCCCGAAAGCGATGAATGCGAGGAGAGAATACATCGTCACACCACCACCACCACCACCACCACTCCCATTGAAATGAGGACGAGAGCGAACGATCGACAACTATTCACGTGCCCGCCGCTGTGTTACAGTGCGCACCTGCATTCTAGAACAAGCAAGGAGGGAAGAAACACGAAGTGGAAATTTCTAAGAGAGCTATAAATAGCACCTTGGCTATAACTCCACTGACGCAAGGATCAACGGTTCCGAGATGCTTAATTCGCCTAACGGGCTCGAATGACGGACACGATGCTTGGCAATTTCGGGAAGAGAGCTGCTGTCCCAGGAGGAAGATTATTGAGCAGTCTCGCGAGCGTTTGGTGATGCTGAAGTCCTTCGGGAAACTTAAACTCGTGTTGAGCTACGGTGAACATATCCCTCTTGCTGAGCCTGAGCCACCACGTCCCTTTGCTCTGAAATCGCATACCCAAAACCAAACTACAGGAAACCGTCAACGCCTGAACCATGGAGGATGTGCATTCTCTTTCTTCTCGGAGCGCCCGTTCCTGCCTCCAGCTTCCTAACACAACCTCTTCCGGCCAATACACCAAGAATCCAGCAAAGAGAGAAACGGCCACACCTAATAAGGCGTAGGCCTCGCCGTCGGACAGCTCGCCCTTACCACCTCCCAACTCGTCGCACACCCCGTTGGACACTTCGTCGGACAACTCGCATACACGGTATCCGTCGCCGTCCTCGTGCAGCACGGATCCGTATTGCAAGGCCACGTGATAGTCTTGAGGGAGAGACACGCGGGCCGCGTGCACGTCAGTGTGTTAAACGAGCATGTCGACCACGGCGCGGGCGTATCGACTCGGGTGATGTAGGACGGGCAGTGGCGCTCCCGGTAGGTGGTTGTGGTGATGGTGGTGACGTAGACGTGAGGTGTGGAGGCGGGACAGGTGTTGATGGGCGGGATGGGGGTGATGGCTGGGGATTTGGGGACAATGTCTTCGGCTGGGTGGGCGAGGGTGAGAGCGCTGGGGTGGTTAGTGGTAGTGCGTTGGTGTGGAGGGTTTATTGGGACTTACCAGAGGCTCAGAAGGAGGGTTGTGGGAAGCATGATGGGCAGATTTGTTGTCTGTTGGATATTCGAAGCTTGCTTGAGCGTATTGAATGGGGATGCACTTCCCTTTATGTTCTCGCTCGTCTCATGACATGTGTGTGGATGGGGCAGTCCATAATTTACCGTTAGCAGAATGCGGAGAGAAATACGGGATCACGAGAGACGATGAACAAATCGAAGACGACGGCGTCTAGTACAACGCCTCGTATACCGGCTTGGCCGCCCTAATCGGTCCATTGTTCAACGATCAAGCTTGGCCAGTTGGTTGAGATTGGTAACTGATGATATAGTCCGTGCATGTAACTTTTCGAATAAGCTTCTTTACTCCGCCTGTTCACAGTAATGCTGACATATTGTGGCGCCGTCCGGTTTGTGACGGATGGCCGGTACTATCCTTGGATGAATCAATATTGCGCGAGGACGGAAATGAACGTGACCACTTGAATGTTGCGGCTCAAACTACACTCTGCCGTTGAAGCCCCGGACGTCTCCCCAAAAAGGAGTTCTGGATGGTTCCAGAGATCAAGCGAGACTGAGGCCGAATGCAGCCGAGCGAGGGAGAGTTGGGCAAAATCGTGATTCTCTGCCTTGACGAATCCAGTCGATGGAAGTCAGTCCTCGCGTCGAGAAGAGAGCGTGATCTGGCATGACCTTGAACATGCCCTATTGACGCAACGAAGACTAAGACATGATGGAACAAAAGAAGCTTGTTCAACCATTCGACTGTCGATCCGGCGTGGTATTCCGAGACCCTCTTGCGAGCCCAACGCCACCAATGCCAAGGATATGATACAAGTATTTACACATTCATGCAGAGATTCGGTTATGCGGCCTTGGGTTTCTTGGTCCCGTACTTCGATCTTGATGTGATACGATTGCCAACACCTCCCTCCAGCTTGTTAGCGAAAGTTGTTGTAGGAGGAGGAAGGCAGTATACCAGATCCAACGCCCCTCTTACTAAGTGGTACTTCACACCCGGGCAATCCTGCGCTCTGCCTCCTCGAACCATGACGACCGAGTGCTGCTGCACATTGTGACCTGAAGAAGTCCCGTCAGCTTTCACGCTCTCGGGCCTATGATCCTCCAAAGTGTAGAGCACACAATGAAGTGCAGCAACTCTACGCCCTCCGCAAAGCTGCCCCGGACTCATCTATACGCACCTTCACCCGGAATATACGCAGTAACAACCTTCCCACTACTCAACCTCACCCTTGCAATCTTCCTCTCCCCAGAATTCGGCTTCTTAGGCTTCGTCGTGCCCACCTTCAAGCACACGCCCTTCATCTCCGGTCTATTCGTCAGCGCTGGCGAGCGCAGCTTCCGCACCCTCTGCTGTGATCGTCCGTTCCGCAGTACTTGTATCAGCGTGCATTTGTGCGCTCGCGAGGCGGGTATGGGGCGGACAGGAAGGGCCGAGGTCGCATTCTGAAGGGCGGTTGCGGGGCCAATCGGCCGGCAGGGAATTATGGGCGTGCGATAGAGGAGGGAAGGCCGTACGAGGCGTCGCAGGAAGGTAAGAGGCATGTTCGCGATGGTGTCGTGGATGAGCTTTCGCGAATCCGAAAAGTTCGGCATGCGCTTGTTCGATGGCTTGGCGTTGGTCTGTGCACACTACTCACACCTCGAGCAGCCATCCGAGGTCCTAGCGATACGTAACCCTTCAATACAATAGAGAAACTCTGAGCAGCACTTCATTACTTCTGCCTACCTTGGTTCTTGGCCCCCTCGACCAAGAACTCGACACAACGCGTCCCTTTCAGGCATCCGTCATATCGGACAAAGTTTCCTATCCAACGCCAATTTGATACTGGCTCACTTCCTTCTTGTTTACGCGTCATTAAAGGCAGCAGCTTAATAGAAGTCTTCTCACTCTGTCTGCCTCCCTTCATCCTTTCAACCCTTCACTGCTCTCTTCCAATCCACCATGCTCCGTCCGCACCCCCCAATCCAACCCTCCCTCCTCCTCCGCCTCCCCCGAGAAATCCGCGACATCATATATTCCTCATGCCTTAACTTCCCCCAACCAATCCCCCTCCTAAACCCCCAAGCTCCCGCCCTCATACCCCACCTCTTTCCACACCCGACCCTCGCAGCCGAAGCCCTCGAAGCCCTCTACAAAACCAGTACCTTCATCCTCTCCCTGCGGCTCTACCCCTCGCTCAACCTGCTCAACCGTTGGGGCCCTTACCCGCATCTGACCCAGCACATCCGACACCTGATCGTCGACTGCATCGAAGGCTCGTCCAGCATCCCCGACTTCGCCACATACGAAGAAACCTACGGCGCCTCCAGCATCGAGCGGCGCCTCTGGACCTCGCTGCTCGCGCTCCCGCGCCTCGAAAGCCTCGCCGTCAACATGCAAAAAGCCCACGACGGCTGCCTCTTCACGCTGGACTTCGCGCCCGTGCTGTTCCACCTGCGCGCCCTGCGGCCCGGGCTCAGCATCCGGTTTAGCATCTCCTTCGACGAGATGCTGCAGCGCGCTTGGGACGATCCGTACTGGCAGACCTTCCACGCGTCGTCCGTCCGCTGCTACTCTGCGCCGTATCAGAAAATGGGATATGCGGATGTGAGTTGCTTGGTTGCGCCGCCGAGCGAGGAGGATCGGAGGTATGTGCAGATGTATCTAGGCGATAGGAAGATGCCGAGGGGGAGGAGCGCGCGGCAGGGCTTGTTGGATGAGGGGCCCGCCCAGAGGAGGGCGTTGGCGGGTTGTTATGCGGTGAGGGATCCGCCGCTATTGAGGGTCTTGATGGCGGAGCATTATGAGGTGTATATGCGGTGTGCGGAGGCACGGAAGACGGGAAGGGAAGGCCTGGTGGAACAGCTGGGCAGATGAGGTTGTTGATGGGAGGAAAGGAGCGCAGTGCTTTGCGGAAAAAGAGTTCAGTCGAGCAGTCTACGATGGACTAATCCCTCTACCCACCCGTCCATCAACTCCAAGCTAAACAGAACGCTCCACATGCCCATCTTTACCATCCCAATCCCGTCCCTTTCTCCATATAACAAAGCGAGAACTTTTAAACCCCTGCGCCAGACACACCCATCATCCCACAAATCTCTTCCTTCCAATCCAATCCAATCCAATGCAATCCAGTATTACAAAGCAATCCACCAGCTCCCAGGGTTATGCTCCGGGCCCCTCGGAGGAACAGGCACCAAAATGGGCGCTGGAGGCTCGGCGACTGGAACAACCTGTGCCCTCTCCGACCAACCCCTAACCGTGGACGCTGGCAGCGGCGACGAAATCTGCCTCTCGTTCGACGTTGACGTCAGCAGATTCGGCCTTACACCGGAGAATTCGCCCCTCCCCACATGCGCCAAATGTGCGCTGTACTCCCAATGCTGCGCGACATAAGCAAGCTTGCCCGCATTCAGCAGCTTAACCTCCGGCTCGCAGCGGGCGTCACACTCCGCGTTCTCCTCTCTCGTGCTATTGATGTTCGGTGGGAGGTAGCAGGCGTCGCAGCTCTCCGCATCCAGCGTCGGCGCATCGAGATACAGACTGCTGTTCGCGAGGGCGGGGATGATGGGGCCATCGATGCGCTCCTTGAAGTAGTAGACCTGGTCGCCGCTGACGTGGAAGTAGTTTGCCGCGCCGGTCTTGAAGAGGTCGAGGACGGAGGGCGGGAGGATGGAGGCGACAGGCTGCCATTGTTGGATGCGTGCAGGTGCGGGTGAGCAGGGGTGAGTGTTGATGTAGTACTTGCTGTCGGAGCCGTTAGTGATGATTTTGACGCTGTTCTGGAGGGCGACTTCGTCGCTGCCAGTTTCGCAGGGATAGGTCATGGTGGGCATTGGGGTCGGGACGGATGCCGTGGGAAGGGAGGATGAGGAGGGTTTGAATGTGTATATGGTGCTTCGAGAGGGTATGGGCTTGATGGATCCACTCGGAAGCGTAGTGCTCCCGCTCTCACTGACGGAAGGTACGAAGCTAGAAGGACGTAGATAGCTCATAGTGATGACGGTAGTCATCGTCGTGGTTCTTCCCTTCGCCAATGTGGGCTTAGATCTCGAAGGAGTAGGCTTCGGGCCAACCTGGGTTTCGATAACAGTCATCGTGGTGGTCCTTCCGCTCCCTATGGCCGGCGAAGAACTGGATTCGCTCACAGGCGACCATGATGCCATGGAAGTCAGCGATGAGCTGTCCGCACTAACTGGCGGCCATGTTACCATTGAGGGCGATGAAGAGGCAGGCTCGCTGACCGGTAGCCAAGGCACCATGTGAGTGGTAGACGAGTCCATAGGCGGCCATGGTACCATCCGCGTCGTAGAGGAGCTCACAGGTGGACGTGGCCACATTACCTCGCTCGACGCAGAACTACTCTCCTGCGGATGAAGCACACCACTCATCAACGCCATAGAGCTACCCCCTCCGCTGGCTGTAGAAGTACCATGAGGCTGAACCCTGGTAACCGTCGCAACAACCTTCGTAGTCGTTATCGGCTTGCCAGGGGAAATGCTCCTGTGCGGACGAAGCATAGTGACTGTAGCTTTGACAACCGTGGTCGTCCGTCCAATGAGAGAAGGAGAGGCGGCCTGGGGTGAGGAAATGCTTGTGATGGGCGCAGATGCGCTTTGCTGTTGACGAATTGCCGAGGAATTGCTCTGGAAATGCACCCTAGTCGATGTTGATGAATTCCTGTGCCCGCTGGCTGAAGCGGAATTCGCAAGGTGTGGGCCAGAGGAGGCTGACACAAGAGGAAGCAGCAAGTGCGGAGTGCCATTGACGTCCGTAGGCGCAGGAGTGGGTGTGGTACCGTTCCGCCAGGGGTAGTGCCCAAAAGTAGACGTGCGGTTACGACCCGAAGGACTCAACGCCGAATGGCTGCTCGAATGACCAGACGCCGATGAATTACCCGTCTTAGCACCCGAGTGTGTCGAATTATGCGGAACTGGCTCGGACAGGGACGGCACCCCAGTCCCGGTAACCACAGTATGCACCGCCGAGCCATGAACTGTGTGATTGCCGCTCGGCGTCACCTGCGTCGGCCGTGCGAGGCTGGAAGAATTCCGCGACGAGGCATTCTGAACAGGGCCGAGCTTGGTCCCGCTCACTGCTAGAACCGTTGCCGTGTGCCTGAAATCCGAGCCATGAACTGTACGATTACCACTCAGCGCCATCATCGTCGGGCGTGCATGGTTGGAAGAATTCTGCGACGAGGCATGCCAAAAAGGACTGAACTTAGTCTTAATCGGCGCTGGAACTGTTGCCGTGCGCAGGCCTGCCGCCATAGCATTAGAACCGTGAACTGTGTGATTGCCACTCAGCATCACCGTCGTCGAAGTAGAGCCGTTCTTGACCTCAGCACTGCTCAGCACTACTGGTTGCGTTGGCCGTGCAAGAGTCGTTGAGTGCGGCTGGCTAGAGGACGGAGACGCGCTATCACTGGATGACGCGCCCAGAGGACGGACAATCGTTGCTGGCAAGTGCGTAGAAGCCGGTGCTGTCTGGTTACCGGCGCTAGTAGAACGCGGGCCTTCCGGCGCATAGTCGTTTGCCCTCACCACCTGAGAGTTGACCAGTGGTGCAACCTTAGTGCCAGTCTCGCTCGGCACTTGGCCGCTCTCTGGAACTGGGCTGCCCGTGCCTAGATGGCTGGTAGATGCGATGTAGGTGTTCGAGCTTGTCGTGTACGTAGGGGGAAATTTGATGCTCGGAGCAGCGGACTGAGACGAGTTCCGTAGCGCAGAGCTGATCGAAGCATCGACAGACGCAGATGCAGAAGCAGAAGCAGAAGCAGATATCTCCAATGCCGCATCAGTCGACGGTCCTCCTCCCTCAGCGATCCCCGCGAGAAAACCCTCAGGCGTCGTGGACCACGGCTGTGCTACGCCACTGGAATTCCACCCGGAATGCCGAATCTTAACAGCCCCAACAACGCGGCCATTCGGCACCCCCTCCATGAGCTGATTCTTGCGATAGCAATCGCCCCAGCCGCGCTCTCCAGGCTTGAAGGCCACAGCGACGCAGCCCTCAGCCAAGTCGCACTGCGCGAGGCACTGAAAGAGATTCCTCGCCACGGGAGGCTGCTCGTCGAAGTCGCCGCCGTAGTGGTCGATGCCGCATTCGATGCGGTACCCGTCGAAGGCGTGGTTGTGAAGCTGGGGGCAGGAATCGTTGTAAGGGACCGCGACGGGTGTGAATTTTGCGGGTACAGGGCTGCTCTGGACTGGGCCGGAGGGCTCCTTTGATATCGATGAAGATGCATTGGGCGTGGGAGAGGGTGCTAGATCATAGGTGTTAGCAGTTATGAAGTTGGTAGAGACCATCCGATGAACCTACATGAGATTGAACTAGCCGCCACCGGCCCCGAACCAAGTGGATTCTCCGGGCTCGCAGTCTCGAACGGGATATGCCAAGCCACATCAGCAAGCCTATTCACGGTGGGGACGGCTTGCAGCGTATCCGCAGTAGTAGTAATATTCGCTGTTTCCCAAGCAGTCAGTACCTCAGTGCCTCCATAAAAATACTGCAATCAACCTCAACTGCTTCAGGATACCTCCAAACACCACGGGCAGCACTTACAGTCTGGCTTCGAAAGCGCAGCAACGAAGCCACAGAGGCCAGCGGCGATGGGCACGATGGCCAATTGAGTCCCTCTCATTTCGACGTCCTCGCTTCTCACGCGTATCCTATCCTATGCGCGGTATCAATTGGCTATGTGTGCGTTGCCCAAAGAAACGAGTGGCGATAAAGAGTGACTGACTAGATGAGCTGAAGGAAGGTGCCAGCTAGCTGTTCGCTGCAAACGTATGTCCAAGAGGGAAGCAAGCACCACAGTGAAGACGCGCCGAAGACTGGGGGAAGGGCGGCGACGACAGCACGCCTGAGCAATTCGTCTCAGTGGGGGTTTCCATCGACGCCATGGACGAGATGAAGGCCCGAACGTATTTTGCTCGCATTGCGTCTCATGGTGCATTGGGAGCTGGCTGGGATAATTGTACGGTTTTGATTCAGGAAAGGACCTAGGGTGTGTCCCCTCTGCTCTCTGATAAGGAGAAAAAGGTACTTAGCGCGGCGTAGGATTTGCAAACCCTCGGAAATTCCCACGCTATAGCATGAGGCGAAATGGCGTTCAAAACATCTGTTGGTGTTGAACCATTCGAATCGGCTTGGGAGTCGCGTGGGGGGAAAGCCCACCCCTGAAATCGAGCTACAGCCAATATTTTGAACCGCAGGAGCTTCGGGCCGCCGCACGTTGTGGACTTTCGATTGTTGAACGGGGTCGGCCGTTAAGAGCGTTTCTGTACCGGTGGTCGAGGAGGGGCCGATACCGTTAGTAGCTTTGCCGGCATCCACAGACGGGGGAAACATTTACCTCGCGATGACGGTACAGCACCGCCCATTGGTAGCAGTGAGCACAATAGCCATCTCTACGCGAGATGGTGCCCTCCTGAGATTCGAATATGCTCAAAAGCGCAAAGCTTAATCCGCCTAGGGGTATATAAGCAAGCGTCCGGGGCGTCTCCTTCTCTTCTTCATCTATCCCACACCAACACTCTCAGAACACACACACACTCAGCACACACAACCAACGAGCACACTGCCTTCAAGCCTTCCACACCTTCTCCTGCACTCCACCTCAGACGACAGCAAGCACCATGTCCTCCCCACACGAAACCAGCACCACCACGAGCGGCAGCAACAGTTCAAGCCCCGCATCCTCTTCGCAGCCCTCTCCCTCAAGCTCGAGGCCAGGCTCCATCTCATTCTCAGAACCCGCAAACCCATCTCCAAGTAAGCGAGAATCAATTTTGCACCCTAGTGAGGCTCGACCAGCTAACAGCCCGGCCAGGCATTCCAAAAGGAAAGACGACGAAGTGGTTGGTTGGGCTGAAGACCGGGAAGAACAAGGAACCAGGTAAGCCAAGAGCATTCGCTTCCAAAGCGATTGAGGGGGGCATGAATAAACTAATTTTGTCGGAACAGAGAAATGGCTGTTCACGGTTGAGAGGAGGCCCAGAGCCGAGAAGCGACCCAGCCTTCGCACGGCGACCTCGTACTGATGACCGCAAATACTGGCGGACGAAGAGATGGATGAGTGCCAAGAAGAAATGAATAATGAATCCGTTCAATAGGCGTAATAATTAGTTGCTTGGAATTGAATCGTGTAATCGTCTCTTGTGTTGAGGGTTGGGTACGCCCGATCTGATTGTTAACTATCCGTGGTTTGAACCACTCGCTTCCGCGTCCAGTCGAAATTCCAGCCTTCGGAAATTCTCGCTGTGCTTTTGGGTGCCGATAGTCCTTTGCGATGATGTGCTGAGGTTCGAGCCGGCTGACTGGGAGAGACCCCGAGCATTTGTAATCTGCTATCACGTGCGTCAACTAAGCAAACCAGCAGAGGGAGAGGGCGAAGTTTGGGATGCTAAGAGATAGCAGATCATTTCATTGCAACCGATATCGTGGGTAATGCCGTCAAAAGCTCGTCCGATTCCGCGCACCCATCCGCCCATATGAAGACATGCCAGATACCCAAAGTATCTTCACGACAGGATCCGATGCTCTTGTGCGAAAGGAGTTCCTCTATCCGTTTCCTAGCTTATGCGGAAGCCTCTGGAATATTGGCCTTGATGGCAGCCTCGAGGGCCTTGGGGTTCGCGCCGACAACCTCGGCAACCTTCTCGCCATTCTTGAAGAGGAGGAAGGTGGGCATGGCACGGATGCCTAGTTCTTGCGCAACATCGGGGACCTCGTCGACATCGAGCTTGTAGAAGCGCGCCGTAGGGTAGGCATCGGAGAACCTAGGGAGCTGTCAGCCCAGCGCTTTCTGCGGGGCGACTGCACTTAAAAACTCACTTTACGACCTGAGGCGCAATGACCTTGCAAGGCCCGCACCAGGTAGCGAGGCAGTCAAGGACGAGCAGCTTGTCCTTGTCCTCCAGCGCCTTATCGAAGTCGGACTTCCTGCAAAATCACCCAAGTCAGCGCCGCCGTTCACAGAGACAATGACGTCTTCTTCAGCCTCAGAACTGCGGATATAAGGGCGCACTCACGAAGTCAAGTTGTGTATGCCTTCCTTGCCCATTGCGCGAGTGTTGGAGAAGAATTTGGGGGTAAGAAGCGGTCGGTATAGGTTCGAGTTCGCAGTTAGGCTGATGGTAGCTGTTCGCAAGCGTGCAGTTGTGAGTAGAGTTCTCCGAAACGTTGACGTCGACGTCGCAAACATGATATATATATGGAATGACTGATTCCAAAGATGGCGCGCGATAGAATGACCCAGACACCAGCCGTCTTCGCGCGATGACAATTCAGTGGCAGAATGATGCGCTTAGTTTGGGGGAGGAAACTCGGCAAAGACACGGAAGTCCCTGCGCGAGGCGCAGAGATGCCGAAGGCCGGGGCGCGGGAGCAAGCACAGCAGAGAAAGGGCAACTTACGAGATTCTGAGGTTGAGCGTGTAGTATTTGGAAGAGATAGCAAGCAGAGGCGTCGAGGTAGGTCTTCTGTTGATGATAAATCGCGAGGTGGGCTTGATTACACCGGGGAATGGGTTGCTGTGGTGGCTGCATCTCGATGACGTGCTGCCCGAACTTGCCCAACAAAGGAGGTGCGGCTTGGTGGGGTCTTTCCTCGGCGGCAACGGCAACTTCGCTGCACTCTGCGCGCCTTCACCGGCCATATTATTGATCCTTTCTTGCGGAGGAATCACGCTGGGCGGATACATTGCCCTTCTGCAGCAATGCCCGCAACCGACATCCGCAGCGCTTAGCCTTGACCTGTGACTGGCATCCATCCCTCTGTCGCTCCCTCATAGCCCTTTGCCCCGCCGCAGACTCGGCCCCTGTCAGCCGGAGAAACGACTATCCCACGCCGACGACCACACCATGCATGCCAGCTCGTGAAATCCTGAATGGTACGATGTATGCAGCCCACCGTGGACCCGAGGAGCAGCTTCAAGTGTTGTTGGAAGCCATCAATACAGCTGTTTTGAAACTACAGATTCAGCCTAAAGAGGTATATGGGCTGATGGCCGCACTGGACGGGCGTGCGGCATGCCATCTATCGCAATATCCATTCCCTTTTCGGAAACCAAATACCGCCAGGCGTAAGGGCCACCGCCTCGCTGTCCGTCCAATGCCAGAAAGAAGAAAATAACCGCGCTTCAAGCCAGGCCTGCGGAGCCCGAGTCCGCGGTCCGATTCCGTCTATGTCCATGTCCATGCCAGATCCCCGAAACCATGATTTTTGAGAAAAGGAAGGATATTAGAAAACGCTGTGTCCTCAGCTGCTATACAGTACAGACTCTGGTATAATCCCAAAACAAAGACAAACTGCAACGCTAGATCCGCTCCGCCCGAACGCCTCCCTATGTTCTCGCTAGGACATGTGTGCTTGCAACCATGGAGCACAACCAAGAGCAAACTCGTCGAGCAGGGGTGTGAAATTTCGAGGACGGTAGAAGAGACCCAAGAACCGCAATGTTTGCCAATCCAGAAAATCGATCAAGTAACAAGCAAGGAAATATTCAAACGAACGACTAGGGTGAGGTATGCGTTCCGTAAGGACTGACAGATACAAAGGAAATGCAAATGAGTGGTGCGGTCTGGCAAACATGCGTGGTTCTAGGGTTCTCTGCGTCGTCCTCGTAAAGATCAATCACTCCTGTACTGGCGGGTTACTCTGTGAATGGGAAGATGTGCTCGCTCGTTTCTGGATTTCCAGAAGCTTGGCTGATCCGGCACTAAGGTGGCGTACGTGACGCTTTCCAAGATCGACACTCCTTGCTCGCTGCACCATGACGGGCTCGCTTTCGGATGTTGGGGACTCTCCTTCTGCGGGTTCGCTGGCGGTCCCGGAAGGTTCCTCGAGCGAGAGCTTATCGTTTTGGTAATAACTCAACAACGCTTCTGTTGACTTGACACGGGCCTGGCGATGCACGATGGTGGGTTGACGTCCGACGGTGTGCTGGACCAATTCCTCCTCTTCGGAGGACTTTCTCGTAGGCGGCGGTGGCTCATCGTCATCAGACTCGGGAGCGACATCCAATGCTGCCATTGCGGTGCTGCTTGCCTTTCTCGCTAACATGTCAGCTGACCTCCGTCGCTCGTCCGGCTGCGGCGTTAGCCTTTTAAAGTACTCGTCATCCGGTATGCCCAATTCCTCGTATGAGGCGTTGAACTCTTCGTTCCGTTTGGCAGCGGAGGACGAGCCAACGCTTGAGCGCAGGTACGATTTGTTCGACCTGCGCTTCAATGGTTTGCCGGAGAGCCAAGATCCTTCAGAGTCAACAGACGCAAGCGATTGGGACATCAGACCAGCATTCGGCATCGCTGGGCTGACTGGAGAGTCTGTTCGAGCTTCTTCCCCGGGGCTATTACTGTCAACGCGAAGATCGGCTGGTGCCTGGCTCCGTCGTCGAGCTGCAATAGCACTGCCTGACGTAACTTCTGGTGACTGTACCCGGGAGTCTGGTGGAGAGAGCGGAAACTCCGGCAGGTCCTCTCTGAATTTCGACATGGTGCGGCGGGGGACGCTGGAAGGACGTTTGATTGGAATAGGTGGCGTGTGTGTTGTGGCGACCAAATGGGCAGGGAGTGGCTGACGGGACATGGACTCGCGCGACGTATTGGAGAACGAGGCCTCTGATGCTGATGGCGTTGTACGTCCCCGATCCTGAGATCTGCGCTTTCCGCGCCGAAAGAAAGAGGCAAACATGCCAATGCGCTTGCCCTCTGAGCTGCGGCGTCGACCAGGACCCCACTTGGACGTTGCGGCCGTGTCGGTGGTTTCCACGGCGTGGAGGGAGCCGCTTGCTGTGGCATCGTGGACGGGCTCGGATTCGACGGGCGTATCGTGAGCAATCTTTTCTGAGAGAAGTTCTGGCATCTCCGAAACATTCGACGGTCCGCGGGTATGAACGGGCCCGGAGACGCTGCCTCGAGAATAGTGGACGGCTCGGGCATCCGAGACAACGGGTTCTTCGATAGGGCTCTCTAGGGGAGTGGGCAACGGGCTGGTCTCCTCCGGCTTCGGAGCCAGCATAGTCGTGTCCAGAGTCTGTGGCCGCTGGGGCGTCGATGGGCGAACATCCTCCATGGGCGTGGGCGTCGGCGTGGGCAGTTCCTTGTCGATACCAAGACCAATCGCTCCTCGTGCCTCTCTGCGGGGAGTCGCAGGCGTGCCAGTAGGCCCTGCCTCCATAGATACTTGCTTCTCTGCGCGACGTTCTAGCCGGCGTCGAAGGCGCTCGTCCTCGGCTTTTCGCTTCTTCTCCCTGCGCCGCTTGTCCCTCTCCAGTATTTCTCTGAGTGCTCCGGCATCGAGGGTGTCTGCTAGGTCGGCTATCCTGCTCGTTCGCTTGTCGTGCAGATCGGACGCCGTTCTGCGATCTCTTTGCGACTCGTGTTTGCTCTTGTGTGATGTGGGTGATGTGTCGATACCGCCATAGTAGTATTGCGTGCCCACGGAGCATCGTATCGTGGGTCGTGGCGAGAACATGTCCAGAGCGCTCACCCGGAACGCACGCGGATCGGAGCTGCCCGACATGGACGAATGGATCGATTCCTCGAGCGGCAGCGAGATGTTGGAGGTGGGACGTTCGAAGCGGTGATTGAGACCGCCCTTGACCTTCTTGCTGTCTCGCCGTAGCATGCTCCCAGAGTTGCCGGCCGGCCGCTTCTGGGGCAGTGGCATGCTCATGGCTCTGATTTCCTCCTCGCGAATGTGATCATGCTCCCTCTTCTGTTTCTTGCTGGACTTGCGCCGAACAAGCGCCGATTCGGTGGCGGGCTTACGCAGGGACTGGGGCCGTTGGAGTTTTCCCCGCTCCCGCGCAGTAGGGAGGCTCGAATGCGAGCCTGCCTGGAAATTGTACGGGATGGCGTGCTGCTGCGAGATGGGGCGCAGGTGCGGGCTCTGCTCGAGACGCTTCTGGTGCGGGAGGGCGGTGATGTCTTCGGCGCTGGAGCGCGGGAGGCCCTGCTCTGTGGCAGCGGGGGCGGCGGGCGGCGGCAGCGTGGGCGAGCTCTTTTCGACGTCGCGCATGGGGGACGAGCTCGTCCGTCTCCGACGACTGCTACGTCGGCTGGCGCGGCTGGTGCTCCTGCCCAGGGGATCCAGGCGCGCAATATCGTGAGTCCGTTTCCTTTCTGCGACAGCGGCGGATCGACTAGCGGTCTTCCCGCCTCGCCGCCCAAACGGCCACATCGGCATTGATGCGGGCGGCCGTCAGCGCGTTGGGCGGGAGGCACGTTGGGTCGGGCGCGCGGCGGGCAGACGCAAACGCAGACGCAAACGTGACTGCGCGAGCGCGGGCGCGGGCGCGGGCGCGGAGCGTGTCGAGAGCGGGTGCTGCTAGCTGGTGTCGCGGCAACGGCAGTACGTCTGCATTGTGGGCGGCAGGGCGGCGGCGGGGCGTCTGACCAAGCGCGGGTCGTCGAGGTGGAGCACAGTGTGAGAGAAGGATCGGGGAGCGTGGGCGGCGGGCGCGCGGTGTGTGTTGTGGGAGTTGTGGGAGTTGGGAGGGATGGGCCTCAGGAGGGCATGCGTGCTGTGATGTAAGGAGGGCCGGCGACGCTTGGTACCCGCGACGCAGGAATCGCTGCGATCACGCCCTCGCCCTCTGGCTGCCCTTGGGACGGCGTCCCGCGCCACGGGCCCGCGCCCAAAATACACCCTTTTCCTTTTGCTCGGGGAATTGCCTGGCCCGTTGCCGTGGCCAGTCCCGTGCGCACATGCGATTCTGCACGCCCTGGCCCAGCAGCTGGCTGTACACGCGCTGCATGAGACACCTCACCGCGACATGGGCAATGGCAATCGCCTTCTGTTCGCCATGTGCGCGCCAGAACGTGCATCCGCATTCCACGGGCCCCTCATGGCAGATCGCAGCGCGACGTCAAACCGCCCAGTTTTCGAGCCCGCGCCAGCCCCTCGACGATCGGTGACGTTCGGGGCGGTGGTGGCGAGCCCTTCCAACGCTACCCGCACACGCCCCCGTCGCCTAGGCACGCCTGTGGCTGCCGACGCGCGAATCCGGGCTGTCCTGGCCGCGCTGCCTCATCACTGCGGACGGCAAATCATCTCCTAAAGGCGGAAGGTTCCTGTCAGCGGCGAACGGCCTCTCATCTCTCGACCAGCCCTCTCAGCCGGTCGTCCAGGCATGATCGGCTCCTCCGCGCACGAGGACCACCGATGCTTGCGCTTGCAGACAATGGTCGCAGCTTTTGCCGGCCGTCGAACGCCAGCATGCCGCCACGCGGAATTGTCCTGCACCTGTCTGCGGAAATCAATATTGCGTCCGCGGGACGTGGAGCCACGTTAGCGGCCAACGGTGAACGCTAGGACAGGTGCACGGAAGACTTCCATCTCGTCCAATCGAACCGCAACCGTCCTGCATCTGGTGAGCTGCATCGTGCTGCCGTCGATAACGCTCTCCAGCTCACCACCGGACATCCACTCAGGTACCCGGCTCTCCAGCATGCACCCCACGGTCGCTGACAAGTCCTGGAGGGCTCTGAGTGGTCCTAGGAGATGCGCTTATCATCTCCCCAGACGAAGTGGCTACGCTCCAGCTGTCGACGACAGCACTGACGCGGAGAGACGCCTGCGTACCATTACTTTTCGTACGTCTTTGCATCCAATCATCGGACGTCTCGCAAATCTTAAGCTGTGCAACTTTCAACATGGACAGCGGAGGTCTTGTGTGCAGTCTGCCGTGCTTTCCGTCCGGTTGACACTGGAGTGCAGCATTCTGGCAGGGTGAGATACTATCTCACCAAGACTCTAACTTTGAAGAACCTTGACAATCCTCTCCTGCGAGTGCTGGCTGAAGATGTTCTAGATCTCGTACCCTGGATCAGAGTGTTTCAGTGAGAGACTGTTTCGCTTGCGCCCGGCTCGTCACGCAAGCATCAGCACCCGTCGGGGAATATGTGCAGCAAAAATAGATCCCTGTTCCATTCGCCCTCGGTACACAGAATGTTCAGGAGCTCAAATACTAATCCTCTTCGCCGCCGGTTGCAACTACTCATCTTCTATAACTATGACAGTCTCGCGTTTCTTCTAACCGACTACTACACCGCCAGGCAGCAGAGCGTTCTTCAGCCGAGTGTCTTCAGCGCCTTGAACGTCGCAAACGTGAAGTTGAACTAAGCGGAATGTAAGCGATTGACGTGGAGAATTGCGCGGAGCTCCATCGTTGTACTGCCTGGAGACGTGTTGGTCTGGGGCACAGCGGTTAAGGGGCACTCACAGAGCAGCCGCTACAGCGACGGTTGGCGAGAAGACGGCAGCTATTACGTGCGCTCAACTTCATTGGCTGCTTGTGGATGGTAACGCCCATTGGGTAACGGCTTATTTTCGCAGTCCTACGGTGGACTGTACACATCAAGGCTTGACTCGGTGAATTCTCGACCTGAGAGTGATGTTCTATGGGGATGGCCAGGAAGGACAGAACTGATGCTCGTCCTGGCCCACCTGGTTTACACAGTATATGGCAGAGGAGACGCACCACTGCCATCAGCATCTCTTAGATCCAAGGGCCTTGCTTCTTCGAAAAAGGGTTACTTGCCGCACTTTCAAAATGTCTGCTCATTTCGCCTTCTCTGTAGATACCTTACACAGTCATTCCTCGTCTGCGTTCAGCATAGCGATATGCATCTCATACAGGTGACGGATGTCTAGCGATTGCTTTTAAGCGAAATCAACTCATCATAACCCGTTGAAGCCACAGAACTCGCGCGGAAGCATTTCACCATCGATGAAAGCACATAGTGCATTCGACAGCGGAGGCACCTGGGCATGTGGTGCGTGATATGCGCTAGTACCATTTCGGTTAGCGGCTCTTCGTACCTGCCTCGCAACCGAGCTTCCTGTAAACAAACAAGAGCCTCAACACCGCATCGTCAGAACGCCCCTTCCACCTCAACATATCGATTGAGATTCGCAAGCAGTAATCGCCCAACAACATGTCGTACAACCCGCGCATGAGCATGGCGCGCAACACGTCCTACAATCAGCGCGCCCCCGCCGTAGAGTCCGACGCCTTCATGACACTGGTATGCGCTCAACTCTGACCCGCCTGCTCTCCCGTTCTGACTTCTCGCAGCCCGACGTCGAAATCGCAGGATGCATCACCGACATTGGCATCAACTTCACCGTCGCGGACCTCCAGAAACCCAACCCCCAGATCATCCAGAAGGTCTTCGAGTGGCTGGCCGAGCTGCTGATGAACACGACGCGCGACGTCGTTGCGCCTGCCATGAGGGCCGCGGCGGACGACGTGGGCGGCCCAGAGGCAGAGAGGCTCTTCACGAGCGACACACGGGATCTGATGGGCTTCTTTGTAATACTGAGGAAGCTCCTGCGCGAGGTAGTGAGTTTCATTATAGCTTCTGGTTGCATTGGCCGAAATGCATTCGTGGAGGAAAAGCAGAATCCCGGCTGACAAGCGCACAGTGCGGAATCCACGACTTCACCTTCCAGGACCTCTATAAGCCGACGCATCCGCGCCTCGTCAAGATCTTCTCCTACATGATCAACTTCATCCGTTTCCGCGAGGCGCAGACCGAAGTCATCGACGAGCACTTCAACAAAGCGCAGCGCACGAAGCTGCGGATCGAGCAGCTCTACGACGAAAAGCAGACTAAGGAGATGCAACTCCTAGACCTCGAGCGCAACCGCGCCGCGACCCAGAAGGTCATGAAAGAGAAGGAAAAGCGCAACGGCGAGCTAAAAACGCGGCTGCTCGAGCTGCAGCAGGCTCAAAAGGCCGTGCAGGAGAAACTGGACCGCGCGAAAGAGGAGCAAAACAGGCTCAAGGCGCTGCTGCAGCAGAAGGTGGAGAACAAGGAGAACGTGAGCCGAGAGGTCTTGAAGTTGAAACCGTACACCCAGCAGAGCCCCACCGCGCTGGAAGACTCCCTGCGCGATCTCAACGACCGGTTGACCGGCGACAAGACCCAAATCGAGACTCTCGATCGCCGCGCACGCGCTCTGCAGACATCGACCGATTCGTTCAACGTCGTGGCGGCCGATGTCACTTCTTGCACGCGTCTGCTCACCGATGTTCAAGCCGATCTCACCAAAGAGGAGGAGGAGCTAGCGAAGGCAGCGCGGCATAGAGACGCACTTGCAGACCGCAGCAACAACGTCCGGGATGTCGAGAGACAGGAGAGGCTCCTGCAGAAGCAGCTCGGCAACGTCAACGCGCGGACAGGGAAGCTGAAAACCAAGGCTGACGAAGAGGCTGAGCGCGCCCGTAAGAGGATGGAAGAGCTGCGGGAGACGCACGCTAAGCTGGCCGAGGAGCGGGGTGAGAAGGGCCGCGAGATGGAGAGGCGGAGGGTGCGCATCGAACAGACGGAGAAGAAGGTATGTCCCCATAATGATAGCTGTGTGTGAGCGACGCAGAAGACTAACTAACCGGGAATAGATGGCTGAGCTCAAAGACAGCATCGAGAACGAGGTGCACGCTGCGCATGACGAGTACATCAAGATGGAGAGCCATATCAAGCTGTACATCACCGAGATGGAGCAGAGTATCTAGGCAAACTATGCGCGCTATATCCGAGTCCCTACTCTGTCCGAAGGGCGCTCTGAACTATGGTGTGGAGATGAGATGATGACGGTGTTTTTTGGGGGGTCGTCGAGGCACTTCAAGCGATGATTACCGGGTTCCCAGACAGATAGATAGATATCTCATCGTATGCTAAATGCATGTCTCCTTATTCTCCCTCATCTTTTCCCCTGCTCGCATCACACGTCTTACTACCGTGTTAAGATATGCTACTCTGCTCTCCTTCCCACACAAGAATCTCAGTCAAACAAACCTCACAGTCAAACAAACCTCACAGCTTAACTTGCACATACACATGCATTCTGGTGAAAAGCCAAAAGAAGTATTTCAATTAAAACCCACGCACCAGAAAAGCTGCTTCACTAAAATCGCACCGAATCTCCGTTAGGCGGCTCCCCCACCGCACTGAACAGCTCACTACTAAAGCTAATCGTCTAGTAAGGAGAAAAGCAGCACCGTGGCTGTAGCTGCGATGTCTACGCTATTCGCTGGCACTGTTCTCAACCCAAGTAGGGGAGATCAAAGCGCGGACTACTCCGGCTAGGACAGCAAGCAGGACCGCCGTCATTAGAGAATAGCAGAAACAAGGCGAGAAAACGGAAGGAGGAAAAGAAACGGAATCGCACAAAGAGTTATTAAACATCCGCGCTGGCAACACCATTGAAGCGTGAAATTATAACAGCGGCATGCCTTCACCCCTCGACGAAAAGTATATCCGTCCAGGGTGAAGCACACACCTTGCCGCAACGAAAAGAAGAAACCGAAGCATCCCCGGTCGACCATCGCCCGTGAACTTCTCACACCACGCTCAAGCCATCTTCCCCTTGCCCTTGCCACTGCCAGTCCCACTGCTCGGGCTAGGACTCAAAGGCGGAAATTCATCCCTCTCCGCCTCCTTTCTGCTCTGCTCCTCAGCAAGACTGAGCTGCAGCGCGAACTCCAGATCCGACATCTCGCCTTCCCTGCTAGACCCCGACGCTGCATTGGCTTTCGACCTAGTTGGGCTGGTCTTTGATTTCGGCGGCGTCTTCTTGCCCTTGGCATATTTGATAGGGATATCGAAGCCTGGAGCGGGCGAGCCAGAGCCATACATGCCTGACGCAGGGCTGTCTTGAAGAGAAAGGCGGATCGCTTCAGCGATGTCGACATCAAACTCTTGGTCGTCGACAGCAGGCGAAGAAGATTGGCCGCGGATGCTAGGCTCGGGCGTGACGGTATCGCTGCTCACAGCACTGCTACTCTTGCTTTCCCTTCGTCGTGCTTGATCCAGCTCATGAGACTCCTGAGAAAGCATAGTGGCATAAGCCAAAGCTTCTTCCTCGCTTCCTAAGAGATCAACCCCAAATCGTCCTGCCATGCGTTCTGCCACGCGATATCGTTCTTGCTTCTCGCGCTCAAGTTCGTGCTTTTCGTTGGCAATGTAGTCCTTGAGATTCACGCGAGCAGTGCTGAATCGCTCACCGGCATTGTTGCTCCCACGTTCTGAACGACGTAGTCGGCGCTTGCTGCTCTTATACTGGTCTGCACCTGAGGAGCTGTAGCTCCAGAAGCGAATTTGGTTTCCGAGAGACACTGCGCCGCGCAGCACGGTCGGGTCTGGATCGAGACAGATGGCTCCAGCAGCGAACATATTGATACCCACGCCTAGTGCAGAAGCTTGAGCTTGCACAAGCCGTCTACGAGCGCGGGACGAGAAGCGCGAGTTCAAGGTTCGTATTGGCTTCATGTCGGACGCCAGAGGGTCCCACGCCTGCACAAGGCCATCGTTCCCACCTATCACAAGATGCAATGCTGTCAAAGCAATGCAAGATATTTCAGGGGATTCCGTATAGATAATCCGGACCGGATCAATGTTGTTGCCGAATTCGGCGCTGCGTGAGACCGGAGCACGAATATCCCACAAAAGAACTATTCCAGTGCTCGTTCCGGCAGCTACGAAACGCGCGCGTTGGCCGGGAATGTCCGCGGGAGATGCAGGCTGGCTAGCAACAGACATTGGTGAAGCGTATGGTGACGATGCTGTGGAAGCAGTTGAAAAGCCAAGCGCCGGGTCTTCAGACATCGTCAGAGTGGCAAACGTAGAACGATCCAGCGCAGTTGTGGTAAGCTGAACGAGCTTGAGCCCACCGAATGTGAGCGTGGAGCATCGCCATTCTTCGACGAGGTTCTCCCTCTCGGGAGAACTGGCGGAAGACATGTATGACGAGCTTCGAGCGCGCTGAGTAGTCTTGCGGTAAGGCAAATCAGGAGTAGCTGTGCCGGAACCGCCAAAGAGAGAAGACTGCTGAAGAATCTGAGGAGTTCCTGCGCGTGTCGAGATAACGCTATTCTTGACGTTCTCGCTCATCTTCCATCGAGTGTACCGCGTGATCTTGGCGACATCGCCTTCCTCAAAGCCACGGTCGAATACCACCATTGCCTCCCCAGCGTAATTACCGTCGTCGCCGGCAAAGTCAACCTCAAGGCGCCTTCTCATGTCCCATCCAAGGCAAGACTTGCGGAAGTCCTTCGGCTGCTTCCATAGGAACTTCTGAATCTCCCTGGTCTCGGCTAAGACCTGCTCTTTGCTCAAGCACATACCGTCCCATGACTGTCGTGGCGAATAGCTTCCGTCAGTCTCGACATCGTTATACGGATCGGGTCGCGCCGTTCGTCTACTCGGTTCGACAAGGTTCCAGTAGACACTCCGTCCAGTAAGCCACGCGAGATACTCCGTGTATTCGTTAATATGACCCTTTGGCGCTTGACTGCGGGTCGGAAACTTGGTGAGGTAAAACACTTCACCAAGGGCGTTCAAAGCGACAGCCCAGATGCGATTCTGGGCTTGCCTCTTAAGAGAATAGTTCTCGTCGACTGTTATGGCGACAATGGGCACACCAGGGCTAAGGACCCAGCGAGCAGTAAGCTCGCCACGCTGCAATCGGACCCCACGCAAGCCATCAGTGCCGAGGCTACAGGATGAGACTACGCCAGCTGCAGAACCCATGAGGAGTCCAATGAGACCTTCAGAAAGCGAAGGAATGGCGTTGGACTTTGCAGCCCACACGCAGCAGATGGCGCCGCCGTCAATGCCAAGCTTGGGAATGCCGGCTTCGAGCATCGAGAAGTCCGTAGGTTCGGCAACGAAGCGACCACGCTGCTCATCGGTGGCGCGATAATAGCATGAGCCCTCGGAACTGCCTTGGCCGTACACCATCCCATATGGCACGGAAACGTCCATGACATTAGGGCATCCCACTACCTCGCCGGGACCCAATCCCCATTCGGCTGTTCCAGGAAAGCGTTCGGAGAATTGGGCGTAGAAATTAGGGTCGCTTTGACCCCATGGATCTACCTTGCCGGTGGTGGGATCGCTCGCAGTCGCCATACCGACATCATCAGCCCCGTGGATCAGCCGGGGCACCCGCTTGTTCAGACCCAATCCGAATGTTGCATGGATGTGATTTATAGTCGTGAATGTTTGAGCATTATACATGGTGACAGGCGCATTAGTCTGCGTTTGTCCGGATCGCGCTGCAGTAGAGGATTGGACCTGGACGGGCTTCCCTCTGGTAAAGGAGCGCAAAAGCCTAGTTCGGAGAATATATTCGCTTCGCCAGGATGCCAGCGCAGTAAGCCTCGTAAACGACCGCTTCTCTGAGCGAACCGTATCCCCTGCGTCATCAATAGCGAGCCGAACCCCCTTGTCAACAAGAGCCTCGGGTCCGGGAAAATAGCGGTTGAAGGCTGCGCGCCAGGCGTGCGGCGTGGTGACTAGGCCACTGAAGCGTTTGGAGACGAGCGAGACGGCCGCAAGATCGTTCGGGGACAAGTGGGAGAGAGCGTGGGTCAGGACTTCTGGGAGGACGTCAGCAAATGATAACTAGTGACCACAATTTGCGAGAGCCAAAGAAACCCCTAGGGCTATATCCTCAGAGAAACCAACACTTTCTCATGGGGTTCCCCAAAACACGAATTCGACTCACCATTCGGTAGCTTGGCAATCGAGCAGCTCTTGTCATCGGGCTTCCGGTTCGATTTGACAACCTCAAAAGCCGGCCCTTCAGATCTCTTCCGGGCAGATTGAACCAAAGAGTTCTCATATTCTGCAATCCTATTCTTCGGCGACGGCGAACCGGGACTCAGTCGCGAGGCTCCACCCGTATCGCGCTCGCGGCTGCCCGTACGTGTCCCCTCGCGTCCGGAGACGCTCGGGGGCGACGGCTCTCTCCGCTCCTCATGGTGGCGAGGGAGTAGAGAGGCCGGCTGATCATCATCGTGGAGTCCATGCTGGAGGGAGGAAGAGTTCTCGGGGGCAATTTGTTGGGCTGAAACGTTTTGGGATTCGTTTGAGGGCTCTGGTTGCATAAAAAGTTGGGGACGTCGAGTGGGTGTTCGCAGTTGACCGAGCTCGTAAGTGCTGCTCAGTCGTGATCTGTGGGCTTTGCACGCTGTTGGAGGTCGTTGAGTGGTGTTGTTGTTGGGAGAGTAAGGGTCGCGAGTTTTAGATGGACCTTTGCCAAGACCACGTAAGCGATATGACGATAGCCACTTTGGGTATTGCAGGGGCTGCTCCAACGTTTGCTAGCGGGTGAAAATAGAATTACCAGCAAAGGACGTTTGATATTTCCAAAGAGCTAAAGCAACACCGCTAGCGGTGGAAGTACATTCTGAGCAGCTAGTCATACAATGCGGCGTATCCGGAAGCCGCGAGATGTGAAATGAGGCAGACGTCACAGCACAGCACACATTATACAGTTATGAACATTTCTGTAAGCTGAAGTACCTGGGCATGTACGAGACCGACGATACATCTATTCCCGATGATCATGGTACATAAAGTCTTGAGTAAGCCACCACATTTGTCCGACAGCAGACACACGTAGTGTAGTTCTTCGATGCCAGTCCAACCCGGCAGTCATCACACAATGATAGACAGCCACATGGCCAAACTAGCACAGTGCGAGGGCTCAGCTGACACACGACGCACTGTGGCCCTTCCGAACCCATGCCTTCAGCGCCAGTATCCCAGGTGCCGGCGGTGCTGGTGCCTTGCGCTCCTGAGGCGTTGCGGCGGTTGAGGATAAAGTCCTCTAGAAGTTGCTCTTCCTCTTCTGGCGTCATGTGTACGCTGTCTGGGAAACCGTCCATCCGGTAGCGCGAGGTAGTCAGGATCTTGGCCTCATCACGCTCGAGGACCTTCCGGTACTGCGACCGCGTCAGGACGCCTGGGCTCTGGAGATGGCGAGCTAGCAATTTGGCTTCTTCTTTGTCCTCATTGGTCTTTGGATCGAGAAGATGAGATAGGCGGGCCAGATCGACCATGTTTTCAGGCACTGGTGTAGACTCTCGGCTGCGTTGGTATGTATTCCGGGTTGGTGTGCGTTGGCCATCTCCCATATCTGACCACTCATCGTTATCAGTGCTCGTGGCAAACGACACCACGCTTGCCGTGTCGTCGTCCTGGAAAGGAACGTAATCGCCGCTGGTGTCTACATCGCCCCATTTGCCGCCACCTTTCCACCAATTGTAAAGGTATTCGGTAAGATGCTCTTCAGAATCTTGGTGACTAGTGTTCTCACGATTACTGTTCCTGCGTAGCCTTTCTCTTGCAAACGCTTCGACATCAAAGGTGTTATCAGGGCGGACGCGAGTCTGCTCGTCAATGAGAAGCCACGGCTCCGACGCTGTCCAGCTTCGAGCATTGGCAGACGCGGAGTCAGGAACATGCGGCTTCTCGTTTGCGCGAGGTCCGGCAAGACGAACCAGCCATCGCGGATTGTAAGTGATCCGTATCTTTTGCAGCAACGCCATTATCAGCCTGGCTTGGATAGCCACCAGCAGCTTAGAGATCCCTTTCAGGAATTGGTAAGTCAAAGTCCAGCGACCGCGGCGCTGTTGAAGACCAATGCCGCTGTCTCGTCCGACAGCTCGAGAAGCATCCGAAGCCGGATTTGTCCCTCTAGTCTTTCGTTCGCGCGCATAGCCGGATGCAGAAAGCGGAGTCGGCACATCAGCGTTGAGCCTATCGGTGACCTCAACTCCTTCGGCTAACAGATCTCCGCGCAGCTCAGACGGAATGCTAGCCAGATTCTGCCGGAACCTCCTTCGGCGTGCGAGGATGTCTTGGAGCTTCTTCTTCTCCAGCCAAGTCATAGAATGCACATTGATTCGGGTCCCTTCGTTGAGGTAAACCGCCTCGCTCGCCGCCGTCAGAACCGTAAACCCGATTTTGAGGATAGCAGTGTAGAAGTCCTCATTCCAGTTGATGGTCAACGGAGTGATTGCCGATAAGTGGATATTGGCGTGAAGATTCGCATACGCAACGGCGCATCGTTCTCTCCATGAAAGACTGCTGGGTTGGCCGGGTGGAGGGGACAGAACCGTAAAGCCAAAGGCGAGGAGATATATGAGTCCGCAAGCTGCTATACCCACGAGAATAAGAAGGTGGGGGATGAAGCCCACGATGCAGACAGTGGGAAACCTAAGAATGCCCACTTGCTGTTCAGGTTCGGTCGCCATAGTAGCAAATCGGTAGAAACTCCATGCAAAGGTAGACATGTACGCGAGCCCCCATATGCCCGTCGTGACCAGTCGGAATTTGGACCGGTGACCAGTAATGGCAAGGAAATTACTTGTGAAATGACTGAAGCTTGATATCAATGATATCAATAGAACTTCGGTGGGTACGTTTGCGAAAGCCGATAAGGTTGCCCGACCGACGGCAAGCGATGTACCATCAGGTGTGAAGACAGACCTCGGCTTGTAGAAGCGGATCGAATCGAGTGTTATGGGCCGGGTTACGACTGCCTCAGCTTCCGCAAAGGCAAGTGAGTGCTCGAAGATGGTCATGCCAACCTCCTGAATCGGCTGACGTCCCTGCAAGGCACAAGAGAGGGTCTCTACGAACTGGCCAAAGCCAAGCGAGATAAAGAGGGGCCAGAGCAGCGCGAGAGACCCCGCTGGTCGTGGTGCGCTGGGATCCATAGGAAACATCCTCACCGCCCTGCAGGAGTCTTCCAGGTCTTCCCAGAAAAGTAGGGCTGAGCTAGCTCGCCATAGGAAGCCGCCTTCTCCGCCGAAATCCGTGTCCAGCTGTCTTCCTGGGGCCCCGTATTGCATTTCGGACCAGTTCGGCGATGTCTGGCACCGAATGGCTTGGAGGACGGTGTGTATCCGATAGAGGAAGAGGATCATCGGGGCTAGGTACAGGGCGATGCGCAGGTATACGCGGTCGAAAGAGAGCGGTACTCGGCTGGAGGCATAGAAGTGGGTGCGGTTCAGCAGGATTGCCTACGGGGCCATAATTAGTCTAGCAATAGGGCGTATGCACGATGTTGGTCTCACGATTGTGAACGTGGCAATCGCCCATTTCGAGGTGATGTAGCTAAAGAACGAGCCCACGTTCTTCAGCGCCTGGAAGACGCCCATGTCGTCCTGATTGCCCGCAGCCGAACTGGCTGCCGCCACAAAGGATTCCTGGACGAACTTGCCCGAAGTCGTAGCGGCGGTCGCGTTGGTGAGATTGGCTGCGGTCGGTTCGGCTATGATGCTGCCTCCGGACCGGATCTTGCCAAAGACGCTGTCAATGTGTTCTCCCAAAGCGCCGGCCTTGGAAAGAAGACGGGGAACGGCCAAGAGGAGGTCCGCCGGGGACGGCAAGAAGGAAGTCACGTTGGCGAGCGACGAATAATGCGTCTGTTCCATAGCGGGCGCAGAAACTTGGTATCCACTCTCAGGCACGCGACGGTCGGGTTTGCGGTGGAGGCAGCCGGAATGAGGTCATAGTTGGTGTCTATTGAGTTTGATGCATAGCTGCTCCACTGTCGTGAGGCTACAGCCAGAGCAAGCGGAAACAGTGAGCGGGCGACGACTGTTGTAAAGCTGCCAGGAAGTCGTCATCCTTTCCGGCGTGAGCGGAGCGAAGTCACGGACGAATCAGGTACCGAGGCTGCGCTAGTCCATCCGAAGCCATCCCACCGCACCTGGCGCCATACTCCAGACATCATCGCCACCATATATATGTGAACAAAATTCGGAAGCAAAACAGATCCGCCGCGAACATGACCATCTCAGAAGCATTGTGCGTCTCTCCGGCGCTCACCGGCGCTCACCGGCAGCATCCCTGGAGTGCAGATACCCAAGCCAAACCCTTCCTTCACGTTGCTGCCAATTCGTGGGAATTGTCTTCTATTCAAGGCCCCTAAGTGTCCTTCGGAAAGTTCCATCGCTTGCTAGGGCTTCGTTTTCTGCTTGCCAGGCTGCGTTATCATCCCCCCCTAGAAAGTCCAGTCCAGATTCCCACTGCTTCCGGTCAATGCATCACCGAACCATAACGAACTCCATCTTCGGAAGCCAATAGCCATTGATATGGCTCGGAAACACTCATCTCGTTCTGGTGTATACAAGCTCATTCCAGTCTCCCTTGGACCCAGACGCGCTTCACACGCGCTTAATTCTGGAATCACGGCGAGGAATGCGCTCGACTCGCACAATAAGAGCACCGCTCCCTCAGAGTCTCGTTCCTCACTCTCATTTTGTCTCTCTTTTGCTTTCGTCTGCTTACTAACCCCATCGTTCACGGCTCACACTTGTCCAGTCATTACAAACCTGCTCTTGTCCACTCGTTGACTCTGCACGTTATCTGCTTTTTGCTCCCTTGTTTTACTCTCGTCTTTGCTTATCCACTTGTATCAATCAATTTCGATCCGCTACCCACTGACACGCTCGTTTCGATCCCCAACTATGAAGAACGCCATCGGCTACTTCATAGCCGGGGCGGCTTTGCTCCCCGAGCTTGCTCTGGCGCAAAAAATTATCCCAACTGTCCTTCCTACTTATTGGAGCTACAAGGGATGCTACAGGTTTGGAACTCATTTCACCTCCCAGACAACCCTAGCTGACGTGCTAATAGCGATTACGACTGGAATCTACCCGGAGATCGCGCTCTGACGTTCCTCGGTCCCATGAAGAATCCGAACAGCGGCTGGTACTGCACCACCTACTGCCAGGGTTTGAACTTGAACTACACATACGCTGGCACAAACGACAATCAGTGCTGTACGTTGATGCGTTGCGAGAGGTTGATTGTTAGCTTACTTCTTGTACAGGGTGTGACACGGCCATCAACAAGAACGGCACTACGACTTACGGCCAAGTGATGCCTAGCACCGACTGTACTGGTAATGGTACCCTGGTTACGAAAGGTTGTCGTGGGAATACAACGGAAGCGTGCGGCTCCCAGAGGAGCGCAACCACGCCAGTTCGGCTCTCCATTTATGAATACAAGCCGGTAAGTGATTTCATATATGCCTGTGTGCTCATGCTCTATGCTTTGCTTTATTTTTTTTTGTTCCATTTGGTCCGCTTGGGATGTTGGAAAGACTGTCAAGAGTGGAGGAGGACGAAGGGATCTCCCGGAAGCATCTGACAGAATGGTATTCTCGGGGGCCACGCGCGGCGGCTGGGAAGGACGGGTATTGGAGGAGCAAGGCAAAGAGAGTATGGTGGCTTGCGCAGCAGATGGTGTGCTTTGTCACGGGTGCGATGTTGGGGATGCTGGGGCTTGATGAGAGGTCCGCCAGGGTTTCGAGGAGAAGAAGCCCTGTCAACCGCATACATACCTCGGAGGAAACCGCAATACTATAATACCACTGCACAGCCGTACTCTGACTTCCGCAATGGCACTGATCTGAACTGTATTCCTAAGCTGCAGGATCATCCTAACAGGGCAGCTGCACGGGGATTGGTAACATCAAGACACCTCGCAGCCATCGACGGCAGAACGACGTAAGACCGCAGCCCCGTGACCACGTATCTGCGCGTCGGCCCAGCGCGCCCTGCCATTGACTTTCTAGTTGCTTATAAATGCAACGCGTGCCCTCACCTTTATTATCTGGTGATTCAATGATACTGAGCGTTTCAATCAGCGCTTCTACAGTAACCTCAATCTGAGAAACTTCGGCAACAGTGAACGACGCCAATGGCTCAGACCAATCGACCAGACAGCATCTCAGGCGGCTGCCTCTGCGGCGCGATACGCTTCACAGTAAACTTCCCCAACGAATCCGACTGGCCACCCAAAGGCGTATGTTCTTCCCCTTCTCGTTGCCGCATCTCCACTGCTAACTCCGCAATATACGAGAAGAACGGCGTCTGCCAATGCACCATGTGCCGTAAACACGGCGGCTCGCTCCTCCCGCAAAACTGCTCCTTCCCACTCTCCCACATCTCCCCACCACTCTCCTCAAACCCCACCTACAAAACCTACGCGTCCGGCCCGCACACCGAGCGCGGCTTCTGCAGCACTTGCGGCAGCGCGCTAACCTTCAACGACAAGCGTGACGATGCCCTCGAGATCAACCTCGGCGCCTTCGACGAGGATGTGCTGTGCGGGAAGCGCGATGAGGCAAATGCCTGGGAGGACGAGTATGGAAGGCATGTGCCTAGGACTGGGGGCTGGGGGCATGAGCTGGCATTCCCGCAGTATCATATTTTCGCGGAGAATGAGGTACCCGGGGTTACGGATGGGTTTGAGGGCGTGAAGTATTTGATGGATAGGAAGGATGCGAAGGGGTTTAAGGGGAAGGCGAGGGAGTTGAGGAGGGCGTGAGGGACGAGGAGTCAGACCAGGTGTGGGTCGATTTGAGGGGCGTTTGGCGTGCTTTAGGGTGAGGAGACTGATGCGCACTTCCTGCGGTCGAAACTCGGGAGGACCGTACAGCTCGAAAGATGACTCTTATTGCGAGAAAAATCCATACTGAATTCCTGGGGTCATGATAGGATTTATAGCTTGCCACCAAGAAGGAATATGGCCTCTAAGGCTGTCTTCCTACCCTAAGTTCGCGTTCAACGCGTATTTTTCACGGCGATAGCTTTCAATTGACCTTGACGACATCTCTTTGAGTCACAGAGCGGTATGCTGTGATCATATGCAAACAGGAAGGGCGTGTTCCACAGTCCAGGATCAATTCAGATGCTGCATGACGCCAACTCCACAAAACCCTCTCGGAAGCAGGGCCGCAGACTCTGCAGCTTGCGGGCGGTGAACGGGTTCTGCCGAACTTCATCAATTCGCAAATTGTCATTTGACAGAGCTGTCGCTGCGGAGAAGCCAGATAGACTTCTCCGGACAGGGCGTGCATGACGCTCCAGGGCTTGCAGCGCTCGCGTGAGAAAACCTTTCGCAAGCCAGCCATTTCCCCGCCTTCCACAATCGCGCGGACCGCTGAGTGGCCCCTGCCGCCCTTCAAGCCGATCGCGGCGCGCTTTCATCATCGTAAAACCAGCCCAGAAGAATTTTGTGACCTTGACTCACCAGAGAACTCTTCAAATACGCCGTCACCCCCACCAAAGTTTTTGCTTCCCCATCCCTACTTCCCAACTGCGAAAAATGTGTCCTCCGGTCGAAAACGCGCCTGTCAATGGCACTCAGACGAACGGGCACACCAACGGCACTGTGAACGGCAGCCATCCAGGGTTTTCTGGCATTTCGACTCCGCATAACCCGCATCCGCACAAGTCGTCACCGTACCACCCTGTGGGCGACTTCTTGTCAAATGTCTCCCGCTTTAAGATTATCGAGTCGACACTAAGGGAGGGCGAACAATTCGCCAAGTGGGTCCTACTTTGTCCACGGCTATTGTGCGTTCGCTAACAGCGCTCCAGCGCCTACTTCGACCTGGACGCCAAAATCAAGATAGCCAAGGCATTGGACGAGTTTGGTGTAGACTGTATGTCTCCATGCTGCATTAAGCCGCACCAATTGCATATGCTGACCGCTCTTTGACCAGACATCGAACTTACGAGCCCCGCTGCGTCCGAGCAATCGCGCCGCGACTGCGAAGCCATCTGCAAACTCGGCCTCAAGGCCAAGATCCTCACTCACGTGCGATGCCACCTCGAAGATGCCAAAATTGCAGTGGAGACAGGTGTGGACGGATTGGACGTGGTCATCGGGACGTCGTCTTATCTTAGAGAGCACAGTCATGGCAAAGACATGACTTACATCAAGAATACCGCTCTTGAGGTCATTGAGTTTGTAAAGAGCAAGGGCAAGGAAATCCGGTTTAGCTCAGAAGATTCGTTCCGATCAGACCTCGTTGATCTGCTGTCCATCTACAGCGCCGTGGATAAGGTTGGTGTAAACCGTGTGGGTATCGCAGATACGGTGGGCTGCGCGTCTCCTAGACAAGTATATGATCTTGTCCGCACACTGAGGGGTGTGGTTTCGTGTGATATTGTAAGTCTCCGAAGCTATGAAACTTCTGTCCGCAAAAACGGGAATTGGAAACAAAGCTAACGATTTCTAGGAAACGCACTTCCACAACGACAGCGGGTGTGCGATTGCCAACGCCTACTGCGCACTTGAGGCAGGTGCTACGCATGTCGACACCTCCGTTCTGGGTATTGGCGAGAGGAACGGCATTACACCCCTTGGGGGCCTGATGGCCCGCGTACGTGGAAATCCACCAATGCATTAGCTCACTCAGGCTGACCCGATCCAGATGATCGTAGCCGACCGCGACTACGTGCTCAGCAAGTACAACGTCAAGAAGCTCAAGGAAGTCGAGGAGCTCGTGGCAGACCTGGTCGAGGTGAACATTCCGTTCAACAACTACATCACCGGTTTCTGCGCTTTCACCCACAAGGCCGGTATCCATGCTAAAGCTATCCTTAATAACCCATCCACCTACGAGATCATTTCCCCGGCCGATTTCGGCATGTCTCGATACGTGCACTTCGCCAGCAGGCTCACTGGCTGGAACGCTATCAAGAGCCGTGCTGATCAGCTTGGTCTCAACATGACCGACGCGCAGTACAAGCAATGCACCGCCAAAGTCAAGGCCATGGCGGATGTGAAGAAGATCACGCTCGACGATACAGACGATATCATCCGAAGATTCCACCACAACATCAACAACGAGGAGGAGAAGCCTCTGTTGCCAAATTTGACCGAGGAGGAGCACGCCAAGTTTCTGCAGGCAGAGCAGGAGCTCAACGGCGAGAAGGAGAAGCGCCAGCTCGACGCCACCGCTGATGCCGAGGCTGCGGTGCCTGCCGCTAAGAAGACGAAGACAGTAGCTGTGTCATAGGGTTGAGCATCAACGCATTTGGGTACTTGGAGTTCTGTGCTTTGCTTTCATTCGGATTTTAGGCATATGCATTCCGGCCACGGAAAAGTTCCTCTGTTTGATACCTCACCTCGCTGATGTCTGTGCAGCCTGGTATAGTTGGGTATATAGAACGCGCCATTGTGAACATACACGAAGAGCCAAAGGAAATAAATACTATTCATGATATCTCCAAATCTGCTGGGACTATTCTTCGATTAGCGTGGTGTTGGATAATTCCGGTAGCTTCGCATAAACGATGCATGTACCTGCTGGCCTGAGACCGGACTGGCACGTGACCCCGCGCGCCACTCCGTTCCAGGGGTCTCGATCTGCAAGGTCCCTTTTTGATAGCGCTTTGTTTGGTCAATTGCCGCTTCTAACCCCAACAACCCACCTATTTCTCCTCCACCACCTCACATTTCGCACCTGCTCTCTTCAATTCCAGTACGCAGTCATGAGTACTACCCTCACTGTCACGCAGGCGCCCGCAATTACTGCGGAAAACGTCTTGCGCCTCTTCCCCGAAGTCAACACCACCCTCATTGGGGCCTCGCACAATTCCGCCACCGCCGACGACTCGCTGGAGGGCTACGATGAGGAGCAGATACGGTTGATGGACGAGGTGTGCATCGTCCTGGATGAGAATGACATACCCATCGGGAGCGCGAGCAAGAAAGTTTGTGAGTCGGGGCGGGGGTAAATGCAGCTCGCCTTGAAGCATGGCTGCGTTCTTCTGATAATATCTGCTAACGCCATTGTAGGCCATCTCATGGAGAACATTGACCAAGGGTTGCTCCATCGCGCTTTCTCCGTCTTCCTCTTCGACTCCCAGAACCGGCTGCTTCTCCAGCAGCGCGCCACGGAGAAGATCACTTTCCCCGACATGTGGACGAACACCTGCTGCTCGCATCCCCTCGGCATACCAGGAGAGACCGGTGTAGGTCTGGAGGCGTCGGTGCAGGGAGTGCGACGCGCGGCGCAGCGGAAGCTGGACCATGAACTGGGCATCCAGGCTGCGCAGGTGCCTCTCGACAAGTTCCGGTTCCTCACGAGGATACACTACAAGTCTGCGAGCGATGGAAAATGGGGAGAGCATGAGAGTGGGTGAGCCGGAACTGTAGCGTGAAAATGGGGCTAACGTGTCGTAGTTGACTACATCCTCTTCATCAAGGCCGACGTCGACCTCAACGTCAATCCCAATGAGGTCCGGGATAGCCGCTACGTTTCGCAGGACGACCTCAAGGCAATGTTCAAGGATACGTCGCTCAAGTTCACTCCGTGGTTCAAGCTCATCTGCGAGGGCATGCTCTTCGAGTGGTGGGACCATCTAGACTCTGGTCTGGAGAAGTACATGGGGGAGAAGGAGATCCGGCGGATGCTGTAGCCGCTATTCGGCCTATGATTTAAAGAGTAAAGAGATGAGCGCACCCTCTTGTTTCATATGGATTTACCATCGCGGCTCTCGGAGCGGGTACACGAGAGCATCGCGATTCCATTGGTCTGGACAGAGCCCCGATTGCAACGCACTATGCATGCACACATAATCAAGTTTTCGAAGATAGATACCATGCCGCGATCTAATACACCCATCGATCAATTCGCTGCTCCCCACGTGGCTAGTCATGAACTGCAGTGGCTCTATCAAAGCATGCATGAACCTCGCCGTTCTCCTATCATTATGCTGTGGTGACCTACCATCGCCTTTGACGTGGCAGGCGATCACTGCAACCCCGCAGAACAGCCGTTTGCAGTCAATTGTCGTGAGACGAGGTCCTCTTGGGCCCAATCGCAAACTTCGTTGCGGAAGCATTCCGATTAGCGTCAGCAATTGCCCGAGCTCTGGCCTGGCAAGTGTGAGGCGCTGCTGGGAGACCCTGCCCGATCAATTGTCAGCTAGCCGTATCAGGCAAGTACTGCCGAGCACAGGCGATCCGTATCCGCCCACCCCACACTTTCTGACCAACGCCGCGTGCTCCTCTGTGAGACTCCGCTCTGGACACGAGCGCTGCCGTCGTTCGCCGTCCAGCTTGTCATCGTTTATGCGTGTCTCTGTTCAGCTACCTCAGCATTTGGACCCCTTGTGAAGCCGCAATGTGGCAGTGACATCAAGCCGCCAGGATCCGAGGACGACGCTGAGATGCAGTGACAGGTTGTCACCAGTGAATGTGTAGCAAGCTAATTGTCTGGGTCAGGGCCCGCCGTTAGCATGGCCTCCACCTCTGTCGGGAGGCGTTACGGCCGGGACAAGGGTTGGGGCGGAGGATATATCAGTCACGGCTCCCCGTCTTGAGTCTTTCAAGGAACCATCCAGCATCTCCTTGCGAAACGCTATCTTCTCCAGTCGTCCCATTGCACCAACCGCTTCTCTATCTTTCTCTACCCCCACGACGCACTGTTCCGCTGCAGCCGGCTAGACCGACAATCCTTCATTGTCCTCTCCACCTCACTGCATTGGAATAAGCCAAGACATTGTACAAAGTCCTATCACTGGGTCTTGTGACAAGCCTCGCCTACAGAAAAAGCAAGGACCGACGCTTCCCGCAGCCATACATTTACATCCACAACTCTCTCCCCGCACGAAGCTGCACTTCGATAACACCTCGAGCGCATTGCCAATCCCAGGAAGCCGCATTGATCCCACACCCCGAACGCAGCCTCCTCACTCAAGGGCAGCTTACATAGCTCTCTCCTATTGATGTCGGTTGATATCCGTCAAGCATTCACTTCATTACGATTTCCCGCTCGAGTCGAAACTGTCTCGAGATCGCAGCTTTCAAGAGTCCACACGGGAGATAGTAATCGTCCCGAGGATACTTGAACATTGATCCCGTTGCAAAAGGTATACTATAGCAGGCAATCGAGGCCACGAATCCTGCTCCACCCGGCTGCCATCTTCGACAATCAGACTAATTGCAGTCCAGCAGTGTGATTTGAACTGAAGGCTTCCTCTACAGATACCCGGTTCAAGTGACATACACCCACGGCGACTGGGCCTCGTCTCACAACAACACCTTCACGCTGGCTTATTACACGGCTGTCCCTATCACCAAGAGAAGCGGCAGATCCCACATCAATACTAGTAGTAAACCTCGAGCGACACCGCAATCATGGCGAAAACCATTGCCCCCGTCGCCGTCACTTTGGTCGAGTCGAAATCATCCTTGAAGTCTGCTAACGTTCAGGTCAATGATGTTCCCACCAGTTTCAGACTCCTGCAGCAGAAGCCCACTGTGTCCGTGGTCCCTCCCCCAACTGATGGCGTCCGCATTGTCACAGCTGCGGAGTACAAGGAGGCGGCTGCCTGCCTGGCCGAGGCTTTTGCTGAGGATGATGTAGCTCGCTACTTCATTGATGTGCCTGATCGTGCGCATTGGACCGAGGAGGAGAAGTGGGATCTCCATGTCGAGATTCTCGAGTATGTCACCTATGCTCACATCTTGAAGGGGCTTGTGACTACGATCGGGGACTTTGACGCGGTTGCGCTGTGGTAGGTCTTCCGAGCCAGACCTGATGCCGGTATATACTGATAGGTACAGGATGCCGCCAGGCAAGAACATGGACGACTTCCTGACCATCCTCCGCTCCGGTATGTGGCGTCTCAATTACAGACTGTCGGCCGAGGGCAAGCGTCGTTTCTTCAACGAGTTCCTCCCGCTCCTCCACGACACCAAGCACGCTACGCTCGGCGACCGCGACGACGACAGCTGGTACCTCGTCTACATCGGTACGAAGCCGAGTGGGCGCGGGAAGGGATACGCGCGCAAGCTAATCGAGCATGTGACCAAGCAGGCGGACCGCGAGGGTAGGGCAGTCTATCTCGAGTCTAGCAACGAGAAGAATCCGCCCATCTATCGCCGGTTCGGCTTCGAGGACCGTCGCACGATTCACCTGCAGCGTGCGGAGAAGAACGTGCAGCTGGACATCATGGTCAGGGAGCCGGCTGCGCAGGAGAAGAAGCTTGGGAGGAAGCCGTAGTCTGGAAGGAGGCCAGTGCCCGCTAGAGAGCCTAAGAGCGCCGCTTCAACAGGATAGCTCTTGATGAATAGTGTTGGCCATGGAAGGCCCCCAGGAGGGATATACAGGATTTCTTCAACAGAGATCAGAGGCTGTTTGACGCTTCCCTTGACTTTGTAACTCCGCTCTTTCAATGCTATATCAGTATCCAGGAATGAGGGATCCATATATCAGAATTGTCCCCCGCAACGTTGCCGTGCATGCCCGGGTCGTTCTAGCAGAAACAGGGGTCTGGCGATCGACGAAACGGTCGTGGCCAACTGCGACTCTAATACTGCTTCACGTCCGGTGGATTGCAGGACGCGTCAAATAGCCGGCCGTCGCACCTTCCGGTGTCTGAAGACCTCGGGCTCCCTCCCCGTTCTTTTGGTAAAAGCGATGGACACAGGCAGTGATAAGAGGGCGTGAGGTGATAAGGGGATTTGGCGACTAAATTGAATGGAGGTGGCTCAGCGCGCACAGGGCCAGGAGCTGAAGATTGCGGTGTGGGTATGTCGTGCACCAACGCCGCACCTGGGCATGAAACGCTGTCGTCTCCAGATCGCATCCCCTTTGCAAACTTTGCTCACTCTTTCGCATCCATCTTCTCCGCCCGCTCTCTCGCCCACTCCGTTCTATTTGTCCGCCGTCACTTCTCGCCGCAGCGTTCCCTTCGTCTAATCGATAACCAGTCCCCGCCAATCTCACCCCGCAAGCCTCCGAACGCGTCAGGGACCTCCTCCCCCGTGTCAGGCTGCCAGCACATCAACCCGCGCAAAATTTGCACCTTCTGCCCACCCACGTATCACCACCGGCGCCTGTCGCTGCCTCCGTCCATCCCTCACGATGCCTCTGCAGCGACGTTACTCGGTCACCGGGCAGACGCCGCCAGACGATGTGGGAGCCATGAAGCCGCACTCGTCGCCAAAACTCCAGGCGCTGGACACGAGCGTGCAGACGACCAGCTGCGGCCTCTGCGAAGGCGGGGGCGACGCTGCTAAGACGGGCACTGCTTCCTCGGTCGACGACGCTGCGGGTGAAGGCGGAGGGGACCGCGGCCGCAGAATGGCTCACCACACCGCAGTCCGGACGTCGTCCAAACGATCCGCAACGCAACTGCCCTCGCCCAACACGCCGTCTTCGCATGAGCTGCCCACCAAGATCGCCCGCTTAGGCCTCGAGCACGATGACATGGAGGTGGATGAGGGCTGTCTCACGGACCCGTTTCCTGAGGACAGCGACTGGCCTCATTCCTCCTTCGACGACAGCTCCTCGGCGTCTGCACCGCCCTCGCCCGTCTGGGCTCCCTCGAGCCTGCCCGATGAGCCCATGGTAGAGCCGTTGGAGCTGGAGGGACTAGATGAAATGGTCGTGGAGGACCTCGCGCTGTCACCAGAACCCACGACCGACGACTACTTGCCCACCACGCTCCTCACGCTCCCGCCCGAGCTACGCCACCAGATCTACCGCCACCTGCCCGACCTCGTCCTCCCGTACCCGCTCATATACTGCCTCTCGACCTTTGCAAACAACATGCAGCACCCGCTAGCCTCCGTCTCGCGCCTCATCCGCTCCGAAGCCCTCGCCATCTTCTACAGCTACAACACTTGGATCATCAAGCTTGAGTTCAAGATGATGTATGAAGCCTTCCAGGACTGGATCATCAGGCTCGGCGAGGGAGCCGGCTTGCTCCGGCTGGTCACAATCGCAGTTAGGGGCCGGTTGTTCAAGCCCAAGACGAGCCATGCTAGCAGCATCAACATCAATGGGCAAATCCTGCAGATTCCTGGATTGCCGGGTGCCGTGCCTGTTGAGGAATATCACCCCCCAGATGGTGATGCAAGCTTCAACATTGATCTGAGCGAGAAATACCCGGGCGGGAAGGTCGAGCTCGTGCGCAATGACGGGACGAAAGGGGCGGGAGAGGATGCGAGGAAGTTCCTTGCGAAGATGGTCGAGGGTCTCTGGGAAAAGAGAAGGACGGGCACGCTGAATGGGCAAGACTGGGTGAATATGGTGGATGCCTTTCTCGCCTTCACCGGGTGGTGGTGATGCTCAGCTGTCACGCCCACCCATCACAACAAAATCTCCAGATGCGGGTCCAATTTGTATTGTAGGATGTCCAAGGGCTAAGTCTGCGTTTCGGATACTGGTTCACGTAATGCTGCATTTCTTGCAAGGCGTTACTGGAAGAGAAAGGGAAGCATGTCTGGTAATTGTTTCATTTGCGTTAGGCTATCACAGCTTGGAGTCTTGCATTTCTGGTGCAGGTCGGACGGCATGGCATGGCATGGTAATACGTTTTCTCATGGTTATGGTTTATATACCCCTTTCCCACTTCACTCCTCCGTTCGGCGTGTGACACTTTTTTTTCACTCTCATCAAGCTCTCTCTCACCATCTTTCCCTATAAGCTGCTGTATGCGAGTCCGAGGTCTCGCGGCTTGCTAGTTCTACGGACGGTTCGCCGATGCAGATCTCTACCAGGATGTTTCGAAGCCGCCTTGCAAAGCCGTGGAGAACTCCGCACCCAACGCTCCCCGCACTTCTCTAATCTTGGCATTAAACGCTCTTCCGCGCATCTTCTCCACTTCACGTCCGATTCCGCTTGCATCTGCGCTCTTCAAGTGGTGGAATTATCCCCTAGCTTCTCTGCTCAGAGTCTTCCAGTTGGCTGACGTCATCGTCTTGAGCTTCCGAGAAAGCTTTTCCACAGCACAAGCTTCTCGTCTCCAATGCTTCCATAATCTTGTACGAGTTTGTACGAGTTATTCTGGGTACATAAGCTCGTCTACTGCGCGCGCGGGCTGCAAGGAGCCATGGGATGGAAGGTGGAATATCTATTTCATGATGGCTACCCTTCAACTCGCTTCTTGGGCGACAAACCTCACCTACGCTAATCTTACCACCGGCGTCCTCACCGCAGCTAATAAATCCTTCTACAACTGGGCCGGCTGCGCAATCGGCGGCTTCGCTTCCCAACCCGCGCCCCAAATTGCGCTCAACACCACCCTCTCCCCTTTCTCCGGCCCACCCACTTCCTCCATCCTCGGCGCAAACGGCTCAATAGCGCTAGGTTTCGCGGACGCACAGGTCGCTGCTTTGGTTAATGGTATTGCGAGTCACGTCGACGACTACGATGACACGCATCTGGAGACCATCATCCACCCCGCGGGGCCCGTAGCCAGCGCGCTGCTCGCCATCGCGGAGGCCATGGGCCCCGTCAGCGGCCAGGACTTCATGACCGCCTTCGTAGCGGGCGTCGAGGCGGAATGCAAGCTCGGGCTGAGCGTGTACCCGCAGCACTACGACGTCGGCTGGCACATCACATCCACGACGGGCAGCATCGGCGCCGCCGTCGCCGTGTCCAAGCTCCTGCGCCTCGACACGCCGCACACGGCGCAGGCCATCGGCATCGCGTCCACCCAGGTCATCGGCATGCAGGTCTTCTTCGGCTCCGACACCAAGGCCTTCCACATCGGGCGCGCGGCGCAGAGCGGCCTGCTCGCCGCGCTGCTCGCGCAAAACGGGTACACGTCTGCCGACACGGCGCTCGAGGCCAAGTACGGCTGGCTGCACGTCGTGTCCACGCGCGAAAACGCGTCCGCGTACTTTGATCAACTGGGGCAGGTGTGGGAGATCGAGAAGAACACGTTCAAGCCGTTTCCGTGCGGGATCGTTATGCATCCGACGATCGACGGCGCGATCCAGATTGCTAACGAGACGAGGGAGAAGGGGCTGGATGTCGCGGATGTGAAGGCTATCGAGCTGCGCGTTAACCCCGAGGTCCTCGTGCTGACGGGCAAGACGGCGCCGACGACGGGGCTGGAGGCCAAGTTCAGCATCTACCACGCCGCGGCTATCGGGCTGCTGTACGGGGAAGCGACGCCGAGCCAGTTCACGGATGAGGTGGTCAGGAATAGCACGGTCGTCGATATGCGCACGAAGGTTAATGTTACTGAGGACGAGGAAGTGCCGACGGATGCGGCGTATGTGAGCGTGGAGTTTAGCGATGGCACGACGCTTGATAAGCATGTCGAGCATGCAAAGGGCAGTTTGGAGAATCCGCTGAGTGAGGCGGAGTTGAAGACGAAGTTTATGGAGCAGGTTACACTGGCGATTGGGGAGGCGAGGGCGGAGAGGGCGTATGAGGCGTTTACGAATGCAGGGGGGATGGAGGATGTGGGGAGGATTAGGGGGATGTATTGAGGGAGTGGATGGGTTGAGGGGAGAAGAGTGGGAGGGTTTTATAGTGGTATGGATGTGTTTATAGTGATTCTTGCATGTGCGTTGTGATGTTAATCCTCTTTGTCTTGTCCTGTCCCTTTCTCCACTGCTTCTGACTACTCCACTTATTCATTCCCCTACCTCCGTCCTCCCATTTCCGCTCCCATTCCCATCCCCATTCCCCTGCCTTTCCCCATCCTCACACCCCGCACTCGTGCCCCGCTGCCCGTTATCGCCGCTACCGTGGCAAATCGTGAAGTGCTCCGGCCCATGGAGATAGATGACAGAGCTGTCGGTACGGATGTAGTAGCCTGGGGCCACGGCCCAGGGGCTTTGGGGAAGGACGGAAAAGCCTATCGTTGGTTATCATGGGGGCATGGCGGGAGGGGTATAGAGAGGGGAGGGAGGAGAGGAGGGGCGTACGTAGTGGAGGAGAGAGGGGGAGGGTGGTGGCGGTTGTGGTGGGAGGAGAGGTGGGGGGAGGGGGATTAGAGGGAGAGTTGTTGGACATCGTTGGGGGCGGGCAATGGATGGTTGATGGTGGCTGGTGGGTAGTCACTGAGGACATATCAATCGATGCTTGAGTGATCTGAATCATTGATGGGCTCCACGCTCGCTGCTTTGGCCATCATATATACTTCTCTACGGGACACAGTGTGGGCATTGCAGAGCCCTCTTCTCTAGAAGATAGTGGATGGTCTCATTGTCGTTTCGCTCGAGATGTCACGTCTGATACCGAGAAGTCCTGTCTCCCAAGTGCGAGTATCTCTTCGGTAAGCTTGTTCGAAGAACTGATCTTGGATGGTCTCATTAGGTACCTCCTCCTTCATCCATGCTATCGGAACATTCAAAAAGGGGTAGAGAAACTGTCGTTGGATGGTCTCGTCGCGGCCGAATCTGCAGAGCGCGTTTTACGGGTTAGTCCCAAGGCACGTGTAGTTCGATCTGTTCTGGGGCACGAACCTGCGTTTCGTCTGAGACATGAGACCATCAAAGGAGAATTCTTCTAGGGTCGCACAGGTTGTGGTCTCACGGAGCCGCATTCTGGATGGCAGGCAAGTCAGGCTGGACCCAGTGGTTGCGAATGTGTCGTCTGCCTTGTGAGGCGGATCCGGACGGGCAGGTCCTCGCTTATTACCTACCAAGTGCTACGGCATTCTGAAATAGGTGTCTTCACTTACCTGAGCTCGACTCCGGCTGGCAATCGTTGGAAGGCTTGTGTTACAGACCACTATGATTGAGAACAGTGGCGCATGTAGCGTTGTATTATGTCAGCAGACTTAACCAATGAGAGGCCATCTGTTAGCACTTCACCGGTCCTTTGCTTGGGCTTTCCACGCATTGCAACACAAGGCTAAAGTCGGGCCACTTTGCAGGAATGACGCAAGCTGAGGGGTCACACCTGTAGAAGGCGCGCTTACAGCAACAACCAATAGGACACCGAATCCCTCCAGGATGCGGGATCCCAATTCGCCCCTCTCCAAATTGAGGGACGTACTGCATACATACGTGAGGCCTCGACGTGCAGGCCAATCATCCATTCTTAGCTTCGCTCAGCCTCTTCCTCCACCGTCGACATAAACGTGCCCCTCATTCTCTAACTTCTGCAACTTCTGAACTTCTCATTCAGACTCTGTTCACCGCTTACCTAGGTACTCAGGCACCTCTACTCTTGAAACAGGCTCTTACACTCCCAGTACGTCGATACCCCGTTTCTGTTGAACATGTCATCAACTTTCCGAGCAGGCTGACCTCTATATAGACTCTAGGCAACAGTCGAACGTAGCGCGAAGCTACGGCTTCGCGCTGGTGCAATCTCTGACTATCACAATGATCATCTAAACACTTACTCTGGGCCTTTCTGGCCATGGGAAGAGAGTTACTTGGGCTTTTCTGGCTCAGGTCAATGGCCGACAGACACTTACTCGCTGTTTAATTGGGACGACATCTCGTTGAGTCCGGGCACGCTCGAGTCAAACCCAGACTCGGCTGCCTTTGGACCTTCAGACGCCTTCGGCATCTCGCTATGTTCGGGTGGCCAAGGATCGGAATCCGGTTCGGCTGCTTTAGGACCGTCACCCCTAGATGTCTCCCTCTTTGACTTCGAGGACTTGCCCGTTGGTTCAAATGACCTGAGTGTTGGTTTTGAAGACTCTTCCATCCGACCGATCGATGCTAATCTACTGGATCCATTTTCAAATCTCCAGCCTTCCCCTCAGCGATGGGACATGTCTCGGCCCGCTCCTACACCTACTCTTGAGCCCTTCACACTCCTATCAAGAGAGACTACTGCGGAAGCTATGTCACGATTAGCTCTGCCGCTCGCGAGCATGCCCCATCGGTCCATCGAGGGACCGTCATCCGAAGTTTCTTCCGACCTCTCGTCTCGAGCGCGATCCACCGAGGATTCACACTCTGACGTCGCTCCGGACCCCTCATGTCGAACGCTTCCCCGCCCAATTGAGCGTGCTGTACTCCGATTTGCATGCAAGGTTCCCAGTTGCTCTGCCCGCTTCCTCCAGCGTCGGCAACTTGAGTGAGTCCCTCTTTCCAACCTTACAATCTCCTGCCAGTCCACTGACGATGGATGAAGCAACCATACGGCCAACGCGCATGCGGTATTCTCCTGCAACTCATGCACAAGATCATATCCTCATCGCAAATCACTTTGGGAGCATGTACAAGCCGTTCATCGAGGCATTAAACACGACTGTGACATCGAGGGGTGCGTATACAGCACCGCGAAACGCTCGAACCTGAGGAGACACAAGGCGAAGATGCATGGTCAGTAACTCCGCTGAGCGGGGTGTTACTTGGAAGGTTTGGGAGTCTTCAAATCGTTAAGCTCAAGCTTATCCCCTCGGCCTATGGTACCGGAAGTGGCTTGGAAAGTTGCGATGATCTTCCTTTACCCTTGTTTTTCTTCCTTATTGTGTTATTATATGCTCATGGATAGACCTCCCCTTCTATCGGGTTGAGGTATCCATTTGGCTTTTGTATTTGCTGCGTTCTAGCGTGCATTCCGGGTCGAGCGGAGGAAGAGTATGAAGCGCTGAACACAAGTGCGACTTTGTTCAGAGCTTCAATGGTTTTGTCCGTGCATTTACATACCTAGGTAGCTCAGGGCTACTGTTGGGGTTTCGGGTTTTCTTCTTCACTTGCTCCCCTTCCCCCTCCATTCACTCGTCGGTTAAGGGTTTGGTAGTTGCTAGTGGAGCTTTACCCTCACTTTGTTTCTTTCTGGGATATTCAATGGCCAGTACTCAGAATAAAAAAGACGTCACATCGTTCTCCGGTCATGTGCATGTTAGGTTTTCTGACTTTAGGAACTGATATTGCTCGTAAACAGCCTGGACGAACGCCTGTCGTCATTAACCAGCATAAACTACTTAAAAACGCCCCACTCTCGACACTTAGGCCTGTACCATTTCATTAAAGATAAAGAAACAATGCGTGCACAAGTGAGAAGACAGTGAAGCCTTGACTGAGGGGCTGTGCGCCAAGGGTTTGGAAGCACAACCCCGCGAACGCTGTGCCATGGGCCATGGAGGGCGGCCATTGGTTTTCCATGGGCGGCCTCATACAACTTGGCGAATAAGGAGCCGATATAACAGAGTGGGCCGTTCTTCACCATTAACTACTTCGTAAAGTTGGGTGTTTCTGACGTCCTCGAAGTACTGCAGGACCACTTCTCCACAATCCACACGCGTTATGCCGGCTGCTTTTGCCTTCCCGATTCGAATAGTCTCCACGTCTAGCAGAAGCTTTCTCAGCCTCGTTACTTATGCGCTTCGGCATTGCACGGCGGCGCACATCTTCGTCCCCAATTGCTCGCGCCTCTCATGGCAGAAAACAAACTGTCTTCGGAGTCACTCCTACGAGACAACGACTCGCCAGCTCTAGCGCTTTTGCTGGAAGCAACACAGCCCGATGGCTCCAACTCGGATGCCAACCATGAAAGCGACTCCACTGGGAAATCCAAAGCCAGCGCTGACCCCACACCGAGCGACCAGAAAGCAAAGGCATACAAATGGCTTTCCAAGTCCAGCAAGAGACGGATTAGAAAAGGGATGCAGAAGCAAAAGCGGACAATCCAAGGCGATCATGGGAAAGAACGAGCCCCCAGCTCCGCGGAAAGCTGGCTGAGAGAGATGACATTTGGGAGGCAACGGAAGGACGACGAGGGAATGGCGCGGTGGCGACGAATGAAAGCGGGGAGTGATTCGTCCCTGCTCAGCGAGTGCCGTGGGCCACTGCACCAATTCGCTTGCGCTCACCGGTTCCAAGTCCTATGCCCTTCTTGCGCCGACGCATGGGAGCTAGGAATTTCTCGACAGTGCCCACACAAACTTACGGAGACGAAGGAAGCAAAGACAAACCTGTGCTTCGAGCGGCGATGCCCAGGTTGCAAGATCCAATCATGGGACCAACTCTTCAAAGAGCTCCATGAACTGGAGCCGGCACTCGACCGTCCCGAAGATATTACATGGACTCTGGCTTCGTTCGAGCCCCTGTATCTTGCAAAAGGGAGTCTGCGGTCTACGATTAGGTCTACGAGAAGGCGCGAGTTCTATCCTGTACATCGGTTCTTGAGTGTGCTTTGGCCTCTAAATCGTCGCGTCCCGCCGAAAGATAATGGATATGTGGTTTTGGGACGCGGGCAATCTCAAGCAGGGTTCGACGCAGCCGGATTTGGAAGTTCGGGAAGCTTCTAGGGATGGAATTACGCTCGGAAAATCATTTCAGGGGTGACCCACTGATCTATTATGTGGCCAGAGCGCCTAACGATGAGCTGTACAGTCTGTATATCGCGCAAGAGCGCGTTCTTCACGGCCGAAGTCTTATGGTGAACGGTCGATGACGACTCCGGCACGGAGAAGATAGTACTGTGGACATTAGGCAGCGTGAGGACAAGGAGTCGTGTATCGTACTTTTAGTGCTTAAAACTGAATAAAAGACCCAGCTTTTCTGTGCCGAGGGATTATCCACTGAAGGCCTCCAGGATCTCATTTCCCAGAGTCGAAACGCCGAGCCATACCCGCGCGTGTTGTATAGATTCCCTCTCTGAAAATCTTCATAGTCTTTCAACCCACTTCAGGATCTCCTCGGCACCCCTCTCCCACTCAACATGGTTCTGCAAATGGTGACCCACGCCCGGCACAACTGCAAATGCTACACCATCCCAGTCACCTTCACCTCCATGCCCTTCCCCTGTCCGCATAGCACTACTCGCAATCCCCTTGATCTTACCACTCTGCACCATGTCCCGGAACGCAGTGCGATATCGCTGTGCTGCGTCGAGCAGAATCGCTGGCGTGCACAATACGTCGTGCTCAGCGGCGAGAACGAGAAGTTTTTGCGTCACGCCGGGAGCCTGGCCGTCTTTCTCGAAGTGCTTGGTTGAAGAATGGGAAGAGGAGGAGGCTGGCTTTGGAGGATTCCAGTTAGTGATAGAAGACAGTACGTCTGCGCCAGTGACGAAGCGGAAAAGACATTGCATGGGCCAGAGCATAGATTCATAGGGGCTGAGAAGGCGTTCGAGAGATTTGACGACGGACGTCGTCGTTGAGGGTGTGAAGAACGCGTCGTGGACTTGCTGGGTGTTGGCGAGGACGTAGCGTGGGTGATAAGCCCTGTAGGGGAAGTGGATAGGCGCCGTGAGGGCCCAGAATTTGTAGCATCCGAACCTACGTGTTGTCAACTTTCCGGACATCCGCCTTCGATGAGGGATGAAGGAGAGGTGGAACTTACGAACCAAATCCCGGTACGGCAGCAAACATGCAGAATCCATGCACCTCCGCCATCCCTCGACTCAGCGCATACTGACTCAGAGCCCCACCAGCTGAATGCGCAACCAGCACAACCCTGACCCTCTCCTCCGCATCCGCCTTCCTCCTCTCCCCTTCCAGCCTCTCTACCTCTTCAATTCCCGCCGCCAGATCCTGCGCCATCGCACGCAGCGTCGTAAAATACATGCGCCAGAAACCAGGATACCAGCTCTTCCCATGGCCCCTATAGCTCACGGCATAGCACGGATATCCTTTCGAGGCGAAGAACGTCATGTAATCGAGCCATATCTCTGCGCAGCCAAAGCCGCCGTGGGCGAAGAAGAGAGGCGGCGGTTGCTGGGAGGGTGGTAAGGTGGTCTTGGTGGGCAGGGCGCAGAGGAGCTCTAGGCGCCCGGAGGGGGTGTGGATGTAGCTTTGAGTGATTCCTGCCGGGAGTGGAGAGGGAGGAGGCGGGTTGGGGCAAGGGGCGCGCCATTGGAGGATGAAGGGGCCGAAGGGCATGTTGCGGATTGTGGAGGTGCGCTGGAGTGCGGTTCAAGAGGGGAGAAAAGAGCTCGGGAAAGTGAAAACGTAGCCGCAAGGCTTCAGGAGCTATGATTCAAAGATGGATCTTTGCGAGGTGAGAAGCTGCGAACGGGATTTAGAAGTGGTTGGCTGCTGCTCGCGGATGCGGAAAGCCCTCCCTGAAGTGCTAAAAGGTGTAATTGAAGCCCAACCGATCATGTGAACTTGTGGCTATAACGGAAAGCAGCGACTCAAGAAAGCTGTCTACTTATGGCATTCGGCGATAGAGCACCCAAGGCGCGAAAACAAAGTTGATGCAGTTACACAAGAACTTCGGGGGCTTGGGTTCCTGCCCAAGGCTAAAAGAGGCATACGGAGGCGAATGGCTTCTTCAGCCGCACGCTTACTCATGCAGGACAAAAGAAATGGTAGCATTCGCATTGCTTGCGCATCGAATTCTGTTCAGGCTTGTGACTTGAAGTGACTTGGCTAAAGACTAGGAGTCACGACCCGGTTGAAGTGCTAAATTGAGCTAAACCCTTCTGGGCATCAATTTTCGCTAGCAGTGTGGGCCGTCCACGAACCTTGAGATTTCACAAACGACAAAAAGAGAAGCTCAAGGAATGGAAGAGGGTCAAAAAGGAAAGCAAAAGTAAAGAGAAAGATGAGGTCGTACCCGGGATCGAACCGGGGTCATGAGAATCAGAATCTCATGTGCTGCCACTACACCATACAACCTTGAGATATATCTTATGTTACGTTTGTTATGAAAACGTTTTGAAAATTACAAAATTTGTATACAAAATCTATTAACAGTCTGAAAAGCTCAGGTCTAGCTGGGACAAGGAGTGAGAGTGCACTATGTACCCCTTATCTCAACCACCAAACGCAAGATTCCACCGCTTCAACACTGTGCCGCACACCTGCATCTAGCTACGCCGACTTAGGAGACCCCTTCTCCACCTTGACGCTGTTCGAGCTGCTGTGGTTCACGCTTACACCCTCATACGCATGCTGCTCCATCATACTCCAGTCACCAATCTGCTCGTCGAAGAACTGGTCAAGATCCAGACCAATCATCTCCGCCTCCTCGCTCACGCGCAAGTGCATGAAGGGAATGTACTTGAGCGCGTACAGCAGGATGCAAGTGACGACGAAAGAGTATGAAGAGATAGCGCAGATCTCAGCGAGCTGGCGACCGACCTGGACGCCGACGCCGTCGAGGGCACCGGAGTACTCGGAGGCGCCGTCGAGCGCGGAAACCCACTTTTGCGCGAAGATGCCGGTGAAGAAGGAGCCGCACATGCCGCCGATGCCGTGTAGCTTGAAGACATCCATGCCCTCGTCAATGCGCAGCAGCTTGTCAACGTCCTTGGCGGCGGAGCAGATGGCGCCAGTAAGGAAACCGATGAGAGCGGCGATCCACACAGAGACGTAACCAGCTGCGGGCGTGATGCCAACGAGCCCAGCAATGACACCGGAGCAGGCACCGACAAGGCTGAAGTGGCCCTTGCTGCGGATGAAGTCGACAAGGATCCAGCCCAAGCAGCCAAAGCACGCAGCTGTGTTCGTGTTGAAAGCGGCTATCATCGAGCGGAGAGACGCGTTGAGGGCAGAGCCGCCGTTGAAGCCGAACCATCCGAACCAGATGAAGCAGGTACCAATGAATACGAGGGTGGTATTATGAGGCTTGCCGTGGACCTTGTCACCCTTGTGGACGCGCTTTCCGAGAACGAAGGCATATGCGAGAGCGGCCCTGCATTTGTTAGACAAGACAAAACAGACGATCCTACAAGGGGGAGACATACCAGCCGCTAGCAACATGGACGGGACCACCCCCGGCAAAGTCGAGAGAAGGAAGGTTGTACAGCCATCCGTTGGAATTCCAGGTCCAGCAGGCAATTGGGCAGTAGACGATGGTCGCCCAGCAGAAGGCAAAGATGATGGAAGGCAGTATACGACCGCGCTCGAAGCTTCCGCCGATGACCAGAACCACCGTGCAAATGCAGAAGAACATTTGGTAAAGGCAGAAGACGATCTCCGGGATCACGGCGGAACCAGGGGAGGGAGCGGCCATGACGTCCTTCATACCGAAGTTGGCGAGGTCACCAATGAAGGAGTTGGCGGTGCGCGAGTAGGCCAATGAATAGCCCCAGAACATCCATTGGAAACAGACCCTACATTCCTGTCAGCTTCTACGGGCCCACTTTTGATATGTCTACTTACACTGCGCAGACGGCGAAGGATTGGAAGAGCAGGGAGAGCGACGACTTGCGGCGCGCCAGACCACTGTAGAGGAAACCGATACCGGGGATGATGAGCCAGACGAGGAAGCCCATGATCATCAGGTAGACGTAGTGGTACTCGAAGCCGGCATATTGGGCGTTCACATCCTCGTCCAGCGAGTTGCCACCGTTGGGCTTCGCCGGGTCGTACTCGGGCTACGGAAAGACATCAGCAAATGCGCCTTTGGAAGCGTGCATGACAGGTGAAGAGAAGGAGATGCCGCGGTCTAGGTTCGTTCAACAGCATGGCAACATCGACGTTTGGTGCCGCACATCAATATATTCATGTTCCCTAAGAAAAGAGGTCTACTTACGGGTGTCAGTTCAATCGTCGACATGGTGCCTGCGTCGATCTGCTTTCTTGACGTGCTCAGCTATCGACTCTTCGATACCGCTTGAACAAGATTCCTCGCGCAGGGGGGGCATGCCAGCCCTCATATATACATATCCCTTGACTCAACCGTCCCCAAATTTCCCAGCTCCAAGGCAAAGCGGTTCCGAAGACCCAAGCCTGCGACTCCACACGTTCTAACGCCAGCGCCAGGGCTATTCCACAAGACCCCCAAGTGCAGTACATGCCGCCGCCTTGGCAACTGATAAGGACTACGTTGCGGTTTCGAATTGTCCATTGCGCCGATGCGACGCCTTGGGCCGTCGCGTACTCTCAGGATGCGTAACTCGATTGGGCGAACGCAGGGACGGGCGAGGCCGGGTCGCACGGTCGTCAACGGCCAAGGCGTGCGAGGGCAAGGCTGGCGGCCGCGACGTCTATATATTGGTGGAGATGATTCGGTTACGGGACCTGGTGTTGATAAGGATGCGTGAGGCCAGGGACCCAAACGGGGCTAGAACGGCGCCGAGCCCCTGATACGAGCCCCCGGAATGCACCTCATTGGCGGGTTCGCCACGATCGTACCGGTTTCGTTACAAGATTCGCATGTGTCACGCGCGTGAGCACATGTGGCCGTGGCTGTCGTGCCAAACGGCTTGTCTATCAATTCCTATCTTGTTGCTTTACGCTTTTACACAATGTTTTTCTTCTGCGCGCGGCCCGCTGCCCGATTCGCGGCCCTTGATTCGCCCCATAGCGATCCGTGTTTACCGGACGCCGGGAGTCGAGGTGCGCCACAACACCTCCATCGCCTTCCTGCGCCCTGCACAACATCTTGAGGTGGGTACCCCGAGGGCTTCGACGTCGCCTTTCTTGCCTCTTTCCAAGACAGCTTGCAGCGCCGTCTTGGTTGAAGCGTGGAGTGTCGCGGCTGGGGAGACGCGGCATGGGGGTCGTAAGATAAGCTGTCGTACGACGCTTTGAGAAGTTGACGGTTTGAGGTTGATATCAACCGCCGTGGCTTGTACCATTTTGCTTTGGACGGCCCGCTGTGCGTGCGCGTAGGACAGCTGTGTGGCACAGTATGGGATTCGAGAACAGCTGTTGGACGCATTGAAATCCAACACAAGAGAGTCTTTCAGCTCGCTGGATTGCATCCCACCCACACTCTTCTTCGCGGAAGCTTCTCTGTGGAATCCTTCGTCGTATTCGCTCAACGCTGGAGTGGGGGAGATTGCACCAAGTCAGCACCAGTCGGTGTTCTCGTCAAGGCCTTCTCCATTCGAGACTTGGGCATGCATGTGTTGGAAGATGATTGAAAGAGACGGAAACGTCTGACGTGGACTCGAGGGTGGCACAGTCGAACGGAGACAATGCCCAGGATTTATCTCATGCCCTCGCGACCCCTCAGTTACATGTACAGTTGGCTGACTTGGATATCATCCGTTTTCGCGCGAGGGAAGACGCGAACCCGAAGCAACGAGAAATGTTCCGAAAGCCAAGAACGATTCTTCTTGATGACTGGAAAGGCTTCCTGAAGTCGTTGTAAGCATTGCACTCTTTGCGGGTAACTGATTTCTTTACCATGATCACACTGTCCCTTTTCTGCATCTCCAAAACTCCCCCCCTTTCCTCAGAAAATGCTAGTCTATCGGAGGGCTTTTGCATTTCATTCATAAGCTGAGAAGCATATTACAAAAATATTTATACTTCGGAGTGCTCGTTGCCGTCTTTTCGTGCTCGTTCGAGCACATGTAACCCGCGCTCCATGGTTCGACCATAACATCATAACCACAACAACACACATGTTGAGCCGAATCAGATGCCTCAACCACTCTTCTTCCCCCGAAGCAGAATCCCGCTTCCATCCACATCCACGAACATGCTATCCTCCGATTTTCTCTTCTGCCCTCCGCACTCCCATGCTCTCCAGCAGCAAGAATGCCCACACTGTTCACCTTCGAGCAACAAGACGGTCAATGGAGCCACGACGTAATGACTACCTTTAAAAGATTCCACTGCTCGCCTTTCCTCACACCTGCTCGTCCACAATGCTCCTTCCTCGACAATGACCCGGACCTCTACAACGTCCTGTCCGGCATGTCAATTGCACCCCAGGCTCCGCTGGATCTGGCTTCTGCGCGCCTCCCGCCGCCGCAAACACCCAGAAACTCCGTGGCCTCCTCCATCGCCGCTCACTGGCCAACATACCTCACGCCTCCTCTGAATCCGCTTCTCATCTCGAGCCCGCTACACGACAGCGTTCCGGTGGGGAGAAGCGACTTCCTCCATCCAGCGACGGGAGGGAACCAGCTCAAGCGTCCCGAAACACCGACACTCCATCACGCGCTTCCTCCCCTCCAGTCCCGGTTCGCCAATCAGCGGCGTCCCCATTCGCGGCCTCGACGATCGCGCCTCCCCGTCTATCGCCCCGAACTCCGGCTCGAAGCAGACGATGCTCCACCTCCATACTCAGCCCTCGATCCGCTCCTCACGCCCCCTTCCAACAGTCGGAATCACACTGACAACGACAACACGCATTGTTGGTTTGGAGCCCCTCCACCGCGTCTGTGCACGCGATGACGGACAACGAAGCAAGCGGAGCGATGCAGGGAAGACAATGAATAGAGTGAAGGGCAAGATGGCCAAGAATGTCAAGGAAGAGAAGAGGAAAGTGAGGGAGCTGCCGCAGGTGGCGGGGAGGATGCAGAAGGAGTGGCAGGCTAGCAAGGCGAGGAGTAAGATCGAATGGCTGGAGAAGAAGGGGTTTTTGAGTGATTAGGAGAGCCTTTTTAAGGAGGATTTGAGGGGCGTGAGGGAACATGTATAGATAAAGCAATTTTCGATAGGAAAGTCATAGGATGACGGTGATGTGGCAAGATAGATGGGTATCGGGTGGACATGGGGGCGGCAGAGAGTAGACTTGCTTTCCGGCCGGCGCCGACGCTTATGATATTGTTTGACGTCTATACTACAACTCTTCTTAGTGCTTCAGTGCCACCTAGCACTCTCCTCCCTGTGACGGCATCTCTTCCTTTCCCGCTTTCCCAATGGCCTTCTCGGCTTCCTTCTTCCTTGCCCCAGCCCTCATCCTCCTCGCCGTCCTCACTCTTGAATCCTGCAGCACCCTCCATGAAAGCGATTTGCCGGTCATGCGTGCCCTCTACCCAGTGATGGATGCATTTATAGCAGTATACGAAGCCGGTCGGCGCCGCTGTTGGTGTTGTGATTGGAGTTACGCATATCGGGCATAGATGCGAGTCCGGAGGTATAGGAACGGTGAAAATAGGTAGTAATGTTGTGGAGGAGATCGGAGGGTCAATTCGCTTCGGTTTCTCTGACGAGGACGATGAAGGACGCTTTTCGGCTGACTGCTGGGCGGGAAGAGCTTTCTTCGAGGAGGGCGGAAGGCTCGGGAGGATGGGAGGCGGTAGTTCGATGTTCTCGGCCGCTTTCCGCGATAGTTGCCGCGCGAAGTCGGAGGCATACCACCACTCTAGGAACTTGAGCGCAAAGATACTAGTGGGAAGTAGTATCCTTAGCGAGGTCAATAAACGGGGCTTGACGGTCCGCGCGATGTTCCTCGGGCTCAATATTGATCCTCCTTCTCCGGGTCTCGCCGGTCCAACCTTCGTCGGCTGTGTCGCGAGCTCGATCGCTTTGTAGTCCGCCTCCCCTAACCTCCGTATCCGCGTACCAATCATCCAAAGGAACGGCGAATGATATTTCGATCCGTCGAACAGGTATGCCATATTGAAAACAAGCAGCGAGAAATAGTACGCCGCGTTCACGCTCGGGTATATGTGCCGCAGAAACCACTTGTAGTAAAACATTAACCTCTCTTTTATGCTTGCTCCTGCTCTTAGTCCCTCTCTATCTCGATTGTATCCAGGACCTAGGATGTTGGAATGTGCGGCGTGGATGTCGTAGCTCTCGTCCAGCTTCCTCTTCAGCCATGGCAGGCCCACCAACACCGCCAAGTTGCGCCAGATGTCGCCTTCTCCTAGTTTTACAACGTCTCTTACGCTATCGCTTGCCCCTAATTGTGCGCGCGGGATCTCTCCTCCTTTTACTCTCAGCACTCTTGCGCGCTTCAGTCCGTAGAAGTTCTCGGTAAAGGAGCCGCCATATGTCCGAAGGAAATGCCGCTCGACGAGCAGCGTAAGCAAAGCGTAGGCTTCATCGAAGGAATTGAGTACGGGTAGCAGGTAGCGCGGGTAGCGATGTGTGGAAATGGCGAGGAGGTAACGGAGGGACGGAGGGAGGAGAGACGCGAGTTGCTGTTCGGAGAGGAGCTCGAAGAGGGAGGGCTTGAGGTCGTCTATCCCGTGTTGGAGGCTCGGAAGGAACTCCATCTTGACGACAAGCTGAAGAGAAGGGAGTAGGAGCGGCGCATCTAAGACGTGAGGGTGGAGTTGTGATTGCGATGCGCGATCTTGAGCCGAGGCATACTCGGAACAACGTAGTCGCGTCGCGGCTAATATTGCCTGTTCTGGCTCCCACGTCAGAGCTCCGAACTCAGAGCTCTAGGCTCACCACCAACACGCCGCTCTCCAACACCGCCGCAAACATGTTTTCCACCGAATATGATCGATGCCGGGAGCTGGATCATCCCGACATCTTCAACTTCTCTGTCTCAGTGTAAGCTTCAGCATCCTGTTCCTCGGAGGGGCCCCCGCTAACCGCCGCATCTCCAGCTTCATCGTGCTCGGAATCCTCGTCTCCTACCTGCCGCAACACTACAAGATAATAGCTAGACGCTCGTCGCGCGGTCTGAGTCCCATGTTCGTGCTTCTGGGAACGGTGTCAGGCACAGCCAGCATCGCGAACATCTTGACGCTACCTGAAAGCACACGGGATATGGGGTGCTGCAGCAAGATTGGCACCTTTCCTTGCGCCGCTGCGCTGCTGGGTATTGCACAGATCGGCGTGCAGTGGACGTGCTTCTTCTTCATGTGTGTCACACCTCGTCGATCCCTCTGATCTTAACCGCTAACAAATTACAGAATGCTCCTCTTCCTGATCTTCTTCCCGCGCAACGGACAAGACCCCGAAGAGCAAGACTCAAGCCTTCCCACCTGGAAGGAAGCAATCCTCGTCCTCGCGCTCTCGCTCACCTTCTTCGTCTTCGCCTTCCTAGGCTCCGTCGTCTTCGTCTACGCCGCGCCGAACCACATCAGAGGCTGGGCCAACTTCCTGGGCCTTCTGGGCACCACGCTGGCTGCAGTCCAATATATACCGCAAATAATGACCACATGGAGGCTACAGGAGCCGGGTAGCCTCTCGGTGCCTATGATGTGCATCCAGACGCCCGGCAGCTTTGTGTTTGCAGCGAGTCTGGCGGTTAGACTGGGTCCAGGGGGTTGGAGCGCGTGGGGTCTATTCATATTGACTGGATGTCTGCAAGGGTGTCTTCTAGTTATGAGCTTATGGTTCTTGTGGAGGGACAGGAAAGCCGCGAAATCTGGCAGCGGTCAGGATGTGAATGGGAATGGAGTGTCGCTTCGAACAGAGGACAGCGAGCAGACCCCCTTGTTGGCGAACGAAAGAGATGGCAATAGCTAGTTCTGCATCTTGAATATATTCATCCGAGTTTAGCGTTACCCAGAACCTCAGTGGAGAGTCTTGATGCATGCTAAAGCATTGGGTGCCCATGGGGGCGGTGCGCATACCGGCATGTCCTCATCCTGCCCCTAGAACCTCCCCGTGAAGCGCTCTAATCCGCGACTAAGTCTAGAGCATGCTTGGATATCGCTTCCTACGACCCATACCCTCACGACCAGCGGTAGCGGACACATCCCGTCTCCATGTAAAGCAACATGAGTACCTTCCATTCGCCTACAATTGAGAACAAATCTAAGCTATATACAGTATGCCTATGCTTTAGCTGCCGTTGTCATGAACTGCGTACCCGGTTGCCCTTCCTCATCTTACGCCGCAAGTCAGGCAGGTAACCTGGGTCTGTCCCCTTTCTGTTTGTACGATGTATCTTCAAGGGCCGCTGCGCATGCGTGTGATGAGGGAGTACCACCCACGCATATTGACGGGCACCTCCTCCTGTCGGGGACAGAGCATGGGGAAGGGGGGAGAGAGCGCGCAGGCCGCGGCACACTGAAGGCGAGTAGAGGACTACACTTCAGATGCAAGAGATATCTATACGCCTCTGAATCAGTTCCCTGCGCTGTTCCACTCTCCACATATTCTGTTCATACTCGATGCGTATTCCCGTTCGTTGTTACCAATGGACGTAAGTCGCCTTCCATTTACAACGGGGCTTCAGCTACCTCTTTCTCCGACAACGCCGTGTGTGGACAGCGCCCTCGAGCCCTCTGTTTGTTTGCTCGTTGGGGGCACGAAGGCGCGCACGCTAGGACCACAACTCACCTATATAAACTGCCCTCCGATCGCGTTTCTCCGTCTCTTCTACATCCCACACACCAAACTTGCAAGCTTCCTTCGCAGTTCGGATGCTGCTCTTCTCTTGGTCTCTTGGTCTGCTCTCCTGCATCACGCCTCCTCTTTGTCCAACGCTCTTCCAGTATTCCACTCAATTTGCTCGGTCTTCCCCATTGTCATGTCGACATCCAACTCGACTTCCTGCATGATGGACTTCAGAACGGCTCTTTCCCACAGCATGTCTCGCTCACCAAAAACCTTTCTCATCCAAGTAATCCTTTCGGACTTCCCAGACGGAGAAAGCGTCTAGCGGCACGACATTAAGAGCTCCTTTTCATCACCAGTCCGGCACCGCGCTTCTCCATTCAAACGCCCACCAGGACACCGCCTCCAGCATCCCACAGCACCAGCAAGGTCGCGTCGACTGTTTCGCCGTTGCAGATATGGGGTATTGGGGTTCTGGGAGGGGGATGTCGATGGGGTGCTTTGAAAGGTAGGGATGCCCCCCCAATGGCCGCTCTGGAACTGAGTCCCGGTGACAATAACACCAATATTGAGGGTGGAGGGTACAGGTATGCATCCCCTGCCCGTTGATGAGCTAACTTCCACAGTCGAGGGAATCGGGGCCAGAGCAGAGGGGAGGGCGGGTCCATCTATTGCACAGCAGAGCTTCTCCTACCCCTGCCAGTCAAGTGCGAAATCACGCGCAGGCTGACCCCTAAAAGCTTTGAGCACAGGTTTCCACGGTTCGGTCTTCTCTTCTCAGCCAGTTCCTCTCACTCTTTCTCGTTTCGAGCCGTCTGTGAGCGCTTCTTCGTCATTGCTTGGCTGCGGTGTTCTGTTTTCGCTCTGTGGTTCCTCGGTTGGCGTCTTTGCGTTCTTCCGTTTTCGGTTCCGCCTTCTCATCCCAATATACAACCATGGATGGTCATGGCAGGGCTTGGGTTACCACGGGCAGACGTGGCCATGGCGATGCATCGCTCGGCTAGGCATATCGGAGGGTGCGCCGGCATGAGGGCAGTAGTTGTTGAGAGGTGCCAACGGCAATCCGGTTCCGTACTCGGCAGACAAAACAACATGTACCCTGAGTTTCTGCCTTGCTCTGACTTTGCTTGGACGTGTTGATGCAGAATCTGCCAGTGCCCTCCTGGTTCGATCAGGCGCGAGATGACGTCACGTGCAACTAACTGGATTAGTCAGCTGGCCTTGGCGTCCCTCTCGCGACACAGACAGGTCACGGATGTTACCTTCCAAGGTTCAAACCTCTCCTTCTCTGACATCGGAGACATTACACCGCGGAGGCACGTCTTAGAAATATATGAAGTTCGTCGTTTTCGTCTTCGTCGATCGTCGCCTGCCATTCGCCGTTGGGGTCGCGAAGGGCCGATCCGATAGGCTATTAGCCTACGAAAAAGCAAGGTGTTCCCGAACTGCTGCGAACATGTTGCATCCAATAACTATACGAATATCAGCGGCAGCAGAGTGACGGGCTCGAATTTGACTCAGTGTGAGTCGCTAGACTTGGCGGCGTCAAAGGAAGGGCGGCGAGCTAGCTCCAGTTCGTCGCTTGCAGCTACCGGATTCGTCAATGCGATTTGCACTGCAGATTTCTGCTTGATATCAGTCACGCCCCCGCTTCGTGACTCTTAAAACAGCCAATTGCTTCTTCTTTGGTCCTTTCTCCGCCCTTTTTCTCCTCTCCAACGCATCTGTGTCACCGTCACCCTCCTGTCCACACATATTGACGTTTTCAAATTCTTGCCCACGCCATGGCGCCGCCCGCGAGCTCAGAAGCGGCTGGCAATGCGATATCAGACATCGCTTCTGAGTCCGAGTCCGAGTCTGAATCTGATGGCTCCTCAACAGTCCGCCAGTACTCTATGATAAACTCTTATCGTCGGCCTTCCTACGTGAATCCCGGAGCCCGTTCCTCGTCAGTGTTTTCTTCAAGCGTGCCTACACATTCGCACCTACTGGAGGCCAAGAAGCACAGCTATTTGTCGAAGAAAGAGCGCGAGGCCATGCGGGAGGAAGAGCGGAGTTTACTCCGAGATAACAATCTGCTACCACCGAAGCATCCCCGAAGAGGAAGTGAAGGTCTGCTTCCCGGAGGGTTAGCAAGGAAATGGTCAATATCTGTACTGCGAAAAGTTAAGAGTGGCCCGGCGGATGAGGAGGCAGCGCATGACGAGCCATCGGAACGGACGGCGCTCCTAGGAGAGAACCTGGATCTGCCCTACGGGGGTCTCGATACGCCGAAAACCATTCAAAAGAAGTGGAATGAGGCAGTTGCGGCAGGGAAGATTACCACGACATGGCGCCGAGAAGCGAAGGTTTTAGCGCGGTCTTCTGCACCCCTTATCTTGACTTTCTTACTACAGTACTCGCTTCCGGTCGCGAGTATTTTTACAGTGGGTCACATAGGGAAGGTTGAATTGGGAGCTGTGAGTCTGGCGAGTAGTAAGTGCTACACACCTCTATCGTAGCCGCGAGCCCCGTACAGCTGACCTTCCCCAAGTGACGGCTTCAATTACTGGTTATGCCGTGTACCAGGGTCTCGCAACCTCGCTCGATACTCTGTGCGCTCAAGCTTACGGCTCGGGTCGTCCGCATCTCGTGGGCCTCCAGCTACAGCGCATGCTCTACTTCCTCTGGCTTATCACGATTCCGATCGCAATAATATGGGCCTGCGGAACACAGCTGTTATCTCTAATCGTCCCCGAAAAAGAAACGGCTCGCCTAGCTGGGCTTTATCTGAAGATCCTCATTGCAGGCGCCCCTGGATATGCCGCTTTTGAAGGCGGCAAACGCTATCTACAAGCACAGGGCCTCTTCAGCGCTACCATGTACATCCTTCTTATATGCGCCCCTCTGAATGCCCTCATGAACTATCTGTTTGTCTGGCGCCTGGGGTGGGGCTTCGTCGGAGCACCTATCGCGGTCGCTATCACCGAGAACATCCTTCCGCTGCTCCTGTTTCTCTACGTTCGCTTTATCGACGGGTACCAATGCTGGGGCGGATTCGATCGCCGAGCGCTCAGGAACTGGACGCCGATGATCAAGCTAGCGCTCCCGGGCCTGGTTATGGTTCTCGCCGAATTCCTCGCTTTCGAGATCCTCACCCTCTCCTCCAGCTGGCTTGGCCCGACTCCACTGGCCGCTCAAAGTGTGCTTGGGTCGATCACCGGTATCACGTTCCAAATTCCCTTCCCTATGAGCGTGGCCGCCTCGACCCGCATTGCAAATCTAATCGGTGCCACACTTGCAGTTCCAGCGAAGACCGCCGCAAAGGTTGCCATGGCGTTCGCAGTGGTGGTCGGAATCTTCAACCTGCTCCTCCTGTCGCTCCTACGCGAGTTCATCCCTAGGCTGTTCACACCGGATCCGGAGGTTATCGACCTGGTGGCGAGATTGCTCCCACTTTGCGCAGCCTTCCAGCTATTCGACGCGCTGGCCGCGAACTGTAACGGTATTCTGCGTGGTCTAGGTAGACAAGAAATTGGAGGCTATGTTGGCCTGTTTGCGTACTATGTCGTTGGACTGCCGATCAGTTTTGGAACCGGATTTGGAGCGAAGTGGGGGCTCTATGGGCTGTGGAGCGTGAGTATTCTCCGTGCATGAGGTACATCGATTTTGCATGTGCTAATGTTCGAATAGGGACCGGCGATTGCGCTTGGTATTGTAGCTGCGATCGAAGGTGTATTCATCTACAAGACAAGCTGGGAAAAAGCGGTCGAGGCGGCTGAAGCGAGGAACATTATGGACGAACGCCGCACATAGATCTTCTCGGAAAAATTGATACAGCCCATTAAAACTACCAGGAGATGGCGAATTAGACTTGATGCGTTTGCATCGAGATGGGAGTAAGTGATTTTAATGAACATGGTATATAATAGCTTTGCATTGAGCAAGCGAACTTCTAGGCGTTGGAATCGATACCCAGCATGCCATGGTTCTGTATGCTTTCTATCCTCGCTACTGTGTTCCTACACGTTAGCCTTATACCGCCCTTTTCGCTAACATGCAACTCTCCATCCTACTAATGATGGTGGTCATCACCACCATGACGCTCGAGTGCGCCTCTGCTTTCTTCGTGCGCTTCATCTCTTCTCGCATCTCCTCCAGTTCACATATAAATATCCCCTTCCGTACCTCCTTCCTCCGCTACACTCCCACTGCTTCTCCGGCATCCACCAAAATGAATCAGATCACTAGGAATGTTCTCCTCCCGGGTACTCACCATGCGGCCACATGAGGACTGCCCGGTGGCTCTCCGAAATCAATCATCGCGACATCGCATGTCCTTCTCCTGCCGCTCAGCACACTGAAATCATGAGAAACCAGCGCATGTGCTTTCTGTTGCCTCCCCGGGCGGGCTTCCTACAAATCAGCCGCCAACACTGCCATGCGAGCCGCCCTTGCCTAGATTTTCACAAGGGGTTTCGCGCGATGGTCTTTTCAAATTGCCAGTCCCGCCTCCGATGTGCTCGCTGCTTCCGCTGCCTCTCAAGGCGTCATCAAAAGCATCAGAATTGGCACCGATGCCCTCGCGCTTCTCGAATATTGGATAAATGGATCGAATGTGGAGCGATTGGGGGAAGTAAACTTCGTCGACCTCCCCCCAATGCGTCGCTGGCTGGGCTTGCGTTACCCTTGTTCAAGGTGTCTAAATCCATGGGGTCTCTATGTTAGGAATTTGTGGACGCATCTCCAAAGTCAAGCTGCAAAGGGCGTGCTCTTCCGACTTCATTCGGCTAGTAAAGCGCCATGAATATATGGGCATGCCTCTTTTTGGTTCTGGAACTCACACATCAGGGTCGTGTGTGGGCAGCTCGTGGACGAAACACGGTTCTCACTGCTGGGACACGAGTTCGAAGGAAGTCAGGTAGAAATTTTTGGGAACAGTTCTATCTGAAATCCCCGGATTCCCCCAGTTACCTTATCATCGTTAAGATGAGCGATGGGTATATAGGCCCCCGTCTTCACACTCTCTTCTCCTGCACACTTGCGGCACCTCGCTTCCACTAAAAGTACCTTGCAGGAGGGGCGATGCCTGCTGTCCGGTCTAAAAAGAGGATGCTCTTTAGGTGATGGGCGGAGGAGCCTGTGTTCCCAAAGCCTACGCAATTAGTCCATGGCTAAGACACTTCTAAAGTGGTAGTCGAGCTCTACATGCTGGAAGAGCAAGCCGGATCCGGTCTAACTTGGAAATGTGGAGAAGAAGCACCTCATGCGGACTAAGGAGAAGCCAGGATATAAATTCGCCCCTGCCTTCTCCCTCTCCCTCTCTCTTTCTACACCTTACGCTCATGGGCTCTCACTAAAGGAAGCAACATCATGGCTAATGGCTCTGGTCTTCTGCAATATTTCATGGCATGATGCTGGGTGGCGGAGCGAGCGGCACTAATAATACAACAACGTTGTGCTCATGTGTGTGCTTCTCAGGAAACCTCGAGGCAGCCTTATGCATGGGAGAGCGCTCGGCGGGCCGAAGAACCAGGCTCATCAAATACTTGTGTATACGGCCCCATGGATCCCGGTAACAGCGGGACTGGAGTATACAAAGCACTTCTTGAAGCCTTTTCTCCTTCACGCAACGGCCTTACCAAAAGGAGACTCAAGAACATGCATGGAATTATTCGACGAATTCAAGTTCCAGGAGCTGGATATCGGGTTTCTGGGAGGCAGAAAACGGAAGTCTAAAAGCCAAGGGCGGCTCTATTATGGAGGCGGTGCCTGGAGCTTTCTCAAAGTCCACGCTCTTATTTCCCTTTTCGCTCACTAAAAGCGACGACGAAAGCTTTATGTTTCTGGCTGAGTCTCCAAAGTATATACTTGACTGATCATGGGGATACACCGCGTCTTCCCAAAGCACGTCTCTAATCAAAGTATGGGTTGGATCTGGAAGATGGCACTCTGAAAGCGTCATTCTGCCAACCTTAGTATGGCACGGCTATCCAATGAACACGGTACCGCTCGTATGTACTCCTACGCGTCGAGATGAAAGATGCGGATACAAGCCCGCCTCTCCGTCCTTCATTTCACTCTCCTCTCTCCACGGCCGTCGAGATTTCGACCAAAAAAAAAGGTACAACGGCCCCATTGATGTTGACCAAATGAAAACGACGCCCCGTTTCCGTTGCGTCGTTTGCGAGACCAAAATAGCATACCTGCCACTAAAATGGAGTGCGGCTTTGGTGACCGGATACCCGAGCAACACTATGGACACCCACATGCTTTTGACATTATGGGCGGGCCACACAAGCCCAATATCCTTCCTCCTCCAAATTGGGACAAGGAGTTCCGCATGGACCTCGTCTCCGCGCACTCCTTTACTTACGCTGCCACACTCTACCAAATGTGCAAAATCCTTCAGAATCATGAATCCTCCCGTCTTATGCGCTCTAGGCTTGAAAAGCCCTTGGTGCTCAGCAGGATGGCGGTGGTCGAAAAGACCGATTCGATCACAATATGCTGCCCGGACCGACTGGAGGAGTGCAAAGAAGTACATCCTGTAACTTCATGGGGGATTTGGAAGAGAACCGAGAGCCGACGACCCTTTCGCCTGCTAAAATCGCTTCGCTGTTTGTGAAGAGCGACTCGTTGCCTGGTGGTCCGATCTCTCCTGGGTCTGGAATAGATATATAAAGCACTTCTCTTCTGTGCCTTGAAGTCCTCCGTGCTCCACAATGCTCACTTTGTCTAGTAAAATGTGGTTCAGAGGAGATGCATGCTTTCGGGGACGAAACCCAAAACATAAATAATAGATGTCTTGGAAACGCACTCCGATATTCTGTTGTGAGCAAGCTATGCGTGGGGAGAGAGCGCTGGGCTCTCGAAGTTCAAAGAGGCCGTTTGAGTTTCCAATGGATGCAGGTGGGTGACTGCACGGCCGCGTGAGGGGAGCCAAATGCCGGCTATTAATGCGATTGTCCCTTTGTTAAATGAGGGGAAGGAAGGGCGGAATTTTGATGCGTTTTTGCTATCGTTCTGAAGTGTATGTAGACGTAAAGGGAAGGTGGGGCACGGCTGGACTCTGAGCTGAGCAGCGGGGGTGGCGTAGCACCCTGTTGTGAAACATGGTTACCACAGCCTCTATCTGCTGCCTATCCGTCGACCTGCGGTTAACCAAGTCGAAGGCCTCCGTATCACCATTCTTTTCTAAAGTCAGATGGGTTTTTTCTCTCTTATCTCAGCTCCTGTCTCGAGCGTCTTCCAACGCTCTCATCATAAGCGCCCACGTCAGCTCGAATGGCCCTTCAAGCCGCAACAACCCTCCTGTTTAGAGTGCCACAATCTGGACTGGGGTAGAGATCCTCATGGCGGCTCAAGGGTACAAGATTTGAACACGCTCAAATGTGCTGGGTGCGCTGTTCTGGCTGCCGCCATTGAGCCGTGGAAGGACGACTGTAACGACATCTCCACATTCCCTACGCTGTTTTTTGTAAAAGAGAAATATCCGGGCTTTTTGAACTCTCATCATGGCAAAAGATCTTTATGTCTCAGGCTGGCAACCACCAAGATGAGTGTCATCTTGGATATTTTCGCCGACAGTGGTCCGTGAGATATGCCCTGTAGCCGATACTTGCTTACTTCCAAGACAGATATTGAGGGCAATTCATCGATCCCAATGAAGCCTTCCTTCGACATATCAATGAACACGGGCTCCGCCGTAGCTCTGACCTGGGTCAAGAAGCAGCTAGAGATATGCGACACATCATCAAGGCATGACCGCTGTCGCGCCTCGGTTTCCCAACAACTCCCCCACCGCATTGTAGAGATCACTGGCTCTAGGTCTGCAAGGCTTTGTGTCACGAAATCCGGTGAACACTCTGAATATGCATGCTTGAGCCACTGCTGGGGCACTACACAGCCCTTGACCACGACCACCCGAACTATAAAGGCCTACCTGAAGTCGATCCTGTGGAACAAAATACCAAAGACATTCCGTCACGCAATTACAACTGCATATAATCTCGGACTGAAGTATATCTGGATTGATTCACTATGCATCGTACAAGACGATATCCAGGACTGGCGTACGGAAGGTGGCAAAATGGCTGACATTTATGAGAACTCCTACCTCACGATATCGGCAGTCTCAAGTTCTGGCTCCTCTGGTGGCTTATTCGGATGGTCACATTGGGAGCATAGAACTCGATCCATTTCCTTTCGAGACACGCAGCACAAGATCTACGTTCGGAAGCCATTGGATCACTACGAAAATCCTGATAGTTCTCGTGAGCGAGGCGGACCTATGAAACTTCCACTTCTGACGCGCGCCTGGGCTTTTCAAGAGTTGTTACTATCACCACGCGTGGTGCATTTCTCTAACGACGAGATTGTATGGGAATGCCGGTCATCGTGCGACTGTGAATGCTCTCTCGTTCAATCCGATCCGTTCCGCTCCTTCAACAAGTCCGTTTTCAATCTCCACTCTACGGACGCGGGGAGGCTACCATCAGAATGGCGACAGCTAGTAGCAGCGTACACGGCCAGAGACCTAACGTATCAGAAGGACATCTTTCCGGCGTTACAGGGCTTGGCTAAACGACTCGAAGGCATGAGAAAGTCTCCATACCTTGCAGGCTTGTGGCAAGATACGCTGGTATGCGACTTGCTGTGGCGACGCCACTTCAATGTTCGATATGATCCACAACACAGGCCCGTGCAATGGCGCGCCACAACATGGTCCTGGGCCGCCGTGTTGGGTTGGGTGGATTGGCCTACGCTCAAAGACTCAGAAGACAGAATCGTGGCACGCGCTACAGCCACAACTGAACCAGCCGGCAAGGACCCCTTCGGGGAGCTAAAATCGGGCATGCTGATTCTCAATGCGCCTTGTCTCAAGGTGACCATGCGATTTATAAGGTACGACGACTACGTTCTGAGTATCGAGCCTCTGGCAGGCACAGACGTCGAAAGTACACCATTAAGAGGTTTGAAGCGACGAGATTTGAGCACTAGCCAGTTTTATGGCGACTTCGACCTTGGCAGCGACGTTGCAGCGGACGGCTCCGTGCTAATGTACTTTCACCTTGCGGTCATGGTAATTTCAAGGTCTCGTTATTGCTATTGCCTGGTCCTACGACGTGGAGGCGAGAATAGGGATGTCTTTGAGCGCGTTGGTCTTTTGGAATGTGAGGTAGAACCGCACGTCCGAGAAGTGTTTCTTCGAGCAAAGGAACAGACATGGACTATCCAATAGGGAACCCAACGCGGGATGATTGGCTTCTTGGGTCCTTTGTACCTAAGTATCTTTCGAAGAGCACGGACATGTCACTTCGAGGACATGGAGATAGTTAAGTGTGAGTTTTGAAGGATCTGGCACTGAGCTTCGCGAATATTGACCCTCAGGCACTCGAACGTCAATCCGCAGATTCTATCATCACCTGTTCTTTGACCTGTTCTTCGACCTATTTTCTGACCTATTTTCTGACCTATTTTCTGACCTAATCTTCGACCTATTCTTCGACCTCATCAGTGGAAGCCGCTTCCCTCTTCGACTCCTCTCCTGCTCGTTGCACCCCCAACAATTTGCGCATCACACCAACACCGAGTTGAATTTCCCACCATATCTTCGTTCCGTCGATACGAATGGCCCCGGGGGGCGAGTTTACACAGTACGGAAATCCACGCTAACAGCACATGGTGTAGCGTCTTCCGAATTCAACGCCCTTTCAACCAGCACTCTCAAACACGACTGCAACATGGTTATTCTCACAGCACTCTAGAGTCTACCGGGTACTCGGTACCTTTATGAAGTTGCTTGACGAAGCTTCGACAAAGCTTGACACCTACTGAACTGTTTCAGGAAGCCATGATAGTAAAATGCCGCGCGAGCTCCGACAGCAAAGGTTCCACATGCACTTCCCCTCCACCAAACATCAAGATACACTTTGCGTCAAGGAGGCACGGGGAACAGCGCAACACGCTTACACTCACGACAAAGTAAACGAGGGTAAGTGGGAAAAGCATAAAATATTCCTATGTCGAATATTCCAGTCGCAGAGAAGCATTAAGCAATTACTACCGGGGTATATAAAATCGCTGCTCATGAACAAAAAAAAGCTCGCATGCCATGCTCCCCTCATTCCCAGCATCAGATGGTATCCGTCTATCGTCATCCATTCAATCTTGCAAAAGCAATTCAATCTTCCCCTTGTGTGTTTGGTCCATTCTGTGCCAACCAGCCCCGGCTCGTCCTGCAGCCTGCATGTCGTTTCCCTGTCGTCATTGGGTCGCGGGGTAGTTCATCGACGATGTCGGACAATGGCATTCCACGCTTACCGCGGGAGCCCAAAATTCGAATACTGATATTCGCATCCAAGATAGCGATCCACGTGTATCGTATCGTATCGTCTGAGTCTCGTCTTGTCTCGTGCCGTCCTTCCCTTTTAACTTTTGACAACACTATCGCGGCGTCCGAAAGCGGCTCATTCACTCGGCCTGCTGGACGCTCTCCTCGCTTGGCGTGGGGGAAGCGTCGCGTGTGTAGGAAGAGGTGGTGGGAGTGGTGGTGTCGAACGTGAGATGGGAGGAAGAGCCGGTCATGATTTCGATTTGGTCGTCGGCGTCAAGGTCTTCCAGCTCTTCGTAGGGGAGCACGGGAATGCGGAGCATTTGGCGGCCGACGAGGTTTGGGATGTAGACGTATTGTGGTTGGGCGGACATTTTGATCGTTGTAATGGGTAGGGGTGTTGGTTGGTTTGGTGTGTGGCCGGTAGTCGTTGATATGTATGGTCGATGGTATGTGTATTCGACTCGTCGTAGGATAGTATGTATGTGAGACTCGTATCGTAATAGGTACCTCTGGCTATTCTGTAGAACCGACCGAATCTGGATATCTGTGATGCCGCCTCAAGTGGGGAATCCACTGCTACATATACTCGCCAACACCACATCCCCAGGCACACCACAAATTCCTAAACCCTACCCCCGCCCTCCCATCCCCAGCGATCAGCCTATCACCGACTCCACACCCCTGCAAAACGATAACTCGTCCGCTCGCAGGCGTGCGTGGCGAGCATCCGGTGTAAGCCGTGCGCCGACGAATCGCTTGGCCGCGCGGCGATAAGATGATTCGAGCGCCGCTGCAGCGCCAATCGGGTCCGAGACGAGGGCCAGACCGGTGTCGGACAAGGTTTGGTGCATGTGTCAGCTTGGCGGAGCTAGGGGGCAGAGTTCTGGAATTAGCGACTCGGAAAGTCGGAGTTAGTGCGTGGGAAGCGGGTTGATTAGTCGCGGGGTGGGCACGACATAAGTCGCCGATTTTCCTTCAGTCGTCAGCGGGGTTCGGAGATGCTGTGGGCTCCCATGTGACTCATTTGTGTTGACGAGGAGGGGAATTGCGTGCGGAGATGACGAAATGACGATGGTGGGTTAGGGTGCGAAGCCGGTGCGACGGTGTGGTGACTCCTGGACCCGAGAATCACGCCGAGCGCGACAAGACCTCTTCAACAACTGCCTTGAAGGGTTTTTCGCGGAGGAATGTCTTCAAAGGATGCAAGAACCGATTTGAGGGTGAATGGAGAGATCATGGCTCCTTTTCCGGCTGCCGGGTCCGTGGGTGCTTCCCTCACATTCGAATAATCCCAGAACGGCAAGCACGAGGTAAGAAGAGTCTTCCAGATGGTAGCACTGGGGCAGGAAGTTGTCAAGAGACGCCCAGGAAGCCAAGAAGGAGAAATGCAAGAGTTGCGTTGCTAAAGAGGCGACCAAGAAGGCTTCTGCATTCGTCGCCTCCAACATCGCCTGATTCTTAGGTCACTTGGCTAAGCACACTGGTTGTCAAAACCATTTTCGAACTACTCCGTACGAACGTCCATTATCAACGTTAGGTACGAATAATGATTAAGCATTAAGTACTATCTAAAGGTATCATGATTGTCGTGACATCGTCAGTGTCCGTAACTACAACACATCGTACAGTATTCGGTCAGCCAGGAGCATCCCAGGATGACGATCTCCTCATATCTCTATGCGAACGGCGGGACCGAAGGTCCATACACTTGCCGTTGTTCTCTCGCAATCTCCTCGACGGTCCTCTGTCGTTCCAGGCCGGTCGCAGTCCTGGCGATGGTTGTCTGCCGGGAGATCGGCTCGCGAGCTTGGCTCTCACGCGGGGCAGCAGCCTCCTCCTCGTCCTTGGCTGGTCCGACCTCGCCCTCCTCCTCTTGCTGGAATTTGTACGCCAGATGGCAAGCGCGGATGTGCGTAGCGGAGGTAGTAAGGTTCGCAACGATCCACCAAGCGAACATGATCGGCAGCGCCCGATATAGTCGGTTATCGGATCCGCCCGTCCAGATTGTGATCAGGATGGAATAGGCGTTGTGGCTGGGAAGAGCGATACCCCAATGGTAGAACCCCGCTTGCAGCTCGAGTGGGCTCAGTGTGCTAGCGATGTTCAAGAATACCCACAGCAAAACTACGAAAGGCATGACCGGTAGAGGCGCTATCGTACTAATGCTGTCGAGGATGAGCAGATGGATATGCATCAGAAGCCAGAAGGTCATCCAGGTGAGGACGAACTGGTTGCCGTTTACATTCCAGTTCTCCCGAAATGCCCAGTAATATCCAGTCTGGCAGAGAGCTGCGCCGAACGTGAAAAGGATGCCGGCAATACGACGAACGAGCAAGCTGGAATGGACTGTCATTTTAGTGTACAGCTGGTACTTCGCGGCAACGCCATTGAGAACTAGGAGGAAGAAGAACTGCTGCAGGACAGGCATTGCCATAGCTACAGTGTTCAGGAGGATAACGGAGCCGAAAGGAGCCGGTTGAATATTATATGCCGTTGCCGAGATGGGATTCATGAATGCTTGCACAGCTGCGGGATCCGTATTATTGAGGAAATGTGATGCTTGGGTGCCGTTCATTTTGCTGTAAGCGATCCGTGTACCGGTGACGAGCTGCTGCATGGCGCTCTGGACAATCGAGTTCGAGAAAGCAGTGTAACGCTGTTGGTTCCAGATGTAATGGAGAGCGTTTGCGGCATTGTACGTTGTTGCAGCCTCGCCTCCTTGAATAGCTGCAGACAATCGATCTGAGGCTCCCTCAGCAGCGGCAATGGCGCCCCAATACTTTCCTTCCCAAACAGCGTGATACATATCTTCTTGCGTGGGGAACTCCTCGGGAGAGTGGTAGATGAGCTTGAAGAAGCTAGGACCTTGGAGTTGCTGGTAGGCGGCTGCCATCGCTTGACCGACCACTCCGCCATCGTAGTCTATAGCTAGGACATGGAAGTTGTCGTGTCGCCCGGGGGATAAGTAAAGAGTGCCGAAGAGGTACGAGGAACAAGCTAGGAACCATAGCGCAAAGGCTATGCCACCGGCTGCTGTCTGGGCGATGAACTTGATGCGGATGCCTTTCCATTGCTCGTTCGTGAAGGACGCGCGATTGGCTCTGGCAAGAGTCGGCTTCTGCCTCAGGTGCCAGATCCTCTTGATGATAGACACCATGATATGCTTTTGACGGCAAGGTTTTCGTAGCGTGCTTCTGTGTACGCGGGAGGAGTGAATAGGGTCGAGGGAGAGGGTGGCGGGCGGGATGGAAGTCGAAGGCTCAAGAACTTGTGTGAAATGCGAAGGTCCTGAATGAAACAGATAAGGGAGCGCACACTATACCTATATATGCCGATTCTTAAGCCGCACGCTTGTTTGCATCGTGGTGTGTCGGCGCGCCACGCGTTGCCTCGGCCGTCGGCTTCAACCCCGTAAGCAACTTCGAACGGCCGTACCGTGGTAAGCACGTCGGGGCTCCAGAAGCGTCGGAACAAAACATGCTCCATGAGCCGCTTTGACCGAATTCGGGGCTTTCAAAAGTTTCAGTTGAGCTACATTATGAGAGTCGGGACCGAGTGGTGAGAGGTGAGGTGAGGTGAGGAAACGACCGGCGTCGGCGAGTCGGAGCTGGTGCGTGCGCTATCACAGGTCGGACATTTTCTTCGCGAGGCCGAGCGAGGTGAAGTATTTTGAATCGCAGATGCGAGCTTCGTCCGCACTGCTACTTGAGCACTGAGGCAAGTAAGGTAGCCTTTCTACGGCCGGGAAATGCTCTTCATCCATGTCTACCTGGCGAACGCCATTGCATTTCCATCAAACCCCACTCTTCTAAATTTGTTATCCCTGACTCACAGCAAGAGTTGAAGCTCTTTTTCGAGGCCTAGTATGGCCTTGCTCACTGCATAAGCCTGTGTCCATCTTCGCATCAACTGTCTTGATGCCCGGGACGTTACGTGTCTGGAACTGAGCACAGCGGTACCTGACCATGGAGGTAGAAGTGGGATGGCCGACGACGCGAATCCTCCAATAGATTACATGCTGCTCCTCAAACCAGTCCGGGCAGTGGATTCATGATTCGAGCGAATTGGAACAGCCCAGGTGGTACTTGAAGATGCGCCTGTGGGTTCCGAAGAGCCAGGCGAGAGAAGTGGTGGAAAGACGAGATTTGATCGAGCAACGCCGCAAGCCATAACTCTTGACAAATAAGTCTGCCCCTTTCAGAAGACATCATTCTTGGACTTACCACCCGCGACACCCTCTTCGCGAGTATCTTTGTCGTTGAAGGCTACGTCCGCCCACGCCGGAACAGCCGAATAGTGTTTCTGCCCTCGTCCTCTTCAGCATATGCAGGGAAGCCTCCGTCGAGGCTGCGAGCCTCTTCTGCGCGGCCAACTCATGTACTACCATGTTGCGAAGATGGGCATGGGGTCGCCCAAGACGTATGCCAACTACCCCGATCTCAGCACCCTGTATATCCAAGCATCCAGAAAACCAACACCCATCCGGCCGCAGCTGGAGGGCTTCTGCTGCTCGCGCCTCAGTCCCGCATTAAGCTCACATAGCTGACTATCGACATTAAGCCATAATCCGATTCCCGAGCCGAGCAGATCGACCCGCATACGTCAACGCGTCGGGTACTAGTGTCAGCAATATCGTAAGATACGTGATCGGTGTGAGAAGAGAATCCCAACTTCAAGGCCTGGGATCAAAAAGACGTGCAAAGAAAAGTGGAGGAAGCGGAATGGCGGCTCGCGGAGAGCGCGATGATTGGAGGACGCGTACTTTGTCTTGGAGGCTAGTTTCGCGGAGGCGGAAAGCGAAGAGTTTGCTACTAAAGGCGATTTGATGGTGTTTGGGTCGTTCAATGAAAGATTCACATGCAGAGACGGATTGATTGTTTGCTGGACGGGCTGTGGGTTTGCCGTTTTGATCGCTTTTTTGACATTAGACGCGGCTAGATGTCAGTGTCTAATAATCGAAATTGCAGATAACATGCCGCTCTGACAAGAAAGGACCTTGCCTGACGCACAAATTACCTTTTTAGCGCTCTCAACTTGATCGACAACATGGATAATGACCTTGAAAAGATGGTGTGGGCCACGTGATGACTTCATCGGTGATAGTTCGCCCACATGCGCCACAAAAGACCCACACTACGGCCACAATCGTGCCGACAGCTGACGCGTTTTCTGGTTTTCGATGCACGCTTCGGCGGACCTTAGGCACACTTGGCTCCATCTTGCGTGTTTCAGCGTTCGATGCAAGTGTCAAAATGCCATGATGACATCATTCATTGCCGATAGCCCGCAGCAAGCGCCCGAGCTCCCAGCCATTGCCGTCCCGCGGCTTCCCTAACTGTGTAGAACTACGCGAATCATGGATTCAATAACACCGCCCGCTGGATAGGTGCCAAGTTTCTTTCTTTCTCTCCTCAACCTCTTTTCCTCTTCCTCAATTGCATTGCGGGCGCGTAGAGCGAGTATGATACGTTCGTTATGTTTTCCGCTTGTTTGGCTGGCGGGCCTTCCTCTGTCACTCGCTCAGACCTCGCTCTCGCTGTCGGCCCAGAGCAAGGCGTCGAACGCTGGTGTTTCCTCTCCGCTTGATGCGAGCTTCGCGGGATTTGGCATCGAGCCTTCGAATCTGTTCTCGTTTACCGGCGGCGATGACGCGAACGACTTCTCCGTGCAGATGATGCAGAATCTCGCCGATTACTCCGGCGCCCCACCGCACATCCGACTTGGGGGAAACACACAGGATTACATGGTGTTCGACTCATCATACAATGACTATGCGTGGAAGAACAATCCGCAGTCGAGCGCGCAGGGAGCCATCGCGGCGGATTCCATGGTCATTGGGCCGTCGTACTTCAAGGCGCTCGACCGATTCCCCAAGGATACGCCGATAACGTACGGATTGAACCTCGCGTATGAGGACTCCGATTACGTGGACCGCATTGTCGCAACGGCGCAAGCAGCTGTGGATGGGATGCAGAATGTCAAGCTGTATTCGTTCGAGATTGGCAACGAGCCGGATCTCTATCTGCAGAATCAGTTTCGCAGCGGATCGTGGGATGGCCAGACGTACACGGAGCAGTTCCTCGACCGCGCAGACGCCGTGTACCAACAAGTGCTGAAGCCCGCGGGACTGTCAGCGACCTTCTTCGAGCCCCCGGCAACCGCTTCGACAATCGGCACGACTTTCGAGATTGAGATGTTGGTTCAGGACGGGCTGACGGACGAGAAGAACGGGAACAAGTATGTGGGCTGGTGGAACCAACACGACTACTTTTACTGTAGGTTTCACCAAGTCATATTTGCCTGAAATACTGAGACAGTCTAGTCATCGGTGTAACGCCCCAATCGCTTACCCTCGACGACCTCATGGATCTTGACGGCACCAACACGCAATTCGCATACTGGGAGAAGCAGGTTGGAATAGGGCTCGATACCGGGTTACCTTATGTCTTGCGAGAAATGAGCTCGGTCGGACCCATCGGCATGCACGGCGTCAGCGATGTATTTGGTGCCGCTCTATGGACTCTCAACTTCTTCTGCTATACCGCAAGCCTTAACATTTCTTCGGTACAGATGCACATGACAGACAACTCGAACGCCAGCGCTTGGCAACCCATCAGCATGTACGGCAGGGACCCCTTCGTGCGTCCGCAGTACTACGCGCATGCGGCCATGGCACAGATCGTCGGCAACGGTAATAGTACTACCCAGATCGGATCCCTTGCCGTGAGCAGTGTCACTGGCGAGTACAAAGGTAGAATACGAGCCTACACTGCCTATGCGAACGGGGACCTCCAATCAGTAATCCTGATCAATTCCATGCAAGCGAATGCCTCCGATGGCAACAAGGGCAGCTTTACATTCAACCTCAACCTCGGCTCCAGCAATAAGAACAAGAACGTCTACCTCTCCACCCTCACGGCAGATGGCGCAGACTCCGAGTCCGGAATCCTTTGGAACGGAATCACTTTCGCAGACGGCTCGGGCAAAGCGAGTGTCTCAGATAGCAGCGTTACCATGAAGCGCACGGACGGGTCCGGCAAAGTCTCCATATCCGTTCGTGATTCGCAAGCTGTGGTTGCAAACATAAACTGGCTACTCGGCAGTAACGCGGTGTTGAAAGGCGACGGATCGACGACGGAAGGCGCGAGGAAGAAGAGCACTGCCGGCCCAACGGCGACTGGAGGAGCTGGCACAGCTGCCTGGACCGGAGCCGTGACCACGACTCTCGCATTAGCGAGCTCCGTCACCGGAGGAGGTTCGGCAGAAGAAACAGCGGCGTCAGGACAGAGAGGTGAAGCGCCGCCCAGGCGGATGGGTTTGCGGGCATTGATGGTGTGTCTGGTTGCTGTTATGATCGCTTTTGTGTGCTTTGCATGATTCTTCGCACAAAGGTATATCCGATGCATCGAGGCGGCGTTTTGGGCTGGGGATATAGAGTTAACGGATCCCGAATGTGCGTGGATTGTGCATAGCTTGCCCACTTAGGCATGCCTTTTGGAGGCTCTACTTCGATGGCATCATGACGGCGCATGTATAGATGCGCATAGTTAATATCATTATAAAAATCAGGGCCAGTGCGCCTACGAAAGGGAAGAATGGAATGGTGCTTGTATTCATCTGTGAGTGGAGTCTACCGACTTGCTACCCTACCCTAACAATTCTTAGTCTGCGCGCAAATATGTCTTTCAGCAACTTGCGCATTGTGCGTTCTTCCGCAGTCTGGTTATTGCCCTTCGCCTGCTGCTGGTGGACTTCTTTTGCGCATTCGGGGCATCGATCTGGCGCGCACAATTTCTTTTCCTCTTGGGCTGTTGCATTACCCAGTCTGGCCTTCGGCATCTTGAACTTCCTCCTCTTTCTCTCGCCGCCTTTCCTCTCAACGATGACGGAGGTGGTCTTCGGTTCGTACGGTGCGGTCGGTGGCGGGGCTGGGCTCAAGAGGTCGGTCGACATCTGCGTCACCAGGGGTGAAGTGGTCTGCACGCTGTTCTGTGACGACGACAGTGACGGTGACAGGATGGGCGGGAGGATATCAGACGGTATTGGTCTGACTGATGTGCTTCGACGTCGTGAAGTAAACGACATGGCGTTGATGCTTAATGGCGACGGAGATGGGGCGGAGGGCAGAGTGTCGGTGCGGATAGGTCTGCCTGTCGTGCTTCGGCTCATGGCGTCTGCGCCGCCTCTTCTCCCTGCTCACGACGGCGACGACGGCTATCTGCGGCGGCGGCGGCGGCGGCCCTGGCTTCTTCGCGGGAGATGCGCTGTTCCTCCTCGAATGCGGCGCGGGCGAGCTCGGTGGCTTCGCGGCTGTTGGCGATGGCTGAGGGCTCCTTGACGAAGATGCCAAGCAAGAAGGTGGCGATGATGCTGATAACTGTAATGTAGAAGAACGTTGTAGAGTCAGGCATTCTTTTCTGGGAAGCGAATTTGGGCTGTCGTAATGTGTGTGAGTGGAATAGAGTGGAATTAGATTTGGAGTGCGATGGGAAGGGATGGGTTTTTATACTTGAGGGACTTTGGGCTTGGAGTGGGATGTAGAGAAGAAATTTTTCTCGGATACAGGGTGGCTGAATGTACAGTGCAAGCTGTGATGCGGTTGCGAGGTGTGATGGGTGCGCTGTTTCTGTTGGCGATAAGCGTAACCGTTGGTGGCTCACGATGACAGTCCCAGCAAACTTGGACATTCGCACGTGAGGTTGCCAGCTCAGCATATTGGGTCCTGGGTGCCTTCAAGAGCGCAACTGCGGCGAGTGTCCCGAAAATATATGGTGCGCGATACCGGTTCTTACTAAGGTGTCACTATCTGTTCAAGCGTGGTTTGATCTTTCCAAACGACTTCGAAGCAGAAGGACTTTTGGACGCTGAATTGACAGGCTTATACCTAGATCACAATGTAACCCCGAACGAGCGATCTGTGCTAAGCTTCACGGCGAGCGCTTCCCGTGTGCTTGCTTTGCTCGCACTCACGGTGACGCACGCAAAGTCGACATTCACTGCCCAACTCCACGTAAGCCTAGCAATCCCATACAGCAAATTTTCTACCAAACAAAATTTACTTCCTCCTACGCCAACTGCATCGCACTTTTATCCTCATCGACCTCCAACATCCCTACCTCTAACATCCTCACCTCGCATCATATTCCCCCCCCTACAATCCACCATCCACCATCCACCCCTCGCCAAAAATGCCATACATAATCTACGCCCCACGTCAACCGCGCTCCTTCGTAACCAACAACCCCATCATCTACATGGAAGCACGCTTCTGGGGCTGGAAAGTCGAGTCGCAGCCTTACGACGACGAATACTGCTACTTTGTACGCAAGCGAGAGCAGAGGCGCTATGAGACGGAGAGGAGGATTCAGGAGTTGGAGAGGATTTGGGCGGAGGAGCGGGAGAGGAGGATGGGGTTGAAGGGTGGAGAGGGGAAAAAGAAGGATGAGGAAGGTCCGGAGGGTGGGAACGAGCGGGAGGTAAACGTGGGGGAGAAATGCCAGGAGAAGAGGGATAGTGCGGTTGAGGGAGTTTGACAAGAATTCACTGAGCCTGAAATGCTCCAGTGCGGGAAGAAAGGCTGAAAATGATGAGCTGGGGAGGCGAATTGGGTGGGTTGGCTAGCAGTGCATGCTGTTCTTCGCTCTGAAGCATTCAGGAACTCACGAGGTCGAGTAGAGGTACGAGTTCTTGGAGTCAGCTCAACCGCTAACTTTCTAGTAACCTGTCCGGCACACCCTTTCTGAACAAGATTAAAACGTTAACACTTCAGAGCCCTAGCGCTGCACAAGGCATGTCCATTGTAAGCACCATGCCTCGACCAAAATCTACTCCATGTTGAGCTCGGGAATACATTGCGTCGATGGCCAGATAAAATTTTCGGCCGCTTCCTGGTACAGATGGTTGATCACGCTGGAGCTGGGAAGTCCGCCTAATGCATTCTCCCGCGAAGCCGCTCCAGGAGGACTCCAGCGAATTGTACAAAGAAACGGGGCGAGGCTCACCTGCACCCTCGGAAGCGCCCGACGAAGGGACTTCCCGGCACAGAGCCTACCCTTCAACTCACCGCTAAAGACGGCCTGGCGCTGTATTTCAAGATGCAATATCCTGGCTAGGGTGGATGAGGCAGTAATGAAAGGCATGCGGTGGAGAGCAACGGCTCGCTCTTAGCTCTGTTGGCTCAATCAGACGGCAAAAAATCCGTTTTGGGAGGGAAAGAAGGCGCTATCTATGGGCCTTCACCGGCGGTAAATCATTCGAAAGGCTATCGAACTGTTTATTACAATGCTGGTTTCTTTTCCCTGCTCCGAAACATGGATAGATGTTCGGAGGCTGCTGATGGAGCCCTGACATGCCTATATCGAATGCGAAGTCGCTTGAATATTTTGAGAGCAGGCTGTCATGGAAATCGCTTGCGCTTCTAGCTAATATGCTTGTGCTGTTTTCCTCGCGAGAGTATGTGGCCTCGAACTGTTCAATTCGCTTTGGCGCTACACTTTGAGGTTGGTCTTATTCCGAATGTAATCTTTACGGGCGTTCTCGTCCTGTTATGCCTTGCGCAGATATTGCACTGCCATATCGGATTGCTGATAGTCTGTCTTGGATGAAGATGCCGTCTGGGAAAGGGTATGATGACTCTTGGGTAATGTGGGTGTCCATGTATAAAGCTCTAAGAGGGAGATGTTCGCCTGGGTGAAAGGCTGCATAAGAATTGATTTGATGAAGGAGGGAAAGGAAAAAAATCAAGAGTCGGACAGTACGAAAATCAAAGGCGAAAATTAAGACAAAGTTGAATAAAGGTTAATTTACTACGTCCCACCAGATTACTCAATAAACCGTGGATTTGTTGACCCCAGAGAACCACGGTTGAGTTCGCAGACGCTTGGTGGTCGGCGAATTGAGTTTTTTGAGTCTCCGGTGTTGGTGCACTGACCACTCAGATCGGTGACACAAAAAATACGAACTGCGTATCGATAAGGTAATGACTAAGCAATGACTCAACTGCATTTCGAACTTCTGCTGAAGCGGACCACAGGCAATATACTATGGAATGCTCTCCAGCTTAGGTCTCAAAATCCACAATCGATTCACGCCATTTAGCACTATCAGGAAGTTCAAGAGTAGGCCTCCTGAACAACGCCAGACTTCCCCACCACGAATTTCGAGCCTAAAAGCAACCCGTCTCGAACTCCCACCGACCGCAAAGGAAGCAGAAGCACACTCAATCGCCGTCACAATGAGTGCCCAAACTCCTACGGCAGAGAAGCCGCTGCCGGAATTCGACATTGTCTCAACATACAGCTCAATCCTACAAGCAGATCCTGACCTAACAATGCCCGTCGCCGCAATCGAAGCCTTGGTGGAAGCGATTGCGCACAGCAGCGTCTCCACCGTCGCCGAAACGCTTGCCCTTCTCGAACACCACACAGCCGTTCTCAAAGCCTCGATACCGAACCCAATCTCCCTCTCCGCGGGCACCGACCTCTTCCAAAGATACCTCATCACGACGCTGAATCGGCCAGCAGCCTTGAACTTGGGACCGGGCGATGACTTCAGGGCGATACGGAATCATTTGCTGTCGAACGGAAGGCTCTTTGTAGAAAGGGCCAAGCAGAGTAGGGAGAAGATTGCGAGCTTTGGCAAGCATTTCATCCGAGACGGGGCTACGGTGCTCACAAACGGCGGATCAAGAGTTGTAGGTGCGTTGCTGAGGCGGGCAGCTGAGTCCAGCACTATGCGCTTCAGGGTCATATACGTGCTGTCGCCGTCGAGCTCCTCAGACTCGAGAGAGGGTCACCAGACCGTTGCAGATCTCCGAGCCCACAACGTACCCGTTGCTACCATTCCGGACTCGGCGGTGGCATACTCGTTGGGCAAGGTGGATATGGTTATCGTGGGCGCTGAGGGTGTTGTCGAGAACGGAGGCATCATTTCAAGACTAGGTACATACCAGATGGGTCTGCTGGCTAAGAGCAAGGGAAAGCCCTTCTACGTCGTCGCGGAGAGCCATAAGTTCGTCAGGCTATATCCGCTAAGCCAATTCGACCTTCCCATCGAGCAAAAGGTTCTGGATTTCAAAGTCACCGATGATAACAAGGCCACCCATGGGCAAACCAAACCCACCGAGGACGAAGGAATTGCCGACATGAACGCTAAGGAGATACAGTCGAAATGCTCCGGGCTTAATGCTGACGATGCTGTGGATTTCACGGTACGTACCTCTTAACAATATCTCGGACACTACTAAATCTTTCTGTAGCCCCCGGATCTCATATCGGGCATCATCACAGAGTCTGGCGTGCTCACTCCCTCTGCGGTGTCAGAAGAGCTGATCAAGATATGGTTCTGAGCCCTGTCCCGAACATGGACGGCCCTCCCTACCGCACCTTGCTATACTTATCTACCCTCGGAATCCGGACTTTCGACCCGTTGAAGAGTCTCTGACCTAGCGCTTACGCGCATACTAGGTCCCTCGATGACGCCTTTCTGCGTGCCGGTACCAGACTGTTGCACAGCGCGAAGAACGAGGGTGCTGAGGAGAAGAGCCATGTCTGGACTGGCAATGCGCTTGACGAGGAGTGGGTCCAGGTAGGCAAGCGAGATATGCGACGTTACAGCATGAGCACGCTCGAGAAGGGGCCGCCAGCGCGTCGGCGCCACTCAAGGGCCAGCGGCTTTTGAGTCCAGCTGTCCGCTTGGGGAGTCAAAGAGTGCACGAGTTCGAGTGAGGTATATGGATCTGTATATCGAAGTAATTGATAGCCCAGTAGACCTCTCGAACTACAATCTAAAACATCATCTTGCATGTGAACGAGTCGTGAGAAACTTCCGCTCTCCACATCACAAATAGACGTACTCCAAACAGTTCCCCCCTTCACACATCCACCACCACTACAAATACACATCCCCAAACCAAGCCAAAACCATGCCCCATATAACCTTCTTCAAGAAAACACAATCCACGCCCAGAGCCAGCTAGCAGCACACACTTTCCTTTCCCCCATCGCTATCGCTATCACCACCACCATGCCCACATCCGCACCCCCCACCAAAACAAGGTACCTAATCCACACCACGCACCACCCGCGCCCCTACTACACGCGCCTGCTCTTCCTCGCCAACGACTTCTCTACCTGGGGCTTCCGCGTCGAATGCCATCCCCAAGGCTCGCCGTACATACTCGAGACGCGGCGGCGGGAGCACAGGGCGGCAGCGAAGGGCGATGTGCGGCCGGGTCTGCTTGCGATTTGGGCGCTCGAGGTGCGCAGGAGGGGCGTTGAGGGCGAGGCTGAGGAAGAGCGGAGTGCGAGCGGGATGAAGGAGCGGCAGATTAGGGTGTCGAGGCTTTTTCGCGATTTTGTGAGGGGGGTTGCGGAGTTTGGTGAGTATAGTAGCGCTGCTTGGCCATGTCGACGGATGGGATTGAATACGTGGCTGGGAGACAGGCCGGCTGATAGCACGAGAAAGATCCTCGCGATCCCCACGAGCCTATAGACCTCCTCCTCACACACGCGGACATCTGGAGCAAAGCGACCGCAGATATCTGGAGCGTAACACCCAAAAAAATCGACCTCGTAACGCTCTACACGCGGCTGCTCGACTACCTGCGCTACTCGTCCAACGTGCGCTTACCAGGGTGGGCGGACCCGGACATAACGCGCGCGGACTGCCTAACGTTCGAGTTCCGGTGGCATGAGAAATTCGTCAAGCAGCATGTTGTGGCGGCCGTGAACAAGGCGGTGAATGCGTGTCCGGGGCGGATGGGCCGGGTGCAAAAGGTGAGTACGACTGGATTTATCAAGGTGGAGCTTTGGGTGAAGGTGGAGGTGGAGGAGGGTGGTGCGATGGGAGAGGGAGAGGTGGGGGATGATTTGCCGAGGTATGAGAGTGTGGAGATGCCGCCGGCTTATGAGGAGGCGGCGGAGGATAGGGGGGAGGGGATGGAGTTGGCAGGTGAAGAAGATGGGGTAGCAGGAGTCTGAATGAGAGAGTTTTGGGGAAACGGGAAACTCACGAAAGACATGCGCAAGACCAATTGGCGCTCTCATGCGTTTATATTTCATGTAAATCATGTTTCATATCAAAGTAGACTTTTGAGGGAACCTAGTTGCGCTCCGAAATGTGGGTATCAAATTGAAAAATGGAGAGTAAGATCAAGGTGTCTCTTAAAGCGCCCATCCCGCCTTTGCCTTGGCTGCCTTGGTGGATATTGTAGGTGCAGAGGAAGGCTTGATCTCGCTAAGGTCAGGCAGCGGATCGTTGTCTCGGATGTCCAGAATGGTCATCTGAGAGGCAAGAGCTGATGGAGTCGTCTGGGTGTCGGTGGCCAAGTCTTCAATTATCGGCTCATCAGCGTCAAGTGCATCGTTCTCTACGGCATCCTGCTCGCCACCGTCTTCCTCCTCACTCTCATCCTCTTGTTCTATCGCTCCCGCATCTCCATCCACGCCGTGTTCCTTCATGTAGGTATCCAACTCTTTTGCCATCTTCTTGCTGAACCCACTTGCCTCGACTTCAACGTCCAGTCTCTTAAGAACAGTCTTCGTCGACTCTTTGAAGAACGGCCCGGGTTCGTCGCTCGTGAAGCCGAAACGCCGATCGAAAAAGCGCTTGATGCAGGCCACATCTCTGTCGAAGTAGTATTCGGCGTTGGGATGCGATATCGACACCATCTGGGGAAAGTCAATGATGGTGGGTACCAGTATAATCTTGTCGTCGTCTTCGTGTTTCTCTTCGACCAAGATGTTGAACTCATTGAAGTCACCATGGATGAGGCCGTATCGTGCGAGCCGTACTATGAGGGCAAGAAGCTCAGCATACAGCGCTGACGGGTCACCAACTTTGGAGATCTGTCGCATGGGGAAGGCATCCACAAGGCTCATCACTATGGTATGCCTGTTCTGACCGATGGGCTCCGGGACAGGAAACCCTTCTCTTCGGAGTGCTTTCATGAACTCGAATTCCTTCAGAGCAGCCAGCCGTGACATGTACATCCATGAGCCGGACTGTCGATTGCGGAGGTAATCGCGGTTTGCCTTTACGGTGCGGAAGGATATGCGGCCGAGACGGTGTATCTTTAGGACTAGCTGCTTTCCCGTGTCCGATGCGCAGACCAAGATGTCCGACTCTTTTCCCACTCCAATCTGATTACCCACAGAGTATACAGTCGAAGCCTTGGTATGCGTATGGAGGGCGAGGTAATCGAGCCCGCCGTACGTGAGCCGGTAGCCATCGTACTTGGCGTTCTTGACCTTCGCAATCAGCCCGATCTTCGCGATATTGGATATGCTCTTTTGAACGCCGCCGCCACGGAGGGAGGCAATCTGAGATATCAAGGGCGTAGGCACGACTTCATGGTTGCGGCTGCCCATTTCTGTCTGGGGGTCTCGATCAGCGTTAGCCCTCAAGCGTGACGAAATGCAAATTTGAGGCGCATACCGCAGTGAGAACGCGCCAGTCATCCGGACCGAGATAGCGAATATTTTTGACGTTCAGCTTCATTTTGACGATAACTCGAGACCGTGTGATAATTTCCGAGGCGTCGTTGCAGGGATAGATTGCGGGGTGGGGAAGATTTTGGACATTTCTCGAGGTCGGAGCTCCGCGAGGGCGCGCCGTGGTCTTGGCGTCCGGCCGCTGAAGAGAGCTCGCAACCTCACCGTCAACACCCTCTCCATTACATAACCCCCAGCTCCACCCCAACCCTCTCGCGCCCCGAAGCTCCCAGGCTGCTCCTATCGCTTCCGGAGACAGCAGTTTTTGGTTTAGGCGTCGGACCTCATCGTCACCCAGTCCAGCAAACACAGTTCGCCGCCGCCGTAACTCCCTCCGTAATCAACATGGCAAAGGAAGACGAGAAGAAGCCCACAGCTGCTGAGAAGGGCAAAGGAAAGGCTGTGAATGGGGCTGCTGACAAGAAGGAGGCAAAGAAAGACAAAGATGGAAAGCCCGACCTGGAAGACAAGAAGGGCGGGATACCTGATGGTAAGGCTTTTGCGGAAACGCTGTTGGAGCTTCATGGTGCGGATACATGCTGACCATCGTATACAGAGGAGCTCAGCGAGGAGGACCAGCAGCTCAAGAGCGACCTGGAGATGCTGGTAGAGCGGATACTAGTAGGCCACTTTCCCCAAACGCGGACCCATGCTCGCGCTGACCGAGTCTGCCATCCAGGGCCCAGATACCGACCTGTACCATCCTGCCCTCGAGAAGATCAAGGAGTTCATCAAGACATCGACGAGTTCCATGACGGCCGTGCCGAAGCCGCTCAAGTTCCTGAGACCCCACTATGAGAGCTTAGAAAAGGCGTATGAGTCCTGGCCGGAAGGAGACAACAAAGTATGCTGCTGCAGCGCGGGGTACGAATGCGGATGCTGATGGTACCAGAAATCCTTCGCCGACATGCTGTCGGTCCTCGGAATGACCTACTCCGACGAAGACCGTGTCGACTGCTTGAAGTACCGTCTCCAAGCACCCTCTACAGATATCGGCTCGTGGGGACATGAGTACATGCGCCACCTCGCCCTCGAGATCGGCAAAGAGTTCCAGACGCGGTTGAATGATGACAAGTCGACCGACGACATCACCGACCTCGCCGTCTCGCTGATACCGTTCTTCTTGAAGCACAACGCCGAGGCCGATGCTGTAGATCTCTTGTCGGACCTGGAGATGATCGACCAGATCGAGCAGTATCTGGACGAGGACACATACGCCAGGGTGTGTTTGTACATGGTCAGGTAAGGGAGACAGACGACATCTGAGTCGAGCTGTGATTGACGATTGCCAGCACCGTGCCGCTGCTCACATACCCCGACAACGACAAATTCCTCCGCTCGGCTTTCTCGATCTACCGAAAATACAAGCAGTATACTCAGGCAATAATCCTGGCCATACGGTTGAACGACCGTGACCTGATCGAAGAGACATTCAACTCTACCGACGACAAGGCAATACGGAGGCAAATGGCATTCCTCATCTCTCGGCAGCGGATATGGTTCGATGTATCTGACGATGAGGACCCGGAGCTTCAGGAGTGTTTGAGCAACACTAGACTGTCGGACCACTTCAAGGCGCTCGGCAAGGAGCTGAACATTCTTGACCCGAAGACACCAGACGACATCTACAAGACACACCTCGAGAGCAGCAGAACAGCGGGCCTGACCAACACCGATTCCGCGAGGCACAATCTCGCATCCGCCTTTGTCAATGCATTCGTCAACGCTGGCTTCGGAAACGACAAGCTGATGCTCAACTCCGATAGCAAGAACAGCTGGGTCTGGAAGACGAAAGATGAGGGTATGCTTTCCACAGCCGCCTCCCTCGGCATGCTCATGCTGTGGGATGTGGAGATGGGTCTTGACAAGATCGACCCGTATACTAATGTCGACGAGGACATGATCAAAGCTGGTGCCATGCTTGCCACAGGTCTTTTCAACTCCGGTGTGCGGATGGAGTCGGATCCTGCCATGGCTCTGCTCGGTGATGAGGATAACCTGGGGCACAAGAACATCAACATCCGCATGGCCTCTATCATGGGTCTGGGTCTAGCTTATGCCGGGTCAAACAAGGAGGAGCTCCTGGAGTTCCTCCTACCCATCGTTGCCGACACGAACCTAGACATGCAGCTCTCGGCTATGGCAGCTCTATCGCTTGGTCTGATCTTCGTCGGCTCAGCCAATGGAGAAGTCACCGATGCGATAATCAACACACTCATGGACGAGGACAGGTCGAAGCAGCTCAAGGATAAATGGACGCGATTTATGTCCCTCGGTCTCGCGCTTCTATTCTTTGGCCAGCAAGAAGAGGTCGACGTCATCCTGGAGACGCTAAAGGCTCTAGATCATCCCATGGCGAAGGCCTCATCCGTCCTTGCTGAGGTGTGTGCCTGGGCAGGCACTGGCAATGTATTGAAGATTCAGCAGCTCCTCCATATCTGCAATGAGCATATCGAAGAGGACAGCGAAGAGAAGAAGGGCGACGAGCTGCTTCAGTCGTACGCCGTCATTGGACTATCAATAGTTGCCATGGGCGAGGACGTCGGTCAGGATATGATCCTGCGCACCTTCGGCCACCTGATGCATTACGGCGAGGCCAACATCCGGAAAGGCGTTCCGCTAGCAATGGCCCTCATAAGCCCTAGCAATCCCCAGATGAAGGTCTACGATACTCTTTCACGGTACTCGCACGACAATGACAACGACGTCGCCATCAACGCCATCTTCGCCATGGGTCTCCTCGGCGCCGGCACAAACAACGCTCGTCTCGCACAGCTACTTCGACAGCTTGCAAGCTACTATCATCGAGATCCTAACGCACTCTTCATGGTGCGCATTGCCCAGGGTCTCCTCCACATGGGCAAGGGCACCCTCTCGGCGAATCCCTTCCACACCGACCGGCAAGTCCTGTCCCGCGTCGCAGCGGCTGGCCTCCTCACCGTGCTCGTCTCGCTCATCGATGCGAAGTCTTTCATTGTCGGTGACTCGCATTATCTACTGTACTTCATGGCCACGGCCATTACCCCGCGCTTCCTCATTACCCTCGATGAGGACCTTAAGCCTCTCACAGTCAATGTGCGCGTTGGTCAGGCGGTGGATATCGTGGGCCAGGCAGGTCGACCGAAGACGATTACCGGGTGGCAGACACAGAGTACTCCGGTCCTGCTGTCGCACGGCGAGAGGGCGGAGCTAGAAGATGAGAAGTATCTGAGCTTGAGTAATGTGCTGGAGGGTGTGGTGATTTTGAGAAAGGTAAGCAATCACACATTCCTCGTTTGAATAAATGGATGAATGCTAATCATTATGCACAGAATCCCGATTGGGAAGATTGAGGAGATGTGGAAAGGGTGAGAGAAGTCCTTGCAGAACAATGAGTCTGCCGAAGAGCGCATTCTGGCATCCTAATAGAATCACGATCAATGCCCAAATGCCGGTCAAGAGGCCCACTGGGTACATCGTTGTATATATAGATGCGTAAGAGGATGAGTGAATGAAGTATTGGTATGCTTTCATTCTTCCTATCACATTCGCACTAACACCGGAGCGCATTAAGCGGAGAGTTTATCCCGTTACACTACTTATCAACTAGGTATACATCCTCCCCTTCAACCCTCAGTCCTCACGCGACCTCTCGAGCCGCAGATCGAGATCACTCCTCACCCTCCTCAACCGATTCAACCGCCCCTCAACAGACGGCGCCAGACTCGCCGTCGACCTGTTGACGGCGGTCGCACTATCCGACCACCGCCTCTTCACGCTGTTACTACTACTTTTACTCTTCTCCCCTCCCCCACCACCCTTTCTTGGCATGTTTTCTGCGCCTCTGCTAAGAAGAAACCAGTCTTTGAGCTTGTCCTTCCACCCCTTCTTCGAACCTTGCCCTTTCCCCTGCAGTTGCCCTTGCCGATCGCGCTCCCGGATGCGCCGCCCGTGCTCCTTCTCCCAGATCTTGACCGCTTTGGCGTGCCAGTTGTACTTTGCGTCTAGCTGCTGGTAGGCGGCGTGCCATTTCTTCGCTCTGCGGCGCGAGGCGGTAGCGATAGCGGGAGCAGGAGCCGGATTCTGTGGGGAGGTGTGGGCGTGGTCTTGGGGCTGCAGTGACGGTGACGGTGACGGTGACGGTGACGGCGTGCGGGTGTCGAGGTGTTGCACGCGCCAGCCCCAGGAGAGGAAGTCTCGCGTTAGGGTGCGGTCGAGGGTGGTGGTGGAGGATAGGGCGATGGGGGTCGGGAGGAGGGTTGGGTGCAGGGAGGTCGGGGTGCGGGTTAGGTTGTGCGAGGGGGGGATGTGGATGAGGTAGGGCATTTTGTCGTTGCCTGTTGCAGGAGGATGTGGATAGAATATGGGTGCTGAGGATAGGAGTATGGTCTTCGAGTGTGCTTGCTCGATGGTTTAAGTGTTGTGAAAGAGTAAGAGTGAAAGAGCTGACTTGAAGCTTATGGTATATATGTGAATGACGCCGCACATGGACAGACAGGACAGAACAGTATGAGGCTATAGTGAATATAGTGAAGAGACTGGCCCCATTCACCAAACGCTGAAGTGTCGGGGCATGCTGAGTCGACTTGAATCTCGCAACTACGCTAGTGCCGCGATAGGCAGGCCCGCCAAGCAAGCAATACAGCTCACGTGACGCGAATTCCCTGATGCGCTCTGGTGGCCTGCAGCCCCTAAGGGATCAATAGCCAATGGCATTCGAAGCCGGCGTTGGTAAGCCAGGGTGCCTTATGTCATGGATAAGGCTAGGACTGGACTACCTACCGGAGGTTGCCAGCCAGCCCTGCATGCTTTCTCTCTTCTAAAATGCCGCACCCGTTTCGAAGCTTCGAAGTCCTGACTCATTTGCCATTTCTCTGGCCCTCTTTATCCCCTCGCACCTCAACATATCTCAGATCCACGAATTTGTTCTCCCAGTCCCAGTCGCTGTACCACATGAACGTCTGCTTCATCCTGTCCTCGACCTGGCGCCCTTGCCTCAGGACCTCGTTTCCGACGACGAAGCCGTAGTCGTGCAGCTCGAGGATGCCGGCTGTGCGCATGATGCCGGACTCCTCGTCGACGGAGACGTGTTTCACGCGCCAGCCGTGGCAGTGGAAGATGTGGGCTATGGAGCGGTCGTCGGTTGCGAGGAGGGGCTTTGGCGGCGATGTAGGTTTATTGGGCGGTGGGGCGGCGAGGAGGTAGGGCATTGTGGTTGTGGTGAGTTGTAGGCAGGGAGTGTATGATTTCGTGTATGGGGTTTTGTTGTTTGGTTATGTCAGTCCGTGTGGTGCGAGGGCTCCGTTGAAAAAGAGTACAAGAGCGTGGAAGAGAACTTGCAGTATGTCATGTGCGAGAAACTTGCGTCACTGAAATTAGGCACGTGGCCTCCTTTCCAGGCCCCAAGGCTGCAAGGGCCATTCTATTCGCTCCTTCCTGAGTAGAGCCACTGGATCCTACACCGCATCCGTCAACATGATCAAACGCTTTCCACAGATGTCACTGGATTTCTTACCTACCTATTCGCTATTCTGCCTAGGTACTTCACATCCGGATCCTCAAACCCGTCTGCTTGGAGCATATCTTTTATTTTGCTCTCCATTTCCCGGCCGTTCAATCGCGCTTCGTCGATGGCCACGGTGTAATTGGGGCGTTCTATGATGCATGATGCAGAGACGATGTTGGGGACCTCGGAATCCTCGAACCATTTCGCAGTCCAGCTGTGATTGGCGCGCAGGAATAGGGCGATAGAGCGGTCGGGAGTTGCTAGGACGTGGGCGCTGCGCGGGGCGTGGAGGAGATACGGCATCTCGAAAGTGGTTTCAGGGGATGGCGTTTGCGGAACTGGTATAACAAGATGCTGTAAGAAGTATAGTGAGAGGTATGGAAAGAGTCTTAAGAGCCCCTAGCTGAACAATGCTGATGAAGATTGTGGAAGTTGGTGTCTCCTCCACATTGTGAATATCCCGTGAAGTCTATTCGCTTGATTTGAGACACGCCACTCGTTTACCACCTCCTGTTTAAGTACGGAATCTGACGTCGGTGTTCGTGTGAATGTATGGGGTATGTGCTAGAGACCGATTTGTCCGTCACGGACTTGTGAAGAGAGGGCTAAGCTTGGAGCGAAGGTGACTTCATTCAGGATATACTGTGAAAGCCCGTCTCCCTCTCTGCTTTCTGTGGAGCACTTCGCATACTGACAACACAGCTACTCACAGTAAGCACTGGTGCCTTACCTACATAGCCCCCGCGGGGGTTCGCCGCTGCACGCACAAGCCTGATAAATTTGTTTTCAAAAATGCCATACTTGATCTACCCACCTGAGTCTGAAGACAACAACCACAACGTATATGCCGTAAATTCCCCCGACGTGGTGGACGAGATTGTACTCCAAGACCTGCAGTCCTGGGGATGGAGGGTAGTCGAGCAGGGCGTCGATGATTCTCAGCATACAGTCTCCATACAAACCTATGATTTCCGCACGAGGAATACCACGGCCGAAGATAGAGGGGGGATGCCTTCGCTGCGACAAGTATGGCGCCGAGAGCACGTACGCAGAGGCCAGATAGTTCAACATGGTGGTGGGCGCACGAAAAGAACGGTGAAGAAGGAAGCAAAAGAGCCAAAAGAGCCGAAGCAGGAGGAGGACATCAAGGGAAAACGACGGAGTCTTGAAATGGCAACGAAGAAGATGAACAGGGCGAAACAGAGACTACAGCGCCTGGTTCCTAAAAGGGAGAGCAAGGAGCAGAAAATAAGGGGGAGCGAGGAGCAGGAAATACTGGAGAGCAGGGAGCAGGAAATACCAGAGAGCGTGGAGCAGGAAATACCGGAGATTGGTACATGGACCGAAATCGGGCTTGGAACTGTAGGCCACGAAGGGTCGGGCATCTTGGTTACGCGTACTATTGAAGTGACTTTGGAGGAAGAAACCTGCGTGGATCCGAATGCGAGGGAGATGATTTGGCCGATTGAAGAGCCTCCTTTGCAAGGACCACTCGCTCAAGGCACGCGGCGGGATGGGGGCGAAAGCCACCCAGAGGAGGCAGAATGGATATGAAGCAATCAAGTGAGCTCATAAAAGGCATGCCATTGCAGGAGTTTGGCATGGTGCCGTTTCCGTTCCGTCCCGAATAAGTTCCTGTATCGAGGATGTTGTCCAACGAAGCAAACGAGTGGGCCAGCAATTCTCAATAGAAGTGGAATACAGAGTTGAGTGACCTCAGGCAGAGTGGTTGAGCTAGCAAGGGTGTCGACCGCCCCAATTTGTGTGGTCATGCAGCGCGCTCTAATAGCTGGTCAGGTTGCAACGATGTCGTGACGGATATCCTATCGCAGTCGTCCGAATACTGCTGCCTGCGGAGGATGGATGTGATGGTGGGTGAACGTTGGAGGTTGCGCGCCCAGCCCTCGTTCTAGCCGTGGTTGCGAGCAGCCAATCACGATGCCGGTCGCCATGACGTCTTAGCGAGAAGCTTGGCTGTTACGCCAGCAGCTTGCAAGGTTCCCATCGACGTCGCGCAACAACCGCACACACCTCGACAACACTGTGTCTTTTTCGCGAATCCCGACTGCGCTCATCCTCCCCCATCGTCACTCCGTAAATCAGTCAAACTGCGGTACCCACATCTCTCCGATTCCTCCGCCATGGACTTCTCCGACATCTTGTGAGTGCGCCCTGAGCTGGAGCTAGCTTGCTAGGCTGCGAGATTGCCGAAGGGAGGCGGATTGCGCTGGAAGCATCGAAGCTAACTGGAGTGCGCAGTCGGATGGTGAACTTCGCCGTTGCCGTATTTATGGTCCTCGGCGGCGTTGCGAAGCTCTTCCAGTTCAGCGACTTGTGAGTTTACCAGTCGAATCCAGCCGCCATTTCATCAGACCTCCGAACCATCGACGCGCATAGCTATCGCTATCCTTCCTCGATTGATCATCGCCCAATGATCCGGTCGAATATACGGTAGACGTTGGCAGTCGGAGTTTGCATAGCGGAGCTCAACAAGGCACTCTCGCGGTCAAACTGTCAAGCAAGGCGCCAGAAACACAACGCATGCGCGAGCGCAGGGGATTCGATGGAAGAAGCAGGACTGACATCTTCTCAGCTCCAACATTATTCTTGGCGTGTATCTGATAATCTTCGGTCTTGGTAGGAATCCTCCGAATTACATCCAGTTGGAAACTATGTGCTAACCTAGGCCGCAGCTACGGCGCTTCTCGAATTCCAGATCCCGCAGCAAGTGGCCCGATATGCCTCGTTCATGTTCTCCTTCCTGGGCCGTGGCATCTGTAAGCGCAACCGCACTCGTCCCACCCGCTCAGCCGCTTATACCGTATAGTCTACATCTTTATCGGTTCGGTAATTGTTGGCGAGAAATGGTTCCGCATCGTCCCCGGCACGTTGGTTGGTGTCGTCGGCGTTGGATACGTGGTTCTTGAGTATATCCCGTCAATCGAGCCACCAGCAAACATGCGGTATGTCTTTCCTGAATCGTAAGCAGTCATCAAATATCAATCCTCTAACATGGTTACAGTGACGCCGACGCCGGGTGGGGTGCCGAACAAGTCTAGACGCCCTTCGGAATGCAGTCCGAGGATGGCGGTAGAAGATTCCTCGAGCAAGCTCGTTTACCCTTTACCAAAGGGGCAACGGGGCTTTGTGTGGTATTCGTGTACGCATCTGTGTGTGATATGGAAAGGGCCATTTGATCGGGTGGGCTTTGGTCCTGTTTCGGCGTCACGGGGTTTGCGCCTTGTACTTTTGCCAACGTCAACTGGGTATCTGGAGCAGAGGAGGAAGCGGAATTTGGATTTCATGTGCGCGAGGCCTTTTTGCGGAGGCAAGAAGTTTTTCAAGATAGTGTTTAGAGGCTTCAATTCACAAGGGTATCGTGACAGAAGCGCAGGCCGACACCTGAAGTTAAGCTCCTCGCTTCCAAGGTTGCTGTTAGTTGCAGAGCTGGGCGAGGCGGAACCAGGACCGGGCGATTAAGCGGCGCCTTGATTGGGCGCGCAGGCACCCAGCAGGTGGAGACAGACGTGGTGTCCACTATTATAAATCTACCGAGGAGACACGGCTCGCAGTCCGACGGCAACCGTTAGAGGGTTGACTGGACGGATGCAGAACAGGTGCTTTGCTTTTTGCTGTCGCCACAGCAGATCATCCCAGCAGGCCGGGCCGTCTCCTGACTGCTAACGGCTTGGGCGAAGCCACAGCCGAGAGAGGATATGCGTAAGCACACAAACACCGCCGCGCGTGCGTTCTGGAGGAGATGGCGCGGTCGGCGGTGAGGTTCGTGGGCGCGGAAGTGCTGGAGGCAGCCGGACGCCGAGGCGGGGCCCAGTGGCTCGCGCCCGTCGGCAGGAGGCCCAATGGGCGCCCTGGGAATTTCGCTGACATGCCCGCCCCGGACCGTGCTGCCCTGCACGCCGACATCTCCCAGTGCTGCGTGCCTGTTACGCATCGCAGCGCGCTCTCCAACGCCCAGCGCGCGTCGAACTATGGCGAGCAGCCGGCTCCGGGACCAGCGCGGCCACTCCTGCTAACCCCGAGCCCCCATAAAGCAGCCAGCCCTTCCTGCCCGGGAGCGTGGCACCCAAGCTGTCCCGCGTACCACATCGACACCTCCCGCGAATCACCCCAGATCACGTTGCCGCCACTCACGTATTGGCTCCCGTGCTTCAAGAACGAGATCCCCCGGTTCTCGAGTCTGGCGTCCCACCTGTCCCCAAACAGCCCGCCAGTCAAAGAAGGCCCGGTTGTACCTGCTCTTACCAGGCGCTGCCGCATCGCATCCTCGCCGTTGCCCGCTGCTTCGCTCATAACCTGCGGCCCCGGCGCACTCGCGAACAATCATGGTAGGCTCTTCAGGCAGCGGGGGCACGTCGCTGGCTCCGACGCCTACCCATCCGCACCAACTGTCGCGAGAACCGAGCAAAGAAGACGTCGAGATGGCCGAGCAGCTTAGCCAACTAAACCAAGCCCACGAGTCCAACACACCAAGGATCGCATCTCCCCCGCAGAGCCAGCAGCCAGCAACCCCCCAGCCAGCTCCGAGCTCTGAAATCTATCACTCTCTCGAGGATACGCTAGCAGTGCGGAAAAGCGAGCAGCCAGAGCAAGCACCAACGCCCGCGACAACAGCATCCCTACCCCCAAAGAGTGTGCACGGGGGAAATGCGCCTATAACCGGCCAAGTCTGCAGGTGCGTCGCCAAGTTTCCTTCTTTGCAGTGTTCGACCACGGCCCCCGAACCGTGCTTGCTATCTCTGAGAACTGGAGAATTATACTGACAGTAGCAAAGCAATTGTGGGACGACCAGGACGCCGCTTTGGCGTCGCTCACCTGCTGGTGAGACCATTTGCAATGCTTGCGGCTTGTATCTCAAGGCGCGAAACCAGTCTCGCCCGACGAACCTGAAGCGCAACATCTCAGCACATCCCACAGCGTCCGTACAGCAAAGCCCAGCGCCAGGCCAGAGCCACGATAGAGGCGCTTCTCCAGGAAATGCCGCTGTGTCCCCGCGCGCCGCAACGTACGTCGCTGCAGACCATGCTGCGGCTGGGACCTGTCCCGGAGGCGGCAGGTGCAACGGCATGGGAGGCCAGCAGGGCTGCAACGGGTGTCCTGCATTCAACAACCGTGTCTCTAAGACTGCGCAGTTCGCACTTGCTCAAGCGAATACCACCTCAACTCCCACAGACGCTACTAGGACTGAGGGAGCTGGCCAGCCAACGGCGACGAGCGTGATTCCTGCTTGTCAAAACTGCGGGACAACAGTGACCCCTCTGTGGAGACGAGATGAGGCCGGTCACACTATCTGCAATGCTTGTGGTATGTTCCTCTCCGTGCTCACATTCTCGCTGGCGTCCGGAATACCTTCCGGCAAGTACGCTAACCGTCCCAGGCCTCTACTACAAGCTTCACGGGTCCCATCGACCCGTTGAAATGAAGAAACAAGAGATTAAGCGCCGGAAACGTATCGTACCCGCCGAGCCAGGTACCGTCGTTCCACAAGCCCCACCGTCGATGGCCAGCAACTCGCCACCACAGCGCGCAACCCAAACCCCTGTCCTCGAGCAATCCGCATCCCCAGCTTCTACTACCGCTATCGAGACGAGCGAGGTCGCCTACCCACCATATCCTCGAGCGCCGCCGCCCGTCGATTTCACGAGCTACTACAGCAACGGACCGATTACGTCGCACCCAGCACGTACTCTTACACCATCAACAAAACCAGCGCCGTCTCCCCGGAAGCGCAGTCTCAGTGCAACGCTCGACCCTGACGAGACGCCGTCAGGACCCGTCAATCCCGTACCACATCGCCCTAATGCCATATCATCTATCTTAAATCCTGCTGGCGCGCAGGACGCTAATATCGATCCTTCGCTGTCGAGCATGTCGCGCCAGAGCATAGGACCTTCGCCCGGTGCAAGAGAAGACAAGGCTGCCAGGAAAGAGAGGCTACGACAGGAAGCCGAGTTTATGCGGCAAGAGTTGGCGAGGCGAGAGAGGGAGTTGCAAGCGCTAGATGAGGACTAATACGTGCTATCCGAGCGATCAACATCACTACAAAAGCGGACAGTAGTCTTTTGGAGGAGGGAGGGGCGGCAGATTCAGACAATTCGCAGTTAGACCGGGTGGGAAAAGTTGCAGCTCTCAATTACGGTTCCTCGTTGGTTTTTCAATCGTTGGTTTTTCAAAGCGGCATGCACCTTTACGACTTACGACCGGGGCAAAGGCGTCCGGGATCAGGGCGGACCTTTTCCTTTTTTCTTGCTTGCAAACACTCTCATCTTCTCTTGCTTTTCGGCGCCATTGTGCTAAACAAAAATATCCATCGCGTGGGCGTCGTCGGACTGGCTCATGCGGAGATTGCTCTTCTTCTCTGGTGTTTCGGTACATACTGTATGTACATGGCCGGCAGGCAGCGCTCCTTACTCTGCTTAGCAACTGCGCAACACAGCATAGTGCAAGACGTCCGCATGATGCCGTGGACATGCTTTACGGTGGTGGTGCTATCTTCGCTATATTCTTCTATTTCATTGAGCCAAGTCGAGTCTTCCATGGACAGGTACCGCTACTCAAAATAAGCATTCCATGTTTCAGCGCCTCATCATATGGGTTGAGTAGAGTAAAGAGAAAGTAGCCAGCCGTCATCGAATGCTTAGTATGCACATCGTCATCGCCATCGTTCCTTTCTGAAACTCTGCCTCACTCCAGCTCTCCCCGCTTCCCGCCCTCCCTCCTCTCCAAATCATCTTACATCCCACATCCCACATCCCACTCGCCCAAGAAGCAACCCCTTCCCCCCTCTTCCCCTCTTCTTCCTCCCTTCATCCATTATACTCCCCCAAGACTAAACAAAAACTCCAGATACTATACATACTACCTCTGCTACGCTCGCTCTTCCCCTTCTTCCTCTACTATCTCCCTATCTATATCTCCAGGACGATATCCATTCATTATATATGTATACATGCATACATACATACATACATACATACATACATACATACATACATACATACATACATACATACATACATACATACATACATACATACATACATACATATATACGCGCCATGCTATTCCGTGAGCTTAGCACATCTGCCTTGATTGTGGGAGGCTGAAGCTGCGCTGTTGGAAACCCACACACAAGCCCGACGCGTTCGGAAGATGCAGTGGTCAGCGTCGCCGCGGTGCGGTGCGGTGCGGTGCGGTGCGGTGCTACACTAGACATTGACAAAAGACTAATGCGAGGGAATCATAGTAGGTAGACACTGCCAGAGTGCGGCACGGAAACCTTCACTACGTCTCACGGCAAGGACATGCATGTTATGATGCGACACATATCACAGCCGAAGGACGAAGCCATTGACGCACCAGCAAATCTATTATACTTCGAACTATCGAAGCTGCCAACAAATCCTCCCATGGAACTTTTGATCCGCCGCCAGTTATGTCCTTCCATCGATGAAAAGCTGCTCTGGAGTATCCACCAAGATTTTGCCGCATCCCTCCTCGCCAAATGTTAATATATACTGGTAGTATAAAAGGCCGACGCAGAGCCACCAAAGGAAAATAGAGTGAAAAGGGGAGGACAAGCGGTTGTCGATAATGGAGAAGGATAATCGGCAACCGGCCAGTGATGGAGCATTAAGGCGCCAACAACATAAATAAGAACCCTGAGCGAAAGCAATGGGGTAGCAGTCGACGGGGTCGCTGTTGTTGAGATGTTGAAATAGTTGGCGACTTCCAGTCACATGCGGTATGGAAATGGTCGTCCGGGTAGAATGCCGTCAATATATGACTGTGGTCCAAGAAAGGCGTCTGAGAGGATGCAGCTGGTCCATATCGGAAGAACGATCGTGAAGAATAAGAGTTACACGGAAGTATATCGACATGCGAAGCCGGAAGACTCAAGGGAGACTTGCGAAACGTAGCGTGTCGTCCGTCTACTCGTCGCCGCCCGATCGTCGGCTTGGAGAGACAGAGTTATCGGACTCTTGGACCGGAGTAGCAGGAGTCGTCTTGGTGTCGACACCGTGATCGGATCCGGCATCTTCCGCCTTGAGGGTGCTGGCTTGGGCCATCGGATACATGGCTGGACGAGACATTCCTAGCGTCGACGGGATCGCTGGTGCCCATGGCTGGCGGTAGCGGGCCGATGGCGGCAGGTACGTGGGAGTAGTCCTGACGATGGGTTAGCATGGGCAGAAGCTGTTGCGTGCGTCATGACCTACGCCTGGGATTGCAAGAACATTTCGAACTCGTTGGCCGCCTGCTCGTCCGGAGACATAGTCATGTAGCGGTCAGGCACGGAACTCAATGCCCTAGCCTGAGCAACGCCAACCTCATATTCGGCGGCACGGAAGACACGACCGGCGGCAGTCTGCTGCTTGAGCATCTTCTGCTCATGGGTATCGGAGTATCGGATCTGGATCAGGTGCTCATCACCGCCGGGTTTGGAGACCGGGGTGTTGTTGAAGTTTTTGATGACCTCCTCGCAGATCTCACGCGTCTCGAAACTGGACATAGTCAGCAGTGCTCAGGTCGGGCGCTGATACAGGCTGCAAAAAGTCTCACCGCGCAAAGCCAACACCGCGACCGTTGCCAGAGCTGTCGCGAAGAATCCTGCTGGAGCAGACCTTGTGAGGAGCAAAGATGGCGCCCAGTTCCTGTTGGTTCGTCAGCAGAGCTGTGAGGTAAGTCTGCGAAGCGATAACATACATGCTCGTTCATGTTCTTCGGGATGTTGGACACGTAGAGGTTCGTGTTGTTGTCGTCGGAGAACTTCTTGAGCTTCGAGTAGAACGACTCCTACGAAGGGTTAGCGGAGGTGCTCTGAAGCTGGGCGACATCAGAGGCACTCACCCTAGCAAAGCTGACCTCGTATCCGAGATAATGGAAACCGCGGATGCAGTTCTCAGCGTCTTCGAAGTTGTGGTATTTGATGAAGCCGAAGCTGATGAGGAGGTTAGCAGGGCAAGTGGAACGGGACAAAACGCCCACCCTTTGCACAGGCTCGTCTTCAGGTCAATGATGGACTTTGAGCTCTGGATATCTCCAAAGCGCTTGCCCCAGATATGAAGCATCTCGTCGGTGGTCTCGGGAAGTAGCCCTCGAATGTAGACGTTGGTTTCTCCGGTCTTGTTCTCCAGGCTGCGGTCAAGCGGCTTAAGCGGAGAGCTCGGAGCTGGAATGGCCCGTGGGATCGGCGGGTCCTTGTGGAGAATTGCCATTATGTGAGGAGATATCGTCGGGAGGGTCTGCTGCTTCTGCAGCGGAGCGACAAGCTGGTAGCCGTGGGCCAACTGGGAAGGAGACGGCGTTCCGCTGTTAGTGTACATGCCGTTCGGGGAGCGATCCATGATGGCAGTCGAGGTTCCATAGCGGTATGCTCCGCTGCTGTTGTACGGAGTGCCTGGGATATCGTTCTCATTCGAGGACACAGAATCGCGGCGGGGCGTCATAAGCGAAGGCATGTCGCCAGAAGACACGCGGGAAGCCCATCCCGGTGCGACAGGGCTGTTCTCGACAACGGCTTGGCCGTACTGGTAAGCTGCCTGGGGAACATACGCACCGGCATGGCTGTACATGCCTGGCGAGTGGCCCATGGCAGATTGCTGCTGGTTCGCACCAATAACATTGTACATGGGAGTCAACATATGCTGATTGGTTGTATACCACCCACCTTGGCCCTGAGCCAGGGGAAGGCCGGTATATTCGGTGGAACCGCCGGACATGATCGAGCCGCCAGACTTTGATGCGGCAGAAGAAGCATAGGGGCCGTGGACTCCAAGGGCTGCCATGCTGTTTGTCAGAGACTGCATGTTGTTATCGGCGGGGGATATCGGCAGACCTCGAGGGAGGTACGGGGCCGAGCCGTGGCCTTGTCCAGCCTGGTGGTACTGGTTGAAGTTCTGATTCTTGTAGCTCTGGGCGGACGCCGCATAACCGTTCTGGCGGGTGTTTGCAGCCATTGGTAGTGTTCCTGCGGAAATTCGCTTCTGGAAGCGGAGAGGGCTGGAAGATGGGAGAGATGAGCTGCGAAAGCTGGGGCGGGACGACGACAGACGGAAGAAGTCCTGCTGTCGAAGAGCGCGGACGGTTTGGAGACTCCGAAGCCCTTGCTGTAGCCGCGGCGAGGGACACTCGAAGGGCGGAACGGCGGCGAGTCGACTGAGATGTAGGAAGAAAGACGGTGCTCGGTGGCAGAAGTCAGCTGAAAAGTCTGCTCGGAGCCGAGCTCGGCAAGCGATGAAGAGGAGGGTGAACAGTGGCCCTTGCGAGGAGGCATGGGTGACCCGAGACGGCTAGAGCGGCCGACGCCATGCTTCCTGACGGGGTGAAAGGGAAGGCAGTGAAGGGACGAGAGCACAGAAGCGGTGAGGAGAGACTTACCGAGTCGTAAATGTCAAACTTTTGCAATGTGCGGGGCTGGTAGTGACGCCAAAGCTGCGGAGGGCATGTCAGACGAGTCCGCTCATGGTGGCGAAGAGAAGAGGAGAAGAGGAGAAGAGAGGGAGGAGCAGATGACTGACCTGTGAAAAGCTACAAAGAATGTGGCCACTGAGCGTATTGGTGAGAAAGAAGTGTGGTGTAGAGGAGAAGAAGAAGAACGAAGGGCGGGAGACGAGATAAAAGGATTGAGTGGCGGGGCATTGCCGCTGCCGTGGGCGTGCTCGAGGGAAAGAGCACTCATCGCTTGGTGGTGAGGAGCGCAGGCCATGTACACACAACACCGCGCCCTCGCTTTCCGCGCGACACCGGCGCCGCGGCCGAATCAGGCCATGGGAGAGAGCACTTACCTGCCAAGCAATGCTCACTGAAGCAATAGCGAACGGATACCGATACAAACAGCAATGGCGATGCTCGCTGGACGCGCTGGGTCCGGCGTCGTTCCTGGCCTCTTGTCCCGCGGGCGACGATGCCGTAGGTAAGTGATACTGCGGAAGAGCTGTTTCAATATCGATGTCTGTCTTGGGCTGCGAAAGGAAGCTGCGGTGCGTGTGGTGCTTTGCTCTCCGCGATGGGAGCGTTGCCGGCTTTAATATGACCTGTGCGGGCAAGTGCTGCGGGTACATGTGTCCATCAGGGAGGACTACATGGGACCGCAGCGATTGCATCGCAGACAGTGCCAGGTCACAGCAGTTGGGTACAATACCCGCATCCGCCGCTGGGAGACGATGCCCGTCCGAGACGGCCGTGTAACCTTCCCAGCAGCGACCGGGCGCCACGGCCTGCAGTTCAGCCTCCAGTTGCAGCGGGTTGCTCTGCCGCGAAGGCGAAGAGAAGACGACTGCAGCGCCCTTGCAGCAGGCGTGTAGGCAGACAAGACTGTTGCAGACGTCACTCACCTCAAAGGTGAAGGTGCAAGGCTCTCCAGCCGAGGTGTGATCTGCATGGCCGGAGGATCTAATCTATCACATCCTCGACTTCTCGTCTCCACAATCCCCACAAAGACGCAAACCCCCGCGCCAGCCTCGTAGATAAAAGGCAGATGGGGTGCATTTCTCGGACTGGTATCAGATAACCTTGCAGCGGGTTAGTCTAGTGAGGCTACACAGCAAGGAAAGAATTCTTACGAGGTCTGTCCCCAATCACCCGTCTGTCTGGCGCTCGAAATAGCCATGCGGATAGGTGCAGACGCAGCCCTCCTGTCACCGTAACCGCCATGCTGCAGCTTGTGCCTGCATTTCTCACCAAGCCGGCCGGTCGAGGCCTCGAGTCGAATGTGCCACGCGCCACAGCGAGCGTTGGTAAAGCGCCGCCTTGAGACCGCCGCGGAGCGTCCACAAGCCGTTGCCTCCATGCGATAGTTACCCTTCCGGAAAACGCCTCGATGGAAAATTTCCGGCCTGTATGCAGCCGGTATAGAGAAGCACGCGCATATCCCAAAGCCAGGCAGGGCTCTGTCAGAATCTTGGTCATTGGAGAATACGTTGCAACCATTAGAGACATGGTGACTTGTGCGCTCTAGGTGACCTAGATTCTCGAGGCCATGCGAAACCGGGAGTGCGGCACTGCGAATCGGTTTTCTAGAATCCAACCGTGCCGGCGCACAGTAAATCGTTCGAGGTTGAAGACTAACCGGACTTGTGTATTGCCTCCCTCTGGTGCCCTGCACACAGCCCTTCGAAGCGTTGCTAGGAACAGCGTGCTACCTAGTGACCGAAACGAGCGTTGGCTGCTTCCCCGGTGCCGCCAGGCGCAGAACATGGCGGGCAACGGCGTCGCAAGCAGATATGCAGCCATCCGGAAAATCTGGTTGAAACATTGAGCATGCTTGAAGGCGCAGCGGATGACAGAAGCAGCACGGCTAGTCGTTTGCTGCAGCGAGCAAGCCGGCTCCTGAGGAGCACTTCGGAATTGCGCGCGTGCGGGATCCAGATGAAGAGCGGCGTCAGTGCGGGATTCGTCACATGGTGGACTTGCAGCAGATCCCAGATCATCCCCGATGTGTCATATATGCTGTGCACCATGGGGGCTGCATGCCTCTCGCGTCCGAGAATCGATCAACCGCTCCTCTTCCGTCCAACTTCTAACCTCTTCCACCGTGGCTCGTTTGATGTGACTGGACTCAACCTCAGACCTGGAAGCCGGGATTAATCGCTCGAGTTGGCGACCCAGAAGGGGGTTGGGGTTCCGCTGCAAAGTCTCTGGCTTTTCTCGCGGTCGTACAAGGCTTGATCATAGCCCAGCCTGAAGGCCTTCAGGTGCCCTAAGGAGGCGCAGCGTCTTGCATCAAGGCGTGCTCTGGGACTGGAAGATTACCCAAGGTGCTGGGAAGGTTGCAGATTTGGAGGATGGTCTGTGGGAAACCGTTACGCGCAAGAGCGCGTCCTTGGGGAGCTCCGCTGCAAATCGTTGGTGGACTTTATGGACGCGAAGGAATGCATCACGCAGGCGACTGGCCGTCCGGGACGTCTTGCAGCGTACATATACAGGTGGCTCATGCATCGATAGGAGGGAGAGGCTGGGGTAGCTGGGGCGATGGGGCGCTGATCGAGATAAGGGTTGAAGTATTGCCTTACTATTGTCCAGGCTATTAAGGTATTCCGGCGATAGAATCACGAAGTCGAGAATAAGGACGTGGACACCGGATGGAAACGAGGTGAAGTGAAGTTGCCAGACCCGTTTCGGTCCCGAGGTCGGTTCTGCCACCCACATCCGCCTTGCCTCGCCAATCAAGGATCGAGGCCTGTTCACCAAACGGAGCCGAAGAAGTACGGCAGTTATCACAGCATTAGTTTGCGCACCAGCCCTGCACAATTTCATATCGCTAAATATTGTCCAACTGGCTGGTGTCTATCTACCGGTAGAGTGAAGAGGCAAAGAATTACAGGCACGCTATGCAGCGTAGGGGCCTTAGAAAGCTTTGAAGAGGTTGAAGGTGCAGACGCCAATTTCAAAGTCTTCTCCCACTCAGGCGACGGACAGTATAGTAAGCAAACGCCGACGCTCCATTCTAGACCCACATGACCGTAAATGCTGGAAAGATGTATGTACAATGAAGCTCAACTCCAGACGTCCTCTTGGTACTGGTTCGACGCTCTCATCGCCTTCACGATCTCTTCGCCTTTCGTTTCTGACACGTTTCGGTACTTCGCGATGAGCTTGCCCAGGAGGGAGTTGACCTCGCGAGCCATGTTCGATGCGTCGCCGCAGACGTAGAAGTAGGCTTTCTGTTCCAGGAGCTTGTTGATCTCCTCGCCATACTCCTCCATCCTGTGCTGGACGTAAACTTTCTGCGGCCCATCTCGAGAGAAGGCGGTGTGCAGTTCAAAGTTGTCGCCAAGGATCTCCTTGTATTCCTGAGCAGGCGTTAGCGGGGAACATCAAGCTTAAAGCATAAGGGTTTACTTACAGCCCACTCGTGCTGGTAAAGGAAATCCTCTTCTCTCTTTCTGCACCCAAAGAATAATACTGTTTTGCCGACATTCTGGCCTGACTTGGCGAGCGCGGCTCGCTCTTGGACGAAGGCGCGGAACGGGGCGACACCAGTTCCTGGACCGACCATGATGACGGGTTTTGAGGGGTCTGAAGGAAGTTTGAAGTTGGAATGACGGACGTGGATAGGCACGTGGATACCGTCGTACTTATTGCGCGGCCCGGTAATGGCGTAGTCGAGGCCGTGAGGGTCTGGGGTTGGGTCGCCATGCTGCTTTTGCTTCAATGACAGGAGGTAGTTAGTGGTAACGCCCTTCAGAATGTGCGGAGCTCCCTCCTTATGCATAGACTCGACGACGGCCGTAATGGAGATCTTGTCTTTCTGGACGAAGGAGGACGAGGAGATGGAGTAATAACGAGGTTGGATTTTGAGCAGGCCTTCAATCATGAGGGAGAAGGGAATCTTAGACCATGGCTCGCCCTTGGAAACGATCTCGAGCAGCTGCGCAAGGTTGAGGTTGCGATCGGTTACTTTCTCGTGGAAATAGTCCTTCTCGCTTCCGAGCTTGACCATTTCGGCCTTGATATCATCGTTGGGAGAGAATTGCGCAATGGCCGACACGAACTGACGGGAGACGGGCGCACATATTTCCATGTGGTAGCGAACCACAGCATCGTAGGTGGTTGGCGACGGGAAGGGGACCTTTGCCGTGGGATCCAGGCCCTTGACGGTAATGACGGTGTGACGCTTCTCACCAAGGCCGAGGATATTCAAGAAGCGATCCACCTCCTTGCCGGCATTCGTGGGCCAGATAGCGATGTGGTCGCCAGTCGTGTAGGACAGATTGGATCCATTGATACCGATTTCCATGTGGAGGCAGTTCCTGTCGCGTGCGTTGAAAAGCTCGGAAGACTCCAGGATAGGGGCAATGAAGGGGTTGTTGGCGTTGTACGGACCCTTCTGCGCGCCCTCGAGGTGGTTCTTGTTGGGCTCACCAAGGTACACTGTGTCATCTTCGGCGCTCAGCTCCGGCTTGTCTGTGATCTCGAACACAGGCTCGTAGACGGCCTCGCGCTCCTCCAAACCCATGCTCTCGCAAACAGAGGCCCACATGGGCTCCTTCCATGCAAGGAAATCTTCCTCCATGGTACCGGCACCATCGTCACCCTCGCCCGCAGCCCCAAGCCTGGTCGCTCCCAGCTTGGTCAAGAACTTGTCCACATTGCGAACCATGGAATTGTAGTGCTCGTACGTGTTGTTTCCTAGACCGAACGCGACGTACTTGAGGACGCCGAGGGGCTTGTCGTCGGCAGTGCCACCCTCGCTGAAGGTGATGTCTTCGGAACCTATGAACTCGTAGAACTCGACGGCGTTGTCCGTGGGCTCGCCCTCGCCGTAGGTGGCAAGCACGAATACGGCAAGCTTGTCCTCCGGGAACTTGTCGAGATTGTCATAGTCGTAGTCCTCCAGGTCGGCGACCATGGTGTTCAGTCCGAAGCGCGAGTGTCCCTCCTTGGCCAAGCGGGAGGCATAGTCCTCGGCGGTGCCCGTCTGGCTGCCGTAGAAGACCACGCAGTTCTTGTCCGACTCCTCCATTTTCTCTATTATGTTCCGGGACTTGCCCGCCTTCGCCGCGCCATTGCCGGTGGCCAGCGAATTGCCGTAGGGGTCCCCATAGACGGCCCAGTAGGTGCCCTTGGTGAAGTAGGCGACGGTCCCGAGGAGGAGGGCGGCGAGCACGATGATGTCGAGCGTGTCGAGTTGCGCCATGGTGGTGCTGAGAAGCAGTCAGCCAGCAGATCGCAGACGCACAGCTGCGTAGTCCTCACAGAAAGCGGTAGAGGGGCTGTTCGGAAGTGCACAAGCGGTGGAATATTTGTATGCGGCGTTCGGCGGCGGTGGTGGGTCGGCGCGGTCGGTTCCCCTAGCGGGTGCTTCTGCCTGTGTATTGCAGACTTGCCTTATCGGGAGTTATCGGCTGATGCAGAACGAGGGCGCGGCGAAGCAGCAGGGAGTCGACTGCGCTGTCTTCAAGCTTGTGAAAATGGCACTCGGAGAAGGTTCGGTGGGTGACAGTGGTGCCGTCAACGATGTCGGCACAGCGCCGCGCGAGCGACGGGTGAGAGCGAGCGTGAGTGGCCAAAGGTCGGAACGCTGCAATTCCGCCTGCGGATGGTGAGAAGATTCCAGCAACACGTCGTGGCGCCGAGCTCGCTGGCTTTCCGCGAAACGGACCCCACAAGCTCAGAACGACTTCCGCCGTGTGGGGTAGCGCACGAGAGGCGAGCGTTGTACGAGGCGGTGCGCGCGTCAAAGGGCAACGACTTTCGCAGGTCAATGGCTTCGGAGTTCAGCAGGAAGACGAAGTTGAGCTGTGCGACCTCAGATTTGCAGCGACCCCTGTCTTTATATGCTGGCGGAGAGTGCACAGTAAGCTCAGCACTGTTCATCTGTCGCTCGGGCGAGCACTGCCAGTCGCGGCCGTCATATGGGACGACAGCGACGAGCAACGGCCTTAGTGCGTACGAGAGCAGTGAGCTTTTGGCACAGTCAACCTTGGGACTGTCCGGTGTCGCCTCAGTCACCGCCGGGTTGACATGGGTGACATGATGCGTCTGCTGCCAAGCTGCCATCGTGGGACTCTGGCGTCCGGCAACGCAGCCGGCAGCTTCGAGCACTCCGCGCGCGCCGTTCGCGAGGCGGGCAGCATTATTGTTCCTGACAGCGTGTTCGTTGCAGAGAATCGCCGTGTACCTAACCACGCCATTGGGCGCCGGCAGCCCTGCGCAGCCTACGGGCATGCGGGCACCTCCACGACAACCCAGTTCCACACTCACGGCGTGGCCACCAGTCACTCCCATCCGCGAAAGATCACAGAGCGCGACAGGTACCGCGGCCCTGGGCTGCGCGATAATCTCCGCCGCCGCCGCTGGATCTTCAGGTCAGGGCCGTGGGGATGCGCACCCGAGCGATCAGTGCTATCGACTATCGGGTTAGCCGCTCAGGGACGACCTGAAGCCGCACCAGGGGTCCCGCGATTTCGTCCATCGTCTGCGCAGTGACCGATGCCACGCCAGACATCACCCCGATCCCCGTTCTCACCCCAAGTCCTCGGCCGTGAGCCGCAACGAGCCGGCCGCAGTCTCTCCGCGCACCCAGATGACGAGCCTCGCTAGGCCGGCGGCATGTGTAAGTCGGCCTTTTCTCCTGCACTCTTGGGGACCCGCTCGAAACGGCCCAGAGCCCAAACGGCCGCGAAACGCTCCCCTAGACGCACGCGGCTGCGCGGCGTTTGCTACTGTCAGGGCTGCTGTATCATGCCGGAGCTTATTTGGACGTCCAATCTTGCCTTGCCGTGTCCATTGATTGATTTGCTGACCCCCGCTCCGCTCTGCAGCTGCTTCCTCCCCACTGGCACAAGCTCGACCGGCTGCTGGGAATCCGTCGCACCATATAGAAGGCCCCTTGGGTTCCTCTGCCCCGTCCCGTGAGCCCTCGGTGACACGCGGTCGAGCGCTGACTACCTCGTCTCGCACCATTTCGCCGCGCTCGCAAACGCCTGCCGTCGTCGTGCCCAGCAGCAACTCGAGCCCCGACCGGAGCATTGAACGCAAGCCCTCGCTCCCCTATGCCCACAACCGCCAGACCTCCATCGTACATGGCATCCAGCATTCCCGGAACACGAGCTTCGTGAACTCGCCCGCCACCAGCCCGCTGAGTCCGCACGTCATTGCCGCCGCCGGCGCCCCTCTCGATGGAACCGCCATGTCACAGGAGAGCATAGCCGAAGCCCTCGTGGGGAAGGGAGCACACGCCGGTGGCGCTTCAACGAATGGATATGCCGCCGGAGGAGCAACAGCATCAGCTGCCGGCGATGGCAGCGCTGCCCAGCGGAGGCCGGAGAGGGCACAGAGCGCGCGGTCGCGAAAGGGCGGGCAGCACCACCACCACCGCTCTCAGTCTCGTCACCACCAGCACCATAGCGAGCTGAAGACCGTGGGCGAGTATGCCCTGCACCACCTGTTCAATTCGGTGAGTGTGCCATGGCGGCGCTGCAAGCCAAAGCTAATGTGAAATGGCCAGTTCATCAGCCAGGCGGATTCGAAAATTAACCAATGCATGACCGACCGCGGCCAGCCCGAAGCCAGAGTCGAGCTCGTTTGTGGGCCTGGCGTTGACCCCAACTTCGACCAGCTCATATCCGCACTCGGCCACATCGCGCGCCACAAGCCCAAGCCCCCGATAGACACAATAATGCTGTGGCGGAAGGACAAAAGCGACAAGGCAGCCGGGGCGCGGATGCACCTTGCAAATGTGGGTATCCATCTCGCTGTGTGGATGTTATGCTGATCGTGGAAGGCCCGACAAGCGACGTCGCTGCCCCCCTCCGTGCTGCCTCGCCGCAACACCGAACCACTCCAGCACTCGGACGGCCACGTTGCGCCGCCCGCCGCGGCAGGGCCCGAGCAGATGATTGCCCTGCAACACTCAGTCATGCAGGCCGAGCAGCGCTCAACCGTCTCTACCTACATTCTCTGCCGGGTGTTGATAGAGATCATGACGCAGACCGATCTTCAGAGTCTCACTACTGACATGGCCGAGCGCCTCCTGAGTCTATTTTATGGGCAGCTAAATACCGTCGACCCCGACCGGGTAGAGGACTCCCCCCTTAACCACGCAAATTGGGTCATTTATGGTCAGCTGCTGGGCGTTCTTAGCGAACTCATATTTGATAGTGTCCAAGAGAAATTCATCGCCGACCTCCGGGTCGTGGACGCTCAGTCTTCGGTAAAAGGCCAATTCAACAGGGACGTCGAGTCGAAAGGGGCTTTGCTTGTGCGAGGGATGCGCTACATGAGAGTCAAGACATATCCTGGAGATGCTTGGGACCGCACCTGCGATTTCATGCTGTCGCTCGCAAAGCTCTTTGCCAATGTGCATGGACAGATGATCAAGTACGCGTACTGCCAGGTTCTGAGGGAGCTACTAATACGGATCGCTTCGAAAACCACCATCGAACTCAATACACCGAAATGGAGGAGTGTAGTCGAAACGATGAAGCAACGATGTTCGCTTCTCCTCAGCAAGCCTAAGCACTGGCAGGAAGCATATCCGCTTATGTCGGCCTTACTCTGCGTCTCGCCTGCGGAGACCTTCACCACTCAGTGGTTATCGCTTGCCCTGTCCACACAGCCAAGATTAAAAGAACGCGCGACGAGGGCGATCGCTCTAAGAGGCATTTGTCAGCTCGTATGGACATATCTTTACCGGACCTCGACCGACTCTCCGAACGTCGCGGTACGGAGGCTGGAGGACATTGTTCGCATGGTTTTTCAGCCCGGCAAACGGTCCTATCTCTCCACGGAGCCCGCAATTGCGGAGCCTCTGATACAACTCGCCCGGATCATTGGCTTCAAGTATCAAGATCTGTGTTTCAGGACCATCATCTTCCCGCTGTTGAACTCTGACATGTTCACCTCGGGCCGAGACCTGCGGGTGGAGAACTTGGAGCCTGACCGCATGGTCATTGCTATTCGATCGTTCCTTGCGATCATGGCTGACTTGGAAAAGGCCGAACAACCGCCATTCCCTAGTTCTTTTGAGTCGGACCCAAATGCATATACCACCGACCTACCCGCCCTTCCAGTCAGCCCGCGACCTCTGCAACACATGTCGATCAAGTCGTCTCTGCTCAAAGAGGAGCGGCTCTCGCGGCCTGTCAACTTTACCGGATTCGCTGAAGTTGCTAAAGAGTACTACATACGATTCTGCAAGATACTGGGAGAGATAACCATCATCTGCGACAATGCCTTCGGCGGACAGGCGGTCCTGGACGAGAAGTTTTCGCTACAAACGCCCAAAACTCCCATGTCTGAGGCGTTCAGTTTCGGACGTCGGGACGATCACCAAGCCTCAACAGATCCTCGTCAAGGCTTCTACGACCTCCTGCATGTTGCGGTGCAAGCCTTGCCGCGCTGCTTATCCCCCCATATTCCCTTTAACTCTCTCATCAATCTTCTTTGCACTGGAACGGCTCACGTCCAGGGGAATATCGCCTTGTCATCTGCTCAGTCTCTGAAGTCAATTGCGCGGCAATCGCATGCTCAGCAAGTGACAATCGGGTTCGCTAGATTCATATTCAATTTCGATGACCGCTATTCCACCATGTCCGACGGTGGAATGTTGGGCCCAGGCCACATCGAGAGCACTCTGAAGTTGTATGTCGAGTTACTACAGATATGGATAGAAGAGATCAAGCAAAAGACTAGAAAAGCCGCCCTAGACACCCCGGACGATGGGTCAGGCAACAGGGGCGTCCAGCTGGACCTTTCATCAGTCTGGGCGCACGTCGATGAGGTCGAGTCTCATGGCCTCTTCTTCCTGTGCTCGCCCTCTTGCCGGGTGCGAGCATATGCTGTTACGGTTTTACGACTCATCACCGAGTTCGACACCGCACTTGGCGGCTCAAGTACAAGAATCATAAGGGTGATGGAGGGAAGTCCGCAGAAGGTCATGGATATCAGTGACGAGAAACTCTCCCTCGCTGAAAGGAGCCGTCTCCAGCGTGGTATGCGGAAAAGCAATGTCCAAAGCACCCTGGTTGAGCTCTGTAGTAGCGACGTGCCTTACGACGCTACGCTCTGGTTCAAGATCTTCCCTAACCTCGTTCGCATCAGTTTTGAGGTCTGCCCGTTTGCCGTTACCCTCACTCGCGATATCGTTTGCGCTAGGCTCTATCAGATGCACCGGACATTACTCTCGCTCACGGAAGGACCCCGAGCGAGCCCGTACGCTACTTTCGATACCAGCACAGGAAAGACCAGCAGCCGCCTTGCAACAACATCGCCTGAAATAGTCATCGAACAATGGAAGCTCTACCTTATCTTTGCTTTCACGACATTAACCAACCTCGGCTTCAGCACGCAATCGGCCCATAGCCAGATGGCGCATTCCAGAAAAAGTTCGAAGTCGTCACAGAAGAGCGCAAACAAGGTATATTCTGCCGGCGAGCTTTTCGCGAAGGTCTTGCCGTTTCTGTCAGTGGATAACACCGCAATACGAGAGGCCGCAGTCGTGGGCCTAGGTTCCATCAACATCAATCTATACCGCACACTACTCGAATCACTGCAAGGCCATGCTGCAGCTTGCGCGGAAGAAGCCAAGAGCCGTTTGGGCATGCACAATCGAACCATCAGCAGCCCTCGCCGCAGCCGTCGAACCGACCATCTTCGAACTGAGATCACCCATGTTTACAAGCTTACGTCCCATTTTCTCAAGCTGCCCGAAGCATACAGCGACGACTGGATTCTCAACAATCTCGTAAACTACACCAAAGACCTCCGGATCTTTCTAAGCGACGCCGAGGTACAAAACGAGTGGGATTTTCAAAAGCTTCGCACCCATTACTGCGGTCTTATAGAGGTTTTGTTTGAAGGGATCAACAAGACTAGCGATCCCCTCCAATGGATGCCCTTCCAAGCTCGCAAGGCGGCGTTTACCCTGATGGAGGATTGGTGCGGATACTCAGCGAACCAGACACAGATTCGTCAACGAGAAGAGAACATGAGACGATCCATGCTTGATCGCGAAGCGGATCTAGGCAACAAGGGCATAGCGACGGCAGCAATGGAAATTGAGAAACGAGATCTACGAACAGCTGCTCTCAGCGCTATGGCCGCTCTTTGCGGCGGCCCGGTCAGCATAACAACTGATAGCAAAGTCCTGCTCCAGTTCGACGTTCGTCGTATGCTCTCCTGGATTGACAGCATCTTCGAAACTCCTAGCGATCGGACTCACGCCATTGGCCGCCGAGCGTTGACTAACCTCATTCTGCACAACCGCGAGCACCCCTATCTTCTGGACCGAGCCATCGAGATGTGCTATCTCTCAAAATCATCCAAAGCACTCGAAAGCTACTTCGAGGTCGTCACCCGGGTTCTCACTGAGCGCGAGGATTACAAACTGCCGTACTGGAAAGTGCTGAGCGCCGGCCTCTACACCCTCGGCCACGAAAACAACGAGTTACGTATGAAATCCGCACGCCTACTGCGCACGCTTGAAGCCCGCGAGCAGAAGAACTCCAAGCTTCAGGATTTGGACATAAGCATTTCCGACAAGACTATTGCTGTCTACAAACTAGCCCAATTCGAGACCTCCAGGCGACTTGCTAAGCAGCATTCGGAGCTTGCTTTCCTTGTCTTCTCTCAATTCTCATATTATTTCAAGGAGTTACAGCCCGATCATCAACGTAACATGGTTGCTGCCATGTTACCATGGGTGCAAACTGTGGAGCTCCAGGTAAATCCGGATGGCGGGCCTACCGCTACCTCATACATGCTCCTCGTCAACCTTTTTGAAATCACGGTCCGCTGTGGCAACGCACTACATAACGAAATCCAAGCACTCTGGCAAGCTCTGGCAACGGGGCCGCACGCTGGCAACGTACAGCTGATTTTAAACTTCATCATCAACCTCTGCTTAGAAAAGCGAGAGCAAAACTATGTGGACTATTCGAAGCAGATTGTAGTTCATCTATCGAGCACTCCGGCAGGTCTGAAAGTGGTCGAGTTCTTGCTGCTGCAGATCAACCCGCGATCCATGGTCGGAGAGAAGCGCGAACCTACTCCCCCGCCTCCAGACGCTGACAAGCTTCCATATCTTGCTGATCTAGGCGCTCTGCTGCCTACCAGCAACAAGCAGGCAAGTCATCCTACCCTCAAATTCTACTCTACGTGCTAACCACTCTCAGTCTGGATTCGCCCTAGGTCAGATTTGTCTCATACTGCTTGTGGATCTCATGGTATCTCCCGTCCAGCTCGCCAGCGAACATGTCCCTCTACTTCTTCAGGTGGTTCTAGTTTTGTGGGACCATTATACTCCCGTCGTTCAGGACCAATCTCGGGAGATGCTTGTTCATCTCATCCACGAGCTTGTCATTTCAAAGATTGAGGATGATACGAGCGGCATCGATAAGAGGTCGATCGAAGACTTCATCGATAGCGTGCGACGGCACGATACGAAAGTTGTGTGGAACTACGACGACAAGAACGGAAAATACGCCGAAGATGCGGGCACAAGGGTACCCGAGTCTATGACATACGTCGCCGATGAAGTTCTTCGATTCTTTTCTCTCGCTTACCCAGGTCTAAGGGAAGCGTGGGGAAAAGTGGCTCTAAATTGGGCCACGTCATGTCCGGTACGCCATCTAGCATGTCGATCATTCCAGCTATTTCGATGCATCCTTAGTACCTTGGATCAGCAGATGTTGTCCGACATGTTGGCAAGGCTCTCCAATACCATTTCGGATGACGAGAGCGACATTCAAACCTTTTCGATGGAAATTCTGACGACGTTACGAACAATCATCGAAGCCCTGCAGCCTGAAGACCTCATCCAATACCCACAGCTTTTCTGGACTACCTGCGCTTGTTTGGACACCATCCATGAAGGGGAATTCGTAGAGAGTATGCTCATGCTGGAAAAGTTCATGGATAAGATTGATCTAGGAGATTCTACTGTCCTCCACATCCTAGAGGACAATTGCCCCGAGAAATGGGAAGGACAATTCGAAGGTCTTTCCCAGCTCATATACAAGGGCATCCGGTCCAGCATGTGTCTAGATCGCTCACTCCGCCTGCTCGACCGACTAGTTGTTCTGCCTTCCAGTCGCATAGTTGGTGACGAAAGTCGGCTCGTTTATACCGTCCTCGCGAACCTGCCCAGGTTTCTGCGATCCTTCGACCAGGGTGCCAAGGATCCAGCCGTCAGCACCAGCGCTGAGCTCCTGGCCCAAGTAGCAGAGGATTACCAATGCGATAACCTCTCTCAAGCATTGACCGCTTTCGCCAAGAAGCGGTACAGGAATGACAAAGACTTCCTCGCGCAAACCATCTCATCCATTCGGTCATCCTTCTTCCCCGATCTAGAATTTGGGAGTCTCATCTTCTTACTCGGTCTTCTTGCGAACAAGCTTGACTGGATGAAGATCAACACGATGGAGGTTTTGTGCGTTATCATACCAGAGATTGACATGCGGAAACCAGAGATTGCCAACAAAGGGCCGGATCTCATCTCACCACTACTGCGTCTTCTACAGACGGAACTCTGCCCCCAAGCTCTCAGGGTACTAGACTTCGTCATGAACTTCACAGGTGGCCCGGTACCTCTACAAGTGGAGCATATGCATATTCGCATGAGCATGGCTGGCTCTCATACAAGCCGAGCTTTCAAGAAGCAGTATGAGAAGATGAAGTCGCTATATGGCGTTCCCGAAGAGACTGGCTGGTCAATTCCCGTTCCCGCGCACCACTCACACTTAACGAGGGCAAATGTGCACGCTGTCTTCTACACCTGCGGTAACCTTGAGGACATCGATGCAGCGCAAGTCACAACACCCAAGATAGAGTTCCGTCAAGAAGAGTTCCCATTCAGCCCTCTTTCCGACTACCGCACAGAGACAATGACCTCGGAAGATACCCGTGGTGACAGCCACATCGGAGAGCTGGTCATGAAGCTCGACAGCCTGGATGACTTCTTTGAGGATGACGACGACACGGAGACCTTGACCGACCTACCCAACAGCTCGGTATTCGGCACCAACCGGTACGCGAACGGATCCTACTCCAATGGCACGCTCGACATACGGGAAAATCTCTATGACCAGCAAACAGCGCCCATTCTCCACAAGTCGCTCAACCGCAACGGAAGTGTCACGTCTTTCCAATCCGGCTTTTCCGACGTCAAGCTATCCCCGGCACGTGATCCAGGCGTGATGACCCCCGCAGCCTTCAGTTCTTTCTCCTCCGCGCCAACCGCAGTTAGTGCTGCGGCTGTTCCTCCCGTCCCTCGTCCTGGCCTCCACTCTCGCTCCGTAACCTCGCCCTCGGCTCCAAATCAGGTCCCACGTCTCTCACCGGCTCTCTCATCTACCGCTCTCGACGAACACGGTGAGCCCTTCTCAGACGATGATTTCGTCACTGGCCGTTCTAGCAGTAGTACTACAGCCCCCGACAAGACCTTTAGTCTGGAGAACATGATCAGGCCATTGACGCAGGATACGAGGAGTAGGATACGGAGTGGCATGCGGAGGCTGACGGGGAGCAGCAGCGATGCGAGGGAGAGGGAGAAGACGAGAGAGGCAATCAAGCTGGCGCTTCAGAAGAGCCCTCAAGTCCCAAAGGTGCCCGATATTTATCTGGTCCAGCAGAATCCGAAGAGTGCCGATCCTTGAGCGCGGCGTTGGCGTGCTATCTGTGTCGATTTTATAATGGGAGGTTGTATGTACGGCGCAGGACACCTCGCAAAATGTTGTTAGTATGCGCGATCTTTGGGGAGGCGCTTTCATATGGAGGCATCTATGTTGTCACGGATGGAGTGGGAGCAGGGTCGCTTTTCAACATCATAGATGCGTGGGTAGATACCAACGCTCTTTCGCGATACCAGATCTATTAATGCAAAATCAGGGGTTCAGGCCGTCATTCATCCACCCCATCCATCCATTCATTCATTCCGCGTTCTTCTCTATGCGTGCTTTGAATACATAGATATCCTGCCAATTCCCTCTCCACCACCAAACACAAAATATCGCCCTGTTCATCTATATCCTTCTACTACGTCTACTCCACAACCCGGAAAATCACCGCCCGGCACAAGGGGCATTTAGCTTGTGCTGCTGCCGCACTCTCTCCTCCTCCTCCTCCTCCTCCTGCAATCAGCCGGCGCAGACATGCAGTGCAGAAGTGGTGTCCGCATACTTTTAGCGCGCGCATCGCGAGATCTGTGCTACCGCCGCCGCCGCTGCTGCTGCTGTCCTCATGGCAGATTCCGCAAGTCATGGTAGTAGCCGTAGCGCTAGATGATATGAGGGGTAGGATGGACGATGCGTTTTGCTGGTGGCGCGGATTCAGCAGCAGGATTTGCGGGAGGAGGGTGCGCTGTGGGTTGCGGCGCGGGAGCGGGGGGCGTGGGCCGGGAGAGGGAGAGCGGAGGCGTGCTGGTTGTGGTGCTGGGGGAGAAGGACGTAGGCGTGGTGGGGGAGGAGAAGGGATGTTTAAGGATAGGGTGGGCTGGATGCGGCTACTGGAGCTGGAGCTGGAGGGGAAGTCTGCCTGTGGGGTGATGGATATGGAGACGTGGATGGAGTGTTCGAGGCTGCAGGCGCAGGTTAGGGTTATGTTGCTGTTGCTGTTGCTGTGGTGGGTGTGGTGGCGGGGCATTGTGTGTGTGGAGGTGAAGGGGTGTGGTGATGGGGAGAAAATGGTGATGGGTTCTTGAGAGACGGGCGAGTACAGTGAGTGCAGTGCAGTGGATATGGAGGGGATATGGAGTGGGATGGAAGGGAAGGTGAGCGAGCGAGCGTTTGGCGGTGATGTGATGTGATGCGATATGTGTGCTGGATAATGGCTGTGCTGGTAAAAGTTCTGAAGTGAGCTGGTTGATTGGAGCAAACGAGAGTACGCGAGTGACTTACAAGATAGCCACTCTGCTGCGTGGAACACTGTAGAGTAGGCTGAGTATTCGATGTCGATTGTGTTGCGATGGATATTTCGTGCGGGGGCGTTAAAGGAGCTGTGTGAGGGTGGGATGGGCATCGTTTGGAGATGGGTGAGAGATGCACTTAGGACGAGGGAGAAAGGGACGGGTTAGATGCACAAAGGTTGAAGCAAACTCAAGAGCAGTCGAGCTTCTAATACAAAATCCAGAGACTTACGGGTGGCCGGAATAGACTACAAGACGAGGGGCGTGGGGTAGGAGGGCATTTGGCTTAGATACAGATGGTACGTCTAGTCTGCGAAAAGACGCCATAGCGGGCAATAGGCCTTCGCTAGCTTGAACATAGCTTACTTCACTACTCACTCACCGCTTGTTCCTGAGTCTCGACTCTGTCTGGCGTGCGTTTGCAATCTTACTTTATCGCACGAGCTCTCTGTCTTGCACATCTCCCTGCAGTCAACCCTCCTACGAAAGAGACGGCGCAACCGAAAATCTCGCTCCTTGGATGATTCGGCGCACTGCTTTCTACGTTCCTGATAGCGGCGGCTTTAGAGGTTGAGCTGACAGGAGTGGACAGAGCGATCATGAAGTGAGCGACAAACTTTGACAGAGGTTGCGAGAAGCCGATGCAACCAACCTCCTACGCTGCACGCGCGCGTTTGCAAACGACCCCTCCTCCTCAAAGTTTTGCGCGGTCGCCCACCTTCACTTCATTTCCCTCTCCCCTCAGCGCACTGCCACGCGCTCCCTCTCTCACCCACCAAAATTCCCTCACCTCACAATTGCATACCCTATAAATATAAAATTATTGAGCAGTTCTTTTACAGCAGGTTGAGGATCAGTATCCCGGGGAGTTTTGCGTCTACTCGCCGGCTGCCTAAAGTAAAAACCCACCAGTTCTCACTGGGAGAAATTCCGAGGCCACCTGGGGATGTAGCAGCTGGGTCTTTCAACAAGGCTTTCAGCAATATGCTCTCTTCTAGGGCTGTATTATACGATCTTTTTTTTTTGGGCGTGGGTTCGAGTATGGGATGTGACGTGCGGGGTTTGGTTTGGTGTTTTTTGTGCTTTTGAAGTGAGAGTGAGAGCGGGGAGGGTTGGAAGGTTGGAAGGTTGCAAGCTCGGTGAGCGAGGTGTCCCCAGTCTTGACAGAAGGCATGCCGGTGCAGACATACATTCAGCGGTTTGCTATGTCCCCGCCTGACGTAGATGCTTAAGATATCGTCGCCGCCTAGTACTCGACTCTGCGAAAGTAGTCGTCCGGTGCCGGATTCTGACTGTATATATAATATGAGCATGGCCATGCTTCGGAACGCATCATGATCGTGCTCTAAGTCCCAGACATGTGCACTAATAGAATAGAGTGGAAAGACGTGTAGATTGATTTGATGTAAGAAATGTGTTGGGCGAGAATTGTGCGAAGAGCAGAGCCCGCGCTCTAAACTGCCTTTTCTGCTGTTTTGTTTTTGACAAACCCTTATGAGAGATGCCCATTTACTCTCTTTAAACATGCGTGGGAGAGTTTTAGAGCCGAAATGTATGATTTGACGTTGGCGTCGTTTGAGAGAAAGGGCTTGTGGTAACAGACTGGGTAGCGCAAGAGCGTAAAGGCAGAAGGAACTTACGGTAAGCTCAATTCGTGGTATACTTAGAAGGAAATTCTCTATGCGTGCTTTTGACAATTGCAAGATGTTGGGAGACTTGACTTACGGGCCGGCGAAGAGTGAGTGAGCGACGTCGCCGGGGCTTGCCCGTGTTCAGCCTAGCGCGAACTAGGGTTGCCTACACCGAAATTATTCGAACTTTTCGAGTTGCAAAGGCGCGGCATCACCAGCAGGCCATGACTTAGCCATGGGCAAACGAACAATTTTCGAGGCCAATTCGAAGGCCGGGCACGATGAGCGACATACAAAGCGACAAAGAATCAGCCGGTCCCACGACCGAGAGCTGCAGACAGGCGCATCTGCGGAGAACGAAGTCACCTCCGCAAGCCAACTGCGGGACGCTCTTGTCTTCCAGCAAGGCTCTGCCTCTGGACTCCGAAGCGGTAGGCGCCCTACATGGCCCTCCTCACTATGCATAGCTAACTGTCATAGGGCTCCATCTCCTGAAACAATTCCTTGATTCCATCCTGTACTCGACCGAAGAACATGACCTGCCCCGCAAACGCGCCGTCCTCCGCGAATACCTTGACACTCAAAAGGAAAAGGCCAAAGATGCAAAGGATACTGTTCTCCTTCCGCAACTTACACAAGCCTGGGATTTCGCTGCAGAGACCAACTTCGAAGCGCTCCTCACCCAGATCACCGCCATCCTCGCGCTGCTCTTCAAAGTCTTTTCTACCTACGCAGACTTCCATCAATATGGTTCGCTGCTTTGCAAAACGATACTACAACCATCTGTTGCCAGGCGCCTCGTCCGGAGCTTGTCGGCGCAGACGAGCAAGGAACATGTCATCATGCCGGCACTGCGGCTGCTCACCGAGATAACAAAATTCGACGAGGGCGCATTCGCGAGGGCGGTATATACGAGAAGAGATTTTACGCTTGAGCCTAAGACTCTTGCGAGGAACATCGGTACATGGAAGGATTCAACAGGGCAGACGGCGTTGGAGCGCCAGCGGAAACCCAGCCTGCGGACCATTTCAGTTCGATATCTTCTGACCCACCTGAAGTATCAAGATGAGCGCGCGAAGACCGAAATTGTATCCAACAGGGACGTTGTCAGGGCTGTGCTCGATCACTTGACTACCGACCCGCCGTTCCTCATCTCGGAGATTTTTGACGTTTTCAAAAGCCATGTCTTCCTGGATAAGACTATCCCTCGTCACGTCAAGAGTCGCATTCTGAATGGAAGGGCCCTCATCCATATCGCCGGTCTGTACAGGTATGAGCCACCTGAGGGCTCTCTCGCAGAGGGCGAGAAGGCCCCAGATGCACTCGCGCATGAGTTCCTGCGCATGGTTTGTACGTCTCCGGCGTACGGAGTAATGCTGCCCACGCAAGGCTTCTACGCTCATATAGGCGAGGATGATGAGGGCCATGCCCCCATAGAAGACTTCGCGGACCTTGGCGACGACCTAGACCTTGAGATAGCCGAGAGCTTTGGAAAGCCAGGACGCGTACGAAACGTCATCCTAGCCGATTTTCTACAATCGCTCCGGCCGTATGCGCATACTATGCACCAGGAACTTGTGATCGAAATCTTCAAGGCTTGTCCGGAGCTCGTGGCTGACTACTTCCACCGAAAGCAAGACTTCAATTACGACCCGAAGCTCACTTCGACCTGGATCGGCTTTTCCGCCCTTCTCTATCAGACCATAGAGCTGCCCGTGCCTTCTCTTTACGGCACAAGCAAAAAATCGCGCGACTACCCTCCTCCTATCTATCCTATGCTCCATAGCATTCTCCCGCAGCCCTTGACGCAGCAAGTGCTGGTTAAGTGCTTGAATAGCAGTTCCGATCTAATCTCATTCTTTGCTGTCCGCGTTCTGCTAGTCGCGTTCCAAAAGCTACGAGCGGTATTGAGAGAGCTCGACAATGCGTCCCGGCCCGGAACTTCAAAGCTTTGGGCCAACGCGTCGAAGCGCCTGACCGGCGAGTTCAGCCAGCGCTGTCCCCCAATGAGGACTATCGTTGTAGCGTCCAGGCAACCATCATTCCAAAAGCGATTGAAAAGGGAAGCGATAACCCGACTGCTCAGGCTATACTATGAGGTCACCCCTCAGGTTGCGCTTGAAGAGAAGTTCGACGTTTCGGTGCCTCTATGCAATGCCCTTACCGAAGTTGAGAAGTCGACAGAGTCGGCAGAGGATAAAGCGTTCCGCGTCATGGAGCTTGAGCACTGGATACAAATGGCAAGGCATTCTCCTTCGATGCGCTGGTGGCAAAGGAACAGTAAGTGCTTCTCATTAATCACAACATCCCAAAGGCTGACTTTTCAGAATCTCTTCAACATTCTCCTTTCCTCACCCTCATGAAGCTTGTTGCCACTTCAACCGAGAGCGAGCTCTATGCTGGAGTCAAGGCGCTCCTCGTTGCTATCCTGCGCGACCATGAGATGCTCCAGATGAAGACGTCTCCGGACGCTCTAGAAGCCCTCATCGCCAGCTTAGGTGCATCCTGCGGTGCTTCTGCGCCATCTTCTCAGGTGGTGGAGTTCCTTGATGAGTGCTGCGCACGCTTCATTAAGGTACCCATCAAGTACTTTGATGATCTTGATACCCTTTGTGCACAGCATACTCATTCCAAGTCCGATATCGGACTCTTTAGTCCGCTTCTCATGACTATGGTCGAGCAGTGGCCTTTCAAGGGCGGAAAGTCGGAGAAGGGTAATCCAGCGGAGCCTCTAGCCCAATGGCTTGCGAAGCTTCTCTACCTGCTGAAGCTTATTGGGGAAGACGAGTCCGTCCTCGAGCTCGTGCGGGACTCTCTGGTGGAGTCGGCTGATAATGCGTACAAAGACGTACTCAAGGATTCCTTCTTGTGGAAAATGGGCAAAGAGAAGGCAAAGGAGGCGTTGAAGCTAGCTACGGGTGTGGATTTCAGTGGGTCTGAGAGATCCAGTACCTCACCGATTCCGCCTGAGCAACTAGAAGAGCCCAGTAAAACGACTCCCACGATTGACATGGAGTTACCCCCGAAGGAGGACGAAAAGCATGCCGGCCTTAATCGTTGGAGGAAGAAGGACATTGAGGAGAGTATTGAGGATGGAGATATTGGAGAGCTTTTGCTTTGTCTTTGCTCAAAGCATCCTGAGATTCGCCTGCAAGCTGCTAGCAATATCCGCCAGCTTATGGCGACGCTCGACGTACGTCTCTATCCACCACTTTGCGATAGACGCTAACAACATTCTAGAGAGACAAAGGAGATCTCCAACAGCTCTATATTCTTCTCGGCGAAGTTCTAGAGTCCGCTGAAGCTATTACGGACAACGGGCCGTTCCCGTATGTTGGCGGCATTTTTGCTGCTCGCAGCGTCACCATCTTGGCCGACCCCACCCACTTCATGTTCGGCAAGATCAACAAGTTCCTCACGAGCCGCCCTTCATGGGAAGTCAGGAACCTCCCGCGCAGGTTCTCGCGCAGCATCATCAACAGCGAGCCGGACGAAGACGGTGCGTATCATAAGGAAGTGGATTGGTTCCTTGACTACCTGCTCGATTGTCTGCGGACGCCAGAGGATATGGAGATCTTTCGGACGAACAATATCTTTGAGCGGCTGCTAAGTTATTACGCATCCAAGTCAAGCGTCGTTTCGGCGAAGGAGAAGATCGTGAGGCTGCTGCTGAGGGCGGCTGCTGTGGGGGGAAGCACGACGTTGATTACAAGGTGCGGGCTGGTTAGCTGGATACAGATGATGCTGGAGAACAACGATCGTAGGCATCGGGCACTGCGGCAATTGGCATCGAGAGTCTACGAGACTTGCGATCGGGACAAGGTTGGTGCGTGGGGCAGTGGCACTATGGGGGACCTGGTCTCTGGGGTTGTAGATGTGGAGGCATGAGGCTCTGATCTTGATGATATCCGCATGATAAGAGTTCGTTCCGATGCACGTCAGCGGACCCGATGGTAGCAGCTAAACGGCGGCATGATGGCAATGCACCGGGAACGCGTCCGAAAGTGGGAACGTGCTGCATGTATACCTAGGTACAAGCCCAGGGAACCTTGGTTGAGCATAAGCGATGAGGCTGGTGATGTGGCGTGGCGCTGGCTCGCCTGTCGCGGATAATCTTCGGCCAACGTACAGCCTCTTTGGGAAGGCCCGCAGCTGGTCTGCTGCTGGTCTGCTGCTTTGCATCAGCCCGACGACCAAACACAACCACCCAAACAACAGCTATTCGCATCATCCACAGCGCTACACAAAGCCCCCGCGATCCCATTGCTCGAATATTCAGCCTCCCACCTTCTGCAGCGTTTCCATCCCCTGGCCGCATGAGAACGACCCGCGACACTTCTCCGCTTCTCATCGCCGTCGCCCGCAGGGGTGCTCCAGGTACGCTACTCCAGACTACACCACCCCTCCTCCAATTTCACCTCACCTCGTTCGCACACCTTTCCCCCGCCGTTGCGCTGACACGCGACCAGGCGCTCTATTTCTCGTGACAACAACCGCACCTCACTTTATTCACACCGCACATCCATCGCTACATCGTTGTAATTCACGTACGAGCTGTAGAAAGAGCATTGTTTAACTACCCACGCATTGGACGCTTTGCGACACAGGCTTGCCTTCAGGGCAGCCTCTCCGACGACCGTCGGCAACCCGCGAGCGAACACGCAGCTTACGCTACAACACAAACCGCACCTGATCTTACGCTCCCACCTCCAGCCCCTCCAGAGCCTACCCCGGGGCTACTCCACCCAGCGACGAAAGGATGGCTGGTATAAAATACTCAGTAGAACAGCTAGAGCGCTTGAGGGAGTCGCCGCTTGTCAAGAAGCCGGACGGATTGCCCTCGATCGAACAATGGATGGACGTTCCGAACGATCAGAACAACAACAACGCCGGCAACGCTGGCAACCGTCGGCCGCGGGCCAATCTGCGGGACAATGATGCAGCTGCGACCGGCGCTGACCGTCCGTTGCTCAACCCAATGGGCCAGTTTGGCAGACGCCAGAGCACGCGTAAGTCTGGTCCCGACGGACGGCATGGTTTGGTCTCAGCTATTAACGCATTGTTCATAGACCCGGAAGAGACTGTTCTCGGCCCTCCGAAGAATTTCTTCGCGTCTGCGGCTCGGCCGAAGTCTGGTCAGTTGAAAGAGGCTACTGGGATCATTTCGATAGACGGTGATTATCCTGGCGACCGTCTCCCTCGTGGAGAACGGGGTGAGCGATGGACTCGTGACCGCGACGGGGCACGAGAGAAGGGCTATACGAACGGACGACGTGCTCAGCGCGAAGACGGAGAGGGATGGACAAATGTCAAGGGCCGCAAGAGCCTGGGCCAGGAAGACTTTGATAGAGGATTCGGCCGCAACGGCGACAAGAAGGAGGGAGATTTGGACAATGCCGATGCCCCTACGCGTCGGACTGCGGCTGCTCGATGGGGCCGTCGCGAGGAAAATGCTAAAGAAGGAGAGAGCAATAGATTCAGCGGAACCGGTCAAGGTGGATGGCGTGATAGAGAGCGAAACCGGGAGCGTGATAGAGACCGAGAGTGGACTAGAGGCGGCAAGGAAGAAGATCCGGAATGGATGGACACGCCTGTCGCCAAGAAAGAGACCAAGGCTCACACCCAGGAAGACTTCCAGCGATGGAAAGAACAGATGAAGGCCAAGGACGCCCCGGTAGAAGAGAAGGAGGAACTAAAGACAGAACAGGGCCCATCCGAAGGGGCTCTGCCGACTGCAATATCCACCAATCCACCTCTGAAGCCGATGCTTACCCCATCCGCCGTCGAACCACATCTGGGGAGTCTGTTTGGCAATTGGGGCAAAGACAAGGCTGCAGAACCGACACCTGCAGAAGTCCTACCTGCCAAGGCGAAGACGGATAAGAAGTCCAGGTTCATGACCATGTTTGCTAAGCCAGACGAGCCAGTAGCATCCTTTCAACCGCCTCTGGCAACGCCGGTGTCACCTGGGCCCCCCACCGAGATCAACGCGGACAAGGAAGGTTTCCAACGCATTCTTCAAATGCTCGGCGGAGCCAATCTGGGTGCAACTCAAGCTGCTCCACCCGGCATCCCTACGCCGACGAATGGAACGCGACAAGGCGGTATACCCCTCGATTTCCAGCATCAGTCTCCTCCCTCGGAGCCGCAAGAGAGCCGGGCACCAGCGGCATCACTCCGCCAGCCGGCATCAAGGACTCTCGAGCAGCAGAGTCTACTTGAGAATATCCTTGCCCCGAGACCGACTGCTCCGGAGGGCCGGCCTTCGCAGCAGCCGCGGTTCACCAACATGTCGCCAGATAACGCACTCTTTGACCAGTTCGGACTTCCGCGCCCTGACTCGAATCGCCCTGGCGATGACTTCCCTCTACAACAACCACCCTCGAGAAACAACAACGCGCAGGATGCCAATCTGGCCGCAATCTTGAATAGCCGTGCTAGAGAGGAGGCAAATAGGGATCGCGACGCCAAGCAGCGCGAGCGTGACTTCCTGCTTACTCTGATGCAGCAGCCACGGGCAACGCCACCGCAGCTGGTCAATCAGAATCTCCCACGGCACGGCCCTGATACCCAGAATCTGCCGTTCTTTGATCAGCCTGGTCCGCGGCCTCAGGGACAGCCGAAGGGTCGTGGTGGTCCACCACCAGGCTTTATGGATGATCAACGCATGTTCGCCGAAAGTGAGATGATGCGCCGCGAAGCCGAGCGTCGTGAGCAGCATCTCCGCGAGCAGCTAAATATGCAGCAGCAACAACAACAACAGGAGGCTATGCGGAATAAGAACCGTGGTATGCCTATGGGCTTCCCTGGACACGACGATCCGGCATTAGCAAGTCTCCAGCGTCGTAACACGGCCGGCGAGATCCCGCGTCAGATGACCAACATGGGCATTCCGTCTCAACCGCCCCCAGACCTTCCGTACATGGGCGGTCGCCAACCAGGAATGCTGCCCACTCCTCAGGAGCGTCCTAACATTGCGCCCCCGCCAGGCTTTGGTGGACCGATGCGTCAGCCTCCAGGAGGCCCTGGCCCACAGCAGCAAATGGGACCCGGACCGAGCTTTTCAGCGGGTAACACGCCGATGGGCCATCCACCGGGCTTTCCTCCACCACGCGCTGGAATGTTTCCAGGCCCGGGTGGTAACGGCATGCAGGGCCCGCCGCAAGGATACTTTCCACCACCAGGATATGGACCGCCAATGGGTATGCGTGGTGAAGATCCAAGGATGATGTTCGAGCAGCAATTTGGTGGGCCAAACCCGCGACAGCAGGGCAGACCACCGAACATGTATTGAACACTTGCCCTCGCGGGATGCCGGGCGGATGGGGACGAAGTGGCTTCGACGACGAAGCTGTGATAGGCAACGCTGCTAAGAGGTTGAAGCAACACATGTGTATTCGGATTCGGCCGCTGTTTCGTCAGAGTCTTGGCTTTCAGCGCGGAGTCAGGGATTCTGTATTCTCTGGGCTGCGGGTCTATCTCTCGTGGGCGAGCATCATACCATTGGCGGCGCATGCGTGTGTATTCTGTCTGGGCGGAGCGACGGACGACACACGGGTTATGGGTCTTTTGGCGGGCTCTGTGGTTCGACTACCCTCATCTATATTGGGGATATCAGATACCTGCATGTATATGGGCGGAGTGGGCAAGGGCAGTGAAGATGGACGACACCTGTTCTCGTCCTACCTGGTCTTTAATGGACATGGTGTACCTCGACGAGCTGGACCTGAAGGCTTTGTCCGAGATAGCGTGTCTATGAATGGAGTGTTGGAGTAAGAGAATATGCTGTGCTGTGCTGTGGTCGTTGTGTGAAAGTGAAAGTGACATGAGAAATGGGAATTCATACATGTGAAGCTGTGATGGCTTTTAGAGACGGGCCGTAAGGAGCGGCCATTCGCCATGTTGTCTACACAATAATGCAGAGGTATTTTTATCTATGCTATGCTATGCTATGCTGAGCTTGTTCCATAAGATGGAGGGTAAGAGAAACGATGCGAAGATTTCTCTAACGCTCCGCTTTGCCTCTAGTCGTATACGCGCGTACATATAACACCGCACCTTGTTCAGGATCTCAATATCCTACTACAAAACAAAATTATGGGATGGATTTTTACATATTCGTACAGTAATGGGAGCATGCTTGCTGACTTTTGGTCAGGGTCGCAAGCCTATGGTATGCAGGCGCCTTATTTGATCGAAGGGCGGCCTGGAGGGCGAGGCTGGCGGGAAGACGTCGCCGGTTGTTGGGCGTGGCTTGGTGAATTGATGGGTTGGCGAGGGGGCGGTTCGTGGAGCTGGTGGTGGTGTATCTGCTCGTTGAGTGACTTGCTGCGCGGCATGTTCTGCGTCTCTTCCGGCTTGTATCTGCACCTGTGCCTCGTCTTCATTAGCGTCCTCTTCTAACTGTTTCAATGCTTCCTCCGCATTCCTGTCTTTCCGTTCATGTGTCCGCAGTATGCCGCCCCACAGCGCCTCCAAGTCAATCTCCGCCCGCTTCTCCTCGGTGAACATCTGCACCACGACATTAACCCCGGGCTTGACTTCCCTGAACCCCACAAACTCCTTCACATTATCCCCCGGCATCTCGCTATCCTCCGGATGCGCCTCAATCTTCCCCACCGTACAACAGATCCACCCCGTGCGAATCCCATCATCGAGATTCCCCTGTATTTCCGTCGCGCCCCCAACATTCGCCAGCATCTTCATCCGCTTCGCCTTCCTCCGCAGCTTGATCTTCAGCTCGTTCCTGCCCAGCAAGCCCGCCGCGTTGGCGCGCAGCTTGTGCTCGCGCCGCAGATAGCGGCAGAAGCGGTCGGCGGAGACGTGGAGATGTTTTTCGGAGCGCGCGGTTGCGAGGACCATGATCAGCTTGGGCCCGAGGGCGGGCGGGGGGTCCAGGTTGCGCAGGTCGAAGAGCGTGAGGTCGTCGAGGCCGGCGGTGGTGGAAATGTAGTCTAGGAGAGTGGGTAAGAGGGGAGGCGGGTTTGGCGGGAGGTCTGGTATTAAGGCGGGCTGTTGGGGTGTGGGCGTCGGCCGGTTTTGTAGGTACCATGGCAGAGGAGCGGATTGGGATGGCTCGGGGGGTGTGGGTGTTGGTTGTTGTTGCGTGGGTTCGACAGGTGTGCTGTCGGGTTTTGGAGAGGTTGTAGACGTGCCGTCATTCTTATCCAAGAAGGCGAACTCCGGGTCTTCGGTCGCGGGGTTATGCTTGTCTGCTCTCCGATCCGTAGCCGCCGTGAATGACCGCTGAGGAGATGCGAAAGATGTGGTCCAGGAGGCGTGCGTCGTCAAGCCGTTGACTGGTATTGCTGGGGAAGAGCGCGCAATTGCAGCTCTACACGCTTTACAGGCTATGCCTGGTGAGACGACTCGTGTAAATGACATAGCAGCGCAATAGGTGCGGAGGAAATGGGACGACATGGAGTCTGTGGTTTCGAGAAACTTTCTGTCGGCGACTGTTACGCAAAACGCCGATAGGGCTGGGCACGTGGCGATAAGAAAACGATAAGGCAAGCGGGCTGGAAGTGCAGGGAAATTTGGCGGGGCGAATTTCAAAGCATTAGTTTGCCGCCAACCACAACCCTTCGACTCACTTCGGGGCTCTAAAACGCAACAACCGCCCTCTTTGTACTCCATATACTCTTTCTACGATACCGGGGGCTCGGGTTTTAGGAGCTCGTCTATCTCTTCCCTCACACCGACCCTGCCATCCCAACACCCAAACTCTCTTCGATACCCGTTTCCCACAATGGAGGTCGACGCGCCACTCCAGTTTACACCCGCGCCTAAGAATGCCGCAACCGTTCTTTGCGCCGACTGTGGCGCAGCTATAGATGGAACTCAGTCTGCGGGTGCATTTTGCTACGATTGCTTGAAGCTCAAGGTACGCCACGAAGCATAGAGACCTTCGTTCTGGGTTTGAAGATTATGCTGACTTGCCCCTCCGTAGACCGACGTTACTTCAGGAATCCAACGCGAAGCTACTCTCCATCAATGCCGAGACTGCGACCGCTGGCTGAACCCCCCTATGTCCTGGGTCGTAGCCCAGCCTGAATCAAGAGAGCTGCTCGCGCTTTGCCTCCGAAAACTACGAGGCTTGAACAAGCTACGCATCATAGACGCGAGTTTTATCTGGACAGAACCGCATTCGAGGCGCATCCGCGTAAAGATCACGGTCCAGCAGGAAATCGGTGACGGTGCCATCCTTCAGCAGTCTTTCGAGGTAGAATACGTGCAGAACTATCAGCAGTGTCCGGATTGCGCGAAGAGCTACACACACAATACTTGGCGGGCTTGCGTCCAGGTCCGGCAGAAGGTGCCGCATAAGAGGACGTTCTTGTATCTGGAGCAATTGATCCTGAGGCATTCGGCGCATAAGGATACGATTAACATCAAGGAATGCCACGATGGCATCGATTTCTTCTTCGCCCAGCGGAACCACGCTGAGGGATTTGTGGATTTTCTCAAGGCCGTGGTGCCTGTCAACGTCAAGAAGTCGCAAGAACTCATCTCAATGGACATCCATACTAGCAGTACGTTTGATCTTTCGTCCCTTTAACCCTCGAAGCAAGGGCACATACTAACTGGTGCTCCTAGCCAAGTCCTACAAGTTCTCCTACTCTGCGGAATTAGTTCCTATCGTAAGTCGCCCGTTCATGACCGGATATAAGCTTCGTGCTAATGCATATGCAGTGCAAAGACGATCTCGTAGTGCTTCCGCTTCCCCTTGCACGGAAAATTGGCAACATCACGCCAATGACGCTTTGCTACCGTATTGGCACGTCCCTGAACCTCATGGACCCCACTACGCTTCAGACGGCAGATGTAGACACCGCTCTCTACTGGCGGACCCCGTTTCGGCCTCTTGCGGACGTACAGGACATGGTAGAGTTCATTGTTCTGGATATTGAACCCCTGGGCGCGCAGAAGGGCCGGTTTTTCTTAGCCGAAGCAACGGTTGCCCGAGCAAGCGACATGGGCTCCAATGACAGCACCTTCTACACGCGCACACATCTAGGCGGGATCCTGCATGTCGGCGACTCTGTCATGGGATACCACCTCTCGGGCACGAATTTCAACAACGATCTCTATGACAAGCTAGAAGAGTCCAAAATGGGGTCCATGATCCCGGATGTCGTGCTGGTGAAGAAGCACTACAACCGGTCCAAGAAGTCCAAGAACAAGCGCAACTGGCGTCTCAAGCGCATGGCCAAGGAAGAGGGCGAGATGCTGCCCAGGAAACAAGATCAAGAGCGTATGGAGCGCGATTTCGAGTTGTTCCTCAGGGATGTGGAGGAGGACGCCGAGCTGCGGGCCGGCATGGCGCTGTACAAGGCGCAGCAACAGCAGCAGATGGCCGATGCTATGGACACGGAAGAGAGCGAATTCGCAGAGGATGAGGGCCTTGCGATTCCGATGGAGCAGTTGCTCGACGAGCTGGAGGATATGACGATGGAGGGGTAGACCTGTTGGTTTGCTTCCTCACTATCTCGTTACTAGCATTGGCATGACTGCATTTACGTCGGCGTTGGTGGAGGAACGGCATCCTCACATTTTGCGGATATGTACAGCGATGGCTTAGACATCGTGTGGGGACTGTTTCACAGTGAGCAAAAGTTTATAAACAATTTTCCCCAGCTTTGCCGCTGATGGAAATATATAGTGTGTTTATGGCGATGTTTCATCGATTGAATGATCTAAAACCGCCCAATGGGGCGACCTTGACTAAAAGTGGTCAGGCCATCAAACCTGTTTTAGGCAGTCTGGAGGAGTGGAAACCTGGGAATACGAGGCGGGTGAAGACCCGAGTTGGAGGCAAAGACAAACAACATCCGCTCATTCCTCGAACTAGAGATGCATTCCTCTGTGCAAACAAAGAAGAAAGGTAGAATATGATTTGATGATGTGACCACGAAGGGCTCAGGCCGGTTGCCGTGGCGTTTCGAGGGCGGCGTGCTTTGTTTATATGTGAAGTCCAGTCAAGCAAATAATAGGCGCGTTTCGTTTTGGTTAGCGGCGTCGCTATCGACAATCGGTTCCCCACTTGCGCCAAGCGAGCACCAACCAGCTGCCCCGCCTCGCCGCTAGCGCTGTCAGTGTCGGACGTCATCCCCAGCTCCGGCCCGACATAGCCACACTGCAGGTACTAGACTAAGCTTCGTCGCCAGCGACACGCGTACTTTATTGCTACCCATCCTGCGACAAGCTGCCGGAAGGCCCGGATTGTATATCTACAGCCTCCAAGCACCCAAGCTTCCCATTCTCCCGCCAAGCAGTCTCCAGGAAGCTTCGGTTCCTATTCTTTCACTCAGGTCATTCGTTACAGCGCTATCATGAAGATATCAGGCGGGTGGCAGGCAGTTTCCTGCGCTGCGGCATTGCTGCTATCAGGCGCTGCAGCCGCAAGCTACGACACCATTCCGGACATTGAGGTCTACGGCCAGCACTTCTTCTACACCAACAATGGCTCTCAATTGTAAGTCTGCGCTTATCGCCCGTCACCCCACTCTCGCTAACAGCCCAGCCTCCTCCGCGGCGTAGCTTACCAGCAGAACTACTCGCCGAATGGCACAGCGGACACGAACACAACGTACGCCGATCCTCTCGCTGACAGCGACGGCTGCAAGCGCGATATACCGCTTCTCCAGGAGATCCAGACCAACGTCCTCCGCGTGTACGCCATTGACCCCTCGAAGAACCACGATGACTGCATGGAGCAACTGGCCGCCGCCGGCATCTACGTTATTGCCGATCTCGGGGAGCCGAGCGTCTCCATCCAGTCCGACGATCCGAGCTGGGACGTGACTTTGTATCAACGGTACACCAGTGTGATAGATGCTCTGTCAAAGTACAAGAACGTCATTGGATTCTTCGCGGGCAACGAGAATGTCAGCTCGGGCAATCAGACTGCTGCTGCGGCCTTTGTCAAGGCTGCGGTCCGCGACTGCAAGGGCTACATTGCAGCCCAAAATTACCGTAATACGCTCGGTGTAGGCTATGCGACCGCCGACGTACCCACACGCAATGACCTCGCCGCCTACTTTGCCTGCGAACCCGGAAATAGCGGCAACTCAACTGCAATTGACTTCTGGGGCTACAATGTCTACTCTTGGTGTGGCGACAGCAACTACCAGGAATCTTCCTACGGCGAGCGCGTTGACTTCTTCTCCAGCTACCCCGTGCCCGTCTTCTTCGCAGAATATGGATGCATCAAGTTTGACGGTCAGGCCACCGAACGCCCCTTCACCGAGGTTCAAGTCCTCTATGGCAACATGACTGAAGTCTTCTCCGGAGGCATAGTCTACGAATGGTTCATGAGCGAGAACGAGTACGGTCTCGTTCAGCTCCAAGACAACGGAGCCAGTGCTTCGCCTTACCCTGACTTTACCTCTCTACGCGACCAGCTGGCCTCTGTCACCCCGTCACTCACCGCGAAGAGCAACTACAACCCGACCAACACCGCTCCCGCTTGCCCCTCCGACTCCACCTGGGAAGCAGTAGCAAGCCCGCTGCCACCCCCAGTGAATCCCCAGCTCTGCACTTGCATGGCCGCCAGCCTGCAGTGCAACATCGAGTCGACCGACGAAGAGAAGTATGGCGACGTCTTCAACTACATCTGCGGAGCCGACGACAGCTTCTGCGATGGCATCGCGCACAATGCCACTACGGGCGACTACGGTGGTGTCGGTGGCTGCGATCCCAAGGAGCAACTGGCGTGGGTCGCTAATCAGTACTACCTCGGAAACAACAGGCAGGCCAGCGCCTGCGATTTCAGCGGCTTGGCTACCACGCAGTCGGCCACCACGTCGTCCGGCTGCCAGTCACTCCTTGAAGCGCTCGGTACGGCGGGTACGGGCACGGTGGCGAGCCCGACCGGTAGGGGAACGGCTGGAGCCTCGTCTTCATCGAAGGGCGCCGCAGGTAGTATCAATGCGCCCGGATTTGTCGACTATGGAGGCAAGCTTTTGATGGGATACGCGACTCTTGCTGTCATCTCGATGACCGGCATGCTTGCGCTATGAGCGGGGACATCGAAGACGTGCAAAAACGTATTATGAGCATGTGCGGTGGGTTGTTGATTTAGTTCCTTATCAGTCACCGACCCGCTTGGGTGATGCTGACTCACAGCGAGCATGGTGTCTTGGAATTGGAGGTATTTTTGATCAGGGGTAATTGGTAATAGCATCCATTTCCTTGAAGGCGGTGTTGGTGTTGGTGTTGGCGCTGGCCGGTTTGGTGGATGCTGAGGCATTGCAGACTGCAGACTCCAGTGTACCTGGAGGAAAAGGGGTTTATAACTTCATTGTGGTATATAGGGAATTAAATGGTCCTTCTTTCCTCGTGCGTCTCGAGTGTGCGGCTGGGATTAGGAAAGCTTGCCTCGGTCTGTCTCTTGTTGCTTTTCTCCGTTGGGGAATGCTGGAATTATGGCCCTTAGTGATTTTTCGAACATGGCGAGGCTGTCTTCATCATTACTTAGCTAGGTATTGAACCCAATTTTGGAGAGGAAAGGGGAATCTGAGGAAGAAGGCGGCGGCGGCAGTTACTCTAGTTGCAAGGGGGAAGTTTTGTTAAGCCATTAATCACATGGATTCTCTTCTTTGGCACAGAGTTATGGTGTGCATGCGTGCAGGTCGCCACCGAGATAAATCGCACGGCTCTACAAATACTTGAGAACCATGATGCCCCCACCACCTCTGTCCTACCGCCTTTATTCCCATGCGTGCTGCTATAGATAACCATCCATCTTCGTCGCGCTATAAACGTGAAATCGCCGTAACCGAGCACATGGTACTTCGAAGTGCGCACATTGCATTGTCTTGGTGCTGCGAACAATACATGCCCATATATGAAGTGACTCGCCCTTCGGCTTAACAAGAGCACGTCCGCATGACTGAGCATACGAGACCACAAGGTCAAGATCCGAGGGCACGAAGCAAGCTCAGTTCGAGTGCCGAGGCTACATCGTAGCAGCTCCATTCAACCAGGGGTCTTGTAGTAGCTGTTTCGCCGTCTGTCGACGTCCGGGCTCCCATTGCAACATTTTGCGCATAAACCGGAGGAAGGCCTCCTTGTTACTACCGTCGAGGTTCTCCTCAGACTCCTCGAGGCTAGTAGCACTTGGAAGGGGTATTTCACCACGCCATTGACCTGCAGGATTAAGCTCGAGACATTCAGGGTCAGGACCGATAGGGCTTACCATCCTCGGTGAAGAACTCGGCAGTCCTCTTTCCACGCTTCAAAAGTTCTAAAGGCGGCGGTCCCATCAGAGCAATCATCTCGGCGATGTGCGCACGAGTCATATACCGTTTCTCTTTCGGATCCCTTCCGTAGAACATGTGTTTCCCCTCAAACAGGTCCCAAATCTAATGGTCGCGTCAGTTCATGTCGTGGTAATCTCTGGTTCGACGTACAAGAACTCCGATGTTCCAAATATCAATGCTGTAGCTCCATGGGATCTGCAAACAGACCTCGGGAGACCTATACACGTCCGGTTGTACATCTTCGTTATGCGCGACGTCCCCCGATACAGCTGAGCTAAAATCGCTAAGAACAGGCTCTCCGATGCTTTTAGGCAACTCGAAGCTCCGAGAAGCATAGATAGTATACCCGTTAACTTCTTTACGAGGCGAGGGGTGGTCTTGTTCGGCTTTGATGAATGCGGTAATAATCGAGTGGTCTTCAATCTCCAGAAGAACGTTACCAGCGCTGATATCTGCAATATGATGAGTTTATATTCGCGCATTGTTAGTAAAGAGGAGACTCGCCTGTATGAATTAAATGCGCTTCCGAATGGAGATAATCAACGGCTTGAAGCAAGCGATAAACGAATGCTTTTAGTAAGTCTTCTGTAAACCTGTGACTCGCATTCCGCCGGAGTAGGTCTCGCGCGCTTTCCCACATGGGCTCATGTACGAGGCATTGGTGCTCGCCTTGGGGGTCATGTAGAGTAAAAGTATCCAGCGCATCGCGGACATGGCGGCGTCCTGGATGGTTCGATTTAATGCTCTGTAGATGCTGATAGATGCCGACCTCTTGACGGTTCTGCCCATCGTTTGTGAATATCTTCAGCGCAACCGCACGAGGCCCACTGGATATGTAAGTATTTTGTCGTTAATACCACGACCGCAACTCACTATAGGTCATTAGCCAGCCAGACAGTCGAACCAAGGCCATATCCTAATTTCCCAACGACTTGGTACTTCGTGCTTAGTATTTCACCGATTCGTACGGGATAATATCGGCCCGTCGAGGCGTCGTGTATTTCCTCCTCAAGTTTCCGTGAGGCGGGTATCGTCTCGAAATTGGCATCGTGAAAGTGCAGGGGCTGCACAGGGGCCTTTTTCAACCAGCGCCGCGCTAATCCAACGACTGAAGCCATTGGACGCGATGATGGGGGGCGTGGCATAACAATGGGAGTTCAAGGAATCGATTATAGGTGAGATAGAGTTATATGTACAAAATAACGGTTTGGTTGGTGGGGGGGGAAAAGCGAATCCGGCGCGGAGCGAGCTATTCTTGGCAGGATGCTGACAAACCCAAGCACAGCCTGACCACTTCCGGGCGCTGAACCACTGGCCCTTCTGTCTTGATAGATAAATGGACCTAAAATGCGTGGGAATCGAGTGGGGTTTAAACGTTTGTCGAAGTCGCTCCCCGAACCAAGCCGGTAAAAGCAGCCTCAGGCCTTATGTTTCCATGGTTTCAGTTACCTTCATCTCCAATTTTATCACACTCTTCATAGCCGCCGTCCTGTGCCGGTCCTATTTATTCTTGATAGGCCTACGATAGCTGTTGGGTAACGTTTCCTTTCTCAGTATTGTCCTTCTGCTGCAAGGGCCATCTAGTACCGATCTTAGACCTGGAGGACGGGGATCACCTACGTGAGAGAGCCCACAGCTTGTGCCGCGCGCTATCTTGTCTTAGCCTTTCAGAAACGAACCCCAGGACGTCTCATCACACTATTTTGTTTTACGAAGGTTTCTTCATTTCTTTAAATTTCTCCTCAACGCTTTGAAGGATTCTCTTCAAAATTTCAAGAACTCTCCTTTATAACTTGAAGAAAACTCCTTCAAAATTAGAAAAAAAAAATATAAAAAAATTAAGGTTTGAAGTTGATTTTTCGGGCGGGGGGGAAAAAAAGTCTAGTACGGCACAGTCGATGACACTTGAGAATCCTCAGCCAATACAACAACCTCAAAATACAATTTTGTAATTGCACGGCGGCTCGATCAGCGCTTCTGTCTCAGTGCCGAAACTCTCTGTTCCTGAATTTGACTATAAAGATGGCGAAAGTATGTCTAGTCTGAATTCATATCAGCCAGAACATCTTTACATCGCTTCAACTACATTCATACTTGCTTATCCATCTTTGCTTGCAATTACAATCGCATCATTTCTTTCTCGTCGTTTTCGTCTTATACTCAATCATGGCATCCACGGAGACTGTATGGTACAATGTGTACATAGTCTACTTTACGCAACCCAGCGGTCCAGCTCACGAAGGGATTGCGTTGGTTCCAGCACAGCTCGAAGGTCAAGCGGCGGGTCGATTCTACCATGTCAAAGGCACCGTTGGTATAGGAATGGACTACGAGTGTCGCCCCGGTTACAATTTTGGTCGCAGCCGATCGTTCAAGGACAAAGTTTATCAATTCCAACTGCCGAAGTCTTACCTCTCAAACTTCGAACATATCGCAAGCACTCGACCTCCTCCATACGATCCCCGTGCGCTCACCGAGAGAGAGCCAGATCCTCCAGTCAGGGACTGCGCCGCTTGGGTGGCTGAGGTACTCGCAGAAGTCCGTGCTCTTCTGCGGAGCGGTGGCTTGGCTGCCTAAGCCTACCTGGATCGCCGAGTGGAAGTCCTCTTAGCACGTCGTATCTCGCTCTTTTTCGAGGCTTGTACTTGAGTGCATCAATCTCGGGGACTAGTTTTGGACACAAAATCATTTCACTTTATGAATGCATGAGGATTTCCAATTGCATTTACGCTCGGCCTCTCCGCCGTTGGTGGCAGCTTCATTATTAGCTACCATAATACACTCATCAACTTTGCATGCATCAACTGCTCACAATAATAAGGTGTGAGAACGCCTAGTAAATGTGATGCCCAGTCATTGGTGAACACTTCGAGATAAAATGCTTTGACGAACTCCCAATGATCTGGGTACCACCCTGCCATCTCCCAGTCAATGATTGCTGTCACACGACCATTCTTGACGATAATATTATCGGGTCTAAGGTCCCCATGGGTGAAGACGATGCCATGCTTGTGTGCATCAACCATGCCACGGATGTAGGGACCAATCTGGCCTTTTGATTTAGCGACAAAGGTGTCGACAATCGTAGCATTGAAGTCTCTTTCACTTTTAAACGGACCTAGAGACCTAGTTAGAGACATTGCTATTAACTCTCTGATATGTGTATTAAGACTGACCTCGAGAAGTTGTAGACCATTCTAATATAACATCAGTAACTGGTCCCTCATGCACAGATCCGATGTAATCGGCCGCCGGAAGAGAGCGAAGCTCTGTCATGTGCTTCTTCAGGTCTGTCGAGATCATTTGCTTCTCAGCAGAGGTGTATTTTTCCCATGACTTTCCTAGGTCTTCGCCTTCGATGAACTCCATGAAGATATATGTATCGTAGACACTCCCGAAGTCGTCGACGTCTCGGTCTAGAGGCCCGTATGCATATGCTGCAAACAGTCTCGGGATGGGTATCGATGTTCTCTCAGCCACATACAGCATGTTCTTGGCTTCGATGAGAGACGCATGGGTGCCGTATTTCACTAACATCGATGGCGACATTTTCGCGAGTTGTGTGCCCGCTCCCGTAGCCAATGTCTCCGGATTTGATGCCCTAAATTGTTCGGGGCTGATGATTTCTTGCCCCGGGGCTAGATATAGCACATTGATCTGTGGACTGGAAGGCATTGAACTGTACAGTTCGGGCATTGCGGCTGCTTGAAGTGCAGCGATAGGCTGGTACCATGCGTGAGTAATTGAATACTTCTTTCTAGAGAAATCACTTACTGTCATCTTATCTTTGAACGATTAGCTTCTTATAGCTTAGCGTTAGAACGAGTCCGCTATCCTTCAGTTTGCTTAATGCGGCGCCGTAGATAATGTCAATCCATAGCTGAGAATTTGTTAAGAAAGAGAGAGCCTGAGCAAAGTAACGTTTTGTGGGGAATGCGTAGTTCAGAAAAAGACAAAGAGATGCGCTGCGCTAGGTGCGGGGTAAAACTCGCGGCACGCTTAAACTTTTTACCGTGTGACGTAGCTTACTTATATAAGTAAGCGAACCAACCACACAAGCGAGCCGACTACCTTTTTCTTAGCAAGAAAATTAACGAAAATTAACCTATTTTTCTTAAATAACTAAGTAGAACCTTAATATTTTTCTATAAAAATTTATATATATATTCTTTATAGTATATTATACCTTATAGTAAAGTTATACTAAATTATATTACGTAATTAAAAAGCTATACGTATTTAGGTAACTTTTAAGAAAAATCTAGTTTACTTCTAGTTAGTACTATTATATCTTTATAATAATCTATAAAACTTATAGTATATAGTATTTATAATCTAATAAAAATTTCTAGAAAATTTCTATAGCGCTAGCTCTTCTAGATATAGCGTAATAAGAGATAAAAGTTAGATAAATATCTTTTTTAGAGTTTTCTCTTTATAATAGTCTAGTTTAGAGATTTATCTAGATTATATAACCTTAAGTTACGTAACCTTATTATATAATCTAGCCTAGTATCTTAGTACTTAGCTCTCTATATATAGAGAGCTTTTAGAGTATTCTTTTACTTCTTACCTTTAGATAGCTAAATTTAACCTAATCTACTCTACTAGTACTCTATTCTTATAGCTTATAGAGATAGTACTACCTATAGCTAACTTACCTAGCTAGGTATTCTAGAATACTTATAGTAGTAGAGACTATAAAGCTAGCTCTTATATTATTTAAAGATATTATAGTACTAATCTATCTATATAGCTACGTAACCTTAGCTATTTTAGTACCTTAGTATAGTAGATATCTTCTCTATACCTCTACGCTTCTATAGCTTAATATTATATAACTTATTATATATCTTAAATTCTTATTTCTTATTTACGCTATAATAGTTTATATAATTCTACTATTAGCTCTACTACGTACTATATAGCCTAGCTAAATTATAACTAAAGAAACCTACTCTATAATTCTAGAAACTAAGGTACTATAAGTAATATCTAGAAGAAGAACTAGATAGAAACTCTAGCTATAAACCTTTTTAACTTTTTAATACTCTAGGTACTTATGTGGACTAGAGGTTTGTAGTAAGACTCTATGTAGCTACTAGTTATAATTAGTAAAGCTAATACTAACTAGAAAGCCTTAGTAATAAAGAATACTCTTAATAATATCTTTAGAAACTTTAAGAATAGCTTTAATTACTAGTTCTAGACTCTTTAAGCTAACTATAATACTATTACTACTAAATATTCTACTCTTTAAGTATAGCTATATATAGTAGATTAATAGAATTATAATAACCTACTAAAATTTAATAGTAAGAGTAATCTAAGTACTAGATAATAAGAATATAAGAATTAGAAAATAGAAGTTTATTTAGTCTTAGCTATAGATAGCGCCTTCTTTAATATAGACTTATCTTATCTTCTATACGTTATAAACCTTCTTACTAGTAATACTATAGAGTACTACTACTATAACCTTAATATAATTCTAAATAATCTAGATAACTAGAATATATAGCTCTATACTATAGTCTTAGACTTATTTATAAATATAGATTAAGTCTATATTAGTACTAATAAGATACTAGAGGCTAATACTAAATTTAATAATCTAGTTATAGGTATATACCTCTTTTCTAACTTTTTATTTAACTTTAAAAAATAGTCTATCTATACTAAGAAGAAGCTATAGAAAAGGTTACTACTCTTTACTATAAAGTATTTATAAAGCTTAGTAGTATAGTTACTAACTAGATTAAGCTCTCTAGACTTACTAACTTTAATAAATAGATTAAGTTACTAAATACTATATAGAAACGCTTTAAAAAAAAAGTATATTAGTAGTATCTATAAGAGATGCTTAAAGTAGACGTATATAAATATAAGTATACTACTTCTAGTAACTACGTAGACTTAGTCTATCTTAGACTTAGATACTATATAGTTAGATACTATATACTTATTATAAAAAAAATATATATAAAGAGGTCTCTATTTCTATTATAGAAAACTAGAATATTATAAGAGCTAGGTTTATAGTCTCTACTACTATTATAAGGGCTAGGTTTATAGTCTCTACTACTATAAGCGTCTCTAAACACCTAGCTAGGTAAGTTAGCTATAGGTAGTACTATCTCTACAAGCTGTAAGAATAAGAGGTGCTAGCAGAGTAGGTTAGGTTAAATTTAGCTATCTAAAGGTAAGAAGTTAAGAAAAGGCTTTAAGAGACTCTATATATAGAGGTGCTAAGTACTAAGGCGCTAGATTAGGTTACGTAATAAGATTATATAACCTAAGGTTATATAACCTAAGGTAAATCTCTAAACTAGACTATTATATTACTCTCTCTTATAGAAAGAGCTTATCTCTAAGCTCTAAAATACGCCTTCTAGGTCTCTCTTCTTCTAAAACTTCTACGTTCTACTCTTAACCGTCTCTTTTAGCTCGTAATAAGCGTATTCGTGTTAGTTTTAAACTAGAAGCGCTTTTATAGCTACTACCTTTCTTCTAGTTACTCTATTCTTATAGAGATTTAAGCTAGAAGG